TCTATTAAATTCTTTAAATCCTTTAAATCTGTTAAATCCTTTAACTTCTTTAAAGGATTTAAGATTTTTAAGTCCTTTAAGTCTGTTAAATCTATTAAATCTATTAAATCTATTAAATCTATTAAATCTATTAAATATTTTAAAATATTAAAATAAGTTTAATAAGATTTATTAGCTTAAATTTTAAGCTATAATATTATTAAATAATAGAAATAACCTTTAAAAAATTAAATATAATTAAAGTAACTTTTAAATACTTAATATAATATAATTATAAATATTTTAATAAAGATTAAAATAATAGAAAATAACTTAAAATAAGTTTAAATATCTTTTATATATTTTAAAATAACCTTAAAACTTATTAAAATAATCTTAAATATCTTTAAGTACCTATAATACCTCTAAATATATTAATATATCTTTCCCTCTTAAAGGGTTTATAACTATAGTATAAATCTATAGTATCAGATTAATTAATTAATTAGAACCTTATATACAAGTTATTTAAGTAGCTTCTATCAACTCTATTTAATTTACAACCCCACTAAAACAACTATTAATATAGTAAAACCACCATACAGCATAGCACTAGTCCTATTCCTCCTTTCTTTCCTAAAGATACTTAACTATCTTTCTTAGATATTCTAGCTATAGCTAATATTTCTTAATATTAAAGAGTTAATTAAGATTTAGATTATTAGATTCTATATCTATAAGAATAGTCATACTCTTAAGTAGCTTTATAATATTAATAGTCTTTAATAGACTATATCTAAATCTTAAAAGGCTATAGTTATTAATATAATTAATTATCTTAATAGCCTTATATAGTTTATTTAGATTAAACTTAAAGAAGATAAACTTCTTAACTTTATTAAAGAGTTATCTATTCTTCTTATTAGATATTATAGGAATAAGAAAGAATAGTATCTCTTTAGTAGTCTTAGATATATATATTAATATTATATAAGTATATATAGATATAGATTAGATTATTTAATAAAGAATATACTTAAGAGTCTTAATATAAATAAGTATAAGAGATAGACTTAAGAGAGTAGAAGAACAGACTATTTTATATATATTTAAGATAACCTCTTAGTAATAGTCTTAAAGTATATTATTATTATATTAAGGCTTATAGGATAGATTACTTATTACTAAGAGACTATTTATTATAATAATTTAGTTATATCTATTATTAAATAGCTTATACATCTAGGCTTATAAACTTATATATATAGATATCTAGATAAGTTAACTTATTAGCTAGCTATAGGCTAAACTATAATTAAGAGGTTAAAAAGTCTAGAACTAATTCTAGGCCTTAACTATAGTTAAGAGATTTAAAAGTCTAGAATTAATTCTAGGCCTTAGACCTATATTAGAGATAGTTAGTAGCTATTAGATTTAAGAGCCTTTATAATTAGAGGATTATACTTAATCAATCTATAATAATAATTATATTCTTATTATTAGATATTGTTATAGTGTCTCTAGAATATAGGTATTATATTTATTATATCTCTTTTAACTATATTGTATTAATAGTATAACTTAGCTTATATCTAATAGGTATACTAAAAATAAATAAAATAGATAGATAGATTAATATATCTTTAAAACCTATTAAAGTATCTTTAAATATATCTCTTAAGTCTCTTAAAAAAAAACCCTTAATTCTACCTCTTAAATACCTTAAAAAATACCTTTAAAATACTTTAAAAAATTTAAAATTAAAATTAAAATTTAAATAATTATTTAAGAATTTTTTAAAATTAAGATTTAGTTAATTAGTCCTTTAAGTTAGTCCTTTAGTCCTTTGAGTTAGTCCTAGTTAGTCCGATAGTTGACTAAGACTAACTAAAGTGGGTCCAAGTTAGTCCTAAGGGTTGACTCGGACTAAAGGACTAGGACTAAAAAGACTAAGGACTAAGACTAGCGGACTAAAACCACAACCCTGGGGATGGTGGTGTCCAGGTTCTTCTCCGCTACAATAATTACACATGTACGGCTAGGTATGTATGGATGGCTTGGGGTGAGCATTTTCTATCCCCTCGATGAATGAGACGAGTGCTCGTATTGTCTTTTGATAGAGAATGGTACAGCCCCTGGCGGGAAATGATGATGGAGACTGTATGCAAGCACTTTAACGAAGACAGATGCCAAGCCAGGGCAAGCAAGGCTGTCTTGGGGGGAGTGGGGGCGGTGCTTGGGGGGAGGACCTAGGATTCTGACGGCAAGTCGAGGGATCTGAAACACGTTTGCGGCTCCTTGCCTGGCATGGATCTCTGCAACGGGGCCTGGGGGAGAGCAAGAGAGACTCTGGCGGTCGATGCTGGACGAGCCATTCCACGAGATTCCGGGATTGATGGCGGGCATTGATGGCGATAGTCGACATCAAGTTGTGCCGGTTTTTCCCAGCTCGAGCTGTCTTGGCTGATGGCCTGGCTAAAAAGAGGCAATGCGGGCCTTGACTGTTGGAATGCATTTGTTCTATTCTAGGAGGTATGCTGGTACTTTACTAGCCGACATGATGGAATGAATTCTCGAAGCTGACAAGATGGAGAGAGAGGCAGGCCATTGGGAAGCACCGCCGGTGCGCCGATTCGCGTCCCATCTGCGCACCGGCGGCCGGTGGGATCGCCATTCAATTCGTGTTGGGTCGTGTGCGCTGCAGGCCTGTTTTGCTGGTCGGGTCGCATGTGGTTGCGCAGCCAACCGTCCTGGTCCGTCCATCATCCCATCCATTGATGGGCCTTGATCCATCCCCCGAGAGGCGCCTTTGCCGATCCGCCTCCACCGGACTCAGCCCGCCTCAAGCTGTCTGTCTGTTGCTGGAGCGGCACTCCCTAAGGTACTTGTAGGTGGGTTTCTAGCATTTGATTCACGATTCGACGGCCCACCAAGAAGATATTCGCCGTCGAGGTGAACGAGACACCACGCACCATGGCCCGCCGGGGCACATTCCTATCCCCACGCAATCCGTGATCCTACATGCCAGCAGCAGCAAATTCCCTTGATGGGACAGAAATATGATGGGACAGAAATACCTACCCACAAGTAGTCCCGTCCTGTAGCGGCAGCCTAGGCGGTAGCGCTCCCGCACGAGCGCCGGCTCTCTACGAGAATACCTTAGGTAGACGGACGGGGAGGTACCGAGATACTTGTACACAGCCCCAGAGAGAACGAGACTGAGCAGCACTACTTGCATTGTAGTGCTGGAGTGAAACGGGTGACTAAAGTAGGAAGAAACAGTACTTGTAAAATAACAAGAAGAAGAATACGAGCTGGAGCTGGTAAAGTATGTACTTATGTAGGCATCTGATGTGTTTGGGTACAAGTAACTAACTACCGGAGTCGAGTACGGGACTGAATCAGCTAAAAATCCGGATACGAGCCACATTGATGGGGGAGACCATGCCTGAAATGAGCAAAACGACATGCTTCGGATCTCTGGCTTGCGCGTCCTCTCGTCGAAGGGATGGGATGGATGGGATGGATGGAAGAGCGGCGGCTGAGACAAGGAAAAATCAATGGTGCATCATCAGTCCGTAGTCATCAGTCACTTCAGCCAGTCCGGTCAGCCCACCGGCGGCATCATCGCACAAAGCACAAAGACAAGAGGACAGACAGAGCAAGCAGGACGGTGCGACAGCCGTGCTTCCATTTCATCGCTGCATCGGTCCCTTGTGGATTGGATTGACTTTCCGGCCTCACTGCTGGAGCACAGCCATTAGATGGCGACCAAGGCCAGACAGGTTGACAGGCAAGTGATGGTCAGGATTACCTACCTACTCCGTAGGTAGTTGACAGACTGCTAACAGAAGTACTTGGCTATCCATCAAGCCCATCGGATTTAGGTAGTGGGATAGCCCTTCTGAGTTCCAGGGCAAGGATGTGACAAGGATACTGATTGTTAAGATTGAGGTAGCTCCTGATGAACTTCCGTCAACTATTCTTGACAGGGATTGTGCACAAAAAGTACCTACAGAGTAGGTAGGTATGCAGCAAATACGACGGACTCCCCAGTAACCAAAATGTTGGTTAGCAATAACTACAAGTACCTCTTAACTACCTAAGTAGGTACCTACGGAACTGCGTGGTAGGTTAGGGTTAGGTACCTACCTTAATAGGTGCCTGTACAAGTACCTTTTGGAGGCTGTTCCCCTTTTAGGGCCACCGTCTAGCGTCTGCCTGCAGGCCACACAGCCCCCGCCCCAGCAACCGCGAAGCCCCACCACCCACCCCCGAAAAGGAAACAGGGTGTACCTCCCTGGACACTGGACCACTGGACAGAGAGAGACACGCAGCCCTGAGGACTGCTGCCGCCATTGTAAACTTGGAATCCTCCGTGCTCGTGCCTTGCTTTGCTCCCTCCTCTTCCCTGCCTGATTGAGATTACCACTCATCATCTCTCTCGCTTGCGAAACAAAAGAAGCCATCGACTGCCGGGGGGCGAGCGAGCATCTTTGGACTCTTTTTGATGACCAAAGACGAAAGACGACGACAGCGACGACGACCACGACGACCAATAACGAACGAGTTCCCCAGAGGACCACAGCATCATCGCAACAACAACCGGGCATAGGACATAGGTAGAATAGCCTGTCCCATTTGCTCTACCACGGGCCGTTCATCTCCTCCAGCCGCTCTCCTCCAAGAAAAGTCGGCCTTGGCAGACCAACTTCCCGTTCCTGCTTGCCTGCTTGCCTGCTTGCCTGCTTCATTTCCTTGTGCACCGCTCAAGTATTGCCCGACGCTGGACAAAACACCACCCATCCTCATCGCCATCCCCTGGCCCATCTAGCCTGAACTGCTCTCTTGCCCATCCGTCCGCGCCCGCGCCGCCACGGCAGGGCAGGCTCCACCCGAAGCCAGCTCTCGGAACTCTGCTGAGGCGGAAGCAGGTTTTCCCCTCCCTCCCCTCTCCCCTTGCCCGCTCCCCATCGCCTCCTACGCATACTCGAGCCCGACTTTCCCGGTTTCACGACACAATGCCTCGCTACTCCCTCGATTCGGAGCGCGCCGAGCAGGAGCCCCTCGACGGATACGGCTACAACCACAACCACAATCACAACCACAACCACGATCACGACCAGAGACAGTACTCGCGCTCCCGCTCGCGAGGTCACCAGCAGCCTTACTACGACCAGGACCAACAATACCAGCAGCAGCAACCGCCCTACCAAGACTATCAGTCTCCCCGCCAGCACTCGCAGCAATCCTCTCCCACCAGAAGCGCACACGGCCCGACCGCACATCCCGACTCGTCCTACAGGCGCCTACAGAGGGAAGCAGCTCACCCAGCGCCGCCGCCGTACATGGACACTGCCGCCGCCGCTGGTGCTGGTGTTGGTGCTACCACCGCCAGTTACAGCAACATCAACAACATTAATAACAACAGCTACAACCCTTCACGGCAACAACCCGACCTCGTCTCGCCTCTCTCCCCCCCGCAACCGCCCGCACATCGTGACAATCTCGACGGCGGCTACTGGGGCCAGCAGGACAGAGAGTACGCGCCTCCACCAGCTGCCCGCCCACCACCCCCGAGCAACATCACTCCCGGCGCCGACAATTTCGGCAGCGCCGCCGCCGGTGGCATGGCCGGTATCGCCTATTCCGTCGCCGACCGAAACCCGAGGGAGAGCGGGCTCGAGGCGACCAGAGGCATGGCGCCTGCGCCGGACCTAGGCTATCCCCAGCAATCCTACCAAGGCCAGAGCCAGAGGCAGAACCAGCCCTACCGGGGAGGCGATCCGTACGTCCAGCAACCTCAGGGCCTCCAGCCCTCCAATTCGTACGGCAACAGCAGCTACGCCGGCGACAGGGATTCTCACTCTAGTCTGCAGGGCCTTGGCGCAGCTGCCAACTCGCCAGGCTACGCATCGCCGGCCATGCGCACGCCCTCTAGGAGTCCGCACCGCTACGCCAGCGATGTCTACACCGACGATCCCTACCAGGGCTACACCAGAGGAGCCAACCCCAATCTCGGCGTCGTCAATCCTAATGATATCGAGGACGACGGCGACGACGGTCTCGTCTACGGGCGCTCCGGCCAGCGAGGGCCGCGGACCTCGATGCTCAGTCTAGGGGGCACCAGCAACCGAAGCGGGCGAAGCGGCAATACGGCCACGGCAGCCGCAGTCGGCTCGAGCGCCGCTGTGGGTGGAGTCATGGGCGCCGTCGGTGGTATCATGGCTCGCAACGCGCGCGGTAACAACAGCCCCCAGTACGACGCCGTTCACAAGGACGACCTGGCGGGATACTACGGAGGGGGGGCGGGAGGAGGCGGCGGCCGCGGTGGCAGTACGTATGACCTCGGCAACACTGGCGGCCGAGGGGGGCCGGAGAAGCCGTCGGCCTGGATGGCGAGCCAGAAGGGCAACGGCAAGAAGTGGAAGATAGCCATCATCGTCATCGTGGCGCTTCTCATCATCGCCGGTATCGTCCTCGGCGTGCTCTTTGGTGCCGTCTTCAAGGGCAGGAGTGACGGGTCGGGAAGCAGTGGCGAGTCGGCGGCGGACGACACGTCCAAGAATGGAGACCTCAACATCAACAGCCCCGAGATCAAGAAGCTCCTCAACAACAAGGACCTGCACAAGGTCTTCCCCGGCATCGACTACACACCCCTCAACACGCAGTACCCGGACTGCATCCACAACCCGCCCTCGCAGAACAACATCACGCGCGACGTGGCGGTGCTGTCCCAGCTGTCCAACACGATCCGGCTCTACGGCACCGACTGCAACCAGACGCAGATGGTGCTGCACGCCATCAGCCAGCTCAAGATGGGCGACACGATCAAGGTCTGGCTGGGCGTGTGGCAGGACAACAACTCGACCACCAACGAGCGGCAGCTGGACCAGATGTGGGACATCTTGGAGCAGTACGGCGACAAGCCCTTCAAGGGCGTCATCGTGGCCAACGAGATCCTCTTCCGGAAGCAGATGACGACGACGGAGCTCGGCACCCTGCTGAGCAAGGTGCGCACAAAGCTCGGCGACATGAAGCTGTCGCTGCCCGTGGCGACGTCGGACCTGGGCGACAAGTGGGACGCGTCGCTGGCGCAGGTCTCGGACTACATCATGGCCAACATCCACCCCTTCTTCGGCGGCATCAACGCCAGCAAGGCGGCCATGTGGACGTCGTGGTTCTGGCAGGACCACACGAGCAGCTTCTTCAAGTCGGACAAGTCGAAAAACATCATCTCCGAGACGGGCTGGCCGTCGCAGGGCGGCACCGACTGCGGCCAGCAGGGCGTCACGAGCTGTCCCAACGGCGCCGTGGCCGGCATCGACCAGCTGAACCAGTTCATGGCCGACTGGGTGTGCGACGCGCTCAAGAACGGCACCGAGTACTTTTGGTTCGAGGCCTTTGACGAGCCCTGGAAGGTGAGGTTCAACACTGCCAACCAGAACTGGGAGGACCACTGGGGCCTGATGGATGTCGACCGGAGCCTGAAGGCCGGCGTCAAGATCCCAGACTGTGGCGGCCAGACGATTGGACCCGCCTGACCGATCGCCACGCCTACCTATAGGAAGCAAAAGGAGATCGGGGGGCACATAGTGGTGGATTGTAAAGTATGGCATCTTTTATTTTCTTTCTTATTGTCCTCAAGGATACAGGAGTTGGTCAAAAGGGTTTTGATTACTTACAGCCAGGGATTCCCAAGATAATGTGCCAGCGTGCGACGCGCTCGTGAGTCTTTTCCAGCGTTCACTCCTGGGAAAAAGGGGAGACGAGGGCCCAACATCGTTTATTGTCTATATCATTGTTTGGCATGAGGGATGCAGAAGGGAAAGGGGGGCTATATATAACGTACTTATGCAGTATATAGAAGGACCCGAAATGGAGAAAGAACAGTGACATCACCCATTTTGTTCAATCGAGGCCAAGCTTTTGAGTTGCATATAGGTAGCCCGGGAGAGAGCCGTAGATGAGAGTGAGAATGACTACTCCGGCACCCCCAGATGGCTACTCCGGCACCCCCATTAGCGCCTTGGCAAACAACATTTCTCAAAACTCAAAACAAACCAAGGCACATCTCTCAATAAAATTAATACCATTAGAAAGCTCAGCTTTCAAGCTTTAAGATGATCTATTTTTTATTAAGATACCTTAGGGTTAGTAGTTAGGAGGTTAGGGTTAGTGGTTAGTATTAGGGTTATAGGTCGGTTTGGGTTATCTGGGATGTAGATCTGAATTGATAAGGCCCTAGTTTAGTGACTTTTGAAATGGTGGAGATTTTGGTGGTAAAAAAGGTATTTTTCTCAGGGGTGCCGGAGTAGCCATCTGGGGGTGCCGGAGTAGTCATTCTCGATGAGAGTGGTCCATGGATCCCATCTGGTTTGCAGGGAGATTTGAGGCCTCGAACGCTCCGGGGCTTCCAAAGCCCAGCCCAGCGGCCCCATCTCCGCCGTTCCTGCGTTCCTGCGCTAGGGCAGCTGGAGTCACGATCCCCACTAAAGCTAGGCATCCGTGGGGGCTTCCCGTGGTGGGTTTGGCGGGTTTTGTAGGGCCCTGTCTCACTAACACGACATCCATGCATCAGCAATACGTATCGATGACATCAGGAAAGAACGCCGACGTCCAGTCCAGCTGCACTTCCGCTCAAGGATCAAGGGAAGAAACCTACAGCGCGGCTTTGATCACTTTTATTTTACCTACCTACATAGGTAGGTGTGTCACTTTGCGCTGAGCAGAGCCAGTTGATCTACAAGCATCTAAAAAACCATGGCCGACGCCGCACAGCAACGTCACGAGACCGACGAGGCCTCCCCGGCCTCCGAGGCGGCCCCAGGAACCAAGCACAAGACCGAAGCAGGCCAGTTGCCGCACACGGCCAAGCGTGCTAAGAAGGGAGATGATGATGATGATGGCAAGGAGCAAGAGACGATCGAGGAGGCGCTGGGGGTCGGCAAGCGCGGGAACAACAGTGCAGCAGATGAGAAGAATGGACGAGAGGAGGGCGGGCAAGATCAAGGGGGCAATGACACACGAGAGGCCGCGGAAGAGGACAGCACCGTCCCCTCAAGGAACGGCACCGCGGAGCAGGGTGGCAGCCGAGAAGGCGGCAGTCCCTCATCCAATATCCTCGAAAAGGGCATCATCTACTTCTTCTTTCGTGGGCGCGTCGGAATAGACGACCCCAAGGCCGTCGACGACATCGCCCGCAGCTACCTCGTCCTGCGGCCCCTCGCGCAGGACGCCAAGCTCGGCTCCGGCCCCATTGGCGACGCGGGCAACAGCCGCCTCTGCGCCCTGCCGAAGAAGGTTCTCCCCCGGAGCGGCAAGGACCGCTTCATGGCATTTGTGGAGAAGACGCACGCGTCGTTCAAGGAGCTCCGAGACGACTTCCTAAGCGCGAGCGACTACGAGACCAAGACGGCGGGCACCAGACACACGCCGGCGGCGACGCCCGTGGGCGAGGGGGTGTATGCCATCACCAGCACGGGGAGGACGAGCCACCTGGTGTATCTGCTGACTCTGCCCGCGGAGCTGGGCGAGGTGCAGAAGAAAATGGGCATCGGGCAGAGGGCGAGCTTCATCATAAGTACCAAGAATCCCGATTATCCCGGTCCTGCATATGCGCGGTTGCCGGAAGCTCCCCATTACCCCGAAGAGTAAGTTTGCTGCTTGGCTCCTTGGCTGTTTTGTGGTGAAGCATGTGGACTGACTGTCGGGGGGAAACAGGCTGAAGGAGACATTCCGCAGCCTTCGCTGGCCGCCCACCGAGCCTCGCCATCTTGATTATGTCAATGCCCAGTTCTTGCTGGTAGGCGAGTCTTCCGGCCTTGACAAGGCAAGCGAGGTGGCCGAGGGAGAGGAGGAGGAGCCCCTCGAAGAGATGGAGAAGCTGGAAGAAGAGGACGAGAAGAGGATGAAGGGTCTCGGCAAGGACGAGTCCGAGGCCATCTTTGCCGATCTGCAGGTTCGGGCTAGGGACTATCCCAAGCTGCAGACCACCTTCTAGATGACCCCCTGTAATGTGGGTTCGCTCTGGCAATAGCCTGCTTGCAGAGCTAGACGTCACGCACGTCTTGCAAAGTTAGTTCTCGTATCACCTATTCTAGTGGCCTCGAGGTTCTATAGTCAAGATACTTCTTATAGGTCGGCCACTTCAAGATAGAGATCTGGCCGATTTCAGAGGGCCAAGGTTCGCAATGTCGACTATGCGGTCGAATCACTTCAGCTTGCTGTAGTGATGAGGATCCTCGCTGGATATGCTCCCAAAATTCAGAGAGCCGCCACTGACGACATCTCCAATAGCACCAACAGCACAGGTCTTGGCACCTTCTTTCATGTTGTTCGGACAAGAGCAGTAGTCCTGCTAGCCTATGACCATCAACCGCGGTGCCTTTCATGTACATGTGTGTATTTCACTGAATAATACCCAACTGGGACGAACAACTGATGACGCCCTGCTCACCCGGCATGGGCTGACTAATCATTGATGCTGCAAGAGCTGAATACGGCTACATGTAGTCATGCATCTCTGCTTGTGAGATGATGCGGCATGCCCAATCACACTGCTGATGTGGCTGTGCAGCTGAGAGCAAAGCAGGTGAGTGCCGGCAGGAAACCTCCCCGCTCTTACTTCTCCAACTCAGCTTTCCGTCTGTACCATCGGCCCAAGCTGGATGATATATTGCCATACTCTCCAAGTTCCTTCGATCTCTGTTTTTATTTCCCAACAGAAACTCAAAGCTAGGAGACAACGCTCTTTCAATTGCCATGAGGCTATTGAATACCAGCACGCTGAAATTGCAAGACTTCCCAGGGGAAGTTCCCGCCTACGCCATCCTGTCCCATACCTGGAACGGGGATGAAGTCACGTTTGAAGACCTGAGGGCTTGTGGCAAAGCCGGCGCCGCTGTCTGGCTGTCTTCGCAGCCACTCGACGTGCGGCAGAGATGGAAAAAGGTCGTTTGCAGCTCGCGCGTGGCGCGCAACGAGGGCTTCGAGTGGATCTGGGTCGACTCTGTTTGCATCGATAAGAGCAGCAGCGCAGAGTTGTCTGAAGCCATCAACTCCATGTTCACGTGGTATGAGCACTCCAAGGTTTGCTTCGCCTTTCTGGCCGATGTTATGGACGCCGAGGAACTCGAGAAGAGCGCATGGTTCACGCGCGGCTTCACCCTGCAAGAACTCCTCGCTCCTAGAGAAATGGTGTTTTACGCCATGGACTGGCATCCCATAGGCTCGCGGACTGATCTGTCGAGCCGCATTAGGTCTGCCACAAACATCAGTGATGCTGTGTTGTGGCGCAGCCCCGGCCTCGATGCGCGGACCTCGCTGGATCGGATATCTGTGAGCACCCGAATGTCCTGGGCGGCAGGGCGGAAAACCACTCGCCCAGAAGACCGCTCATACTGCCTTCTGGGACTGTTCGGGATCCAGATGCCCCTGCTCTATGGCGAGGGCTCTGAAAGAGCGTTCCTGAGGCTTCAGGAAGAGATCTTGAAGCTTTCGGAGGATGACACCATCTTCGCGTGGAGGATGACCGCGGATGAAGCCAACAAGAAGCCGTATTGGGGGCTCCTGGCGACAGACCCGGACCACTTTGCCAGACGTGATGGCATGGAGTTCCGGGTGCCACGAGTAACCACCCGTACTCGGCGGGCGACTGTTCTTGTCCACCAGGGTGTCCAGAAGGACATGTCTCTGATCCCCATGAAGGCTGATCCGTCAGGCACCATCTACTTTGCCTTGATCCACGCAGTCGATAGCCAGAGCGATGACAACAGACTGACTACGATCATTCTGCAGAGGGTGTCGGATATGAGGCGCCACTATGTCCGCATCTGTCCCCAAGCTCTAGTCTTCTTCGCCCACGGCCGGACGACTAAGGCGTTGGAGATGCCTCCAGGCCTCTTTACTGACGGTGTCCAGGTCTCGGAGCAATCGTCCGAGTGGCAAGGTGCAATCCAGCACTATGTCTTTGCAAGACAGGTTAACAAGGACTCCACACTCACCAGCGGTTTCTATTTCTACTCTCCACACCGCATCGTGTGCGACAAGGCCGAGCTACCCAATCTGGTTGTACTTTGCTCACCCACACAATACTCTATGGGAGGCGAAGTATCTGAGGGGTTCCATGTGCGACATGAATCTTCGACTGACCAGCCCTGGTTTTCATTCACACTCAGTCTGGGTGCGCACACGCCGGACTGGCAGAGGAAGTACGAAGCCAAGAATGTACAGACCCGGGTCTTCCTAGGATGTCTCAGCCTTCGCATCGAGTGGGGGCTTGGCAGAGAACTCCGCTCGGCGAATGTGTGTCTCGCTGTCGGTCTCGAGCCGCTCCCGGACAACCCCTTTGGAACGCCTGCTGGCTTTGTCAGGCCGTGGTACGCTTTTATTCCAAGATTTGTAGACCACTGGTCCTCAGATATCGAGACCATAGATCGTTATCTTCTCACCGAAGCCGGAGACTACCTGGTGGTGTCTTTTCCGAAAATCGAGCTGGCAGATAGGCGCTTTTACAATATTTGCTTCGAGGTGCGATCAGTGGAAAGTACATGAGAAGTCGCACCACCAAAATTACCAGGTTCACAAATGTCGCGCATCGCCCGGTCCTTGGGCTGCGATCTGATCCAATACTCTTAAGAGCTAAGAGCTTGGCTTGCACACCCAGGTGGTACACAATGGCGTGTGAATCCTCGCCAACTTCACGGAGTCGAACCTCGTACGTTTGGAGATTCAAGTGAGATACATCTCAAGTGGCACCAAGAGAGAAGAAGAAGCCTCTATAACTGGATCGTGAACACCAAGACGCCAACCACCACCATTTTCGGATATAAGACCACCGCCAGAAACTTTTCATCAAGAAAAGTCTGCCGAATGGCGCATTTGACTCTACTAACGCCTCGCTATCTCTAGTAAACTATCATTACATATCGGGCTCCCCTCCTCTTGACCATTCTCTGACAAGAGTACCGCTTTACGGGGCGGCACGAGGAGCCGCGGCCCTGGCGTTATTTGCAGCCACTGCAAGTGCCAAAACGTTCTCCTGGCCGAGCTTGTTTTGCGGGAAGCGCGCGTTGAAGCCGATGACGGAGCGGGCGGCATCAAAGGTCTGCAGAGAGATGGTCTGCTTCTGAGTCGAGACGAACCACCGGACACCCTCAGAGCAGGGAGGAGTCGTCAGCGAACCGGAGTAACTAGAAGAAAAGCCAGACTCAAGTGTTAGTAGATGGACTCAGCGTCGCCAAGGTCTGGTGCGTGAACACGTACGTTTGCAGCTGTCCAGCCTTCAAGCTGTCGGCCAGGCCGGCCATGGACAAGGGCCCGATCTTGGTCTTGCTCCCCGGGGTGGTGATCTTTCCGACCGAGGCCATGACAGTATCGATCAGGCTCGAGCCGCCCGTCGTGGCACCGACGGTGGCGCCCTGGCCGACGTTGATGACGTTGCCGACATTGCCGACGGAGCCACCGGTGGTCGCGCCGCCGCTCACACCCATGGCGGCCAGGATGGCGTCGATGATGGACTGCGTGCTGGAGCTGGGCGTGCCGCCGCTGATCACCTGGACCTGGCGCTTGCTCTCGGGCGACTCGACGTCACGGGCGTGTCGGCGACTCTTGGACTTGGGTTTGGCCTCGGCAGCGGCGGGGGCGGCGGGAGCGGGGGCGGCGGCAGCACCGGCGCCATTGGCGGTGTCGAGGTAGACACCGAGGACCGCAATCTGCTTGGCATCGGACTCGAAAACCATGTGCATTTCCACTGCTCCAACAATCAGCACGCCGAACCTAGGCTCAAGGCAATCAGGGCGTAGATCACGACCGGGTCCAGGGGAACCTACTAGCAAAGCTGCGGCCCTGGTCAAGATGCTCGCTGGGCAGGTGGAAATGGAACTGCTTCAGGTTGAAGGTCGTGCCGTTGGCAACCATGCTGCCGCCTGGCGGAGCGATGACCTCGACGGTGGTGCCCAGGTTCTCAAACTCGGTCTCCGCAATGTCCGGTAGGTTGAGCTGCACGTCGGCAGCCTGGATGAGCGAGAACTGGCCCTGGGTCATGTCGATGGGGCTCTGGGTCCGGCCGGTGGCGCAAGCAGCGTTGGCGGCCGGGTCGAGAGACAGCCAGTTCAAGGGACTCTATGGGGGCGGGTACGCCATCCCGTGTCAGCCCTAAGGATTCTCTCGAGTTTCTGTGACTAAGATCTTCCCGAGGGAGAAATAATGGGGAAGGACAGGGAAGACGGAGACATGGCCAAGCAAGCAAGAAGCCAAGCAGGCCAAACATGAACTTACGATCGTGCCGGTATACCCAAAAGTATTTACTTTAACTGCCCCATCTTCGGCGCGGGCGTGGAGATGCGTGCCGTAGGCGCAGGACGCTCGCGCGGTGGAGGCACAGAGCAGCAGCAGTGCCGTGAGGGATTGGGGAGAAGGCATTGTCACGTCGGGACCAGCAACAAGTGCGAGAATACGCCGGAAGAAAGGCTAGAGAAAGACGAAGGGAAGAAAGAAAAGCAAAGAATACAACGAAGGAAACGCACCGGGCGTAGTGAAGAGAATGGGAATGAGAAAGGGCTGGAGGGAGAGAAAGGAATGGCAAATGAAGCAGAGAAAGAGAAATGAAGCTCGACAACCGAGACTTCCTCAAGCGGATGCAAGCCCAGGTGGCCAGCAATAGGTTCTTATCCAGCTTACGACGACGATCACCTAGCCTACGATCTCACGCAGCCTCCAATAAGCAAACGGGGACGTTGCCACCGAGGAACAGGCAGAGCCCCGGAGTCCTGTTCCTCTTCGTGGAAACAAGCCTTGCATGCATGCCGCGACGCTCCCAGGAGACTGGCAAGGGGCATTGCCGCCAAGTGACGAGGCGGTTTGAGACCAAAGATAGCTCACAGAGGCCGACCGCCAAGAAGAGAAAGCCCGTCACGGTGGTCCAGCGTGGACCCTTACGGGGGAGGGAGAGTGGAAGGCGGCTCGACCCGGGACGGTCGGGGTGGTGATGAGAGGGGGCCAAGAGAGGCTCAGAGAGAGATAACTAGACAGGGAAAGAGAGAGACAGACGGACAGGGTGCGTGTGCATGTGAGGAAGCCCAGACGCGCCAAGAGGAATGCGTTTTGCTCGGCCTACTTTCAAGCTTCGGTGCCTTTCTTGGGCCTGGGTTCACGGCTTGGCCTGCCTCGGGAAGTTGTAGCGAGGGCTTGGCTGAAGGGCAACAGGGGCTGGGCAGGAGAAGATTCCCCACAGACGATGGCCACGAGCGAAATGAGATACGTCTTCACCCAGACAGACTTGTTACCGACTCCTGGGTGATGACAAAGGTCGGAAAAAGGAGGGAGAGAAGGGAGGGAGAGATAGGCATGTCTGCTGCCCTTTGAACTGCTCTCGAGATAGAGCACAGATTTAAATTAACATGCTCTCTCAGCACACTGCCTATTATCCACTTCCACTAGAGAGTGCTTTGTACGCTCGACCTACGGAGTACTGTCGATGGATGTGGGCGGCACTATTGTACAAGTATGTAGGCAATTGCTGAAACAAAGCCTGCCAGCAGGGACTTGGTGGTAACTCCGTACAAACTGTGGATTCTTTTGGTCTACCCAACGTCCGAATTCGTCTCGAGTGCCCAAAAGTGAGCTGATGATTTGCGCCAAGACGTCTAGACTGAGACCCCTGGCGACGTCAAAATCACACGCTTTGGCTACCCCGGCTGCCCCGGGCCTTCTGAGCTGCCAGATACGCCTGGGGAAGCGCCATTGGACAAGAGAGGACCTCTGTAGGCCTAGCCGGCGTGCCAAGCGAGGCTCCGTTTGACGATCCCTTTCTCTCGAGTCGCCGCGCATCATACAGGTTTGCTGTAGATCTTGGCGGTTTGACCTCACCTGGGTTGCGACAAGACTATTTTTAGGGCTGCTACGTCTTGGCCTCCACGGACAATTTCCCATGGCAATGTTTGTCCGTTGGGAGGATCCCGGAGAATGGCGTTTGTCAAAAACAATTGTCAAGATAAAAGGACGGCAGCGGGAGCTTGGGGGCTGATGAAGGGCCTGAGCGGCAGTTGGTCGCGTTTCGAAACGGGCCTCCCCCGACATTGCATGGATCCGGCAGGCGAGCCACTTGACCAGGAGCTGACTGATCAAGGACACAAAGCAGGCAAGCAGACCAGCCTCGGGGGACAGGCGGCGTTCTGCTGGCTGACGATATTAGTGTGCGACATCGTGACACGCATGCGGATGCCCCGACATGATGCAACATTGCTTGCTGCACTATGAAGAAACAACCGAGCCCAGAATGTTTCAGTGGCCGACGGCAAACCAGACGGGCGCACACTGCCGAGCAGGCGCCCACTCGATAACTACTCGAGCCCTGAATGACCCATGCCATTCCAGAGTTCCATCACATGCACTTCCAAGCGAGTACAAGCGTCTCCCGCCGCCCGAGACATCGGCCGGCCGGCGCGGGCCTTTCGGTGCTTGGCCAGAGTGAGGGAAAGGGGACAAGCATGGCGGGGAATGGCGCGCGGCGTGCAAAAGAGGCTTCACGTCAAACTGCAAAGAGCGCATGTCTGTCTGGCTCACTTTGTGGGCGCCACGCAGAGGGCTGGAGTCGAGAGCACGCCGCGCGAATGTCGGCAATGCCTGCTGGGCAGCGAGCGCTCACTGTCTAGGTGCAGACAGAAAGGAAAACATCAATGCTAGTCCCAAGTGCTGCTCTTGTGTCAAAACCGTGGCCCGTTCTTCCAGCCAGTCAGGGCTTCGTTCGACGGAGTGCATCATCAAATAGAGGCACGATCACTGGCTGTACTGTCACCAGGGTGCTCTGTGAGAGACTCTGCCCAGTCTCCACCCACGTGGTGATCGTCACCGCTTGCGAGTGAGAAAGAGTGTGTGCTTCGTGGTCGTGGTCACTGGTGGTGCAGGGCACGCGCCCGGGCTTGGCCTTTTGACTGGTCCGGGCAGTCCCCGAAGACAGCACGCCGGCCAGTGCCAGTCCAGTTCAAGTGCTGATGATCCACCCAGAGATGGACCCGACCGCCCTGGAGTGAGTGGCGCCCGCGTCAGCATTAGTCACGACTCAACGACCAGACGGGACAAGACCCTCCAGGGCTGCACAAGCTTTACCAAGCCCGTCCCGACAACGACAACGGCGCCCTCCCAACGGCGCCGATCCGGCCTTGCAAGACTGCTGCAGGTATAACTACTTGTAGTCATCCGTGTGTATCTAATCGGCCGGTTCTGACTGGCTCTCGCGTCTTGCAGACCTTGACCCAGACAGGCAAAGCCGCTCGAGAAATTGGCACTCGCATCTCAGCCCGCCTCTCGTCCCGCACTGTCCGCCCGCCCCTTCTCTTGGCACGGCAGCCATTGAGAGGGCGTCGTGACAGACATGTGGTGCCGCCGTGGCACTCGTCACTCAAGGCTTGGCTGTGGACGATCTCGTGCCTGTCGATAGTTGCCCCTTTTAGACTCGGGAGCTTGAAGCTATTGCACACCCTGAGCAAGGATGCCCTTCGTTGACTGCTTCTGGAAGCTCATGACGGGATTCCACACCTGCAAATCGCGCTCAACACTGTGTGCCCTGGCTCTTATCAGTAGGTAGCGTACACTCTTTGCACCGGGTTTTTCTCCGCCAGCAAGCACGCACACACGGCCAGGCATGCCGCCCTTCTCGGCCATTGCGCCTACACGTGGGCTCTCAATGCCACTCCCACACTCCCACCACCCCGCTCCCAGCTCGGTGGGAAGCCCTCGCTCGCGGTCCAGCATCCCGGCTCCCTGTCCGATGGGTCGTCGAGCGGGGTAAGGAACTCTCTACTAGTACAGTAGTACCAAGATGCGATGAGCAGGGCCTGGGGAGGTCGGCGTGCAGGCTGGACTTTAGATCTGGGAATCAGCTGCTTGTACATAAGGTGGCTCGCCGATCCCGTCGGCGTGCGACATTGGGGCTCTTCTCTTTCTTTGCCCAGCTCACCCAAGCCACCCGCTCGACAGTCGCTGCCTTGCCCGCGTCGACAGAACCATGGTCCACCTCAAGCTGACCGGCGTCGTCGCCCTCTCCGGCCTGGCCGCCGCTGCCGCTCCCGCCTGGAAGGAGGGCATCAAGAACGTCGTCGTCCTCGTCCAGGAGAACCGATCCTTTGACACCATCGCCGGTGGCCTCAACTATACCAAGGACATTGACGGCCTGCTGCACACCAACTACTGCAATGCCATGTGGGTGGCCCTTGGGCTTTGCTACCTTGGCCGATTCGACACTGACTAGTTACTTCCGTCTACCAATACAGGAACGTCTCGGACCCCAATTCGGTTGCTGATGTCTGCGCCGGGCCTCTCGCCGCCGACGTTGCCGCCGATGATCCCAACCACTCTATCAGCGGCGTCAACATGCAGCGTATGTGCTTGGGCCTGCCTTGTTCTTGCATTTCAGGTCGCCGTGCAGACCAAGAAGACTGACTGACCTCGGCCTCAGTGTTCAGCACCTTCCACCCCGACGAGGCCGCCGTCAGCCATAACCCGGCCTGGAAGTTCCAGAACATGCGAGGGTGAGTCTCGATAGCTCTGTTTAGCTCTAGATATTGCGGCACAGCCGCTGACCTCTTGGACCTTGGGCGCCAATCAGTTTCGTTACCGAGCAGTCAATCAGCTACAAGACACAGGATAAGAGCCGTGTGGCTGAGGCCATCAACTACTATCCTCCGGAGCACATCCCTGTCTTGGCCAGCTTGGCCAAGAACTTTCTTCTTTTCGACCGCTGGTTCTGTAAGTTCCTTTTTTCCCACTCTTTCTTGTCTATATTGAAATCCTATGGTGAAACCCGCTGTATGGACAGAAGCTGACAAAGACGAAAGGCGCTGTTCCCGGGCCTACCAACCCCAACCGTGCCTACATCACGTCTGGCACCAGCGCTGGTCACGGCAGGAACGATGCCGCCTTCACTGTCTACAACCTGACCCAGAAATCAGTCTTTGAGCAGCTCTCTGAGAAGGGTATTTCCTGGACCAACTATCAGAACTCCACCACCGGTCCTGGGTAAGCAGCAGTAGACCCAAGCCCTTGTTGTAACAAAAATCCACCCGTACGTACCACGTGCTGACTCTGCTCTTGCAGCAAGGGCTTCAACCCCGACGCCGCTTTCTACAAGTGGACCAAGGACAGCGGTGCTGCCGACACCAACATCAAGCCCTTGGCTCAGTTTTACCAGGACGCCGCCGCCGGTGCTCTTCCCTCCTTCACCTACATCAACCCCGAGTGCTGCAACTACCAGTCCATGCACCCCCCTTCCCCCATCTCCATGGGCGAGGACTTCATCAAGGGCATCTACGAGGCCCTCCGCAACTCTCCGCAGTGGAACTCGACTCTGTTCATCCTGACCTTTGACGAGCACGGAGGTTTCGGCGACCACGTCCCTCCTCCAGGTACGTAGTATTATCACCCCCCGCACAGTTGCGAAGTTGGAGCGTGCCTGCTGATGAGGAATCCACACCAGTCGGCGTCCCTGCCGGTGACGACCTCACCTACATCGAGAAGGCCAAGGACGGTGGCAACATCAGCTTTGATTTCACCCGTCTCGGGCCCCGTGTCCCAACCTTCCTCATCAGCCCGTGGGTTGCCAAGGGTCAGGTCGAGCACGCAGGCCGCAACTTTGGCGGCGAGTATACACACACCTCCATCCTGGCCACCCTCTCTGAGCTCTGGGGCATCGAGAAGCTCACCCCGCGCACCCAGTGGTCCGCCACCTTTGAGCATCTCTTCCTCAACAAGCCGCGCCGCGAGTGCAGCTCTCCCAGGAAGCTGCCCAATCCTGTGCCCTGGTAAATCTGCGACGGTGATTGCACAGTTGGGGGACAGGGGGGCCATGTAGGGAAAGAAGGGTACCGGAGAAGACTATGTGCCGAGCATGATAGAATAGAATCACAATACACCTGCACTCAGTGCGTGGCTTGGCACCCCGTTCAAGACAACACTGAGCGATCCTGCCGTCTATCTCTGACACAATCTTGCCTATGGTGAGTGGAGGTCTAGAGGCCCAAAATGCCCGGGCCTGGCGCCTTTGATATGTCCGTCATGTTAGTCCCCACAACTTTGAACTCATTGTCAACTGGCCTTGACCACCAGGCGTACGCGCCATTGACTAGGATCTGGTAAAGCGTGGTGTCCGACGACAAAACTTGTGTCTTGGTCTCCATCAGTGGCAGAGATGGGTGCATGTGTGCAACGAGACCCGGAGGGAACAGCGCCAAATGTTGTGTTGACAAAAGACGATATATAATACCCGCCAAGCCAGGTGACAACTCTTCCACTCTCAAAGATCCACTGGCGAGGCTCGCGTCTTCTTCTGTAGGCGCGAAGCAGACCCCCATCTTGCCCCCATCTGAGGCCGTGATGACGAGCCAGTTGCTACGCTCGAGGTTCTGGAGATTGGCGTCGGGTTCGCCTCGAGGCGTAACCGTAAGCCACCCGTCATCCCCGAAATCCTTGATAGTGGCTTCAGGATCAGCACGAATAGCTTCTAGGCATGCCGCAGGCAGTTGCATCTGGAACTTCTGAGCTTGGCTGACGCCGGGTTTTGCGTGCGAGAAGTCGTAAGCTGGAAATGTAGCTCTCGTGTCGCTGCAGAAGAATCTGCTAGGCCAAGAGGAACCTGCAAGTTTCGACCTGCGCGAAGACTGCAAGTCGAAGGAGCACAAGCCCAGCGCAAGACTTCACGAATGACCTGCACACCATGGTCCCGATTGCCGTGAACATGAACCGCGAGAGAGTTATCAACATCGACAAATGTGCCGTCTTCCTGTCTCCTTGCCCTAGAGCCCGTCCACTGTGCCCAGCCGAGATCTAGATCACTGAGGATCCTGTTGAGAGGAGCGGTCACACGTGCTGGTACCTCTTTTCCCAGCGGCCGGGACCCTTCCTGAACTGGCACACGCAAATCCAGAGTATGCTGGGGTCGTAGGGTATAGTGTGGCGCCGAGGGGCGCTCAGAGGGGAGCACTCCATCCTGAGTCAAGTCGCCATTCGCTGATCTGAGAACTGTTTGCTGAGCTCGATCGAGCATGGATCCCAATTGGTGATGGGGGAATGAATTGCAACTCTTTTCACTCTCTCCGTACTCGCTATGCTCCTCGTGTCCCTCGTCATCTTCGCAATCAAGGTCATCCGAGGGTTCAGAAGGCTGGGAGCGGAGAGTGTACAGCGCTCGCTGTGACGAGTTTTCGCACCCGTCAGTGATTTCCTCCTGATCAAGAAACCAAACTCCTTGAGTTCCATTCTGACGCCAGATGAAGCCAGCGTCTCGAGCATCGCTTCTCTCGATTAGCCTCTGAACTTCTCGATCTGAAAAGATGCCGAGACTCCGCCAGGCAGCATCGAGGAGGGCGGATGCAAATGGAGCGTCATCGTCATCACCACCACGCCTACCGCATATTGGGGCGAAGCGGTGCAGTAGGAGTAGCGGCAGGCCTGGATGAGGCAGGTCAGGATTGAGGCGAGCAACGGCGCGGCAGACGAGGTCGAGCTCGTCCCAGCGGAGGACATGTGGGTGCCAGTGCGCTCCATCATCCCAGCCTAGCTGCTGAGAATGGACGCCATTCTTGAGCTGTAATTCAAAGAAGCCTAGGTCGTTAGAGAACTCGAGGGACAGAAAGGAGCCCTCGCTTCCCAGGCTGATAGGTAAGTCGATGCAGACTGTGTCCTCTAATTCCGAATACGCGTCATCTTCAGCTTCGGTGATCCAAAAGAAGTCGGTCCAAAACCGCCTAGTTCCGAGTAGTTCTCTGAGCTCACGGGGAAGCTGCATGGCGGCGATCTTCGGCACGGCTCCGATCTAGGGTCCTTGCGAGATGGCTGTCTGCTGTTGCCAGAATATACTTTTTATGAAACGAGGGAATTTCGCTTTGGGCAACATCATGGGGTGTGGTGGCCTTCAATAGCGCAGAAGGGAGCCTATCAAACTTGAATGCCAAGCCGTGCGGCTGAAGAACCTCCACATGAGCGCCAACTCGGGGTTGACTGCTCGATTCGTGATCTAAGGTGAGTACATATGTGAGTGCCCATACGATAATGTGTGGGAATACAAGGCGGTAACACGGGCGATCTAGGCAGGCGCATTAAAGAGCTGTCATAGATCGCGAAAACGACAGACATGAGACTCGCTAGTCTCCGGAGAGCACCGAATTGGTGTTCTGCCAGACGCACACGGTTTCCTCAAGCTGCCGCCGTACCAATCCGCTGCCATGCTACGAATTGAGTGAACCTCAGGGGCGGGACTACCGCATCCTCGTGGCTAAATTGACCAGCCGACAAACTACCAACGAAACTCCCGAACTTTCCCTCCCGGATCAATCATCCCGTGGCGAACCCTCACGTGGCTGGCAAGACTATCATACCTTTGAGCCTCTACTCTCGTTGGCGAGTTGAGTGGGATTGCCCCTGTGAACTTTGACTGGCTTCCTACACCATAACCCGGCGCTATCTCTGTTGGAAACACAGTGTTTTATCTTAGAACGCCACACTTTTCAAAGGGGGCACTGAGAGCGTCACTGAGACACTACCCTCGCTCTGGCTAGGTCAACATCACATAATCCGGCGCCGTGGCCTCCACCAACAAGACAACTTCTGACGGTTTACCACGCCAGCGTTGACCTGACGGTGAATGCTCTAGACCAAAGACGATCTCTACGTTGGATGGCGTTGAGTGGCGATGCCATCTACGTGAGAAATTGAGTTGGCGAGATTCACAGATTGCCGAGTGACAGGGAATGGGAACTGGCAGTCAAGGTGCGCCGAAACAATCTAGAACATTGTGTCCTTATTACTTAAATTACAGACGTCATCATGTCCCACCTGGATACGGCGAGCTCAAAGGGACGATATGCAGCAGCTATCACCTCCCGATATACAGCTACTTGACCAGCAGGATACCCTACGCCTAGGCATATTTTGATGTCAGAATACTGGGCATCAGAAAATCCAATTCGCCGTAGCTCGAACATCTACTGCCATCCACGAGGCAACTTACTGTCGGGTAGCATCTTTCTCAAAATAGGTCATCTCACTTTTGAGATTGGAGGAGCCAGTCGGATGGTGTGCTTTCTTGCATCCCGGCAACCTTTGTAGAGTCTACATGGAAGCGCAAGGGTATCAACAAGGTAGGATCCGCATGGTCCGCTGACCGAGCAGACACTTCGTCGCCAAGCATTTTAACTTTGCGTTCGCCCATGTCCGTGGCCGGTAATTTAGCCCAATCTGTCGGCAGATCACGCTCGGTGTTGATTTGCAAAGAATTCTCGTCGTTGGAATCGGGCCTTCGGCAATTCGCCCGTCACCAGAGATTGGCATCCCAACTATGACTTGATAGGCATGGGCGAACATGAATATTCCGGGCCTGGGCGTAGTCCTTCTTCTTGGCCAGTCAACTGGCCAATAGCGGCCCGCGGGGATATTGTTGTGATATCTATTTTGCCATCTGTATATCTGGGGATATTGCGCTGCTGCGGGGCGACCTTAAACGCCGGTCTTTATTGGATCTCATTTGCCATCGGGTAAACGAGCTCCTGGAAAAGCAAGGCAAAATAACACGGCAGTGTGCTTTGCAGCCCAAGCCAAGAGGGACAGAGTTTTCAGGATATAACCTGGGCAGAGGACTGATCACCTCTTCAACTCTCTCAGTAAGTGACTATTCCCTACCAGAACCAGGACCAGGTAACCATTTGTTGATCTCGTCCCATCGATCCAAGATGAAGTGGCTTTCCCTCGCTCTCGTCCTTCCCGGGCTCTCTGAGGCCGCACTTCGATTCGGATGCTCGACTGTGAGTATTCAGCGCCTTGATCCCCTGGTCGAGCCAGGACGCGCACCGTCGTCGCACCTGCACCAGATTGTCGGCGGCGATGCCTTCAACGTCACGATGACGGGGGACATCTCCGAGAAGGCGACCTGCACCACTTGCACCTTCAGCGAGGACTTCAGCAACTACTGGACTGCCGTCATGTTCTTCAAGCACGAGAATGGCTCCTACAAACGCGTTCCGATCATGCAGAACACTGCTCTGCCCGCGTAAGAGAATCTCAAACCCCGAATCTCAAAAAGCGCAAAAGCGTCAGGCCCCGCTAACCCAACAACTAGCCCTATCAACGGTGGCATGACTGTGTACTACACACAGCAGGATTTTAACTCCAACGGCAACCAGAAGATTACCGCTTTCAAGCCGGTAAGCGGCCTCGCCTCCCTAACTTGCATGTGACCTTGGTCGAAGTATGTAAAGACGGCTGACGAGACCAGGGTTTCCGCATGACTGTTGGCAGCCCCACGACCGACAACCTGAATGCTGCCAAGGGTCACGTCGGTCTTCGCTTCGTCTGTCTCCAGAACAAGGGTACTCGCTTCCCTGAGCTTCCCGACTTCCCTAAACAGCCCTGCAGGGGTGGCATTATGACCGTCCACCATTTCCCCGCGTGAGTGTGATAAAGCTCCCATGCCGCTGCCTCTCTTGATACTTACACCAACTCAGATGCTGGGACGGCAAGAACTTGGACAGCCCCGACCACCAATCGCACATGTACGCCACGACCAAGGAGGCATTCCAACCCGCCGGTGAGTTATTCCAGAACCAGGAACCCACGTCAAAGCGATCTTTGCTGACTCACATATGATCATAGGTCCGTGCCCTGCGTCCCACCCTGTCCGCATGCCTCAGCTCGCGTATGAGACCCTCTGGGATACTGCCCAGTTTGCCAACATGTGGCCCAAGGACGGTTCCAACCCATTCGTCCTCAGCTACGGCGATAAGAATGGTTATGGAACCCACGCCGACTACGTCTTTGGATGGAAGGGCGACTCCCTTCAGAAGGCCATGGACTCGAACTGCATGTTCCAAGCATGCGAGAACGGAAGGCCTCTAAAGTCCCAGGGTGTCGCTGCAATGAACAAGTGTGCCGCTAGGCAGCAAGTCCACGAAGACATTGATGGATGTAAGTCAGCTCGCAGCGCATTCTACCAAAAGACCACGGTGACTAACCGATCTCGGTAGGGCTCACCGAGCTTCCTGGCATGTCATCCATGCCAATGAAGCAGAAGAAGGAGGTCAAGTTCCAGGCCTAGTGGTTCGTTCGTTATATACCAGACTTGCGAGTTCGTAAACCTACAGTCCCTTCAAGTAAACCAGTTCTCATTCGACCAACTATCTAAATTCCAATAGTCTTTTTGTTGATTACTGAATAAAGGATTGGAGAAGTACCCCGACTAGAAGTGGAATCTTAATATTGGTCAAACCGTTTAGCAGCTAGTGATGGTTTGATTTTGAATATTTCTTGCCCAAGTACAAACGTCAAACCGCGGCGTATTGCCTGCTCCTCATATGGTTCGTTTTACGACATAGCCCTTGAATTATTTGACGGTATTGGCGTTGACAGCCCTCTGGGAAGAAAACCGACACCGTAGCATCAGTAGTCTGAACTGTCCTTTACGTCTCACTACATGCGTGCTGCGTAGGTGTCTGGTTCGAGTTACCCACCGAATGCATGAGATTTGTAGTGATCTGGCATAGATGACCAATAAGTCATATAGGCTTGCGGCGGGGAGATAGCCAGCGGGGTGCTTAACCAACACTCTGCCAAATGTCCAGTTCCTTTATTATCTCGCCCTAAAATTTACAAGTGTGGTATACAGTGGCGGAGTTTTCATTGGCTATTTTCAGCTTGTTTCCATATTCTGCCATTATGTGACTGGGCATTCACCACTCTATCCTATCATCGCAGACCAGACGGACGTCACACTGCGTCTCTCCTTTCCAGACTCTACCGCCATTGTTCTTGGCAGCGACTGCTCCACGCAGGTGCTGAATCATACTCATCGGACCGCTGGCAAAGACGACAGTAGGCCCAGATTCAACAGAAGACACGAATCGATCAACCTCCTCTCGTAGGTCTGGACGACGGCTTTGGGGCGTTTGCGTAGTGACAGGATGAGAGATGGAGAGACGGGGCTCGTCAGCTCCATCCGAGGATGGAGCTGATGCATTCGATGAAGCCGAAATGTCCACAGGGGTCGACTTAACATCTGTACTTGCTCTGCTATTGAACTTTCCGCTCACCATCTTCTCGACCACAGGCTCCCGAGTGACAAAAACGTGAAGTTTGACGCCGCGCTGTTGGCCCAGAGTATCTCGCAATTTACCAAGCTCCGCCCCGATCCAGCCAATATCCGACTCTCTGCGCACGGCCCAGATCAGTTCGATCTTCGTGTTGCTCCGTGGAGCTTGTTTCGCGAGTCGCAGAAGTACGGGCAGCACGAACGTAATGCCTGTTCCTCCAGCGACGCAGAGAACATTGTCTGTGGGGGATAGATCCTCACTGATGCCCTGCCCATACGCTCCGCTGAGGATAACAGGAGTGGTAACAGGGGCTGGCTGTTGCTCAACCGAAGTGCCGCCGCCGAGAGCCTTTGCCAGGACAAGATCGGCAATCTTTCGTGTTTCTCCAGTCTTTGCTCTGAAGATGTATGAGTGCGAGACGGTACCGTGGGTGACTGTGGGATCATTCAAAGGCGTGAATGGATGTGACTGCCATATACTGCTCTCGGCAAAGCAAAGGTAGTAGTGTTGACCGATCCTCCATGGCCTTTGATACTGGGAGAAGTCAAGTCGAATGACATCGCCGCTCTCCTTATCTTCATAGATCGTCACGGCGGCGTCTGCAGCCGCGAATCCCATGCGTCGCTTCTTCGGCAAGTACTGATAATGCAGCATCGCGGTACGAACCAGGCGGACGGTCCTATCAATGAACCACAGGGCTAGACCTGGGATGAGGTAACACTGCAGCGCCTGCCAATGGCCAATGACAGCTCCTATGTACACCATGGCCAGCACGTAGTGAGCTTTGCGGAAGAACTCGTAGCCGAGCGTGCGAATAGCCCAGGGAAGCGTGAGTAGCCACAGCAGGAGGAGCAGCCCTAGCCCGACCCATCCCCAGATGATGTAAAGTTGAGAGACAAACTCGTTCCATACCTTTGGCTGCGGCTGATATAGGCGTGCCTCAACGATAGTCCAGCCGATCGTGTGCAGAACAGATTGGGTCAGGATGATGTAGCCCGTCCAACGGTGAAGGAAAAGAAACGACTGATAGGGGACGCCGGTGATGAGCGACAAGATCGACTCTCGGCTAGAGAGAAGAATCGATAGAGGCGTGAGGGCATAAGCGAGGACTCCAACGCGATCGGCCCACGGCCCAAGGCTAGTCCGAGTGTTATGGACGTTGGGCAAGTTTTTGACCGGGGTGATCCACGTCTTGTACACGATGCCGACGAAAGTCCACACCGTTAGATAGGCCACCAATGTTGCCAGGATGACGACCTGTAGACGGGTTGTGTGCCCAAAGAGAGAGACAAGGCATTCTGGTAGGAGATATCGTCGGGTCCAGGCCGCTATTGAGCTCCTTAATCTGACTAGGCTGGGCTGTCGGGAAGCACCGTGAGACTCCTCCACGCAAAGGTCATATTTGACCGCAGAGGAAGCCGGTGAAGGGGGGAAGAGCCTAGTGAGACCCCAAAGAAGCAAGATGGCGGCGATTGTCAGCCAGAATATGCCGGTGTAGATGAGACCGAGGTCGTGGGAGTGGTACACTACATCGAGGTACTCGCAGGATCCACGATCGTTCGTACACGGCACTACACGGCTCGGGTACCCCCAGTGCAATTCAAAAGAGGAGGCCGTGCTGGGGTCCTGAATGTGTCGAACTTCCATTTTTCTTTCGGCCACACGACGGCTTGGCTATTCAGCTGAGGCAGTCTGATTGGGCGCGCCACGGTGTCCTCCAAGTAAGTGATGAGTTCTTGTTGCGGCGTCAGGGAGCACAACACACAAGCACAAATGCAAAGAACGAGCCTCTCTGATGCTAAACGGGGAGGCCTGTTTTAAATAAATAAAAAGACCATTGCAAAGCCCAATCATGTTGACTGTCGCATCATGGCAAGCTAAGTCGACTGGCCCCGATAGAGCTCCATAACTGTGCAACAGAAACAACAAGGAGCAGTCTTGGCGCGGCTCCTGAGTGCAAGGCGTTTGGGTCATGGAAGGAATGAACAAGAGACATGTTGAGAACCGGGCTTGTTTGGGCGTGTCTTGCTGCTCGGGTTTAGGTGCGGCAACGCTTCTGCCAAGCTGGGTAAATTGGGTATCGTGCCAAATGCGCACAATTGAGCACGTTTTTCTGGGTAGTGGAGCAGGATTAGCACGGCTTTTCTGCATGGCGACGGGGCCATCTATTGACATGGATCGTTTCGAGGAGAGGACCGGCCGGACAGGCTCCGCCCCCAGTTGTATTGTCTGTTCCTAGATTGTCCGGACTCGAGATATCGGCGTCCCCTTACTCGGGCGCAAGCTGCCGCGTGCCGAGATATGGGCGTTGACCCAAGACCTCATCCTCGGAGAACCAGGCTCCATGTAAGCCATAAGGTACTCTCTGGGGCAAATGTATCCTAGCGACGGTCTCCTTCATGGTCCTGGCGTCAATGATCCACAGCTCACTCGTCGCACTCTCCGGGCATTGTCCGTCGCCGTCTAGCTGGCTCTCATCAAAGGCGTACGTCAAGAGCCAGCCATCATCTTCCAACTGTGCATCCTTCCGCGGCACAAAGCGTGGCTCCTGTGCATACCAACCCTCTGGCATCCGAAATAACTTTATCGGGTCATCCGGGTCACAACTGTCGCTAACTTCTTGGACAGTTCGTGCATCGACGCATCCTTTGACCTGTTGTGGAGGATGTGCAGTCCCCCGCGCTATGAGAGTGCGCACATCGATCTTGGCAAGGTAATCAATCTTGGCAGCCTTCCCTAAGGCCACAGTGTATGACCCAGAGCCTGTGGTGCAGCCATAGATATATCTGGCGTCCTCCATAGAGTGACTGGTCGACATGGTCGGAAACTCAAATGAGATTGCAGAAAGAGCCCATTGGTGTTGAATACAATGCTCCCGCTCGGGACCGGCAAGCCGGAACTGGTAGTAATACAGCCGGCACTGCTCCTCCTCGGCATACTCTGGTGGGATGGCCTCGAGTGCAGGTGTGGCGAGATTTCCCGCACTGAAGACCAGTGACGCCGAGGTAAGCCGACATACCAGCAGATCCACGCATGCCTGTGAGATATCCAGTTCAGGACTGAGCTCCGAAGTCCAGCAGTTCGCCGTGTGAAAGATGACACACGGCGAGGTTTCAAACCATTGCACCTCCTGGGGCCTGTACCGAGGGAAAACCCCGAACCTCGAAACGCCAGCCGCATCATATGAAAGGACCGGAAGGCCCCGAAGCAGGTTTCTTGGATCCAACGAGAGAGGTATATCGATGATAACTGTATGTTCTCGTGACACACCAAAGTCATGCATCATCTTGGGCTTCGTCACCCCCGGCACGGGCAAGTGGAGTTTTGGTGGTGGAACTGAGTGTTCCTTTTGCCTCTCGGGCGGCATGATAGAGTAGAAGACGAATGGCTTGATGAATACAGCATGGAAGGCGATCATCTCTTTCGTCACCGGATCTACTCGAGGATGCGCCGTAGTCCACTCGAGCATTGATGAAAGTGGACCGCTGCCGCCAAAGCTGTCTCCCATGACGCCGTGTGAGCCGTCCTTGATGAGTTCGTTCTGGGCGATCTTCCCGTTGAACCAGCCTATGGTTTTGAGGTCTGGGAGGGAGAGTCGCAAAGGCGGGCCGCTCTCACAAGTCGCAAGCGCTCTCCCATCGTGGTAGACGAGCCCCGTGTTGGCCACGCTGATCTTCTTGATCGGGTATGTTCTGGGTGTCATGTGCGACAACAAGACCAACAAAATGGTTCGTAAAAGGTGGTATATGATGGCCATGATTGAGGATAACGGGTTGACAAGCGTGGCGATGCTTGGCAGCAACGGCCTGCCTGAAACCCATAGGCCACTTGCCTTGGAGTAGCAATAGGCATCTGTGACCAAGTATTGGTTGACAAATTCGGGGATGAGGATATCTTCTTGCGACGCACTTCTCCCAACCCCTCGAGGCGTTGGCTTCTTCCTGCGGCGAAAGAGAACGCCAGATACCATGCCATCGCCGTCAAACCAATGAAAGTCTCGCGTCTTGTCGCTGTTGGCAACTGGGTTGCCACCATTTCGGACATACTGGCCCCCGGCCAAATCCACTGGTACCCGTCCCGTGAAAGTGCAAGGTCTCAGAGAGACAGTCTTTTCGATCGGAGCAAAATTGCCAGACAAATACCTGACCACCAACATCAGCAACTACACTTGTGAGATGAAGTTACTCATATAACCTACGGGTGTATTTGTTTGACGCCCGTGCCTTGCTTGGCGGAAGCCTCAGACATTGCTGATCCTGTAGATACTCCTTATGCGCGGTTGGAGCCACGTATCGCATGCAACAATGTGGTTATTATTATACACACGAGCGCTATGTCGGGTGTACACTCGGCTACTCCTCTGGTTTGGTTTCATGGCTTGGCCTTGGAAGCCGAGATGCTTTGCTGTTCACTTTGTGCCTCGTACTCGGCAGCAATACAGGTAGTATTGTAATTAATCGCTCGGGCTTAGCAAAAGCTTGGTACTCGGCTACTGCATGATACCGTTGTACTGGCGCGCTCGCTGATCATCAAAGGCAGTTAGTTCACCAAGCACATCCAGGTTAGGAAAAGGTACAACATAGTTTAGTGATGAGGGTGGTGAAACCTTACTAAGATTCACAATAGCATATCCGATGCGCAGTGCTCGATTTGAATAACCTGTCCATGTGACCCTGTCCGGGCCTGTCGGAGGCATCGCGATCATATGTCCATAGCCCTTTGCAAGCATATACCAAGACACCTTCGCCACAGCATGCTTCAGATCGGAACGAGCAAGCTTCTTGACTTCAACGACAAGACAGCTGGCCGCACTAACTGGGGGCGGGAAGTTCCACAGAGCCTTGCAAGTTCCACTGGAACGCTAAGAACGGTGATGATCTCACCACTCAACGCTAGCATTCAACTGCCGCAGATGTATTCTTCACATCGCTATCAATACGGAAGTGCCGGCAACGAAATCTATATGCAACGTAGAGAGTTGTCTTCAAAATCTATGTCATCATCATCCGGCGGGTAGTTAGACTTCACCAGGCTCTTCGTCGTGGTGTCGCGGTACTTTTGAGGACGGCCTGTTGGTACCTTGTCTCAGAAGTTGAATAGGCGACCTTGAAGGTGAAGGGCAGGTACACAGCAATCCCGAGATCTCACACATTGAAGCCCACTATGGCATTTGAATTGCCAATTCTCCCTTGGATGCTATGACTCAGCCCTTGTACATGCAGTCGCTGGACTGTCTGTCTCAGTCGACATGCGGATCTCTACACAGAAGATAGACGTCATTGTAAGTGACTATCATCGTCACATATGTACAAGAAGTACAGATGGGCGAAGTACAGCTTTTTGAAAGGCACAGTATAACAATCAGTCTTCAAAAACCTTGGCATCCCTCACCACAACATCGCCTTGATCCCAATCCTTACATCTGGCAGTCCTTTAATATCAGAACCTGTTGAATACCAATCTATCAGTCCCTTGCCCCACACTCCTCTCAAGATGGCCTACGGCAACCAAGCTCTAAACATCAACCATGTGGTTGGGCCTCAGGCAGACCTCGCCATCACCACCCACGGATCAGACTGGTATTGGGCAGTTTGCGCCGTCATGTCGGTCACGACCCTGATCTTTATGGGAATGAGCTTCATGAGGCCCCGTGCCGACCGTTTGTTTCACTATATTACTGCTGGAATCACCCTTGTCGCTGCTATTGCCTACTTTTCCATGGGCGCTGGCCTTGGCCAAGTCCCGATCCAGGCAGAGTTTGTCCGTGGTGGCAGTAAACAGGTGGCCGCTGCCGGGACTCGCGAGATTTTCTATGCGCGATACATAGACTGGGTCATTACGACACCCCTTCTGCTACTTGATTTGATGCTCACGGCGGCCATGCCGACCCCGACTATCTTGGTGACCTTACTCGCCGACGAGGTCATGATAGTGTGTGGTCTTATTGGTGCCTTGACTCAAACCAGTTACAAATGGGGATACTGGACGTTTGGCACTGTCGCCCTCTTCTTCGTGGCCTACCAAATTGTCATCGTCGGCTTGAGGCACGCAAACGTCCTCGGCGGTGCACCGAAGCGGACGTTTCTCATGTGTGGAGTGTGGACACTCTTCCTCTGGTTCCTGTATCCGATTGCCTGGGGTCTTTCGGAGGGTGGCAATGTTATCCATCCTGATTCCGAGGCAGTCTTCTACGGTGTTCTTGATCTGATGGCCAAACCGGTTTTCGGATTCATGCTCATCATTGGGCATATGAAGATCAGCGCTGCGGATCTGGGGCTGAGTATCCGCGAGACCAGCCCTCGTCGGGCTGCTGTCGAAAAACAAGGGGGATCTCTGGACAATCGCAATGGGCATAATGAAGCAGGCGCAGGTGTCGGCGCGGCTGCAGGTGGCACTACAAATGGACACAGCCCTGCGACAGGAAACGTCGCACAGCCTACCGTTAGTGTTTAAGTGACATTCCACAAACATTGGAATCGATCTACGCAAATATCATATTCAACTTTTCGAGCAAGATTTATCACTTAGTGTCTTCTTGAAAGAAGGGTTTGTCAGATATGGAACTCGTGCATCCTTTCTATTGATTCTGATCAAGACTCCGAATAGCCGGTATCGACCCCCGGGCTATAGCCTTTTCTATGTCCTCTTTTCTTTTTATTCTTCTTTCTGGCAAATCACTCCAGTCTTAACTTTGGTATATTTATTCTGTTCATGGATAGATGGATATTTTTGAACTATAACCTGCTCTTCGACCTCGACTGGCAAAATTGAACTCATAGTGTCAAGATGCAGGGAGGAAAAACAAGTAGATAACCAGCAAGAAAATCAAATACACAAGCATTATCCTATAGTATTGGCAACATACTGAACCTCCGGCACAATCATGACAAGGGCACCTCAGACTCCGCATAATCATCCATCGCCTCGTCCCTTTCACTCACCCGGGCCCTGTTAATGCTCCCCACAAGCATGGCACACACATTGCCATCGCAAGGTTGTGTATCAACAACATCCCTTTACGTTGTCAGTCGCTACTAGGTGCGTGTGGGTAGTTGAGGGGGGCCTTACATGCTATTTGACCGTGCGAAATCAACCAGGTGTCGGGTGAATCTAATACCAGACTCATCGTTGCCAAACATAATGAACTGGATCATGAGATCTGTTCGACGAGCTTTAAATCCTTCCAAGGTCTTTATAAGCTCATTGATATGGTGCTCAACTCCCGCAGCACCTTTTTCATCGTGCCCCCAGCAGCCATCCGTAAACACTATGACGCTGACTGGATTTCGCGTCGGTGCTTTCGGACCGAAGATCTTGATGGGTGCTTTGGACCCGGTCCGATCAGGCAGTCGGGCCTTGACAAAATTGTCTACTAGCCAGTAGAAGGTGTTCTCCATGGAGTGGCCGAATTGGTCAAAAGGGCAGTCGTTCAACACATCCACCAACGGCTCAGTGTTCGCAAAGCTGTGGATCTTTGTTTTGATGGTTGATGCCAATGCGAGGGACATCTTTTTTGGATCCCCCTTCTTGGCAATGTATCCCAGATTCCTGACTGTATCAATAACCGCTTCCTTGTATGGCCTCATTGTCGAGGAATCGTCGACCAAGAAAAGGTGCTCGCGGTCAGAAAGATTCCCTCGGAGATATGCCACCATTCTATCTGTCAGAAACTCGGGTCGCTCGCTGCTCTTGGAGCTCCTTCGCCATTCGCGTGCTTCGTCCATGGTCAAATTCAGCTCTGCACTGTTCGACGCAAGACTAGCATTCGAGGTGGAACGTTTACGAGAGGGAATTGACAGTCTATCTGGGCGTTCGACTCTAAGAGAAACAGGTGGTTCTTCGTTGTCATCCGGAATGGGATTGACACCGAGGTCCGACATCGATTTTGCCATCTCCGTGCTCACACTTCGACTGGGTTGTCGTCGATTGATTATGGGGGAGGATGTACTCGAAGGCTCCGCATCTGGTGACACAGGGGGTGTAAGAGTCTCACCGGAAAGTCTTCGAGACGATGCTTCTGAATCGGTTTGTAAGGTCGCCCGTGAGATCCGGCTTTGAACTATACCCTTTGCGGTGACCACACTTTTCCGGACCTTCTGAGCTTTATCAGAAGCAGCCAGATCTTTGAAGACCTTGATGGTGTTCTTCTTGAGCTCAGTCGCCGAGCTAGCTCGAGAGTGGAGTGAGGAGGTTCGCTCCGGCCCTGTAGTAGCCTGCGGCTCGTCGGACTCGACAATGATTGGAGGACCCATCTCCTGTACAAATGTATCGTAGATTGCTGACGCACTGTATCGATCGTTTGCAAGATCCCTCAGCATAAAGTCGTCCACTAGCTTTAGAACCTTTGGCGTGAAGATGTCTCCCACTTGCTCTGCGGCTTCTCGAACGCGACGGTGAAATTCTTCCACTGTTTTGAGGCGCTTGACGGTGTCGTGGAAACAATTTTGTGGGCCACAGTCTCGGATCCCAGAAAGAAGCGCCATTTCTTGCTGACGAGCAACATCATACTCGACATAGCCCTCATGCCCGAGGGTTAGCCATACAGCAGCTTCACTGATGACACAACCGAGTGACCATATGTCCGCCAATGAGGTGATGTTGTTAGGAAGTCCTTTTCGCCATAGAGAAATCTTATTGCCCTCGGGAGATACTATTCACCAGTCAGGATGATGTAATACTGCCAAGAGGGTTAGAAGAGAGCCCACCATAAGTCGGATTGCCTCCATGATCAATCCCGTGTCTGCTTGGGTCTTCAGCACTTGTTGATACGAAATCACTTCGGTCAAAATCCGCAACCATCGGGATGAAGTCATATGGAGAACCGGTGTCCCCTTGACTCAAAAGAATGTTGTCTGGTTTGACATCTTCATGAATACTATAGTGTTGATCAGTTGGCCGTCTCGGGAAATGGACCAGCCGGACAACTTACCCACGGAAGACAAGACTATGATCTCTGTTCAACATGAGATGATGTAGCACAGTAAACCCCTTGAATATTTGGAACAAGCTTCTCCAAAATTGCTCTTTGCCATCGAGACCATCTGGAGGAGGGCCCTTCAGCACCTCTGTCAGAGTTCCTTTGTCGGCAAATTGTAGGATTAGATGCCGGCGGTCGTTCTGTTGGAATGAACCATAGTAACCTATAACATTCTTGCTTTTTGCTTGTTGGAGTGTCCTCAGTGCAAGGGCCTCGTCACGGGATGTTGTGAGAGTTGTGTCGTAAGTCTTGATCACATAAATCTGATTCTCATCTTTGCTCTGCATCGATGAAGAAGGCTGGGGTTAGCCAGGTTCTGTATCTGTCACATGAATCTAGTTTCTGAAAGATGTACCTCGGTCATCTTATCGCACGACCTGAGCACCGTAACCTTGTACACCTCGGATGAGAGGTGATTACTCAGCTGTTCCACATGCTGGAAAGGTAGGATATGATCTTCCTGGAGACATAGATCGTTGAGCCTCGTTCGATCTAGGACAAGCGGGAAGAACATCCATTGATACTGGAGCAAGTCCTTGACCAAGTCTCGACACCGCGGTGGCGACAGAAAGCTTGGCGCCGTCGAGTATGGTAGGTGATCATCGGTTACATCGTTCTGGCTGAATAGGTCTAAGAACTGAGCCTTGTCAACGTAGACAAGCAGGGAGAAGAGACGTATGGAGTGTGACTTGATGGTATCTATCCCGGTGTGTAGCGCTGGGCGATATGAATGGCAAACCTCTCGGATCCGGCCATTGTTCCAGTATCCCTTCAGCTCATGAAGAGGCAGAAAGTGAGCAGTCTCCCGACGATCCAGAGACCCGAACTTGTCTTGGTCGGGGAGCGACACCTCTTCCTCACCTGATTGCCTGAGCCTGCCCGTAATCCCCGTGTAGTGTTGGAGTTTAGAGGAGACAAACTTCGTAAATTCTTCACCGACCCTCGCGTCCCTATTGGCAGCAATCTTATCAGCAAAGAAGTCCACGACTTTTGCCATACTGGGGACTAGGGAGATAGGGCGGAGTGGCTCATAGGGACAGACACGCCGCTGTGGTGCCAGACGAACAACTCTAGAGAAGCATTATGTTTGTTATCAGAGAATGGGTTTGAAATATACTGTTGAAGCAGAAGCCGCGAAGTTAGAAAAATTGGAAGAAGGAAGAGGGCGAGCCTCAGTGCTGGCTTGGGATGTGAAGGGACAAGGGTGACTGCTGGAATGCCTGATGATGACAAGGCTGCAAGCCTGGGCACATCCGTTTATTAGACGAACCCTCCATTCCCCTTGAACGAGAAGGGGAGGGACACACCAAGGCAGACTCACTATGTGTGATGATCCTGGTTGCTGGCGCATTGAGCTACCCTATGAAAATGCCGTGTCAGGCTGAAATATGCTGCTGTTCGGGCTGCTAGGCATAACCGGCTTGCATAATGGAGGGTGGGTGTTACCACACCTCTACAAAAGCTGAAAATTACTGCAGTCAGCCTAAGTAGCAGGGCGCATCACAATCCTGGTGCCTCTATTGGTGTAAATCAGATAGCGCAGTTGGCGTGCTGACTCTGCATTTAATTGGTCATAGGACTTCATGAAACCAATGATCTCTGGCATTATGGCTTCGGGGAAAACAGGAATATCACAAGTATTCTACATGTACAAGGGTGATGTTACGAGCTGTACTGTAATACTCATTTGTATCGTACAATTTCATTGCAGTGAGATGCACTCAATAGTTTGTATTTTAAAATGTAATATTCTCCCTTTCGAAATCGTAATCTGCCCTAGGTCTTTCACGTTATATCTATTGTACGCATTCTACTTTGAGCCAACTGGTCCTTTCTTCTTCTTGCTTCTGGTGTAGAAGAACCACCAGCATAAGCTGGTAAGAAGCATGACAGGAAAGCAAAGTAGTAAAAAGAGCTTCAGAGCAGGCCAGTTCACTGTCCAATCACCCAGGTTTCCAGAGCGTGGATGGGGATCAAAGATGATCACCTGGCTACTGAAAAGTGTCTGGAAGAGGCCCAGATTAGCTAAAGCGAGACTATGCAAGGAGGAGTCGAGAGCTCACAGAGATGAAAGTCCCAGGGAGAAAGATCATGGTGAGGAACGTGATGATATGCATGCTGGTTGTTTCCTCCTTTGTCTTCTGGGCCACACTCTGTGCCGACCGGGCAAAGAACTCGCCCAGTTTCATGTTCTGGTATTCGATAGAGGTTTTGATCTGTAAATTACATCATAAGGAGAATGTTCGTAACCAATATGTATTCCTGACTATGGTACGTACCAGCTCCTCTCTCCTCTCAACTTTATGCGAGAGGTCCTTCACACGGGACAGGTTGCTTTTCAAATCATTTGAAATGATTTCTAGTTGCTGTATAAATTGCGTGATGTGGATCTGCACTGAATCGAAATGTGGAGTCTCTGACAGTCTCACATATCTCTTGCTCAACTCTGTGATAATTGCGGCATTTTGTTCAATCACGAGTATCAGGTTTTGTAGAGCCTCTGTCAGCTCGTGTGTACGCTGAAGACTGACAAACTTGAACGGATCCTCGAGCTCTGTGTCATCGTCTCCCGGGAAAGTGTTGGGTGTCGCCACCACCTCAGTCAGCTCTGCTGGCTCTGCATTCGGCCGGGACTGTGTGGCTCGACGAAACAGCCGGCCGGAGAGACTGCTCATGCCACGCTGTATGGGCTTGATGATCGACATGGTGCTTTCTCTGCGGAGTGGCTTGGGCATGTACCGCAAGGGGCGGGGAACGACGGGTTCTTTGTGTTCCATGCGCCTTGCAGACTCTTCTGCGATTTCGTCGACTGGAAAATAGATGAGATCAACATTTTCGGCTTCCTTTGATAGATAGTCGTAGTGTTCTTCCCATGACTCTGTACAAGATTCGATTATCTGGAGATGGGTCATGAGAGTGGACAGAAACACATCTTCCTGTTTGGTTTTAGTACGGTTGCCGTTGATGGCATTGTGTGGCTCAGATTTCCCAGCGACGCGTTTTCGAATCGAGCCATTCCCTTTGATGATTATCCACACAGCGTTCTGTTGATGCACATCGTATGAATGGTAAACAGTCGTGCGTCTTAGAGACCATGTTATGGCTTGCTCCTCCGAGTCCTGTGCATCACTGCTGCGTCCCAGCAAACTGCGTTCAACCTTCTTCTCAAAGGCAAGAAAATCAAATGAATGTTGTACCCGAGTGCCGCGGCTGGAGACATGACTTGGCAGGAACAGGTCGTCCAACCGGAAGTGATTTGCAATAGATGGCTTGCGCATCCCGCCGAGTTTGAAGCAGAGATCCAGGAACCCGGGCATCACTTCAAAACACGACAGTACCGAGAGGAACTGCTCACGAGTACAACACAGAGCACCGCGCGAAGAGGCAGTTTGGAGGAAGCTGGTAACCAATGAGTGAATGGCAAGGTAGTAGCTTGGGGGCCAGGAGATTGTCGTACATAAACTTGCTTTCTTTGCTACCCATGGGAGAGCTCAATGCGTCTTTCAGCTCTATTAAGTCTGGCAATCTGCGAGCTGATGATAAGACAGTGAGTGAAGGTGTTTGGTTGTAGAGTGACATGATAGGTACGGGCATGTGTTCTTCGCGATATGCTCACCTTCTTGGTCCTGGGACATGTTCCATAGCCACACCATCTGATGCTCCCGGTTCTTCCCAAAAAGGTAGTCCTTATCTGTCGATAACCGATTCGAGTATGCGTGGAGGGCATGATCGGACTTGAGGGTGGCCTTGGTATTCGTGGGATAGGTATCTGCATATTTTGTCCACTGCTCTAACGAGTAATCCTGGATGTTATGTGATGCCATTGCGATTGATATTGACTGAGGGCACGAAGAGTTCGAGTCACTAGGTCACGCAGGAAGATAGATGTAAGATGCAGCGGTATCAAAGGCTCTCCGGCACCTTTAAGTCACCGGTAATCAGGATCAGATCTCGAGAGTTGCTGGATTGGGCATTCACTCGACAAATGTGCAATGCCGTGCCGAGGATCAATTGGGTCCAGGATCTATCGACGTGTCTGCGTACTGTGGGCGATAGATAGCATGGACATGCCAGGAGGCTGAGGCTCTCTCCACCGATAGCCTGGCATAAGCTCTGCCGTCGGCTAGAAGTGCCGGTTGTTGGGCTTTTGGAGGAGAAGAGAAAATGCCTCGCGCCTCGCCGGCACCTCGGAGAAGCGGTGAGACCATGGCTGTCCGCAGCAGGCCCGTCAAAAGTGTGCAATTGGGTGGCAACAGCCCAGTTTGAAATGAGTGGAGGCGCAGCCCCCAGACCACCACCATGTAATAAATGTTCGACCTACATTTCATGGCACGCAGGGTCTAGGTCTGTAGGAAACCAACCAGTAATTTGCAAAAGCAAGCAGTACTTAATGAGCTTCGTTAATCCATTCTTTGAGAAAAAGCGACAATCTGTCCATGCTTTGGTATTGTTGCAAAATTGAAAAGCGCCTACGAAAATGCCAGCATCGAAACCCAGCCTGAGACGCTTCGAAAATGCATATCTCCTGACATGTGGCACGTACATAACACGACCGCGTGTGCATCTCACACATCAATCGCGAAGATGCAAATATTCGGTGGATATCAAAAAGCGCCCCCCGACGCCCAGGCCATACAAGGAACCCACGCTGAGCTGCTCTGCCAACGCCTGATTGCATAGTATCCCTCTTGAAATCTTGCCCTCTCTTGGGGTCGACATGCAGTTACCGAAACCCGGAGGTCAAAAGTTATCATCATACGTCTCATATCTGAAATGCAGATCGATGTGCCTTTTCTCAGCCTATAGCGGCACGCCGATGTGCGGGGTTAGTAGTCAGGTGCAAAGACGTGGGAGGGATGCGAGACGAGAGGATAGGAGAGGAGACGGGAACGAGCAACTGACGGTGAGGCAAACAGGAAGCCCCAGGCCGGCATCAACAAGATTAATCTCGAAGCACATGAGAATGGAGGCTCAGTAGGACCGTAGAGAACCGCAATGGCTCACCTCTCGCAATCTCCGGGGCACTTTGATCCAATAGTTGCTCGAGCGCTTCTGGTCGGCTCGGTAAACCAGAGTCAGTCGGCCAGGTCATTGACTGATGAGCAACCCCAAGGGTCTCTTCAAAATCAGGGATCTTGGGCAGGTAATGGACGGACCTCGATCTCAATCTTGTGTTTCGGAAATAGCGATCGAATGTACTTGGCAAACTCGCTGTAAATGATGTTGTAGTCCTCGACATGATCATATGTCATGGGCATTTTGGAGGAAAAGAGAACGCCTGGCCCGCCAGACTGGGAAAAAGGCCCACCTGGCCAGGCACGCGCCGCTGTCGATTTACCAAGACGTTTGAGGAGGTAGGTGTCCAGGCCGACTGTACGACTGCCGATCGATCCCCTCTGATCTCGACCTTGAACGTCGAACTCGAGGGACACGTTCGCCGCTCACACTAACATTTCACAAGTGGCGAAGTTGAATCAGAGCGAAAGGGATTGCTTGAGTGTAGTGGCACACAGTCTGGCTAGTTTCTAGGTTCATGGGTTTGCGAGATGGTGTGCCCTTCTCGACCCGGCGACATCCCATCGGTGGAAGATCAGCGACGGCCTCATGAGGGGTGGGGGGGGATCCCAGAGTCCGGAATCAGAAATGGAACTCCTTCAAGAGCCGCATTCGAAGATCCCTTCTCCAAACCAGAGCTCGGGGTGGAAGTCTTTGGCCAGTGTGTCATTAATCTATCATCGACTCGGCAGCTCCCTCCCGTTGGCTTTTCAATCAATCACAAGGGGGATGGAGCAGAGGGTGGGGTGGTGCTGACTGCAGCAAGTGTTGATGCACGACAATGAAAGGTTAGCGAATCAGCAGACCCCAGTCGCCAGACATCCCGCTATCCTTTATTGCCATGACCACTCTGCGAGAGAAAGTGGCTGAAGCCAAGTGCACATTCGATTGGTCAAGGAGATGAGCATCGAACAGGTTGCAACCACTACGCCAGGCTCAACCACGAGGTTGCATGATCAATACCGGAACCGAGGAAAGCGCAGCTAAACGATGCTACGTGTTGGATAACTTTGGGAAAGCTTAGCCACCCATCGTTCTTGTATCGAGGTTCACGACCGCAATTGCAGGCTCGCCATTTCCAGAGGCCACATCATCTGGCCTCGCCACTGGTCAGGGATGATGGAGTTAATGGCACCGATCTCTCTCTGTGGTATGGTATGGCTGCCCCTACTGTCATTTTCCAGCCACCAGACTCCCTTGACCTGGGCCGCCATGGCAAAGTAGTGCGCCAGGATGACCAGGGCCCGCGGCCGCTTTTCTGCGACAAAGTCGATAAACTTGGGCGGCATCACCATAGGAAACCCGTGAAGCCGGCGACAGATAACATAGGTGGGTTCTCCGTGGTCGATGGCGCTCTGGATGGAGCCAACATAGCTGAGCGTCCGTTCATATGCGTCGCGGGTCTCATCGTCCCAATGATCTCCTGACGGCAGCTGCTGGGTCAGGATGCCGACAAAGTTGGCGCGGAAGCTCGCGTCAAAGTAGGATTCATCTGTACCGAGTTTTGGAAAAGACATTGATATGGTTATGAGGTCTGACTTTTCCGGATTGCCAGACTTCATGATCTTCTGGACGCTCATCCAGATGACTGTGGCAGCTCCTCTGCCCATTTGCAGCCAGGCCACAGGCGGTGCATACGGCTCTAGCTCGCGCTCCTGCAGCATTGCAAACGCGGTTACGAGAACAATCACGGCTGCGTAGCATACAGCATCGGCGGACTGCGGCGTCATTGTCTCGACCATCTTCCTCTGATCCCGGAACGAGGCTACCATGTACCGCTGACGCGCGGCAAAGAGGTGAGAATTGTCCGGCTCGCTGCGGAGAAGGTGTGTTGCCGAGCTGGCCATGACCGCGTTGAGCAGATTATCGTACTCGAGAGCCAATTGAGGGATGCGCCTGGTCCACAGATCTTTCCACTCCGGCCCCGGCGGGACTGGAAAAGGCTGAGAAAGATTGAATAGGTAATTCTGCATGAGCCTATGCTCTAGGAGACGCCTTTCCTTGGACTCTGGGATGTCCTCATCTTTGTCCATAGTAGTATCAGATTGAGGATACCATCGGCTAAGGGACTCGGGGGTTCCAGGAGGGCGCAGCCTGAACCATCCGAAGTCATGGTGGGAAACATCTGCTTGAGGTTGGTCAATCGAGACCGTAGGAGACGCATGCGAGGATTGCGTGCGAGGGGACTTGTCAACAGAGGTGGACGAGGTCGGCCCCCGGGAGGCCATGTCGGCCCAGATGCACTCCAGCCCTAGCCGTTGGCAGTTTGCACAGAGAGGACGCGTCTCATCACACTTATCCAGGACCACCGGGTCAGTCCCACCACCAATTCGAATACAATACGGGACACATGTGGAAGGGCAGACATGCACGTACCTTGACACGGCGGCTCTTACACTTTTGACAGCCATTACGGGACTTTTTGTGGCCCAGCTTGGCGGCTTTGTGGGCAGGTAATCTGCCAGCCATGGTCGCGCTGGTTGGTTCGAGACGGGTTGAGTAGTTATGTCACCCTGCACCTCTGCGCTGAGCCGGGCAGTCAGCAGTCGCTGTATGTAGATATGGAGTACTGAAGGGTCGTTTGAGCGGTAAGCTGCAATATACTGGGATCAGGGACTTCACGGTTGTGGAAAGACTCCTAGGCCAGCCGCTGTCAGAGAATGCTCGTCGCGACATTTTGGATGCGACGTAGTCTACCGAAATAAGAGTTAGGTGACATAGAGAGGTCACAGCTCGGGACGAAGGGACTTGGTAAGTACAACGCTAACACGTTCACCTCTCGCTACCGGCCACAGATGCTAGTTGAGTACGTTGGCCGATCTTGGATGGGTGGGGCTGCCTCCGCACCGATATATCCGGAGCGCCCGGCACTGACTGTGACCTCGACTGTGACAGCCACGGGTCATCTGAAACCTCAGCCAGCCACGTCTCGATCCCGTGTCCGGCTTGTGGCGGAGGCTTGCTGTGTCGGAAGGCAGCAGGACTAGACCGTGCTGTCTACTAAGGAGTCACGTTTGACGACCATCATGGCATTATCAACTGTTGCCATGTTGGGAGCTCTTGGCAGCTTTGTCAGCCATCTCACAGAATCCCCTCTCCGCGCAGGAGTCTCCCTCGTCTTGTTGTGCCTGTCCGTATATCTCTTTCATGTCAACCGCTTGTTGAGCGGGACCCCCGAAGAGGTACGGAGGTTGTCCCCACACCGATGGACACGGAATCAGATCCGAGCTGCGTACAGGACGCTGGAGCAGCGCCCTATCACAACGGAGTCTTTTGTAGGACAGGTGCCTCCAAAATTGGAACGGCGTTACATCGTCACAGGAGGCTCTGGTAGGTCTATCGCATGCCATGAAACTCTATGGGGATCCAATCCAACTTAAGTAACCTCCACCAGGTCTGGTCGGTGGCTATATCGTGCTGCAGCTCCTTGCTCGTGGCCAAGATCCCTCGGCGATTCGCATTGTCGACTTCCAAGCACCACATAGGCGTGACATGCTCTCTGGGCCTGCGTCTAGAGTCGGCTTTGTCAAAGCAGATATTACTTCAGAAGAAGCCGTGGAAAGTGCCTTCTCCAAGACTTGGCCAACGGGGATCAAGCAGCTGCCCGTCACCGTGTTTCACACCGCCGCTGTGATTGTACCATCTGATCGCTCACGGCTTGTCTACGGATTCTGCGAAGCAGTCAACGTGGGCGGGACCATCAATGTATTGGAGGCAGCGAAGAGAGTCGGGGCAGACGTCCTGATAATGACCTCCTCAGCCTCCATTTCCATCCGACCGGTCGAACCATGGGTGCGGCCGTGGCAGTGGAAGGAGTGGCCAAAGCACTACTGGCAGCTGCTGGACGAGGCAGACTTCTTCGAGCTACCAAGAGAGCACGAGGGCTACTTCGCTAATTATCCAGCCTCCAAAGCCCGGGCTGAGAGGATAGTCTGTGCGGCGAACGGAAGAGCCATGCGAACTGGCTGCATTCGCCCAGCAAACGGTGTCTATGGACACCCGACCGATAACACTGTTGGCGGCCCGCTTAACATGCAAACTTACCCAGCGTTAGCAGCCTCCCCTTCCCCGTGCATCCGAGGTTGCCTACTTTGAAACGCTGACACTATACCAGGTGGAGTGGCCACATCGTACAGTCTTTTGTGCATGGTGCAAACTGTGCCATTGCTCATCTTCAGATGGAAGCTGTCCTGGCCAAACCGGATTCAGCGTCTGCTCCCCAGGCGGGCCGGCCTTTCACAATCACGGATCCCAATCCGCCCATCGCATACGCGGATCTTTGGTTGCTTGTCGAAACTCTCAGTGTCACTCCTTTCCGGACAATACCACTCCTGCCAGTTCCCATGCTCCTCCTCTCGCACGTCATTGAGGTTTATTCTCTCCTTCCGATTCGATTTCCATGTCTGAGATGGTTCATGCCTCCGATACCGGGCAATGCAAAACACCTCAAGCCGGCCCTTTTCTCAATCACTACCCACCTCTTTGCAAACAACCAGGCTGCAAGGAAGCCAGTCCAAGAAGGTGGCTTGGGCTACACAGGAGTGCTTGGAACCTTGGATGGAATGAGTCAAGAGCTGCTCGAATGGAACCACGAGCATCTAGAAACTTCCCCATTGACCAAGACAAAGTACACGAGTAGCGTTTCTCTCGCAGAGGAGATTGAGAGAATTCGCTCGGCCGCGGCCAAGATTCGCCTTCCAAGCTCGAGTGGCTGATGAGTGTGTCATGTCTTTGGAGCCCTGCTGTTGTCCATTAGGTTAAGTTGTGAATATAGGGATTGGCTACAGCCGATTCTGCCTGATGTCCGGAATTATAAGTTCTGTTAGCCTGTGCTGCCACAATGAAAAGGCAGGCTCTTCATGCTCAGATTGAGTAGGAAAGGGTCAGGGTGATGCTGCTGGGTCACTACTCTCCTACTGTGATTGATTCATATTCACGAACATTGATCTCATTCACACGTACTATCCTGAGCCAAATTGAGCCACGTAAAGTCACAGCTATACAAATGTTCCATCTAATTTCAGATCCGCGTCATTCATGCTGCGGCACACATTGCCACCTCGTAACTTTTGCATCTGCCCGTATGTTGCTACGATGAGATGATGTAGTCAAACTCCTTTGGGGCTACACTAAACGCGCGCACATTCGCTCATGGGCCTTTCATGCTCTGACGATAGCGCTGATCTTCTCGGCAGCTCTGTCAAGACACTTCTGAAACTGGTCCATTTTCCCAGATGAGCCTACAACTGAGAAGGAGAGCCTAGAAAGAAATTAGCATCGTTCTTCAGTGGCTGAATACCAGGGTGTCTCACTCCTCATCTTTGATGCAGTAGCTGATCCAGAGCGAGTCTGCTGGCATCAGAGCGATAGCGGAGTCTGCAACCTCATCACCATTGATGGTCTGCAGAATGAGACCTGGGAAAGCTTTGAAGACAGTTTCGTTGGCGAACAATGATGGCCTCTCCTGGTTGGCTAGCACCATACCGTTCAGGACATCAAAGAATCGCAGATATCCTTTGCCCTCGCTTGCGTGCTGTACATTCTGTTCCCACTCCTTAGCGGCTCGCATCAACATGCTCATCTTGTCAGGCATGAGAATATTGTCATCGCAAGCCGCTTCGCAGAATCGCAGAACATTCTCGGTGACGACCTGAATTAGGTCCGGTCGGCCGCGATGGAAGCGTGCCGTAGACACAGGCTCCCAGCTACCCGGGTTGTATCCAAAATACAGGCGACTTGCAAGCTGAATGGTCAGATCGGCAGCAGCCTTAGCTGGCACCCTAGATCCTTGTAGAAGTTTTGTCCCAAGGCCCCGGGTCGTGTGATAGAGGTAGCTCTTGGCTGAGGTTGCGGAGGAGTATCGTGACCTGAGCTTCAGGATGTGGGCCTCAATCTCCTCATCCGTTTCCAGGGAGTACTCCTCGAGAGGGATTCCGGCTCGAGCATGGCCGTTGGGGCCATCGATCTGCTTCTCAGCCTCACTGTCCTCTGGTACATGAGAATATATGGCTTGGTGGATTCTATCATTCAACCGCTTGATCGTCACGCCGTCCAGCGCCGTATGTTCAAAGATTTGAGCCGAGCGACCATTGCCCGAAATGACAAATTGGGTGCTTTTGTCGTGCCAACGATTGAATCCATCCCCTATGTAGCCTTGCCTTACGCGCTCTTCACGGGTTTCTGGACTTCCATCGTCGAGGCAAACAACAAAGGCGGCCTCTTCTATGGCTTGGAAGTAGTCTGCGTTTCCGGGACGAAGAGATATCAGTCTTTCACGGATCTATGCCTTGTCAGTCTCCTATCCAAGTCCAGAAGATGTTTTAATGACAGGCCGACTTACAAATCCCCAGGAATCCCGATCGTCGGTGGTTAGTATGCCTGTCCAGCAAGCATCATCCTGAACTTCGGCTAGGATCCATTCAAAAGTGGCCTTGAGTGTACGATAAGAGACGTCATTGTCACGGCCGCGGAGGTCGACCTTGAACAAGTGCCCTCTCCTTAGCACAGCGCAGTAATAGCTAGTTGCATAACGTTGCAACTCATCGCAGCCCACACGAGGCTCACGGACTGTGTTGAACAGCCACTTCCATGAGTAGGTACAGAGTGGCCGCAAACCCAGCCACTCGGGCTCGAGTGTGCCCGCCTCCAAGTCATGCATGTACTGCAATGCGGTTAAAGAGACTATGGCAGCCCTCTCCGATTGGCTATGCGGGATCTCACTGTCGTGATGGGTGTTGAGGAAATTGCCCCATGGCGCAATGGGATGACGGCGCGAAAGGTACAAACCTCGAAGATGCAAGTCGGCAATCCAGCTGTCGACTGTAGGATCCTGGGTCAGTGTTACAAGTTTGTCGTAGAGTTGACGCCCTGAGCTGTCTTTATCACCAAACTCCACGACCGCCGCTTGCAGGCGTGACAGCTCTTCACGTGTGCTGGCGAAGAGGGAGAAGTTCTTGAGAAGCTCCTGAAGCACATCGTTAAGATCAGGTAGAGGGTACTTGGGGAGCTCTAGAGAAGCCTTGCAGCATTCAAAGCCATGAGATGGGACTTCAATGCCCGGTATCGGCGGCAGGTTCTGCTCATCGCGGCCCGTTTCTCCCCTGCAGTTCCGCGCCTCGTCGCTGACCAATTTCGACCTGGAGCCTACACTGGCAGCCAAGGCAAAGATGCTGGCGGACTGAGCAATTTCAGACGTTTGAAGAGTTATTTGGAAGGTGCGAACCATCCAGTTCTTGAGCTCGATGGACACAAGAGAGTCCAACCCAATGTTTGCGAGCGACTGCGTGGCTGGGACCTCATCAATTGGCCGATCAAGGAACACGGCGCATTTGGCCTTGATAGCTTCGGCAATGACATCCTCGGCCTCCTTTAGAGTCTTTGCATCCCGTATTGCTTGCTCTACATCAAATTTGTCGGTGGAGTTGCTGACACCTCCCGATTGCTTGGGATATGGAAGCAGGCTGAACAAGGGATTCGTCAGAAGAACAACATCATCGGCATTGACAATAGACTGTCTGGTGAAACCGAGAATCGACTGTTCGCAACCATCATCACGCGCCTGCTGGCTCATGGCGTACTCAATGCTGGTGAAGAACTCGTCGAAAGACATCAGGGCGACACTGTTGCGCATTAGCCAGGCCTTGTTGTTCTGCATAGTATTGACAACCGAGTCGGACCCTTCGATGCCGCTGACATTAATTGAGATGTACTTCGTGTGCGGGTGATCAGCCTGGACGTGTGCGTATGTGTCTTGGAATGCGTTGCCTGTGGCGTAGTTGGCTTGACTCCCATTGCCGATGACGGTGGTCACTGATGAGAGCATGACGAAGAAGCTGAGATCTGGAGAAGAGAATGCCCGGTCAAGGTTGATTGTGCCGTAGACCTTAGGCCCAAGCGGCGTGGTGAAGTCTTCGTATGTCATATGGGTGAAGGGGCGATCCTATGAAACTTGTGTTAGACATACTAATGGATCTCACCTCACGTACAATGCGGTTTCCCTCACCTTGAGTACCATGCCGCCGTGGATAATGCCTCTGACTGGAGGCAGACTCTTGCAATAGTCCGCAGCGTGGGCGATATCCTCTTCTTTCGTGATGTCGCACTTGACAACATGGAGCATGCCACCGCCCTGGTGAACCGCTTCCTCGAGTTTCTGTCGCGCTTCATGATCAAGGGTACGGCGCGACAGCAAGACGACATGACCAGCTCCCTTCGCACTCAGGAAGACACCCAACCGTCTACCCAAGTCACCCAAGCCCCCCGCAACGATGTATGTGCCGCCTTTGAACAGTCGGAGAGCTGGAGCCTTGGGAGTTGTGGCTTTGACTAGACCGTTGTCATCTGCCTCAAGAACAACCTTCCCAAGATGTTTTCTGGTCGCAATCATTCGGAAGCCTTCCTCAATATTTCCGATAGGCAGAACGTTGATTGGAGTGAGGGCGTACAAAGCTCCCTGTTCGAAGAGGTCGATAACAGCGCCCAGGATTCCATGCAACTTTTCAGGGCATTCTTCTCCAAGCAAGACGAGATCGACGGCGACAAATGAGATGCTTCGGTCAAAGGCACTCATATTCAGGTGGTTGCTCTTGTATATGTCGGTCTTACCGATCTCAATGAATGTGCCGAGTTTGGCGATACACTGAACTCCCTCAGCGAGCATGTCTCCTGAGAGTGAGTTCAACACCACATCGACTCCACGACCACGGGTGAGACGCAGCACCCCGGATTTGAAAGACACTCCTCGGGTCGAAAAGATGTGAGTCTCAGGGATGCCGTATCTCTCCATAACGAGCTTCCGCTTGGTGGCACTTCCTACGGTCGCGAATATCTGTGCACCAATATGCTGACAGAGCTGTATCGCGGCCTGACCCACACCGCCTGATGCGGCATGAATGAGGATAGACTGTCCCTTTTGCAAGTGAGCAACTTCAAAGATGCAGTAGTATGCAGTGGCGTAAATGGCAGGGATTGTTGCGCCGACAACGAACGGCATCCAGTTGGGAAGCCGGCGCGCGTGATTGCCATTGATGCGTGGGGAGCTTGCAAAGGGGTTGGAGCCAAAGCCAGCAACACTGTCACCAATCTGGTACTGAGACTTCATCTCCTCGCCAACTTCAGTAACAATCCCGGCGACCTCACCCACCATGTCGACACCAGTGCGCATCTGGCCCAGCGCAACAAACACATCCTTGAAGTTCACGCCGTGGGCGCGAGAGGTGATTTGGATCTCTCGTGGCTGTATGGGACTTGCAAGGCTATGGTCATCGACAAAGCGCAGACTACTAAGCAAGCCCGGTGTTTCTACCTCGAGCTTCAGTGGCCGTGACTCGTTATGATATGATACCTCCTCCAAGCTGGTAGCACTTCCGGCAACGCGGTCAACCCAGTTCAGGAATTTGATATCCGTCTCGACGCGAGGGATGAGGACTTGACCTTGACTGTACGTGTACTCATTCTCGCAGGACTCATCTGATCCAGATTCCATCGCGAATGACGTGTTTGCGATTTGGACGACATGACGCACGAGGTCCGGGATGATGCCTGGAGTTGTCACCACGTCTGCGACACTTAGGGTGACAAATCTGCACGTCCCGGAATTCTCACGACGCAGGACTCTGGCAGTTCCTTGAATCATGGCTTTGAAAGATGCCGCTGTCTTACTGTCAGACTCCTGGATGGAGATCCAGAGAATGTGCACACCAGCAGTGAAGAGGGCCTTCAGGTCATGGAACACGTCGGTACTCTTGGTCAGCAACAATGAATGTTCTGCTGTATCGAGGACAATATGTATGGTGTTCTCGTCGATAATTGAGCCACCGAGGTTGTTAATCAGGCACGAATGGCCGCTCGTGGTCAACGCTGTGGACAGATCTGCCACAAGCTCTTCAGTGACTGACGATCTCCAAGCATTAATCAGGCGGAAGCTGAGGGGGGGCCTCATCGTATCTTTGTGCTCAGGTGCAATCGCGTGGGAGACCATCATAGATGATCGAGCGCTGGCGGTTCGTGTGTCCTGGGAGATGATATCGAGACCACTAAAGGATGTGCGGCGGAGCAGATCATCCCACTGACCAGGCGACAGAAGAGGACAGTCGGAACGTCCATCCTCAAAGGACCACCATCCGGGGAGGGTCCCAAAGATGAGGTTTGAAGTAGCCATCAGTCGAGTCAACTCGATCAGTAGTAATTTACCGCCGGGCTTAAGAAGCTTTCTTGTATTCTTCATGGTCAAGTTCATGTTCTTAGTGGCATGGAGGACATTGACAGCCACAATAATATCGTAGCTGGCCTCTTCGAAGCCCTGCTCGACCGGATCGCGCTCGACATCGAGCACCCGAAAGTTGATGTAGTCAAGCCACTGCTTGAATGTGTCCTTTGCCTGCTCGAAGAAACCGGCAGAGATATCTGTGTAGTCATATCGATCGAGTCTGACACCATCGCAATGCGTTAGAGACCGGAGCAGAGGCAAGGTCGCGCCTCCAGTGCCGGCCCCAATTTCCAAGAATCTCATGTGCGGGTGTTTGAAAGCGAGCATGCTGAGGTACGCGACCATCTGCGCGTAGTTTGCGTGCACCAAACCGTTCGCGTATAGCTTGTAGAGCAAGTTCTCCTCGAGCATGAGCGAGAGAGCGTCGGTCTTTCCTGTGAGAATATCCGGCATGTTCAGGCCAATCCGCGAAAGCATCTGTCCCTCATACCCAGAGTCCTCAGCTGCATTAATGCTTTGGTCTTCTTCTTCTGCCGTCAGATTGCTCGTGTATCTCTGTGATTCGTTCGAGATGCAGTACTTCTCCATCCAAGCAAAGAGCTTTGTGAGATGCGGCAATGCAAGCTTTGATGCGTCGACTCGGCGGCACGCTCGGTTGAGCAAGATTGACGATGCTTTCTCGATGCAGTGTACGAAGACATCTGTTTCCTCATCATTCTTCCCGGCAGTGACAATTCCATTCCTCTCAAGCTCTGAGGGGTCTATGCCAGCTAGGATTTCCTGGAATCTCGGGTTTGTGAGGTGATCAACATCGACGTCCCAAGTCAATTTGTATGCCATCTTGACACTGTACGGTTTTCTCGAGTCCTCCTGCCGTGCCTGGCCATATGCACGCAGAACGGACGTGGCGCTCAACACAGGCAGCAGTTTTCCATCTGAACCCTGCTGAAAGACGCAAACATCAGAGCTGGACGAGCGTACATCCTGTGCATCGATTGATGCCGCCACAAGCAGTTCGCTGCCTGGCGAAAGGCTGACACTAGCTGAGATGGATAGGTCTCCACTTTCACCGAGGACTACAGGAGCTGTAGAGCAGTGCCGCTTAAAAAGTGTCGGCCCTAGTTGGAGGACTGCATCAAGAGTCGTAGGATGTATGAGGTGTGGTTGCATGTGATGGCCTGGCATCTTCTCCGAATAGTCGGGAACCACAAGGTTTGTGACTGCTTTGTTCCCACCAATAGAGACAGAGTCCAGCAGCGCAAAGTTAGGGCCGTAGTGATTCCCGGTAGCTTCCAGATCTCGATAGAAGGCTTCCGAGTCAAGCTGCTCTGTCGCCTCCCTCTGAGTTTGACAGAGTCTCTCCAGCTTCTCGGATAAGGCAAACTCTTCCTCTCGTCCGCCCTCAACTTCATCATCCTTCGCGGCCTTCATATCAACGCCAATCTGGCCGGTGCAATTTTCATGCCATATGCCATCTTGGCCACAAGACAAGATACGAAAAGATTCCCACGCGTTGCCATCTAAGACTTGAGACGGAGTCATGACCAATTGAAGCTCAATAGACGAGTCTTCTTCGTCGAGAGCAAAGGAGATTGGCTTGGTAAATGCGACGCTTCTGAGTCTGAAGTCCTTGATGGTTCCAGGTGTGCTCCTCATCTGCACCAACTGTCTCATGGCTTCAATCACCATACAGATATAGCCAGTACCGGGGAATACGATACATCCATCAACCACATGATCTGTGATCCATGGCACGACATCGATGTTTAGCCAATGTCTCCAACGTGGCTCGTGAATGCTACTCAAGGGGTCGAAAAGCCCACACAGATCGTGGTACGGAAACTGTCGGAAGCGATGGGCTTTGCTCACACGAGATTCGTGCCAGAAACTCGACTCATCCCAAGGATATGGTTTCAGATCCGTGACCACCTTGGGCTCGTATGTAGGATCGCCCATCCGCACCACCTTGTCGAGGTCAATTGGATATCCACGCTCGGCTAGGCGGGCAAATAGCGATAGCGTTGTGATTGCTGCATTTGTTTTCCGAAGTAGAACGGACAGATAGGAATGTCTGAATCCCTTCCCGGCAATCTCTTGCGACAGGGTTTGCTTCACTGGACCAGCTAGTGCAGAATGCGGCCCAATTTCGACAAATGTGTATGCGGATTCGTTACCTCCGGAGCTTTTGGTCATATGCTCGCGCACCATATCGAGGCCTTTGGAGAACTGAACCTGGGAAATAAGATTCTGTGTCCAGTACTCCGGGCCAAATTTGTCAACCTTGCGCTGACCGGTGACTGTGGAGAAGAATTCCACCTCTTCGCCGCCTTCGAAAAAGTTGGGCTTAATGTTTGCTAGTGACTCCAGGTAGTGACCAGCAATCTTCTTCATATGATGTGAATGATAAGCCGTATCCACGATAAGCTTTCTGGCGAAGATGCCGTCCGCGTCTAGCTTGGACTTGAGCTCGTCAATCGCAGCTTCGTCGCCAGAAATGGTCGTGCTCTTGGGACTGTTGACGCAAGCGACGGTTACTAACCCTGATGTCATGTCTGTCATATACGATGACACCTCGACTTCGCCAAGGCCGACGGCGAGCATTGATCCAGAAGTGGCATTGCTCCTCTTGGCAAGGGCGGAACACGTGCCTCGTTTATATGCGCTGGGTATCGCGTCAATAACGGGAATGCGCGACGACAGGCTGTCAAGTGACAAACTCACATCGTCAAAGCAGCCTCATGGCTGAGCGCTCCGGCGGCATAGGCGGCTGCAATCTCTCCAGAGCTATGACCGATCACGGCCTTTGGTGCCACTCCAACGCTTCGGAGTAGATCCACGAGAGCAATCTGCAGAGCTGTAGTAGCCGGTTGAGCAATCTCAGCTGTTCCAAGCTTGGAAGAATCTTCGTCGTTGCATATCTCATCAATCAAGCTCCAGGGACAACCAAGTCCGACAAGCAGCCGATCGGACTTGAGCATAGAATGATGAAAGCATTCGGAATATTCCAGCAGCTCGTAACCCATGGAAGCCCACTGAGCACCTTGTCCCGTGAACACAAAACACAAGGGAGTCAAGGTAGCTGCTCTGACGGGCTTAGTATCCAGTTGCCTGAGCTTCTCCTCTAGGTCCTGCTCATCACAGGCAACAATAGCTTGTCTCCAGGGAAGAAGTGAGCGCCGACAGGCCAAGGTGTAAGAGAGATCCATGAGGTCCGATGCAGAAGATTGACGGGAAGAAGCCCTCTCTTGCAAATTCTTCGTCATTTCAACAAGCGAATGCTCTGAAGCCGCACTTAGCATGTAGAGATGCGGCCTGTGGTGATTTCCATTTACGCCGTTAGTATGGCTCATTGATCCGTCAGTCACCCCGTTGGGTGGTAGGCTCATGGCTTTGGCTTCAGCCTTTGCCGACATTACCGCAGTGCAAAGGTTGCCATGGCTAAGGTCGGTATCAGCGTGACGGCAAGGCTCACCGTTGCTCACCACACCATTCTGCTGTGCTCTAACAATAGCCGGAAAGGCTTCGAGGATAACCTGCGCAAAGGGCATTAGTAAAATAATCACTATGCTTCGCTAGAAGCAATAGCTCTTTTAAATATGATGCGGACCGCTATGGCGGATCCAATGAACCTTTAAGACCTACATGAACATTTGTTCCGCCATAGCCAAAGCTATTTACCGATACTCGTCGCGGTTTACCGTCCATGAAAAGAGGCGTCAGCTTCTGGGCGATCTAACCATGTGAGTTAGTCGCATATCTCAAAGGGATGTTGTCTGTGGATTACCTTGATATTTCGCTGCGCAAGCCGCAATGAGGGTTTGGGCTCTTCTAGGTCTAGATGGGGCGGAATACGTCCTCTCTTCAAGATCATGAGGGATTTGATAAGTCCTGCAATGCCACTTGAGGCTTCGAGATGACCGATATTGGCCTTGATAGACCCAATGAACAGATCCCGAGAGCGCTTCCCTGATTGACAGAATACTTCATCGATAGAGTTTACCTCTTCCTTGTCGCCTGATGATGGTCAGTGCTGTTACTGAATATGAGCTGAAGCGGAAAGAAAAGGAAATTGAAAAGCCGTCATACCGACTTGAGTTCCCTAGCATGCGTAGTTAGCAACTCGTCTCTAGCTATTTGGCGCGGTCTGAAGAGGCTTACCGTGCCATGGGCCTCAACATACTCCGTCTCGGCTGGGTCCAGTCCTGCAGCAGCGTAGACAGACTTCATGAGGCTGGCTTGCGATCTACCACTTGGGACAGAAATGCCTGCCGTTTTGCCATCTTGGTTGGCGCCGGAGTTGACGATGACACCGTGGATGGGATCATTGTCTGCAATAGCATGTTCAAGGGGCTTGAGAATAACTGTTGCGACCCCCTCTCCTCGTGCATAGCCACTGCCGCGCGAGTCGAACACGTAACAACGTCCATCAGGGTTAACCATACTTGTGCCGTGTATCAGTAAGTCCCACCTGGTACACTGCCTGCCGTCAAACTGAACGCGGGAACACTTACCCGACTGCACTCATGTTGATAGATTGGTCCGGGTGGAGGAGGAGCTGTGCACCACCCACGACAGCCATTGTCGATTCTCCAAGACGCAGACTCTGACAGGCTTGATGCAAAGCCACAAGACTGCCTGACTGTTACTTTGGGTTAGTAAGAGCATCTCTCCTCGCGATGATATATTGAACGTACGCAGCCGGTATCGAGCGTGAACGATACACCCTTGAGGTCAAAAGCATACGAGATTCGATTAGAAAGAATGGCGTCGCCCGTCCCGGTAAGATGCGATTTGCTCATCTGGGGAATGTCCTTGTAGCCCATGCGATCGTAGTCGCGCGCGAAGATAGAAACGAAAACGGATGTGTTGCTTCCTCGAACCTTGTGTAACGGTATTCCCGCATTCTCGAAGGCCTCATAAGTTGTGGCAAGGATCATTCGCTGTTGAGGATCCATGGCGTGTGCCTCAAGTGGCGGGATGTGGAAGAAGCGGGCGTCGAATTTGGAAACGTCTTCGTCGAGAAAGTATCCACTACGAGAGACCAGAGCTTCTTTGGCTTCCTGACGCGGACTGTAGAAGGCATCCCGATTCCATCGGTCTGCAGGAACTTCCATCCAGCCGCTTCTACCATCCGCCAGCATCTCTTCAAGCTGATCTGGGCTGCGGATACCCCCCGGGAGCCGGCATCCGATCCCTATGACAGCGATAGGAGCCGGGGAAGTGACAACTGACGTAGCCATGATGATAAAGGAAAATGAAAACAACGGTACTGATTACCCAGAGAGGAGATGCGAGGATAAAAGAAAAGGATACTAATTGAGGCAAGATAGTTGGAATAAATAGGTGGGAAAATTTTGAACGCTATAGAGAGACTTGGCTTAAGCCTTCGATTTGTTCAAGTACAGTTCTTAGGGACATGGATATGTTTCACAAGACATGATGATGAAAAGAGGCTGACTTTTATATACGGAGAACCTTCACTTGCTCGATCCGTCCACACTCCAAATTACCATCGCAACAAAAGCCACCTGCCCTCTGGTTCTTTAGCAGTGACATGGCAAGTTCACTTACGTAAATACAACGTGTTTGCCACTGGAGGTAGATTTGGCCCCCGAAAGAGGAAGAGATAGTGAAGCTCAGGGCTGACGATGTAGGTTGACCATCCTCTACCATATCATTGGTCCCTTTAGCAGAGGGCCCTCTATAACGGTTACGAGCTTCTGAATTTTACCCCCTGCGAATGATATTGGGGGTAAGCACCCTTGAGGAGTTGCGTGGTGGTTACTCCGGCACACCTTCATCAACGTAGCCAAGACATTTCCGCCATTCTCTCCAGATTCTGCCAATTAGGTATCTTACTGCTCCTGCATCCACTATTAGAGAATGTTTCCTCAGCACACTTCTTCTCCCGGCCTCTCATTGGCATTGCTATTACTGATCTGTGCGAGGCTGGTGTCGTACATGCAGTGTCTCAGTCAATATCTGCGGATGACACTCAGATTAAGTTGTTATCTGCAGGATTGATGGTGTGCTGGCGGCGTCTACGAAAGTGACAATACGACGCCATCTGGGGTAATCGTGTCGGTTTCTCGATGCTATCAGTGCCAATGTGATGATCAGTACCAATTTCATCGACGGCTTGACATGACACCTTGTCTTGATGGGACCCTGAACCTTGGCAGTAATCTGGCCTATCTTGAACCCGAGGCATATCACTACCGACCTTGGAGGTAGTAATCGGGTAGGACCACCCGAGGTCCAAGCTTGTATTCATGTCGGGTTGTACAATACCCAGTCTTGACCCAACACTACCCGGAGACGGACCATTGCGGCCTTTCGGCCGAAGCTGTCGCACATATCGAAGCCTAGGTACCCAGATGTTCTTCGGCTGGGTTTGGTGGTTGCTAATCGTGGCCTTAGTCGGCAACCAACTGCGCCTCAAGCCAGTTCTTGAGATAGACGCAATTATTGCTCAAATGAGGAGCCAGAATGTGCTCTTGAGTCACACACGAAAGAGCTATTGAATTCCTGCAGCCGTTTGCATTGGCATTGTGGCAGCCTAAGTGGATTACTCCTATTGAAAGCAGAAGGTAGTCAGAATGCAAGCCTTGTAAAATCTTTCATTGGCCATCATTGGCCATTATTGCCACCGACTGAGACAGAGGCTGCTTAGCCAGTGCATATCCTTATCCCTCATGACCTGGATAAGCCAGGTTCAGCCAGGATATTCTGGCTTATTTCCTACTAAGAGATATCCGTAGAAGCCTCACACTGACTCGGGTACTCTCTCACCAGCATGGGTTACATCATTTCCTGCCAATATCCTGCTTGTAATAGTGGTAAGGGTGTGCCGGCTTTTCAAAATCCATGGGAAGAGGTACTATCCAGTCATGTCTCTACACACACATGTTTATTCACTCTATTCGAGCGCAGTGTGGTTGCTTCCCAAAGAAATGATGTAGTGGTGTGCTGTTCCACTCTATGACCAGAGTGGCCACCAACTTTCTATTACGTTTCCCGATTGCGCACCTGCGAGTGAGGTTGACGTCTTCTGCATAGAAAACCGTAATCTCTTCTGAGTCGATCCCAGCCCATGGATACAGTCCATACCCATATCCCTCTTGCACGGTATCCCACACCACTAGGCTTGCAGGCAACTATGCAAGTACAATATCGGCATAAGAGAAGAGTCTATGAGATCCGTTCTAATGGTCAACGTTTATAAAAGCCGTCTCTATTGCCTCCCCCCAGCTGCGAAATCTGTTCACTCGACCAGAGGCTTGCGGAGCTGGGTCTTCTGAGAACATGTGTTGCTGACTAGGTCTACGGCATACTAGACAAATGTACAAGTACGAGGCGAGGTGGTGGGATCAGTGTAGGCGCAGTGCAATCAGGCTCGGCAGTCGTACTGGCACAGGTCAAATGTACCTACTTCACAGGATGGCGGCACAGGTGGTGTCCATCTGGTCTGAGCGCTAGCAGGCCGCGGGCCGCAACCTGCAGGTGTCATGCATGCAAGAAGAGACGCCTCAATCACAAAATAAAACAAAGAAACCCCCACATTACTCATGCACAGGGTCTGGAGCCAGAGCTGAGGTGCAACCAGGGTAGCCCGGCCTTGTGCAAGCCCTCCATTCGCTGGATATGATGATCAGCCAAGCTAGGAATCGCTGGGGCAGTCCGAATTAGGTAGGTAGCGTGGCTTGCGCTGACATACAGAAAACTGGTCAAGTACAGAACGTAACAGCACAGTAGAGGTAGAGCGGTCACACAGCAGTCCAATGGATGCTCCAGGGCTGGGTTGGAGCGCTCCCGATGCAGGGCCAGTCTCTCCATCAGTTGCGCCCGACTTACGTAGGCGATCGCCGAGGCGTCGTTCATAACATAGCATAGCACTGTGATCAGCACCCTTGGCTAGCTTTCGCACTGCAATAGATCTTCCTGATTCGCGACATAGAGCCGGGGTTCATACCAAGTTGTCTATCTACTACGTAAGAGGCTTACCATGCTGTTCTAATTTCTCTTCTTGACCTCTGCAGACCCGCCTATTCAGCAGCAACAGCCCACATCCAAAAGCCCAAAGGCAAGAAGTTGTTAAATAATACCTCTCATCCCGCGATATGTATGCAAGGCACAGAGGATAGCTTTCGGGACGCGAAAGTGTGTTTCTTCTACAGCAATACTTTTTTCGGTCGACCAAGAATTATTAAGATGTTTTGTGACAGATCCGGCCTTGGGGGATGACATCTCGTTTTCCTGCTCGATGAGAAGAGTTCACGTCAGAAAACTGGGGATTCTGATTCGTAATTGGGGAGCCCACAGGTTGTGTGCATTCCCTGTGCGCAACACATCTTTCAGCTTTGCTCCAACCTGTCCTGGATGAACGGGAGAGTCTCCTTTTGGTAAGATCAACCTTGAGGCCCACCTTTTCACAACCTACTGTTAATGGAAACTTGGTCTTGGTGGAATTAAGCCTGGATTGTCATTGTCTATTTCTTCTAGAAAAGGTCAGAGTCCGGTACCGAAAGTCGAGCAGGCTGACTGGCACAGCCAGGCTGCTGTGATGGAGGCCCTAACGTTAACGTGAACACGGCGATCTTCAAGGAATCGAGCCTCAAGCTCCGAATGTGCGCCTTTTTGGCCTCAGTTTCGTGCTCCGTGGAAGACAGGGTTGCAGAACAGAAGCAAGTGTCGGTTCGCCAAGGGAGACAAAAGCAACCACCACTGGGGTCTCGAAGTCTGTGGAAGCAACACAGAAATTGGCCGATCCAGTACAAGTATGCTCGACTTTGGGGGTTGATAAGCGACCCTGTCATGCTTTGAAACGAATCCATCGGCGGTATGAAATCTCTTGCCGTGGCCAATTGATTCACAGGCCCTAGGTCAACCTTGACCCCCACGTCTACGTATTGACCAGAGCATTTTTTCTGCGGCCGATTGGGGACAGGGCAAGCCACCAAGTGGTTGCTGTCGGCCAGTTGTCGCATCTGGTTATTCCTGCAGCAAAGGCATGTCCTTCTAGCCCTGGCCGTATGCATGGGACAATGCAAGTTTGCGTTGTTTGCAGATTGCAGGACTTGGCGCTGAGGATCCTCGAGTTCCACGAGAACACCACCACCACCAAGCCTCGGTTTGTTGCTTACAATGGCAGATTAGCTGTTGGCTACAATGAGCACAGAGGATAACAGCGAGCCAACCTGCCCGCTGCACTGTAAGCATCCTGCAGGGGGGCGCTTGCAAGTTTTACCCCGGGCTCAAGCACCGACAACTCGAGAACAATGGCGATGGGCATCCTATCATGCCAAGAACGCACTTCTCATCGGTTCGCATGCCGACTACTTGGTTCTAGACCTTACAGATAACGATGACCTGACTTGCAATATTAACCACCAACCCTTCATCTGTTGTCAGTACTGGGGAGCATGGCTGAGCGGCGATGAGGGGGGTGAAAGGATGTGTTTGAAAATCCATGTAGAGTGTGGTCATTTAGTTGGGCACCGGTGTGGTTTGGGGTGGGGGACTTGGGTCAACAATCAGGTCAGAGGCGATTAGACCATACTGCCGAGAGAAGACCGTTTGGAGAAATTGAAGTTGACTTGTTGATATCATGGGATCTGAGATGTACTCTTCCTTCAGGGCAGAGTAGGTAGGGAAAAATCTGGAGCTTTGCCAGTCTAGGTATCTCGTCTTAGAATCCTTGATAACACCTATCGACATCTCGCGGCGTCGAGGCATGGCGCTTAACTCGATTCGTCTCGAGATCCGGTTTGGCTGGCAAGGGTAGGTATTGGCGGCTCTCCACTCAAAGATCAATCTTGCTTGGCGGTGAAGCGCGCGCGGGGTATCATGTGAAAATTCCCTCATCCCCGAAGATCCTTGTTGTGTGCGTGGTGTGACCTCGATCGTGCAACACCACCAGCCAAGTTCGACGTATCGATTTTGATCTCCAGGGTTCCGTTTCAGGCCTTTGGCAACCACTAAGGCGATCTGACACAGGTTCTGTAGCACTGCCATAGTAGCAATGTCCGATAAAGCACCGCCTAGTGCACCCACGACGGCGCCAGCGCCGGCGCCAACGGAAACACCAGCGCCGGCGCCGGCACCAGCCGAACTTGTTTCAGCTGGTGCGTCCGCGCCGTCAGCCACTTCTGGCATTCTAGAGCCTGAGCCGGCAAATGAAGGGGTAAGTCCATAGCTCCAAGAGAGCTTGAGGTTAGACTCGCTCTGGATCAAGACACAATTGACTGACAGGTTCACCACCTGCACCGCGACTAGCATGACGTTGACCAAGATAGTGCTTTCGGTGACAAACAGGAGTCTACCGCCTCACTGAGCGAGTCGATTCTAGAGTATCGTACCATACAGGGGAGAACATTTCATAGCAACAAGACGAACGCATCGTACTGGTGAGCAAGCAAGTCCTCATGGTGTCCCGGCCTTCCACACGCTGACTCTTGTGCCGGCATAAAAAGGGGGCCGAATGATGAGAGACAGAATGATTCCATGGACATCAAGTAGGTTTCGGTCAACGGCACACCGGGATGATCCTATTCTATGAATCATTTACTTATATCTTTTGTAATAAGCAATCACTTGTTGTCTTTGGCATTGGACGGGAGACTGTTTCTGGCTCCGATCAGCGACACGGTCCAGGTATGTGCACCATGTCAAGACTTGCCTTGTACTCACACAAGAAACCGCTAAAGCCCTCATAGAAAGTACTTGATGTCGGTACGGGCACGGGGATTTGGGCCATGTCAGTTACCTGGAACGAGATCCCCTCACCGCCCTCACACCCTCGGAACCACTGACTCTGACCAAGAGCGACTTGGATGTAGTGATTTCGCTGATGAGTATCCTAATGCCGAGGTAATCGGCACCGACATTTCACCCATCCAGCCGTCCTGGATTCCACCAAATCTGCGCTTTGAGATCGACGATGCCACACTGGTGAGTGATATCTGTGCTGGCCTATATGCCAGCCACCAGAGATCGGAGCGCTAATGAACACCTTTGTCTCTGACAGCCTTGGACTTTTGGCTCCAATGTCTTCGACTATATTCATATGCGCTACCTGTTTGGCTCCATTTCTGATTGGCAGGCTTTGTTCGATCAGGCATATGCTGCGTGCAAGCCTGACGGCTGGGTTGAGAGTTTTGAGATGTCTTCCGTTGCCCGGTCGGATGACGACAGTGTCAAGGAAGGCTCGGCTCTGGAGACCTGGAGCGAGGCATTCGTCCAAGGTGGTAAGAAGTTTGGCAGGAGCTTCACCATCGTTGATGAAGACGTCCAGCAGAAGTGCATGGAGAAATCTGGTTTCACCGATATCGCTGTCAAAGACATCAAGGTACGTTTTGTGGCCTGCTAGATGGGACCTCGGCCCTAACTACTGACTCGTGTTAGTGCCCTATTGGTCCCTGGGCGAGAGAAAAGAAGTACAAGGAGATGGGGATGTACAGCCGCGCAGCACTGGAGGCTGACATTGAAGGTGCGCACCTCTGATGATCGGTAGGCACCGTAACCGAGCTAATATCGCCATCAATAGGCTACGTCTTGATGATGTTCAGCACCGTGTTTGGATGGGAGAAGGAGCAGATTCAGGCATACATTGCGCTCTTGCGCCGGCAGATTCGCGACCCCAATGTTCATTGCTATTATCGGATGCGTATAGTGTGTGGACGGAAGCCGGCGGCTTGAAACTACTGGAGTCGCAAAGTTTGACAATTCATCAGTCGAACATGGTGTACCCTCCTAGCTTAGTACTCAAGTAGTAAAATAGTCATTTCCTTGGAAAGCCATGCTTCAAACCCTACCGGAAAGCAGAGAGGATACCTCTATCTACGATCCCAAAGCTGCTCCCGGGCCTCCTGGGCATGGGACCCTGAGAATGGTTGGGTCCAGATCAATCTATCCCACTCAACTTGGTAGTGCCCACAACCTATCAAGACCGGGTATGATGGGTACCACGGAGCTGGCAGACAAGGCTATCAAGATGCCCATGGCAAAGCTCACCAGAACCAAGGCAAGGGTTTCGAGCGCTGATCCCCGGACCCGGGACCGAGAGTATTGGTTTCGAGGAGTTCTGGGCCCGACCATTTTCTTCATGGGCTGAATCTTTTCTCGGCGACCAACCTCGACGCCTCTCTTCATGGCTTCGAGTCCATCCATGCTAAATTGACTTTTCAGAGCCCAGTATCTATCCATCCAAGGGTTAACGGAGTTCTGGGGAGAAGGACAGGGCCCGCCTACTCACCTATCCATGCTTTCCTTTTCGTTACCTTGCTTATATTTACGTTCCTTGGCCTTGAAGTAGTCGTTGAGGACTTCCCTTTGCGACTTGAACTCGTAGACTGGGACGGAGAAACCGCAGGAGGATCCGGCCTGGTGAACGTCGACAATGATGATTGACCTCGTTCCAGGAATTGTCTCTATGTTGAAATTGGAAACAAAATCATTGAACTCGGGCGACTCGCTTTCCAGCACGCGACCTGTTGATAGTCCTTGTCAATACGAGATGGTCTGGACAGACTTTTGAGCAGGCCGCAGAGGGACCTCCGGTGATTACCTTTCCCCCAAAGTCGAACTATCTTTGGCGGACCTTCAAAAGCACAGAGCATGATGGTGATTCTCCCGTTACCTCTCTCGTAGAGATGCGCCAGGGTCTCGCAGCCACTGCCCGTCAGTTCCATGTACCAGAAGGTCTTTTCATCGATAAGGCCAAAGTATTCGCCTCCCTTAGGAGACACGTTGACGTGGCCAGAGCCTGACAGCGGGGCCGTTGCGACCCAGAACATCTTCTGTTCCAGTATCCATGACTGCACCGACTGCGGGATTGTCTCGTAGAAGGCTCCCATGGCGTTAGTTGCCCGGTGTTCTGGAAGGCGACTGATGAAGTATTGCAGGGTTGTGACACAGGACCTCCTCCGCACTCGCCCCGCGCGGACTCAGCGATAACGGAGGCAGGGTGCTATGAGCAATCCGGGACCTGGAGGTGTGGGCCAGGCGTGCACACACACCATTGGCTTACAATAGAGCCAGGTGGGCCGATATTTGGCCCTCTTACCAAGGATCCGTCTCGTGCATTTACCAGGAAGATGAATGATAGTACCTGTTAAACATGTTGAAACTAAGGCCCTCTCCTCCACATGGCCAGTATTGCTGAAGAATGCATTCCTAGGTAGGCACAAAACTAAAAGCTCCCAATGTTGTTCTATTCCTGTCCGAGTTATCGACTTTCATTGCAATGCATTTGAGTAGAAGCTGAACTAACTCAATCATGAAGTAGCGACCTCAAAATGCATCGAAAATCCTGGATAGATACACGTAACTTACAGCGTCATACTATGTTCAACAACGCGACGACCTTCTCATAGACGGTGAAAACAATACCACCACTAAATACGAGCCGACCGAGCCTCATGGTGGACCCAGACCAGAAGCCTTTGATACCGCTGTCGATAATAATCATTCGGAATGCTTCAGAGATACTTGCACCGCGTGCGCTCTGTGACCGAGTTTTGACAGTGTCAAAAGGCTGGGTCGCGTAGACCGTGATGATGCCGGCCATTGCGCCGATCCCAAAGGTCACAACACTGCTTTTTGGAAGACCTCTACTCGCACAATACTCTTTGAGCACATTATACGAGCCCATACGCACCGCCGAGGTCGCCGACTGCTTCATTGTCGTTGACAACAGCCCGCGGTAGAGCTCCGAAACACCAGCCTCGCGGAAGATGCTGGCCGTGGCGTGCAGGCCTCCGCGATATCTCCTAGCGGCGGAATTTGCATCGTCGATCCTTACTCGGGTCGTTAGTTGGATATCACTGGACAACTAGCTGAGCTCTTATGTATCTCACAAAGCGGTCTTGATTCTTTCTGTTGGGGTCACCGCCACAACCGACTCGACACAACCCGCAGTCATACCAGCCAGAATCCCGCGAGCAGGAGTCAGGCGGCCTTTGTCATCAGCCATTGCGTTCCTTATCGAGTCAAATGACAAGAATCGAACACCAGCTTTGAACGTGGTGCCCTGGTGTATGAGTTTGTCAGTCAGAAAGGTGCTGCTCGTGAGTCTATCTGGTCTTGCCCGGCAACTCACGAGGATCAAAGTCGAGCATCCAGTATAGACCGAGCGGATGCCGTCATTTCTCAATGCTTGTGAGATAACGGTGAGCGGGTTTGCCCGGCCTGTGCTCCTAGCTTCACGACCAAGCTGGACTCGCGTTTTGGCGTACTCAAACGGGTACTTTTCAAGAATCAGCCCTTACTATCTTCAACATCACGTTGCATTCAGGGGAGTAGACTTACTGTCACAGTCGCCTCGACGCCTCCAGCAATACCCCCTGCTAGCAGCGAGATCCCCGGCGGTATGGGAGCCTTTTTTGTAAGTGGAGAGGAATTTGAAGCCGCGGTGTGCAAGGCGACCTCAGGGCCATCGCTGGTGATTTCGGCGGTTGACATGATCTCAATCGATTATCCGCGGTGATGCTTTGAATCTGCAAGGCCCACAATCACCATTTGCAAAGGCCCAGACCAGTGCGAAGCGGTTACAACCGACCGGCCACAAGGATGTCATATGGCTTCGTCAACGCGTTGAGTCTGCATTGGACGGAGCCAGGCTCGGCCGATGCCTGGACCGGCACTTCTTGGATCCGCAAATGTGCCGCGGGTGTGCTGTCGGAGTTTTTGCCGGCAAAGCCAGCCCACGGAAATCTCCACTATCCCTTATTGGGGTGACGCGGATCCTGCCCGGCGCTCGCTTCCGCGGGAGGATGCCCAACATCGAAACACTGGGGCAGGCTCCACAAGGGATCTTTTGACTTTGCCTACGGATGAATTGGCGAGGGGGTGGTTCGCTTTGACGAGATCAACCTATCCGTGGCCACGTATTGAGTGTCGCGAGACTGCAAATGGACGATTCTATCCGTTCGAAAAGGCCCAGGAAACGGGCCGTGGAGGCTTGCACTTTTTGCCGGCGACGAAAGGTATGTCGGGCCCTGAGCGCGTTATGCACGTGCATTGGACTGTTGGGCTCTCTCCCGCGGGAGGGAAATCCGTTGACGAAACCGGGCCAGATCAAGTGCAACAATGAGCAACCAGCGTGCGCAAACTGCAGGACCTATGGCAAAGACTGCGTCTATGAGCCCATAAACGAGCCGTCGCAATCGCCCACGAAACCCCAGCGCAGTCGGCCCAGCCACCGCTGCAGAGATGAACCCCGAAGACGCTTGTCTCCCAAGCCGCCCGCAGATCAGAGCACAGGTCCGGATATCTGCAGTCTTACCGGCAATGAGGAAGACCAAAGCGGCCTAGCAAGCGCCGTGGCAATTCCGGACGGGAATCAACAAGAAGGCAGTCTACCACGCGATGCTGGAAGCCTCACTACCACTCCAGTCTCGCGTCTTGTACTCTCCGCCAACGGCCTTCCAAGTTACCATGGCCGCACCAGTGCCCTTTTTGAGGAGAATCCCCAAGAGAGGCAGCACGGTGATCCGCGGCCTCGCATGTCAGACGAGTGGATCGAAAAGGGGCTCGTAGCTGAAGCCGCAAAACAGCGTAAGCCAATATTTATCGCGAAGGCGCAACAAGGCCGCAGGCTGAAATCACTGCTTTAGGTCAACTTGAAGAGCTCAACTTTCGTTCAGGAAAGCTAGACTTTGATTCCGTTGATCCAGACCTGGGCATGCATCTCCTCTCTCTCCATTGGAATAGGCAACACCATTCATTCCTCATCACATATCGACCAGCATTCATGCGGGACATGGCCTGTGGAGGGCCCTACTTCAGCAAGCTCCTACTTAATGCTATCTACTTTGGGTCTGCAAAATTCAGTCCGCGATTGGAGGTCAGGAAAGACCCGAATGATCCTCGAACCGCTGGTTGGAAGTTTCGCGAGCGAGTGCGCGAACTGCTCGGCGGGTCACTAGACCGCAGTGATATCACAACCATACAAGCGCTGTTAGTTATGACCAACTCGCTCTTCGCACTCGGAGATGAGCGCAATGCTGCCTGGCTCTACTCAGGTCTGGCATTTCGGATGATCATCGACCTGGGAATGCATATTGATGTGGCCAGCGCTGCTGGGGTACGAAGATTCTCTGACGAGGACATCGAGATCCGGAGGCGGGTCTTCTGGGGGGCTTTTGTTGTTGACAAGATCCAAAGCCTCTACCAAGGTCGGCCTGCGAGTCTTCGCGAGTCAGATGCGCTCGTCCCGATGGACTTCTTTGACACTTACGAGGAGTTTGAGTACTGGGCGCCGTTTGCGCACCCAGACCAGCCCAAACGCTACTCCGGGTCTCCGGCTTATAGTGTCTCAACCTTCAAGCATTTATGCAAGCTTTCTGTGGCGATGGCTGACATCCTGAGCAATATCTATACAGAGCGCAGTTTCAATGGGAGTCCATCAGAGCTCTCATCCATGCTACAGAGCCTACACTCAAAGCTCTTGGGCTGGAAGAAGGCGTTGCCGCAGCACCTTTTGGTCGATGCTAGTACTGAAGAGAGGCTTTGCCCTCCACCTCATATTCTCAGTTTACAGTAGGTCTAGATCCACTCTGCGGCTTGACTAGGCTGATGAGTGAATTGCAGCGCGATGTTTCACGTACTCATCATACTGCTTCATCGCCCATTCGTTGCGGATGGGCACTTGTTCAATATAGCCCGATCGGTAGCGGTCAACTCGTTTATTGAGTGTGCGTCGGCTGCATCGGACATTGTCTCGCTTCTTCGCACTTACGATGGCGCATTCTCGGTTCGACGAGCCCCATATCTCATCTCTTATGCTACATATGTCGCCGCAACCATTCATGCTCGCATTGCGTCGAAACGCGAAAACGCGTCAGAGGCGCATCGGAGCCTTGAGACATGCCTTGCTGTTTTTCGCGAGAACCAGGAAACAAATTGGGCCGTCCGGAAAGCAAATCTTGTCATTCGAAATCTGATGAAACGCCTCGGTGTTTCAATAGCAGGACCTGACGAGGAGCTCAACATTCATGTCGAAAAGACTTCTGCCAATGCTGTTCCGAGTGCAGACTCTACAACCCCCTTCGCATCTAGGGCCGGCCAGGGAACAGCAACAAGCCGGGAAGACCTGCCCTCTGAATCGCCGAGCAACGACTGGCTACACATTGACGAGATCATCCAAAGCTTTGTTCGAGCCGCTGGGGAGCAATATGGACAATCAAATCCAACCAGTCAGCGTCAGGGACTCCCTACGTTGCAGCAAAATGATTCTTTGGTCCAAGGCCCAGGTGAATCCGGTCTTCTAAGAGCGCAGCCCTTGCAGTATGGCTCCGAGCTGATGCCCCAAGATTATTACGCCTCTCAAATGCCAACCTGGCAGGATCCGGACACGGCCATGACGGTGGAACCAGCCTCGGTGGACGATTTGCTTTTTGGATTCAATGGACTGGAGAGTTTTCAACCTCTCAACTGGCAATCGATGTAATGCGTAGGTTGTCGAGAGGGAGCCAGAGATTTGCACTCCATGTTGTCTCAGCCAAATCAGAAGCCGACAGTCAGCTGCGCCGAAGATCTCCAGCACCATTTCCACCTGAAGCATCGCAGAAATGATCAAACAGGTGGGTTATTCTCCTATCATGCGTCGCAAGATCCAAGGGAGATGTTCGAACACCAGTGACAACTCGGTCCTTCGCATACCGTTTGCCATACCACCAGGAGAGACTCACCGCCCCGTAGCCATTTTATCAGAATACAACTAAGTCATCTTCAATAAGAATCTGGCTTTGTCTTTCGGGTTCCTGACGATTGGGGTTTGCTTCAAAAACGCCATGTTGAGGGCAGACGTTATCACCAGCGAGCGCCTGTTTCTGGACATGTGGGCTCCTACAACGGAAATGCAAACTTCTTTCTAAGCCCTGGATTTAATATCATGATGAGTGGAGTTTGGTTCGTATAACGGTCCTCTGTATGACTGCTTCGGTGCTCCAACCACACGACTGGCCCCCAGGTCAATCGGGACCTGTTGCAGTCGATGCACCAAACCATCTGCATGCTCGAAGCAAGAGACCATTGCCGCACACCATACGGGATACTGCACAATACGACCACAGTTGAGGTTCCTAGCTACATCCTGCCAAGCTTCCAAACAGCAATACTGATGTTAACCATCACTTTTCAGACCGTCGCAGTCATGTAGCCATTCCTCTTCGACGGGCTCTCCTTGCGCTGGCCTCCTCAGTCGAGAACACGTTGTGAAAATAGCGTTGGTGTTCTTAGCAAGTGTCCAATCGGAAGTGTAAATTCTCTTCTTTTATATAATGTGTACGGATTTGGCGGTTTTAACAGGGCCCTTTAAATTGAAAAGCCCCATTAGTAGTTAAGAGCATAAGAGCTGTTGATTCCGCGGGAAGCGAGGCTGGCTATCCGTCCACGGCTTCCCGCGGGAGCGAGTTCGGTTCATAAACTGCGCAGGAAGGGAGTTTCATCGGTTCCACTGTCAGTCATTCCGGACAATCTTGACAACTCGGCCACATTCCGACACGGACCACAACTAAATTCGGTACCAGAGGGATGACGGTGGTGCCGTGGGTACTATCCAAGATAGGTCCTATATCGAGCATTCCCGTCGATCTAGTCGCAGGCCACGGCATCACGCCACATCCTTCGGACGAATCCCTGAGATGGTCTGCAGCAAGGATAATTCGATGTTGTAGAAGGGAGGGATACTTTAATCTATCTAGGAACAATATACAAAAGACGCATTGAGAGAAATGCTACACTTTCTGCTCTCTGCACTATCCATGCTTCAGTCGCAGAAAACATCCGATTGAATGCCCTACGGTACTCAACATGGCCAAGCAAAAACTACCAGCGGTCTGGATGCGTGCAGGCACTTCCAAAGGCCTTTTTATACAGCGGGAGCACTTACCGAAAGATCTTTCACAATGGGCCCAGCCTCTTATTGCTGCCATGGGAGCCGATCCTCGGCAGCTCAATGGTGTTGGGGGTGCCACCTCTACAACATCCAAAGTCGCAGTAGTTGGTATCTCAGAAAGAGACGGCATCGATGTGGACTACACTTTTGTTCAAGTATCTGTCGGTGGAGGCAAGGTAGACGTCACTGGAAACTGTGGGAACATGGCGTCAGGTGTTGGCCCGTTCGCACTTCAGCAAGGACTTGTCAAGCGGCCCCGCAAAGGCGAAAAGACGGTAAGCTTTTTTAGCCTGTCTATGTCGTATCGATAGCCAAGCTCACTGTCGAGTTTAGGTCGATATTCGGGTTTTCAACACAAACACAAATAGAGTCATCGTCGAAACCCTACAAGTTGACGAGAGTGGCGATTTCCGAGAGGACGGCGACTACGCCATGCCAGGGCTGCAGGGGATCACAGGCAGCGAAGTCAAGGTCGCATTCGTAGATCCTGCTGGCAGCATGACCGATCAACTGCTCCCGACAGGCAACGGGTGGGACACTCTGGCGGTGAGAGGCCTTGTCGGCGACAGTACGGCACAGTCGATGGTGAAAGCTACCATGCTAGACGTGGCGAACCCGTTCATCCTGGTCGACGCATCATCTCTACCTTCGGAGATGCAGGAACCGGCTCGTGACGACATTTCGTTCCTAGCAGCAGTCGAGTCTATCCGCTGTGAGGGCGCCGTGCGCATGGGTCTCGCAAACTCGCTCAGTGCTGCGGCCCTGGTTCGCGGGACCCCTAAGATCGCCTTTATATGGGGGAATGGGGAGGCCAAGCATGCAGACTCCAGTACCGATATCACAGTTCGTTCATTCAGCATGGGCAAACCTCACCCCTCGCTGCAGCTCACGGGTGCTGTCTGTATCAGCGCTGGCGTCTGCCTTCCCGGCACGATTCCCTACAGCTTGGCTAGACATGGCTATGTCCTTGGCAAACAAGAACTGCCTCCGACGCCATCTCGGACCCCTAGTCCAGTGTGGGCAGGCGAAGCTGGGTCGACGGCATCAGATTTCCGAATTGACTCCGCTCATACAACTTATACAGTCAAAATCAAGCATCCCGCCGGTATGTTGAATGTAGAGGTTCTGACAAGGACGCAAACTGAAGCTAGCGGACCAAGGGTGGAAATAGAGAGGTGTACTATATCTAGAACAGCAAGACGCTTGTTTGCAGGAGATGTGTACTTCTAGGCATTGAGTACTTTCAATTTTGTCAGTTTGTTCAGAAGCACATACAGAAAAAGACTCAGGAGTGTGTGTGCCTTGAATGTAACTTCAAGGTTGACACTCCTGCGAAGTTGTCCAACTTGGCGTCTGCATGAACACCAGCTTCATTCATCTATACCAAGAATTTACTTGGTAAGAGACCACTGTCTGTCAAAGGTATTGACATATCTGCCTGACATTGGCCTCGCTAGTGATTTTAAGTTCAAAATACTATTAAAGTCGTGCTTATTTTGGCATAGATCTCTGAAATTAAGGGGAAACACAAGGCCTTTCTACATGGTCCACTCCAGACGTCTCTCTGTCCATAGTTTCTCCCTTGCTCTCATTGTACAAGTGGTCCACTGGTTGGCCACCGAACAATTCATCCATGTCCTCCAGGCTGATATTCCGAGTTTCTGGGACAAAGAAATAGACCCAAGGAATAGCGACCGTCATGAATGCGGCGAAGAGAAAGTATGTGCCAAAGGTAATGTTCGTGATCATGTAGGGAACACTGCGTGCGATAACGAAGTTCATGATCCAGTGAATGGCCACGCAAAACGAAACACAAGCCGACCTTATACGCGTTGGGAAGATCTCTGCCGCGTAGATCCAAGGGATGCCCGCCCATGAGAAGCACCAGCCAACTGCGTAAATGTATATATGTACTACAGCAGCGTAGCCGCCGGGTGTGATGCTTGTAGCTCCCTTGGTGGGCGGATTTGCAACTTTGGCGTAGGCTCCAATGAACCACATTGCGTAGCCCTGAGGTTGTCACGGTCAGAATTTGAAAGGTTCATAGTACATTGGTGGCAGAAAGACATACCATGATCGCACTTCCCGCCATTAGAGTCCTTGTCCGACCAAAGCGATCGACCACAATTAACATCGAGACTAAGATAGCAACGAATCGAACCAGACCGTACACGCCGGTCGCAAATAATGCCGTGTTGCCACCAGTGAGACCGATACTGCGAAATATAGCTGGGGAATAGTAGTTAATAGCATTAGAGCCCGCCTTTGAGTGAATGCCGATGTTAGTAAGTTTGATCAACGTGAGAGCACAGGGGTTTGGTTCCTAACCATTTGCATGAATATGAACATTAAAGAACCGATACCCAATCGTTTCCTATTACCTGGCCCGAACATCTCTTTAAGAATGGATTTGACCCCGTTCCCTTCCGTGAGGGCCTCTTCATGCTCAAGTTGCTGGAAGATACTGTGAACCTCTTCCACCAGATATGGATGATCGGCCGCGATGTTTCGAACCCGCTGAAGAACCTCGACACACGCCTCGCGGCCCTTCTTTCTTGCAAGCCATCTTGAACTCGGTTAGTGGAACCATGAGAACTCTGCACTTTGTGGCATTTGATGTGCGAGTAAATACCTTGGTGACTCTGGAATCAGGAAGATGCCAATCATCAACAGGCCTCCAGGAACCAATTGGACTGCAAAGCTAATCATCCACTGGGCCGAGTTCGATGGTAGATTTCTGTCAAGCCCATAGTTGATCCAGAACCCAATCATGGTCCCCATGGACACTCCAACCTCATAAATTCCCACGAGACGACCGCGAATGTTTGGCGGGGATGCCTCTGCAACATATAGGGGAACAAGCATGCTAGCAGCGCCAACGCCAATGCCGCCAATGCCGCGTCCAACAAGCATGAGAGCCTCGGACCCATGAGCAGCGGTTTGGATGGCAGAGCCGACATTGTAGAAGAGGGCTGTCAAAAAAAGGCTGAGAAGACGACCAAACTTATCACTGAACGGGCCAGCCGCCAGAGAGCCGACAATACATCCAGCTTGAAGGAGAGATACGACATTGGAGGAGAAGGCTGACTTTCTCGAAGGGCTGGCGCGGAGAAGCCCAAAGTCTCTTTGCGTGGCGAAGGGTCAGCTTCTGTCCAACCAGGGAAGACAGGCCACTACATACTCTTTGAATGATTCAAGCTCGATAGCTGTCCCAATAAAGCCGAGGTCATACCCAAACATAACTGCGCCCATGCTGCTGACCAATGCCAGAGCATAGACCCGCCAGTTGTAGACAGCACGAGGGGCCTCAACCCCGAGCTCAATGTTTAGACGTGAGGATCGCATTATAACAGCAGGTTTCTGGAGACAGGACAAGACCCTGCTGCTCTGAAGTTTGCGCTTGAGTGGCTTCTTACAACGAGGTAAGTTTGGAAGCCATGGACATCCCAGGAACCGACTTTTGCGCGTCTTTATCTCATTTACAGAAATGGATTCCTGACCATGGATTGCGGGGAGTCATCTCCAAAGGTTGCGGGGATTTAAGATGATGTGTGGGGAGGAGACTAGCTCAAGACTAACTCTCGAGCTTTTGGGAAGACTTCTCCGTCACTCATTGCCGCGGGTAGCTTGCCCTTCCGCGGGAACTAGATCACACAAGCAAACACAGGCTGGGGGGTTCTCTGCCCGACCAAGGGAGGGTCAGATTAGTTGACGGACTGCTAACAGAAGGACTTGTCTACCCATCAAGCCCATCGGATTTAGGTAGTGGGATAGCCCTTCCGACTTCCAGGGCAAGGATGTGACAAGGATACTGATTGTTAAGATCGAGGTAGCTCCTGATGAACTTCCGTCAACTATTAGACGCCCACTTGCCGACCAATGGCGGATCCGGGTGCTGACTGAGTACGGCAAGTTGCTGAGTACGCACCATGGGACACGTTTAGTAATGATATCTGGCACCATCCCGAGATATGCGTGATTGCCTCTGAGGGTCTTGCGACGGACAACTTGTGATGGTCAGGGTTTTTCTGCTTCTCAAACTTCCCACTAGCGCTTTCTCAACGCGGATACTTCTTTTTGATTGTGGTCGTGGACTGAAAAACAGATATCAAGTTGTGCCTAATGGGGAGGTCTAGATATCAAAAATCATCGTTTCTGCGCAGCACAAGGAGTATGCGTTAAGCGATCGCCCAAATACACTGGTGAAATGAACAAGATTTCATGCAAAGCCATACAATGTCCCCCGTATTCGTCAACTCGGCTATAATCTCTCCCAGAGCCTTCGCTCTCTCTGAACCCAGAGTTCCCTAACAGACTAATTACCTGCATCGTTCTTATCGTCAGTCCAGCACACATTGTAAAAATCACAGCTATTTACTGTCCTGGTAGAGGTGCTCTTTTCTCCAGCGCTGCAAGACTTAGTACGCTGACGATCGTTGACAGATACATGTATGGGACGATGGAGACTGGATGATAAGCTCGCGTGTGTTGCAAGTGTCCCGAGGAGGTAAGGATGACCCTAGCTCCTCACAGGACACCTCCTCATTCGAACACTTGAACCAACCTTCTAAGGCTTGGTACTCACTCCTATCCACAGGTGATGCGGGCTATCCCGCGAGCTGTTCCGGACAAGTTTGGAGAGTGTCACTACTTCAGTAGCTGCAAAAGGCTTGTATGTAATGTGGGGTCTGAGTCCCGAACTTTCCAGCCTGAGCCTCAGAATTCAAGCTCGTGATACTCCTATTGTCGTCTGTCATGTACGACACAACAAAACCGCCATGCCTCCTGCCGGGATAGGACCTCCACAGGGCTCTTAAGAGAAACCTCAGAAGGTTGTAGAAGCTTGATCCTCGTCCTCATGGCTTGTTATTGGTACTCTCCAAGCCTTGGCTCTGGCGTCCCTTTTGTATCTTGTTCGCTATAGCCTCGATTGGGCATACGACCAAACACGCTCAACTTCGCTAGTCCACATCCTTGATGTTTGCTCTTGGCTCCTTGGGTTCGTCAATATGGAAACTCCTAGGGGACTTTGTACGCTACAGCCGAGCTCCCCAGCTGGGCAGATTGCACTTGTCCAGTAATATCAATACGGCGATCCTGGTCGGCTTCTAAGAAAGACCATGTACTATGTCTAAATAGTGACATTGCATACAGCTGAGCTCGTGCTGAACACTCGGACTTTGGGACAAGTTGTTTCATTGACCCGGTAGCCAACCTTAGTGGGCGAGATCTTGGACTGTATCACACCGAATCTCGTTAATAGTACAGTCTGCCTACAGGGATGCTCGCCAGATTTCTGTACGCCATGATTAGATTTGACTTGTGATGGCGGTGCAACGGGCCGCCTTCCGGCGAAGATCCCCGCATCATAACTCGTTGATTGACCAACAGCAACCGCCTTGCTCCCAGCGATGACATTTCCCCACGTACCGTTCGATGTACGATGATGATATACCCGACGGGTGAATACCGTCATTTGACATCCCTGCCGATGCGACTGTCAACCACCATCGGCACTCGGAGTGATCGACCCCGCAGCAGCTAACCAAAGTACCAACCTGCATCACGTACATTTTCCACGAGTAGAATTGGCCGCAGCCCCTGGCATCACCAATTTCCAATGTTCTATGCACAGAAGAACTCTGAACCTAACGGAAACGCCCGCCACAATTCCGTTGGAGCTGCAGATTGTCTTCGGGCCTATTTGGTGTGCTCACGTCGGCATTCCCAGGAACCTGGTAACTCGACTCGACTTGAAATTGCATCTCCTGCGGAGAAGCACTTCGCATGATGGGGCACCCTCATGGGGAACCAGACCCCAACCGGGGAAGCCGGGTAGCAGTGCCCTGGAGAGCTCTATTCAAATAGCCGTCATGTCTTTCACACGACTGCTCCGAGATCACAATGCCGTTCTAGAGCTTCCCTTGCTAGCAGCAAAACTCGACCTAATCATGAGGAGCGTGCACAGGACAGTCGCGTCTCTGGCGTTGGCAAGCGTCGCCATCGCGGCTGGAGCAGACTGCGTCCCCATGTACAAGAACCCTGATGCCACAGTCGACGAAAGGATCGCGGACCTGATGCGGCGCATGACCATCGAAGACAAGACTGCGCAGTTGATCCAGGGCGACATCGCGAACTGGATCAACACCACCGACGGCACCTTCAATGCGACAGGCCTCAAGTGGAACATGAAGTACCGGGCGAGCATGTTCTACGTCGGCTATCCGACAAACTGGAGCACCATCAGCAACGGCGTCAAGATCGCGCAGGACTACCTTGTGCACAACACCACGCTCGGCATCCCGGCGCTCGTGCAGAGCGAGGGCATTCACGGCTTCCTGATCCCCAACGCGACCATCTTCAATTCCCCTATCGCACAGGCGTGCTCCTGGAACCCCGGCCTCATCGAGAAGATGGGCAGGGCGATTGCGCAAGAAGCCCTCGCCCTGGGCGTGAACAACCTCTTCGCGCCGCTGGGGGACCTGGCGCGAGAGCTGCGCTTCGGGCGAGTCGAGGAGACGTACGGGGAGGATGGATACCTGAGCGGCGAGATGGGCTACTCTTACGTCAAGGGCTTACAATCCGGCAACGTTGCTGCCATGGTCAAGCATTTTGCTGCATTCGCGACCCCCGAGCAGGGCATCAACACCGCTCCCGTGCACGGAGGCGAACGAGAACTGCTTACCACGTACCTCCCGCCTTACAAGCGGTCCATCATCGATGCTGGCGCGTACACCATCATGTCCGCGTACCACTGCTACGATGGCGTGCCTGCAGTAGCAGACTACCACACGCTGACGGAGATCCTGAGAGACAGTTGGGGCTACAAGTACTTCGTCATGTCAGACGCCGGTGGTACTGACCGTCTCTGCAAGTCATTCGGCATGTGCGAGGCTGACCCAATCGATTCTGAAGCGGTCACGTCCATGGCCCTCCCGGCCGGCAATGATGTTGAGATGGGCGGTGGATCGTACAACTTTCAGAAGATCCCCGACATGATCCAAGCTGGCAAGCTGGATCAGAAGACCGTCGACCAAGCTGTATCTCGGGTTCTGCGGGTCAAGTTTGAGATGGGCCTCTTTGAGAAGCCGTACCGAGGGGTGCCGGATGACGAAGCATCCAAGTACATCAACACCAAGGAGACTCAAGAACTTGCTCGCCAGCTAGATGCCGAGTCCATCGTGCTCCTCGAGAACCATCAGGATGTTCTACCCTTGAAGAAGTCGGCCAAAATCGCTGTCATCGGCCCCATGGCTCATGGATATATGAACGCAAGCACACCCGTCCACATGTGATACATAGATAGATACCTGTACTGACAGCCTCAATCAGTACGGTGACTACGTCCCGTTCCGCTCGCAATACCGCGGTGTGACACCGCTTGATGGTATTCGCGCAGCCGTGGATAAACAAGGCAGCGTCGCCTATGCCCAGGGTTGCGAACGCTGGTCCAATGACGAGTCTGGATTTCCCGAAGCCATCGCCGCTGCCGAGGGAGCTGATGTTGCCGTCGTAGTCGTCGGCACCTGGTCGCGTGACCAGGGCGAGCTGTGGAAGAATATGAATGCGACGACGGGCGAGCACATCGATGTGGCATCGCTAAATCTAGTCGGGGCCATGCCCTGGCTCGTGTCGGCCATCATCAACACGGGCAAGCCGACGGTCGTTGTGTTCAGCAGCGGCAAGCCCATCACCGAGTCGTGGATCAGCACCAACGCCAGCGCTCTGGTGCAGCAGTTCTATCCATCCGAGCAGGGCGGCAATGCACTTGCAGACGTGCTCTTTGGCGATCACAACCCGAGCGGGAAGCTGAGCGTCAGCTTCCCATACGATGTCGGCACCTTGCCTATTTACTACGACTACCTTAATTCGGCTCGCGCCTGGCCTAACCCTGGCCATGCTTACCCGAATGGCACTCTGGTCTTTGGCACCACCTATGTTCTCAACACACCATTGCCGCTTTATGAAGTAAGTAGATGCTTTCGGCAATGTATTTGGTTGAAAGAAGTGCTAAGCATTGCTCAGTTTGGATACGGCAAGTCCTACAGCACCTTTTCCTACTCCAAAGTGACCCTCTCCAAGAGCACTGCTTCGACCTCGGACACGGTAACGGTGTCCGTCGACGTGACAAATAACTCAACCCGGGACGGCACCGAAGTCATCCAGCTGTACGTCAAGGACATGGTCAGCAGCGTTGTCGTGCCCAACAAGCAGCTCAAGGGCTTCGCCAAGACCCCCATCAGGGCTGGCGCCACCGAGACGGTTAAGCTGGATCTCAAGGTCGCAAATCTCGGCTTGTGGGATATCAAGTACAACTACGTGGTTGAGCCTGGGAACTTCACCATCTTTGTGGGCAGCTCGAGTGCCGACTTGAGAGCCAATGCTACATTGACGGTTGCCTGATTATCAGAGAATTCTAATTGAATCAGAGTGGACCATAGTACTTCAGAACCATAATTCCATAATAGCGGGCAACAGTAACCTTTGGCGGAGCTCCAGTGTGAAGAGATTGGATCAACTGTTTGACATTGGTGCAATAATTACCGCCTGATTGCTTAGCACTAGACATTTCTATGGGCGAGTGACAGCCACTTCTAAATAAAACACTGGGGATAGCCTCAAGTACCTGTCCTTCGTACGCATAGGTGTGCCTGCAGTACCTCCAACTTCAGCATCACCAACGCCCAGATTTCATCATCCCTCCCCTTTGGAGCTCTCCTGTGACGGATCTTGTCTGCCGGACCGAGTCCTCCGCTATCTTCCAGATCCGAGCCATCTGCGTCAGTGCTCCGATGTTCAGACCGAGCTGCTGTCGTGTACGGTCTATATCGAACGGAATTCCCGATAGAATCTTCCCTACATGCACGATCGACGAGAGAGTGACTATACAGCTGAACAGCGGGCTGTGCGTCTGTAACGGCACCGGATAAGTGACCATCGTGCTGATCTCGTTTGCGGAATGAAGAGCGTGCTGCGTGTGGGCATTGTGTATCCCGTCGGCATGCACCTCGATCTGTGCCGCGCAAGACGTAATGCTATGCGCCGGCGTGAACGTGATTTGCGAGTGGGGCAGGTGTAGCAGGATAGAAGTCATGTGCACTATCATGAACGCCTGGAACATCATCTCGTCCGGGCTCCCGTCTTGTTGCAGGCAGTCTCGCTTATGGGGAGGTAGGTGAAGCTGCCAGTTGGTGAGGAGAGACTGGACCTGGTTTGTGTTTGTGTTCTTGGTCTCGCGGAGTCGTACCAGATTTCCGAGGATTCGGATGGCAGATATCCGGTACGCATAGGACGACAGGGGCTGGCTTTCGTCGGCAAATTCAGGCGCCATCAAGTTGTCTATACTTGTCGGCGGTGGAATCCACTGCAAGAAGATACTGTCAGGACATAACTCAGGTCTCGTGATGGTCAGAAAGAGGTGCTTGCTTACCCCAGCGAGATACTCGAACTCCTCACACGGGAGGTCGACGTTGCATGGTACGTCGAAGAGCGGAAAGCTGGTGCACCGATGCACACCGGCGATCAGGCCATCAATTACATATAGATCCCACCATGTCCTTCTCCAACTTTCCTCCAGTACCGGCGTGCTCTCCCCATGCGAGACCGCATATGCCCTTGTGTTCATTCCAATCTCCAAAGCGATTGCCTGGGCGTCGCTGAGTACCTTCCTTGCCTCTTCCTGTCGTCCGCTCCCGCCCAAGCCGAGAACCAGGAGCATCATTGCTTGTACCGTGAAGCCGTCTTTTGTCTTGGTAGTATCGTATATCATTCCGTGCGCCTTATCGAACAAGTTGAGCTGGGCAGAGAGAGACTTCAAGTACAGGGATCCCACCCAGCGAACTGCTGTGAGAAGAGGCTCCATATCGTGCGTCCTGGCCCTTGCGGCCAAATCGGGTTTCGGCAAGAGGAAAGGATGGGAGAGGTGAAAGTTGGAGTAGAAGGAGTCGAGGCAAACATCTCCCGACGCATGCCAATCCAGTCGAAGTATTTCGCCCGAATCGGCGCGTGTCTCGCTGCTGCGCGTACTGGCCTGCTCCAAAGTCAGTGGTAAGTTAAGTCCGGCCATGCGCAATTGTACTTACGGGGCTCAGCAAGATATCCGTAATCATGAAATCGTCCTCGGGAGGAGTGATCATCTCTGTGCATTGCTTCATCGGGTCGCACTGGCAGTCCGTCCGTTTCGATGTCCGAAACGTGCGACGGCGCCTAGTCAAGTAGACGCAGTCGGAAGGGTTGTGCTTGCAGCGTGAACAGGGGTTCTGCCCGTCGCACTTGACATGTTTCCTTCTCTACATTGAGTCCCAGTCAGAACACAAACCAGAGTCGAGTTCGAAGGTAGGTAAACGGCATTAACAAGAGGATGGTTGCGGGGGGTGCACTTACACATGGCCAACACGTTCGGAGAGTCGTTTGAGTAGTCTCGCAGTCGGCTACCGCAGACTCGGGAGTTGGAAGTTGGGTAGCCGGACTAGACATCAGGCTGCTAGGATTCACGAAATATTCTGGCAGCATTCTGAGAGTTGAATTAGCCCATTCAAGGGAAAATTGTAGTTGCGATTCAAAGTATTGCAGGGTCTCAATTTCCCAGCAAGAGGATTTCGCTCCACCAGGCGTCGAGATGACCAAGACGCCCTACATATCAAGGTGGACTCGGCGACCTCCTGGGCACGACTCAGGTCAGCTGGCGGGCTGCCACTGGTCTAATGTGTGCACAAAACCGGCAGTGACTAATCCGAGGGATGCACTAGCTTATTCCACGAACGGAACGCCGAACTCCACCATAAATACCATCAAGGTGGCCGCGGCTGCGTGTTGCCCGACCTCACCGAGGAAGCCAAGCTCATCGTTACGTATGTTTTCAGCGCGTCAACACCATGGGCCGCCTTCTGACAGTAGATCCAAGTTCTAGTCTGCCACAAGAGTTCTAGATCAGTGGAGTCCGGGGCATCTGGAAACCACCCCAGGATTCGGAAATGTCCTGATGTGTTTTGGAAAGTGTTCAGATACCACCATTGTTCAGGCGACGAATGAGAGCAGCATGGCATGATCATTATGAACGGCGACTATTGTTCATTTTCTGGTTGGATTTGGTCTAGCACTGACCTGACTCTGTGAGGTGAGACCGGACACCGTCTCGGGGCCATTGCCATCCTACTGTTGGAAAATCGCAGACCGGTTCCCTCTCTCCTCTCTGGGGAAAGGCATGAAGACGATGACATAACACAGCCCTACGGAAATTGGACAAGACGTGGGATTACCACGCTGTCGGGATCTACGACGTCTGCACCCCGACGAGATCTGACGAAGATTCGCCCTGCTCCACACTGGCTGTAACTTGATGGCCGGCAGCCGGCTCCAATCACAAGTCAGTCTGCTCGGCGACCAGGGGTGAATTGCGGGTCCTTCAATCCCCGATGCCCCGGGCCTTAAACTACTCCCATTCTTAGTAATCCCGACATCCGGCATTGCCGCCACCGTCACTGAGTAGTGTGTCCGCGGCTGATTAGCTAGGGGAACTTGACTTGAATTCAAGGCTCGGGGTCGGAAATTCAATGTTGCTGTGCGTGGCTCGTGGTTAGGCCTAGCGCTCGCTCCGGGACTTGGATCTTTCTTCTCGGCGACTTGAGCCACAGAGATAAGTGCGGCCATATGACACAGGTCCGGTCCCCAAATCTCCGCGATCTAAGCTTTCGGGCTCTCTTCATTCTTGGTAATCCAAACATGGCTAGAATTTGTAAACAAAAGATCTCTGGATCTTTTAAAAGGAGGCTTCTTGTTCCAATGCTATTTTTGACCTCTCCCAAACAAATGAGCTCAATTGCATCATCACATAGTTCAACAATAACATTGATCCAAACATTTGCCTAGCCCACTTACTATTTTCTGAAACCATCCAATTCTAAGCTCGCTCGCGTCCGGGTTTAAACACAATGGACAGCAGTACAGACAACGACATCGAAATGGCCCCAGTGCCAACGGCGCATCTCGCCAACGACATCGTCACAGACTTCGCCTGGAGACAGATGCAAGTCACCGTCAAGGATCGACAGTCTGGAAAACCAAAGAACATCTTGTCTGATGTCGCCGGGCTGGTGGAAGCCGGAGACATGCTGGCCATCATGGGGCCCAGCGGCTCTGGCAAGACGACTTTGCTCAACGCTCTGGCACATCGCGTTGCCGCGGCTGGAGCCCACACTACTGGACAGATCTTGACCAATGGCCAAAAGTCCAACATGACCATGATCCGAGATCTCTCTGCTTACGTTGAGCAAGACGATGCCTTGATTGGCAGCATCACTGTCAAGGAAACCATGATGTTCGCCGCACGACTTTCTCTGCCTAGGTGAGCACCTCCCTTCGCCAGCAAATCATGATAACTTTGGTCTGACAATAACTAGTAATGTGACGAGGAAAGAGGCCATGAGGCGCGTTGACGACTTGATTTCAAGCTTTGGTCTACAAGAGCAAGCACATACTGTCGTGGGTACGCCTATCAAGAAGGGACTCAGTGGTGGCCAGAAGAAGCGTCTCGGAGTTGCCAGCCGGCTTGTCACAAACCCCAAGATTCTGTTCTTGGATGAGCCTACCAGCGGTCTAGACTCTGCACTCAGTGCGGAGGTCATCAGATATATCAAGGATATTGCAAAGAGGAACAAGGTATGTTGCACAACTCCTACAACTCAAGACCGACCAAAGCTAACTCGGCATTTTGTAGCTTGTTGTCATCTCTTCCATCCACCAGCCCTCTACGACAACCTACCAGCTCTTCGACAAGCTCGCCCTCCTCTCGATGGGTGAAACCTGCTACTTTGGCCCTGTCAACGATGCGCCAGATTACTTCCACCGCATTGGCTACCACATGCCAGCCGCTACCAACCCTGCCGAGTTCTTCCTCGACCTCATCAACATCGACCTGGACAAGAACGGCGAGGTCAGAGAGCGCACCAGGGACGTCATCGAACAATGGAAGAAGTCGCCCGAGCGGGCCGCCCTCGACGCGGAAATAGAGAAGGCCGTGACGACGCCATCCAAGACGGACTTGAGCAAGCTCAAGCTGCCCAAGCCGAGCCCCTGGATGGTCCCCGTCACCCTGCTCCACCGCTCCTGGATCAAGGCTTACCGCGACGTTGTGGCCTACGAGATCCGTATCGTCATGTACCTCGGCCTCGCCATCCTCATGGGCACCGTGTTCCTCCGACTCAAGTCGTCACAAGAGTACATCCAGCCCTTCATCAACGCCATCTTCTTCGGCGGCGCCTTCATGTCCTTTATGGCCGTCGCCTACGTTCCGGCCTTCCTCGAGGACCTGCAGACCTTCCATATGGAGCGGGCCAACGGCCTTGTCGGGCCTCTAGCGTTCAACGTCTCAAACTTCCTCATCGGCCTCCCGTTCCTCTTCCTGATCACCGTCATCTTCTCCGTCGTCGAGTACTGGCTCACCGGGTTCCGCGCCAACGGGTCCGCCTTCATGATGTACCTCCTCTGGCTGTTCCTGGACCTATTGGCCGCCGAGTCTCTCGTTGTGCTGGTGACAAGCATCTTCCCCATCTTTGTCGTTGCGTTGGCCATCACTGCCTTCGCCAATGGCCTTTGGATGGTCGTCGACGGGTTCCTTGTCCCCATGAACATCCTCAACGCGTTCTGGAAGTACGTCTTCCACTACATCGACTACCAGGCCTACGTCTTCCAGGGCATGATGGTCAACGAGCTTAAGGACCGCGACTACACGTGCCCGCAGACCCCTGGTGGTGGGTACCAGTGCATGTATGCCGGCCCTCTGAACTCAGAGGGCAAGATGCGGGGCGTCGATATCCTCAAGCAGTTCAATATCGAAACTGGTCTCGAGGGCACTTGGGTTGGCATCATGATCGGAATCATCTTTGGATACAGACTTCTCGCATACCTTGCATTGCGGTTGAAGAAGTAGTCTAGCATTTTCCTTTGTATTTGTTGACTTTAATATTTCGTGTTAGATATAGAGTGATAGACTGTAATATTTAATTTTTTCTAGTCATGCAACCAATGGATCCGCATTTGATCTGACCATCTTACGAGTTCACGAACGTGACTGCTGGGCTGAGTCTGCCTTATCTCTTACTGGGCGGTGGCTTTTCTCTGCTATGTGGACAAGCCTCATGCACATTTTCATGCTGCCTCGGGCGTGGATACTCTGTGAGTGTACTTACCACTGTTTCCCACATAGAGTGTTGGTCAGAAGGAAGAGCGGAGAAAAAGTGAGATTCAGTCTAGCCTTTTCATGCTCGCTACAAGGGTACTGGCTGGCTGCATCCTCTGCCCTGCACCCCGGACAATGACCAGGCTCTGGTGCTTCTGTTGGGCATGATTTGGGGGCTAAAACCGCAGCATGGCTGCAGGGTTCCGCAAACTTCGCCCCGATTAGCGTTGTTTGAAGTGCACTTTGTCTGCCCAACATCCATTTCCAGTTTTCAAATTGGCATTTCTATTTAAATATGCATTGGGGAAAGGCTGCCAATGTTCCCTTGAAGAACCTTCCAGAGTCATTTCCTTGGGGAATTTGATCGCAGCTATGCCTGGTTCTCGTGCGGCCACGAAAGGCACGCAGCAGCGCCCCCCTTTTTCTTCGCCTGATCCGCAACTCAGTAAGCACACGGGCCTTTCTCGAGATAGACTAGGCAAACGCACGTTTCGTTTCTTGTCGTTGGGACAAGGGTACTGCAGGTATCTGCCCCCAAACGCACCCACGACTTAGCCCCCAATGCTCGAACCGTGCTCCAATGCAACCATAAGCACCAACACCCATGTTATCGTCCTCGAAGGAGCTTCAGGAGCTCCAGGAGCTGAAGCACAAGGGCATTCCTGATCCTAGGGGCTGCCTGCATAAGAGCACAATAAGCTGCCCAGCGTCGTTTCGAAAACACCCAGGTCTCTGCAGAGCCAGGCAAATTATAAGAAGGATGGGTCGTCATTGAACCTCGAGGACAAGACGAGAGAATCCCAAAGCACTAGCAATATAGATCAGTCTTCCCACCATTCGGCAACATGGTGTGCTTTCGCGGCAAGACGGTTCTAGCCTGGGCACTGGCCATCAGCAGTGCTTGTGCCGGTCCGCTTCAGCCGGTGGTGGTTCGCACACGCCCTGCGCCTGACAGTATGGATGCGGATACCCTGAGGGTAGTCAGTCGAGCACTTGCTTCGGCCAGATTACATGAAAGAGCCACGCCGCTCAACACGAGCATCAGCCTCGATAAGAGCTGGGAGGGGGCCACGCTCTTCAGCTTGTGCGTCTTGGTCATTCTCTGCGTCCTCTCGCAAGGCTCATGCAGCTTACATATCCCGCAGTGAAGCTTCAAAGGCTAGCAACACCAAGAATAGTAATTCATCCACCTCAACCAAGGTGGAGATTGTCTGTTCGACATGCTACGTCAAAGGCAAGGCGACGACAAGGTTCACCGTCGAGCCGGGCTTCAACGCTAGCAACGACTTCAATAACTTCACCAGGGAGGTTAAGGGAGAGGTTGCCAACCTCACCTCCAATGTGATAGACTACGTCCAGAACTCCACCGGCACTATTCTCAGCAACCTGGCCGACGGCTTCGATCCGGACGACTTTGACCTACCACCCATCGACCTGGACTTTGACGTCAAGCTCCCGACCATGCCCGAGGCCTCGCTGAGTTTCACATTTGACGGCATGGAGATCTTCATGAAGCTCGACACCGTGCTGTCGGGTAGCGCGACCTACACCCTGCGCCTCTTCACGTCCAACACCCCGGTTGGGTTCGGCGTCGGCTCTGACCTCACGCTCGGCATCATATTTACCGTCGACCTCATCCTCAGCGTCGACGCGGCCATCGACATCAGCACCGGAGTCCACATCAAGCTCGAAGACGGCGTCGGCATCAACATCCCCATGTTCTCCAAGAACGTGTCCAAGATTGCCTTGTTTGTCGCCCTTTCATCCTAGAGCAACATCCCATTCCTTGTCTGTTCGCCATACTGACGCTCGTTCACTGTAGTCCCGGAGGACGGTTTGAGTTCCTTCCCGTCACCGTCGAGTCGGCGGGCGCCGTGATGCAGGCCGTACTGCGCCTCGGCGTGCACGCGGGCCTCGACGTGTCGGAACCCAAGCTCGGCATCGGTGCGGGTGTCGAGGTCAGTGTCTGGGCTAACGTCGTTGAGTTCACCACCAACGTCACAGCCGTCAACGAAGAGAAGGGATGCGACCTGCGCGTCGTCGAGGCGTACCAGTTCGCCATCGGCGCGGCAGCCGGCGCCACCGCCGCCCTTGGCGCCCGCACCTGGGGCCCCACGCCGCAAACGCAGGTCCCCATCTTCTACACGACACTGGCGGCCGCGTGCCTCACGGCCGGGCACCGCCGCTCGTCGTCGGCGCTGCCGCCGACGACAGCTACCGTCAAGGGCCGGGCGGATCTCACGACGACAACCATCAGCACGAAGGTCACGCACACCGGCGTGGCGTGCATCTCGATCGGACTCATCAACTGCCCGGCGTCGCTGCAGTCGACGACAAAGTTCACGGAGACGGTCACGCTGGTCACGTCTGTGCCGTCGGGCTCGCAGGCGACGTTCCCTCTTACGACGCTGGCCTCAGTGCCGACTACCGTGCCGTTCGGGAAGGAGGCCATCAAGCTCATTTCTTCGACGGGCAGCCCCGTCTCATTTGTGCCGCCTCCGTCACCGACAGCGTCTGGCAAGTCCAGCACGAATGATAAGCCCAGCGATGGTGGCTCCAAAGACGAACCCAACCTCTTCAAAGGTGAGACGGGAGGTGTTAGCAACAAAGTTATCATTGGTGTTAGCGTGGGTGTCGGCTTGCCCGTCCTGATGGCTATTGGAGTTGGATTATAGTAAGTTATAATGCTGTCTCCATATTGTAATTTGCGGTGTCAGTACCTAACAAGACTCTTAGTATTTACGTTCGCAAGCGGAGCGGATACTCTCCTGCATCTCAGGATACTGGTCCTCAGGCCAACGACCAACTGCTCGGTTTGGAGAGGGATATGGCCGAGCAAAGCAAGAAGGCTCCTCAGGTGTCGGTTTCAGAAAGATCTTCATGATGCTATGATTTATGACTTGTGTGTTCTGCTCAATTTTCATATCCGATTGTTATCAAGCCTTTGTTGTAAGGAAGAAATGCCGTAACTTTCCGTGCCAAGTACCACACACAGCCACAACATAGAATAGGCTCTAGCACAAAGTGACCTATCTCTCAACAAAAAGGCCTCTGACCCACCATATCACTCAAGAGTGATCCAATGAATGACACAGCTCCGAAACGCGACTTGTTTGTCTTGCCCCCCGCGTCAGAAGGGCTGTTGTTGTATTCGTTATGCAGCCACTCGCGCACCATCTCAAGGATCTTTGGCGTAGATCCCATGTTCTTCTGGATGGTCTTATATGTGTCTAGAGTGGTGTAAGAACCTCCTCCCCACTCATTCTCCTCGTTCACCGTCTCAATGGTGATTCCGTAGCTGTTCTTGGAGTTCCAATCCCTGAGTCGCCTGAGGCGCGGTGTAGCTAGGTCCTGGATGCGGCAGGCCAGGACCCCCTGCATGGCCTGGATGGCTTTATCCATGATCTTGTCCATGGGGCTGCCATCATCCCATACTGATACCGTTACAGGGTTCCCCTTTTCGTCTTTGATGACGTTGCCCTCGCTGTCCTTGTTTTCGATGTTCTTTGAGACGCGACGCTGCTTTCGGGCCGGGGTGAGAATCTGGCCGCTGATGTAGTCAAAGGGTATGGCGACGCCGTGGTTCTCACCCATTTTGTACCTGCCAGGCAACAGCCTGGATTGAGGTGGGTTGGTAAGAGCTACAAAGGCATTGGAGAACAAGGAATAAAGTCATAGGACTACTAACCTTCCAAGCTCCATGCCTCCACGGTATCCCTTGTCTTTGAGCTCGCCCGCGACCTTCTTCACGTCCATGTTTCCAATGTCTGATAGACCTTTAGGTCCTGAAGTCGAGCCCGAGTACCTTCCGCCTTTCCCGTTGGTGTCTAACTCGTGGACCATCTCGTCCAAAGTCATTTCTCGCCCAATGACGCCGCCATTCTTAGGAAACATCTGTCTGTTTCCATTCTCGCCCACACTCTGCCACTCTGCTAGGTAGACACAATAAACCCATATTCCTTGATATGATCCCGTCATGTCATGTGCCAGGACGACGCCTGCCATAAAGGCGAATAGAGCAAAAAGAGTCTTCATGATGCCAATTCAGCAATTGCAAAGGTAGTTCAGAGGGTGAGCTTAATCGCTCCAATGAGTTGCTGGTTGTAAATGGAAGCGTAAGGGGACGATTAAAAGTTCCAGCTATGATCACAGCTTCGTGCCACGCTACTGAGGCAGAGTCATCAGGAGTGTGGCCAATGAAAATGTCAATCCTTTGGCATCACCATGATGACAAGGCTTGTGCGCCACCAGACCGCCTGACTGGTCACTCCGTAATCACATGTCCTGATTTGGGTGGTGTTGAATACTGCCCGGCGATAAACTGAGCCTGATGCAGGCATGTGACCCGAGATTGGATAGATGCCAAGCCTTACATGTTGCATTCTAACATCACTGTTTGTCCAGGTGGGCCTTATGCGAGGTGAAGAACCAGACCTTGTTAAGTAATTTGCGATCGCTCGACAATTGGTAACCTTGATTAACGTATCTTAGAACAATGCTGCTGACAGTTGTTACCGTTGGGCATGGTCTAGGTGCTCCGCGGCCACAGTTGATTGGGCTGCTCACAATTCTACCGTAACCTGCCGAGATGTGGCCGCTTATGCCATCCTTAAATGACAGGTTCTACGGATGAAGTTAGCTTTCGTCTCGATAGACCTTGTGAAATGTGATTTGATATCATTCTAAAGGAGATAAACCTAAATTGAAAGAGAAGATAGAGCGGGTCACCGCCATTGCCTGATGATGTGCCTGCCGTCACAAAGGAGATAACAACTTTGCCACAAGGGGAATGAAGCAGCCCAGATTTGGCTGAATTCCCGTGTTACAAGGCTCTAGCCCAAGCAAGACCCCTGCAGTCTCTTTCTCGTCCATGACTCACAAACTTGACGAGGGTAACTAGAATACCTTGAGGATGTGCCATTGATCACCTCGATCCCATCGTCTCGAATTGAAGGTGTGGTTCATGTCATCAACAACGTTGCAGCGCATGGGTTAGATTCATTTTCTAAAGAATGCGCCCCTCGTGACTTTTCTCCAATGCTGCCTACAGTAAACTGAATAGCATCACACGCTTGGACGTCTCACCGGAACGTGGGCCGGGTATCCAAGGCCATGGCTACAGTCCCATGATCCGGGTCCAGAATTCTCTCTGGGTGACAGGAATGGGACCACCGAATATGTGTAGATTCGTGTGCAGATCGTGCGCTCTTGGGATTCTCGGGGTTTAAATATCAACATTGAAGGTCGCCCATCAGTGTCAGATTTCTGCGAATATGCACCTGCTAGTAACTACTATCGCGCATTCGCTAAATCGGTAGTCGTTCTTTCGAATCATACCTGAGGCAGCGTTCCCATTCGTCGTACCAATGAAAGTTGTGACGAACGCCGCCATCGCCCTTGTGGCCTTCGGTGGAAGCATCGCCGTTCATGGCCAAGAATTTGACCCGTCTCGCAATCTCTGCCCTCTGCCCTGTAGTGTCTCGGGGCGCAATCCAGCCAACTGGACTTACTATCACAAGGCCAATGAGCTGAAGTTGTGTAATCAGTCTTCACTTTTTGATATTGCCAGCTTCAACACTCCTATCGACCAACCGGGCACCGATGTTACCATTCGCGCCTGCGCTCTTCAAAGCTGGGATCCAGTCAATGCTCTCCCTACTACCAAGCACCACAGGGCCTCAGGTCTTCGTTCACGCGAGTCTTTTACCAGCGAGGCAGGTCCAACCTTCAGTAATGCCACCATCTCTTCCTCCGACTCCACGTCTCTCACCAACTCCACGGGGACTTGTTCCCACGGCACTCCTAGCGAAGTTACTGCCGAGCTGCAACAAGTATCTTGGACAAGCAATGCAAACTCTAGTGTTGCTGTTGGACCAGTGATCGCCGCGGCTGAAGCGCTAGTCTCGTATCTGAACGACGAGGCGAACTGTCAGCCTACTATCGTGCTGTCACAGTCTGGATCCGCTGTCGTGGGGCTATATGTTGGCAGCCAGCTGAACAAAAAGAGTGCGGCGAGCCTGGCCAAACGGTTTATTGATAACACTCAGTCACTCCAGATACTCGATCGTGCCGCTTCAGAGGTATGCGGTACCAACACGAGCAGTACGCAAGTTTTTGGAGTCTTCGCCTCGGCCAGAGGTGAGCTTGGAGAGGCGCATCGAGTCCTTCGCGAGTGGCACAGCGGACATTGCCTCTCTGGCTTTGACGAACAGAAGGCTGTGTCGCATGAGTCACTAAGTGTTCACAGCGCCATTCTCGATGCTGCGGACTCTTCTTCATCTGGGGTAAAGCGCTTGGCCAAGTCGCTCTTCAAGCGAGCCACGTGCAAGTATATCCAGGCCGCCGACGGAGACGGCTGCTGGGCGGCGGCCGACAAGTGCAAGATCTCCCAGGATGACCTCAAAAAGTACAACCCGCTCAAAAACGGGGCCGACCTCTGCGACAACAACATCCTCAGGGGCATGTACCTCTGCTGCGGGCCCGGCGACCCGCCCGACTTCTCGCCACAGCCCAACCCGGACGGCACCTGCGTGGGCTACTCGGTCAAAAGGGGGGAAGGGTGCGGCGTCATCGCCAACGCGCACAGCATGACGATCGAGCAGATCGAGGAGCGCAACAAGAAGTCGTGGGGCTTCGCAGGCTGCGGCCAGCTCCAGGAGAACCAGATGATCTGCCTGAGCACTGGCGACCCGCAGTTCCCGAACCCGGTATCGACCTACGTCTGCGGCCCGCAGAAGATGGGCACAACGAAGCCCGCCGATGGCACCGACTGGGGTTCCCTCAATCCGTGCCCCTTGAACGCCTGCTGCAACAAGTGGGGTAGCTGCGGCATCACGCCCGAGTTCTGCACGGAGGGCAAGGCAGACACGGGCGCCCCAGGGACGTCGCCGCCGGGTACAAACGGCTGCATCTCCAACTGCGGCACCGAGATCAAGATCGGAGACTCACCCTCAGACCTTACTCTCGTTGGGTACTTTGAGTCCTGGAACTTCAACCGCCCGTGCATGCACATGGATGTGTCTCGCATGACGGACACGCGCCCCAACACCGGCTCGCCGTACACGCATATCCACTGGGCTTTCGCCAACATCACGTCGGACCTCAAGATCGACGTTTCAGGCGCCCAAGACCAGTTCGACGGGTTAAAGAAACTGAATGGCATCAAAAAGATTGTGTCCTTTGGCGGCTGGGACTTCTCGACCAGCCCTAGCACTTATATGATCCTTCGGCAAGCTACTGCACCAGTGAATCGACAGGCATTTGCGCAGAGGGTTGCAGACTTTGTAAAAGACAATGAGCTAGACGGGGTTGATTTTGGTATGACATCGTCACTCTGTTAGATACGTTTGACGTATCAGATTGATACTGATACGAGGACAGACTGGGAATACCCTGGAGAGCCCGATATTCGCGGCATCCCTCCAGGAGCTGCCGACGAAGGACAAAACTATCTAAGATTTCTGACAACTCTTCGTGGGATCCTCCCCAAAGAGAAGAGTCTCTCCATCGCCGCTCCAGCATCGTATTGGTACCTGAAACAGTTTCCGATCAAGCAGATCGCCCAGGTCGTCGACTACATCATCTACATGACTTATGATCTGCACGGCCAGTGGGACTACGACAACAAAAATGTTAAGTGAGTTTACGCGACGATGAGAATCATCTTCCGTATCACTATCAATAAGACTCGGCACTGACAAGGAACTGCAGCGAGGGGTGCTTTAACTGTGCTCGGCACCACGTGAACACCACTGAAATAGACTACTCTCTGGCCATGATCACCAAGGCAGGCGTAAACACCAACAAGATTGTAGTTGGTATGGCTCTGTACGGACGAAGCTTTCAGTTGGCGCAAAAGGGCTGCAAAGGCTCCGAGTGCAAGTTTACTGGGCCAGAGTCAGGTGCACTAAAGGGACGCTGCACTGACACGTAAGGAACAGTACAAATCTCCCAGCCTTGTCTTGAATTATGCTAATCCCAGAATCTCAGGGCGGGATACATCTCCAACTACGAGATAGAGGAGATCCGCTCGCAGTCCGAGAACCCCGACATCGGCACGTTTTGGAACGTCGCCGAGACCAAGGACTTTGGCGACACCATCTACTACAACGACGATCAATACATCTCATGGATGAGCCCCAAGTCGTATTTTGCCCTGGCCGCAAACATGATCTTCAAGAACATGGCCGGCCTGTCTGACTGGGCGACCGACCTCGACGGTGACTGGGGCGACGACGGCAAGGGCGACCTTGTCCAAACCGGAGACGGCTTCGACGACATGAACATGGTGTGCGACTACAGCAAGAAGTACACCACCCTTGATGAGGTCAAGAACGACTCCTCAGGCAAGAGGGCCGAGTGCATCGTGTGGATGACGATGCAGGCCCTGACGGACATGCTCGAGAAGGCGGTCGCTGACTACAATGACGCGAACAATGGGTATGACGAGAAGTTTGCTGCGTATACGCGCTACGTCAAGAGCATGATTCCCATCGCTGTCGACCACTTCATGTTGAGCAGCTCGGGGACTGCGGGCAAAGGATTCGATTGTAAGTCTAAGATCCCTCTGTTATGATTTCGCTCGCCCGTATCGAAGAGCCGAGGAGAATGCATCTTTGCTGACCATTTGCCTCTCCGCGGGTAGACTTCGACTGCGAATTTACCGAGGTGTTCCACGACCCGGTGATGAAGCCGTGCAGGGAGTTCACGTCGCTGGAAGAGCTCACCACCAGCAGCTACGACCTGACCTTCATCCTCAAGGACAAGGACGGCTTCCACAAGGCCCTCGCCGAGGACAGCGGCCTCCCGAGCGACTGGATCGACATGCACGGGTCCCGCGAGGACATCGAGGGGTGCGCCGTCCCCAACGGCGGCATATGCCCGCCGCAGGCCGGCATCCGCAAGTGGCACGACTACCCGGACGCGGTCAAGGACATCGAGATCACCAACCCTAAAGACGCGATATCCAAGGCGATAGGCGGTATAGACGAGTTCCGCGCCAAGACCGCCGCGGGAGCTCTGCAGCTGCTCATGGTCGAGTGGGAAGGCAAGGGCAACTACGACGACGTGATCGAGTCGGTGGCTACATCCATCTCGATGCTCCAAGACACGGTCGAGTACATGAAGCAGGCCAAGAAGCTGGGCGAGGAGGAGGAGAAGATTGAGAAGAAGAAGAAGCTGGATCTGATCCTCAATATCGTCAGCGCGGTCCTGCTCGTCGTCCCCTTTGCGGGCGAGGTCGGCCTCTCGCTGCTCGGTGCGACCAAGTACGCCTCCATGATCGCCAAGCTGAGCTGGCTGGGGCAATTCTCCGGCATCGGGTTCAGCGTTTACGAATTCAAACAGGACCAGACGAACATCAGCGCCCTATTCGGCTTCCTCATAGGGCCTATTGGCGGTGGGGTGGGTGCTATCGCAAACAAGCTAGACATAGGTCTGTTTAGAGAGATCGCCCTCAAGGCCCGGTTTGTCTACGTGGACCTGGCTTCAAGGGCTCCTGGGTATGTCCGCGACAACAGGGTCACGCTTGAGGCACTCAAGCAGATCCGGGGCTACTGTAAAGCCTAGGGTGTCAAAGGAACTGATGTCGTACATGTGCATCACGCGCAGTCACCCCACGACGATTGGAAGGTTTACTTCTCCGACCATTGCAAATGTTGGGTTACGCAAAAGCCCTGACCTTTTACAAGTCTGGAAGAAGATAAAGCATGAACGTCTCTTTACAACCATGTCTAGACTCTGTCCTCATTACTGAGCCACGTGTATAATAATGGAGCAACCATGGCTGAAGCCTCGCAGGTATCGTCTTGGCAAAATTGTCCGGAAGGATAATAATGGTAGCACCTCTGAGTCAGTTCCTGTGAGACGCCAGCTATATGGTTGCTGATCGTGATCTAGCCAACGGATAGTGCATATCAAACAGTGTAGTTTGGAGCATCACCATTGCTGTCTTATCCATAGAGCCATGGTAATCGAGGTTTGCCAAGTCATTTCGTGACAATGTCGAAGACGGTAGTGGGTTTGCACCGCAAAATCCACAACTAAGCACAGACATCGCCCACTGAAGCGATTGCAAAACACCATTAAAGCAGCCAATGTCCGGATTAATGATCTGCACACATGCAGTTCCTGCATTAGCCGGGAAACCCATTTGTTCCGCTCATCAATCACCGACGGATCCTTCAAGTAGCATGTTGGCTGCACACTTCGGCGACAGATGCGCGCCCATGTTGCGCCAGGCGAAGGCCGATCGCTCGTCACACAACCTCGTCACTCGTCCAAGAGGCCCTGACGTCGTTGGTCATATGGCGCTGTGCAACCCGACTGCCTCCGATTGAAATAATCATCAAGAGGTCTGGTGCCGTCTTCTTCTTACTTATTTAGCAGACATTCCATATGTTTAATGGACAAATGCGTCCCCCTGGCGCTCGATGGAGGTTGACCACAAACGTCGCGTCATAAATACCACATCCAGGGCAGCGATCGGAAGAAACGGGGCTCACGCGCATAGACCATTGTAGCATCCTATCTGGTCCAGCACATGGCAAATCGCGAAAGGGGCCGCCGCGTTTCTGGTCTGGAGCGGCTGGGGTTGATGCGAGCCATGGATGTGTGTGTGTGTGTGTGTGTGTGTGCGTGTGTGATGGCTGGATCTGAGGCCCGAGCGAACGAACCCCCGTCGACCCTGGTCGCACCGTTGTCCTTAATTTTAACAGCTATACGATGTTCCAGGATGTACATGCCCCGGCAAACCCTGCTCAATCGGACGAGAGAGGTGCTCTCTGTTGCTCTCGAGCTCAATTGACCCCCCGGGACAAGCTTGTTTCGCCGCACGGGAATATCCAGGGAAGCTGGCCAAGAAGGAATACGGCGACTGTTTCAGGGCGTCTCTCTCCGTGCCTGCGCTGAATAAGGCGCCGCTGTGGAAGGCAACATTGGATGCCTCCAATCAGAGATGTCCATCGCAGTCAGCTCCGACACTCCTGTATGCCTCAGCTGCTCTGTTCGAGAAGCATCTCCGAGGCAGGCGAGGCCAAACTCTTCCATTCCACAGGCGACAGCAACGGAGGAGGGGCGGATTCGGTAAGAAAAGGGGCAGGAAAATGCCCCGAGGTGGGTGTGCAAGCACCCTCCCGCCTAACCCGTTCGCCATTTACATGGACACACTTCCTTGCTTCACAGACCACAATCCACAATCGCCCCAAAGGGGCCGATCAGCCCTGGGATGTGCAACCGGGATCGCCCAGTGATCAGAGGTTCGTTCCACGCTTGCCAAATCCCAGGCTGAAAATAGAGCAAGCAAGTCCAGCTCGTGATCAACCTTGCTCCTTCAACAACACAGCCTGGCACACCATCAAGCACGAAACACCAAGAGGACACTTGCATTAGCGGATGGCCCAGCCCGCTTCGGGCAACGTCTTCAGGCTGCGCCGGGCCTGCGATTGGCCGGCAGTGGCAGGGGACCGCCCTGGGCCGTTTCGAAACATCACCGCCCGCCCCGCATGTGGTCGCGCTGCACGACCTCCTGGCCTCGTTTCAGGTGGCCCAACGCACACCACACCATGTCCACGCCACAGCTGCTCGCTGGCTCCCCGGTTGTCATCCTGTTTCTGCCCCTCTGGCACCAGTGCAGAAGCTTGGCCAGCCTGCTGCATCTTTGCCAAAAAGATGCGGTCAGTGTGCTGTCCCTACCGCATCCCGTCTGCTGCTCGTCAATGGCGGGAATGATCCCTCGACCAGGATCATGCCCATGACGGTGTTTGCTTGTTGGCTTGCTTCCCTGCCCGCCGCCCGTCTGCACCCTGGCTAGTGCACTACTTTATTACCCGGAGGCTGTTTCCTGGACCTGGTAAAGCCGTTTTGAAACCATTTTACACTGCTTTACTCGAAGAGTCTGGTCATTCTGGGACGGCCCGTGGGATTAGCTTGCACACGTCGCGCATTTACACCTAACCGAACTTTCTTGCTCGACTCTACTCCTTAATCAATTTACACGTAGGAAGCTTGGTTTTGTTTAGAAACGAAACATTGTCATCTCATTGCCGCCATATCGCACCGTGTTATCGTCTTGTCTGGTTTGGGATCTAGCGCACGACACGAGGGCACAGCGCACATATCAGCAATAGGGGTTGGAACCAAGTTTGGTCCTCACCGGCGAGAACCAAACACTCGTCTGTCGATACGTCTTCGTCCATCGACGACCTGAAAGCCCAACTATTCACACGTTCGTTACCCTCGGCCGCGAGCTCCATGGAGGAGCACTACGGCACGCCGGTCGACCCGGTCGCGGCCGAGAACCTGGCCGCAGCTCGGCTTCATGTGCAGGCCTTGACGGCGTGTGGTCTGTCGCGAGAAGCTCTGCTACAAGCTCTACTGGAGAGTCAAGTATCTCCTGGGCCCGACCCGGCTCTCGCAGGCATTCAACGTGAGTTTCGCCGCTGATAGCATTCCACAGCTGTGACGGACCCGTTATGTAACCGCTGCACAGCTCTCCCACACACGGGCCTCAATCGTGACCTGCCTCCCATGCCTCTAGCATTGAAGCACAAGTCCTCGATGCACGCATCACATCATCAGAGCGCCCACATCGCCCAAGCCCACGCCTCAATACCCTTGATGACCTACCAGCACCAGAGCATGGCACCGCACCCTTCACAGCAGCAGCAACCACAGCCAATTCGCCAGCCCTCAAAGTCCAAATGGTCCAAGCTCACCAGATCCAAGTCCGTCAGCGGCCTCCGCCACACCAGCAGCGTCAGCAGCACCAGCAGCACGAGCAACGGCGCCGGCAGCACGCGCGCCTACTGGTGCACCGCCTGCGACACCAAGCTCGCGCGCAAGTTCGACTGGAAGCGGCACATGGACGAGTTCCACGAGCGGTACAAAAAGTACCCTTGCCCGGACTGCAACCGCGTCTTCTGGGGCGCCAACACGTTCAACCAGCACCACCGCGCCGCCCACGGCTGCACCACCTGCCCGCACGCCGACCGCGTCGTGCGCTACGTCCGCCGCAAGCGCGCCTGGGGCTGCGGCTTCTGCGCCGCCCTCGCCCCCTCCCTCGACCGCTACCTCGAGCACGTCGCCCTGCACTACGAGTCCGGCAAGACGCGCGCCCACTGGTCCCACGCCCGCGTCATCTACGGCCTCCTGCACCAGCCCGGCGTGCACGAAGCCTGGCGTGAGGTCGTGCGCCGGCGCCACGGCGACCTGCCCCGCGACCAGGCGCCGCAGTTCAGCTGGGAGGCCGCGACGACGGGCAGCGAGCAGGGGTTCCTGGAGAAGGAGGCGCCCGGCAGGCTGCAGGACTTCCTCGAGTTCTTCGACCCGCTAACCGGCGACGCGGAGCAGCTGGCCGAGCTGGCGTACACGCAGGCCATCGTCTTGGCCTCGTCTCCGTCTGCGGTTTCGCCGCCACAACTTCAGCAGCCGCTGCCACAGCAGTATGAACCGCAGGCAGTAGTGCCCAAGAGCACGCCGGCGATAGCGCGCATGTCGCTGCCCAGCACGCCGCAGTCCAAGTGGGTGGATGCCGCCGCGGCCGCCGCGCGGCAGACGGTTTCGGTGCCGCAGGTCCCCGCCGACGAGAGAGACATGCTCCAGCAGGCCCTGCAGCCCATTCAGGAGGAGTCCATGTTCGAGGTGCCGATAGGGCTGGTCAAAATCGATGCGACGGCGCCGCCGCCAACGACGAATTACCTGGGATGCGACTTTCCAGACCCGCTGCTGTCAGGGCTGGACATGTCGTTCAACGACTGGAGCAGCATGGTGAGCACGGTGGTGGACGACTCGTACAATTTGGATATGTGCGCCAACAGCGGCGCTGGCTGCGGCGGCGCGCAGGACTGGCCGGATGCCATGTGCATCGATCCGCCGGGGCATCTTGAGCAGTATTACGCGACAGTCAAGGATCAGTACTCGTAATCTTTTACAAGGGGAGCACTCTGGAGTTATCATTACATGGCATATACGACCGGAATACTGGAAATGCATGGGAAAAGCATAATGTTTATTAGTAGTCAAATTCAAATACGGCGGCGCAAGGCCACGGGGCCAATGCATGTAATAGAGGTTTACCAGGCGATATCCGGTCCTCAACGGGGCCATTTAATACACTTGAAACAATTAAAAGCACTGAAAATGGCTAGATTCGAAAAAAGTGATATGCTGTCGTCTTGTCTTCTGAGACAAACGACAGCCAGAACGCGGTTTCGGGCGGAGTTCCGAATATCAACACAGTGCTTGCACTCTTTACCCGACTTGTGAATCCTTTTTGTCTGACTGTATCGACTTCTTTGCTACTTCACCGGCAAATAATCCTTCTCCATGCTATTCACTGCAACTACTGTGAGCTTTAGAGCTTCGCTAATATGATGACTGTCATCATCCTAGAGTTACAAGCCATTCGCGACTCCCTTAATCGCAATACTTCACTCCCTCGCAACGCCTTTCTCTGCCGACATTTTGCTACTCCCTTCTTGATTACCTCGTGAATAGTTGACACACTAGTTTTCTATTCCCCAAAGCCAAGACCTCACCTCTTGACGAGCACAAATCTGACCCTCAGTTCAGGCTTGACAAAGAATCCGTAGTGCACCAGATCTCGATCCACATCGCTAAAATCGGGCTGCCCAGGCGTCTTGATCAAGTCAAAAGTCCACAGTACTTTGGCCATGATAAGTTTGCCCTCCACCCATGCCATCTCGCGGCCCATGCAGATCCGAGGTCCCAGACTAAAGGGATGATATCCTTTCAGATCGTCGTTCGCAAATGCCGCGTCGTAAAGGGGATGGCCGGGCCGTAGATATCTCTGCGGCCTGTACTGCCGCGCCTCGTGAAAGAAGCGAGGGCTGCGCCCGAGAGTAAAAGTGCTTGCTTGTACGGTGTACTAGACTCCGGCGGTCAGTGGAAGCAGACGGGGAGGGGTGACGGTATGTGCATGAGGCCTACCCCTTTTGGAATGTAGTGTCCATCAACAGTCGCACCGGGACTATAGCGAGGCAAGCCTGTGTTGTTAGACGGGAAAAGACGCAGTGACTCTTCCAGACATGCATGTAGATACGGCAGCGATGCAAGAGCTACCGGTGTGATGTCGTCGTACGTCTCGAAAGCGTCCCTAATCTCTTCAACAAGCGCTCTATAGCACTGCGGCTCCTCGAGGAGGCACAAGATCGCTGCATACAGCCAGTCTGCGAGGGGACCAAAATTTGCAAACATGACCTGGATGGACAGCGAGCCGATATGCAAGAGCTCCCCTTGGTCAGAGGGGAGCGACTGGCCTCTGGGCAGGATGAAGTCAAAGTAGTCCAAGTGCTTGATGTCAGTCCTCCCTTCTACGCGCTTCATGACGCCATCATTAACGGCTTTCTGCATTTTTGATAGACTTGACAACTTTGCCATGGGGGCGAGGAGATACTGGAGGGGTGAGAGGAGGGGGAACCGCTTGAACACCTGTATGACGGTAGTGAAAGCGTTGAAAGCCATAAGAACCTCGAGAAACACGGCATCTTTCACTGTCAAGCCAGGCGGGTTAGTGTCTGAATGTGTTCGACAGACGTAACGCGACCGGGAAGTTCATACTGTCTCGCATCTCGTTAAGCTGCTCGTTCCATGAAAGATCAGCGGAGATGTCCATCGCAAGCCAATGGGTCCAGTCAACGATATTGATGCCCTCGGGTGCTGATCCAAGTTCTTTTATCCGAGAGACGAAGTAGTCAATATGCTGGTGTACTACAGGCTCCATGGCCCGAATGGTACGAGTGCTGAACGCTGGTGAGAGCTGCTTCGCCACAGCGCGATGCCGCACCGGGTCTTCTTCCCAGACGATGCCGCCGAGATTCTTTCCACGGTCATTGAAAGTTGTCTTGACAAAGGTCTCGATGCTCCTCTGATGTGGCGAGTAGATATCTTACAGCGGAATTAGCAATTTCGTTCCATGGAAGGGTGCGCATCTGCAAACCTTGAAACGCCTTGGGGGTGAAGAAGACCAGCTCGTTGGGCGCGATCCGGACAACGTCACCGTACTCGCGCAAGACGCTCTCCATGACCCATGGCCATCTCCCTGTCAGCCTGTAAGATATGTCAACTTCGCAGTTCCCGGGTCAAAACAGAAAGCGAGCTGAACCTACCAATGATAGCCATACCAGAGATTAGAGACGGCCGCAAGTCGAGGGCCGGGAAACTTGGATAGTGGATGAAAATACAGGCAATAGGTGATGCGCAGAGCCGCGTAGGCCATGCACTGCACAAATTAGCTTCCTGCCAAAGGTCCGTCGATGCGTGAGCCAACGTACAGTACCAATCACAAATGCGACGATGGTCGGCCCTGACGCGATCGCAGTTGGTGAGGTTCCTGAGTTAAACATTGTGGCTTGGTCCTCACGGAGAAGATGTCAAATTCGGATATCTCAAAGTAGCAATGACGCACGGCATCCAACCTGTGGTATTTTGCAATGGATTTCATGTGTTGCAAGCGAAGATCATGTGGAAAATGGCTCGACCATCAGTGAAGACGCCCCTTCTGGTCAGCCGCCAAGGAGTGTGGCGCCCGTCTCAAGGCATAAGTAAGCAGTAATAGTCTGTCAACGAGAAATACATAATAAAACGTACCCAGTCCTCCATACCAGTGTGGGGCCCCCTTTTCCATCTGACATCATTCTAGGGCTGACTGAGATATGGAGAGAAGACAGGACTCCGAAGTCTGGCAGGCCAGAGTACTGATCCTCCTGTGTCTCGCGGAAGAGGGCCGTTTCACATTGTTACCATCGATTTATATTAACGCCGCTTACATAGAGAAACACAATCTAGTGGAATTAGATGTAGAAGGTCTACCTTGAACAAACGCAGAGCCAGACTAGCCCTTGTCGACCTGTTTCTGCCGTACCATATCATTTAGATAAATCCTCAGGATCGGAGCCCCTGCAATCCCACTCTTTTGGGACACTTGGGATCAGACACGCCATCCAATTAGATTCGATCCATAGGGACTCTTGGTTGAGAAGTTACTTGTATCCTCTACCTATCCTCGTTGGCCATGACCAGAGCTTTATCCTTTTCAGAAGAGCGAAATTTGTAGGAGAACTCGAGGTACTCGTCCACCAATTTGCCACTGCCTTCGAGATTATAGGTTTTGTCGCCATTCATGACGAAAAGCGTCCCAAAGCCCATATGCCACCTCACAGCCGCCACGAGCCCTTCTCATTGAACACTGGAACTGAACTTCCTATCTGTCGGCAGTTAGCTGCAGAAGCGGGCTCCATCACCTTTCCGCTGATAGTAGGGAATCCATACTTGTATGACAGCAAGGATGGAGGCCAGGATGCCAAAGAGCGCTGCGGCGACGAAAGCAAGGAAAGTCAGCCAAAACGTGTGCCTTGCTGCTCGTCTCCTCTCCGCCCACCGCCCAAACCAAGACACCGGGGTAGGATGCTCGGCTTCGGTGTACAGAATATGCAGTCTCACCGCCCAATGTGTGTATCTCTCAAACAGCTCTCGACGTGTGGTGAGTGGCCTGGTGTAAATCGTTTGGCCATGGTGGCACTTAAAAGGCATCGAGATCCTTTGATCTATCGGCTTTGTATTTTTTTTTTTTTCGCAGATGATACCATGTGAACTTGGTGCTGATCTTTTTGTCTAGCCATTGGCGATCTTGGGGCGGAATGAGCAAAAGGATTATATGCAGTGTTTCGTACAGGAAGGATGGACTGTAGTAACCACTTCAATAGCTCGTTCTATTAGTCATGCCCTAGTCATATGGACACCGTGCGATACTTACTGATGCAAGCTTTCATAAAGAGCAAGCTGCCATGGCTCTTCTTTTTGTGCTTCATAGGTCATCTCTAGCAACGAAACTAAGTCGAATATGCGAAGGATCTTGGTTCGTGGGCCCAGATCAAGTTTCAAGTGATCTGGGAGATGATGGGTGAATTCGATTCTTATATCTGCGTACGCCTCCACATAGCGGGCACGCAACTTGTTAGGTTTGATAGGCGTATGGGGTTCCTCGGCATACCCATAAGAAGGAAATATCTCATGAAAGAATTCCTCAAGCGAATGGTGCTCCTACCATTCAAGACCAGACTGGCCCACCAGGATCCTCCCCGGGCTGGTACTCAGGTTAATGGCAAACATGATCCGAATAATCGTGGCCAAGGCTAGCTCAGCGCCCTGATCCCTGCCGGGTACATCTTCCAGATCTGCCACTGTCCCATACGAACGTCTGATATCTCGTGTGGCCAATACGCGTCTGGCAGCAAGATCCAAAGCTTCTCTAAATTCGGCCTTTGGAATATGAGAGCTTTGTTTGATAGTGCGAACACACCTCTTTGTCGAAACGGAAGTTTCGGAACGAGTATTACCCCCCTCTCCGCATATTATGCTATGTCATTAAGCAAGTTCAGTCTTTGGCTCGTGCGGGTGACGATTTCACATTACTACAACTGAACGGAAATTCCCAACTTGCCTTCATTGAAAGTAGAGGGAGGCGTCAACTTGTCACCATCGGGGGCATGGTGGAGGATCGAGGGCGGTTCTATGCTCTGACTACTGGCCATCAGGGCCGTGAGTCGGCCCCAGCTCTAGATGACGTCTTTTCGTCTCTTGACATCAATGAAGACGACTACGATGCTGATATAGATTCATCTCTGGTGATTAGCACACGCGGAGGGCAGACGAGCATGGCAGGCTCTTCTGCCAGTGGTGGAGAGTAAATCCCTTATGTGGATGCCTTCGGAACAGGAATGGCACAAGGCGAGGTAGTATCCACTGGGATAGACTGGGCCTTGTTACAGATTGACCATTGGTGGTATTCCCTTCCAAATTCTACTGAGCAGTCTGCTGCTTCGGATGGAAATCACCAGGAGAACCTATCAAGCCCGAGCTACTTTAACAAGGTATCTTCTGAAGCGCGATCGTGTTTCCTGTGCGTCATCGGCGGCAGAAGCGGGTCCAAAGCGATCTCACTCATGAGCAAACCAGCCAATCTGCGTCACCCCTCGGGAGCGTGGATACGCACATGGAAGGCAAGACTAGGCCATAGTCCCGATGCAAGTAAGGCTACTTCACTCCCTCCGATAGGCTCAGGGTCTAACAGAGCTTTGAGAGTTGAAACCTGGAGACTCTGGTGCTTGGGTGGTGGACCCAAGCTCGGGCACTGTATACGGCCACATCATGGCAGCGACCGACGAGCATGCGTATATCCAACCTCTTACAGATATCTTCAAGGCAATATCAGAGCAAGCAAGCAAAAGGATGGGGGGCATTCAATCATCCATACCCGTTGAGGTGAAACTAGCGTCGCCGTTTGGCCAACTTGCTGAGCTCGCCAGGGCTTACTACCCAGGAGTTCTGGAGCTGGCCGTTGAGTGCGCGAGACAAGCCCTTCAACCGGAAGTTCTGTCGCGGTCTTCAGAGACTTCTGGCATCTCTACAATTCTGGAATATATCCAGAAGGACCATATGCTCGACCTTGATATAATTGTTCAACTTCTGATCAGGACCGGGCGGCAATTGGATATAGGGGTTTCGCGACTCTGGAACGAGGCTCGGGAGGGGCAATTGGGAGATCCTCAAAGGGCTCTGGCACTTCTTTGTAATATTAGTGAGGTCGCCGGTATCGCCGTACCAGATCGATTTGTCAAGGGTAAGCAAAAACTTGCACCTGACAACGCCGAGCAGGAGAAGCCGCAATACGATAAAGAAGAGAGGTTAAGCAGGGAGCCTATGATGACCCCTGCAGGGGCTGCCTTGTTATCGGAAAGGAAAATAAGGCACTAGGACACCCTGAAGAGTAATTCCCACTGGGAAGAGTGCAAAGAGCCAGCCGAGCAGCAGCATCCCGTGTCACCAAGCTGTACTCCATGACCACACAGTTCAGGAATCTTGAAAAAGGCTTCGATCGGTTCTTCAGCATATCTCAGTAGACAAGCTGGCCGAGGGTCTAGACTTCCAATCGAAAAAGGCCGGTGATGTTACCATAGCAGTATCAGGGAGGTGACAAACTTGGACGCTGTAGTGTAGTAGTTTGTCAAGTGGGCTAACAAATGAGATTGCTGAGTATTTCTATTGATCTTGCAGAAAGTAACTATGACTCTATTATTTTCTATGCATAATCGTAGCAGCAGCTTGGTGGTTGGGGAAGACCAAGGTATCCGCAACGACTACGTTTTCCCTCCTACCGGCGGTAAAGACAATCACTTCGGCAATGTCATCTGGTGTCAACGGCTCGCAACCTCTGTTGTACATACGCATTACGTCAGACCTCACACCCTCGAGCGTGTAGGAGCTTAAGAAACTTACGCATAGACGGCATCAGCCTTGGCCTTATCGCCGCCGAACCTCACGACCGAGAACTCGGTCTCGACCTGGCCCGGGTCAACGCTGATGACGCGGATCCGCTTAGAGATGAGCTCCTTGCGCAGCGACTCGGTGAAGGAGCGCACGGCGGCCTTGGTGGCGCAGTAGATGCCGCCGCCGACGTAGGGCTCGCGGCCGGCGATGGAGCCGATGTTGATGATGTCGCCGGCGCCCTCGCCGCCGTTGCGCCGCAGCATGATGGGCAGGACGGCCTGGGTCATGTTGATGAGGCCGAGCACGTTGGTGTTGAACATGACGTTCATGTCATCCTCTGCGATCTCCGGGGCCTTGGCGACACCCTTGACCAGGCCGCTTTGTAACCAAGATTGTCAGTCCCATGACGTGCTCGGTGTCCCTTTCAGATGGACACTGGGAGTAGGGGAGAGCAAGTACTCACGCATTGTTCAGCAGAACGTCGATCTCCTGGAACTCAGCCGGTAGCGAAGCCACAAACTGCCTCACCTGGTCCGCATTGCTGACATCGAGCTGCACAGGCAGGACCTTGACGCCCGACCCGACCTCCTTGGCGATGTCAGCGGCGATCTGCTTGAGGCTGTCGATGCGCCGCGCCGTGAGGATGAGCTTGAGGTCCGTCGGGGAGGCGCGGGCAAACTCAAAGGCCGTGGACCGGCCGATGCCCGACGAAGCGCCGGTGATGAGGATAGTCTTGCCCTGAAGGCGCTTAGCTACGGCGGATGCCATGGGTGCGGCTTTTGTGCGGTGTTTCAGTCTCTGGGATTGGGTTGGTGCGTTGGACTGCCCGTACTCAAGAGGGGTTGAGATGGCGTTGGGTGAGAGCTAGGCTTGTTTCGGATTGTATAGATTATGCAGTTCGCAACAGCTCTGGCGTGAGGAACGGCAATAAAGGGTGCTTGGTAGATATGCAAAGCAGTCAGAGTACCGGGTGGCTATCTTCTCCCGAAGTTGGGATTGATGACTGTGGTGTGGAGACGAACCCCGCCATGGCTTTTCCGTCGGAGCGGATCGGGGCGGGGGCGACGGGAGCACTCGTGTGCTTGTCGGCTCTACTCAACTAGATCAGAGCGGCGCAGATCACTCCATCCGTCACAGTGGCGGGAGCAGCTCGAATGCATAATTATTGGGTAGTTGGTGGAATTAACTTCAAGCTTCCCTTCGGGACTACTCGAGCCTTCAAAACCTAAACCCGTCATCTTCGAGGAACAGATCCAGGTTGCCCAACCCCGATGAGACCATCGAAGCAAAGTGGCCCCAGTCTGGCGAGTCGGACATGGTTGAGCTCGGGATGTTGTTAAAATCTATGTTGGTGCCGTCTCCCAGCAGGTCGGCGTAGTTACCAACGTCGTTGACATCTCCACCCCCATTCATTGGCATTGACGTTGCTACTGTTGCGAATCCACCAAGGACATTACTGTGGTCTGTTCCATCCAAAGCTGCAAGCGATGGGTTCATCCGCCTGGCCTGCCGCAGCGCCTCGATGCGTAGCTCCTCCAAGACAAGACAATAGCGCTCTGGCAAGGATCCTTTCTCGGCCATGACCGAGATGCGAGACTGGCACTGGGTGGCTGCTGCGAAATATGCACTGTAGACTTCAGGGGGTGAAGCTCGCTTTTGGATCACGTATATGTACAGCACAATGGTTGCGGTGAAGGCAAAGTATGCTGTGATCTGTAGCAGCATTAGCCAGCGAGCAAGCTCCAGAGCCAGAATTCGTGAGGACCTACCCAGAAAGCGCGGTACATCTTCTGTGTTTCTGAAATCTCGTCAATCGTCTTCACCGTATTCATAGCCGCGCCAAGACATTGCCGGACACACTCCTCGGTGTCAATATTCTCACTACTGGCGCTACCACCGCTGTTGCGCCGTGAACTCCGTGCAAAGTTACTGAGGAGAAATGGCCGATAGGTGAGGATTATGGCATGCCAGTATGTAAAGTTCAAGACGTTCCGTTGTCTTTGATAAAGAGGAATGCACAGTGGTGCTTTAGAAAAGTCCGCGTCCAAGAAGCGTGAGAGCTCAACCCGCCAGTCGCTCAGATCTTTGGATACCCTCTCCGTAAGCAGTGACCGCCGACTGGATGAGATTGGCTTAATGGAGTAGAGATCGCGGACAATTCTCCCAATGATACGGGCAAGTCTGCATCGTCAGCGACTTATCCATGTGAAGTCCCAGGTAGGTCTTACTTTATATGCGCCAGCGGAGCAAGCATTGTCGAGAAGCCTTTGTGAGAGCTTGCTGTGGAGACGAGGTCGGCAGTAAGTTCGTGGTCATCAATGCAGGCCGGGTATTCCACATCGATGTCATCGTCGTGGAACGACCTGGGCCGACCAAGAGTAACACTGAGATAAGCGTCCAGAGTGTAGGCACACCAGAATGTTCGACGTCGAGATTCGGATTCCACGATGCCGGAGCCGCTTGCCGCATCGGCACGTCGACTCCTGTTGAGACCAAGGGCCAGCGCCAGACGTGACACAGTTCCAAATAGGCTCCAGCAATGGTTGATACGGGATTGTGTAAGTAGGTAACAGCATTGAGTCAGCCGGACTTGAACGCTGGTCAGGCGGATCGATCCTCGTTCCCTTGTAAGCTGTTGGTCTGCTGCAAGGAAGTACCGTGTACTGCGAGTTGCAAGTTTTAGCACTTGGACGTTGGGCAGTCGGGTATGAAGTTGGCTCACCTCAAGTCTGGCGGTCCTGGCCTATCGTTCTCGGGCATGTACACCCTAGCCAGAGCGAACACAGTAAACAGCAAAGCAATTTTTGCCGGAGCGTTTTGTGTGTCGCACATGATACCGAGGGTATCGTAGAACTCGTCAAACCACTCCTGTACCGTCGGCCGGTGGAGAAAACGGTATGTTGGCATGGCGAAGTCGAAGTAACGGTCGACCAGATGTTGTGCGTCATCCCTCGGCAGCATCATGCAGAAGCTTGGGTCGAACGTCGGGACTTGCAAGGGAGCATCGCCGAATGTGAAGATGTTGCCATCGTCCGAGAACGAGATTGCCTGATGGAGGCGCTTCTGCACCCTCAGCAAGAACGAGACGCCAGACGTAGGCCCAACATAGTGGCCCTGCAAGTCGGTTTGCGCAGGCTCCGGGGAACTCTGTGATGACGGCGCATCGCCGCCGAACCCTGAGTTAGGCCCAGCATGATAATCTGGAGAGGTGACGCTGGTGTGACAGACTGCAGCTGCATGTGCGCCGGCATCAGGGATCCCATTCCCCACCGTGATCGAGTTGCTGCCGCCAGCAGCCAGGGGAAGGCTGGTGGAGGGACGTCGACCTCTGGAGTAGGCCGCGTCGAAGGTGCAGCTGACTTTGACGCGCTTGCAGTAATCGCAAGGCTGCTCGCCGTTGCATTTGATTTTCCTCCTTGTAGCTGTTCAGCACATGCATGTTAACGAGGGTTGGTGAGCAAGTGTCGTTACTTCTTGCATCTGTCACAGGCCCGAGTGACGCGGACTCTCTCTCCGCCTCTTTTCCGCTTGGCGGGCACGGCGGGGTACCCTTGGCCGACGGATGCCAGTAATGAGTGCCCGGTTGAAGCCATGAGATAGGCTGTTCCCTGGCCCCGGAAGTGCGGATTGAAGATCTGCGTGTTGAGACAGCCTCGCGGAGCATGTACGGCTGTCAGTCTGATCAAAGTCTCGGAAGAAGAAGGTCTTCCGTCGGCACTTGAGATGGATGGCGTTGGAGCTGGTGGATCACTTGCATCCTCATCCTGGTCAGGTAGTGGTGGAGACATGGTTTATCCGTCGGAAACTACCATCAGACTACATATCCGTCAGACCATCCTCGGCCAAGATAGGGGCGCTGGGCGACATGTTTCTTCGAATCAATCCTTCTATTTAGAATTCATAGCTGACAAAGGGAAACAGCGGGTTGGAGAATATTTTGGAGTAAGGGTCAAAATTTGCCGACGCTGCAAGGCCCTAGCAAAGAAATACCTTGGCTCAAGGATACGCATCTTTACACAACCTCGTCCTTGTCTTCCATACTCTTCATGAGATCCTTCCTCACAATCATTGCCATCTTTCCGCAAGAGTAAAGCCAATATGCCCTTGCCCAAGGTACCGCCCAGCGGGGTTTGGGCTCCGACTATTACCTTCTTCGACCACAGCACAGACACCCTCGACACCGAATCACAAGCGAAGTACTTCTCGTATCTATCCAAAACCGGCCTCGCTGGCCTGGTAGTCTTGGGAACAAATGCCGAAACTTTTCTGTTGACACGCGAGGAGCGCAAGACGCTCCTGGAGACGGCGAGGAAAGCATGCGGGCCGGATTACCCCATCATGGCTGGCGTGGGCGGCCACTCGACCAAGCAAGTACTCGAATTTGTCGCCGATGCTGTCGATGCCGGAGCCAACTATGTCCTACTCCTTCCACCAGCTTATTTTGGAAAACAAACTACGCCGGCAGTCATCAAGAACTTCTTCGACGATGTGGCCCCGGAGTGCCCGCTGCCTATCGTCATCTACAACTTCCCGGTCGTCTGCAACGGCATCGACCTTGACTCGGCGACCATAGCCAGCCTGGCCAGGGCGCACAGCAACATTGTGGGTGTGAAGCTGACGTGCGGCGCCGTGGCCAAGATCACGCGTCTCGCGGCCGAGCTTCCAGCAGATCAATTTATTACGTACGGAGGCCAGTCGGACTTTTTGATCGGCGGGCTGGCCGCTGGCTCCGGGGGCACGATTGCCGGCTTCGCTAACGTGTTCCCAAAGACCATTGTCCAGATCTACAATCTTTACCAGGCAGGCAAGTTCCAAGAAGCAATGGACCTGCACAAGAAGGCGGCGCTGGCGGAGCAGCCTTGCAAGGCGGGCATTGCCTATGTCAAGTATGCCGCGGCACTCAACACCGCGAAAGCGGCCGGCATCGAGGGAGCGTTGGAAAAGCTGAAGCCTAGGCGGCCCTACGTTGAGCCCACGGATGCCGAGAAGAAGTCCATAGAGTCGCAGACCGCGCCCTTGGTTAGCATTGAGGCGAGTCTATGATAGGGAATAAGATGCTAGTTTCTGGACCGTATTTTTTGCTCCGACGATCAACGTTAGTCCGGAAACAGAAATCCTGACGGGTGCCTCTAAGCATCACACAAGGGATTGCGCTGTAATTAAGTAACTGAAGGCCGAAATAGGGCAACGGATCAGTATTAGATTACCTGCCTCCGATGCCGCTGCAATAGCAACCATCTCCATATCCGTAGCGTCCCCACCCCCGCACCTTGGGGGTCTTGGGAGCGTGGGGGTCGTGGGGGTCACAGTCACCATTCAGATCGTCCTGGTTCCAGCCCGAAGACGGAGAGCCATCTGATCGAAAAGGAAATTTCAGAATCCTGTGCATAGCTCTTGTATTATTGGCATACACACGACTTCTTGCAGCAGTGCTTCCTAAACGCCGGGGTTAATCCTGTTCACGGAAAGGTGAATCACCATCAGCAATGAGCGGCAAGCCAGTCGAAGTGCTTGTCTACGGACTGGGAGCGTACGTAGGCCTCTTACCGCAAGGATATCTCAGGACAACGCTGACTGTCGTTTATTTCACAGAATAGGTTCATTCTATGCCTTTGTTCTACGCCGTACTGGTAAAATTCGGTTGACGGTCGTTGCTCGATCTAATTACGATGCTGTCAAGGCGAACGGCATCAAAATTACAAGCGAAAATCATGGCGAACATCATGTCCGGGTAGATCGAGGTAAGCTCCCACTACACAAACCTCATCGATGGACGATCATGGTAGCACTAACGTTCTACTATTGCAGTGGTGAGGACTGTCGCCGAAGCCGGGCAAAAGTTCGACTACATCGTGTGTGCGCATAAAGCCATAGATCAAGCCAGTGTCCCCTCGCAGATCGAGCCTGGTGTCGACGAAAAGAGCACGACGATCGTCATCATACAAAATGGAGCTGGCAACGAGGAGCCCTTCCGTGTCACATTTCCTACTGCAACTATCATATCATGTGTGGTATGTGTTTACCACCCCTGGCGTTGGATCATGCAGACCTAGTTGACTGACAACCTGCAAAACAGACATGGACCGGAGCCAGACAACCGCAGCCAGGAGTTGTGATGCATACGAAGTCTGAGGATATGCAAATCGGACTGTTCCCCAACAAGAACGGTTGTCCTGCTCAGGAAGAAGAACGCCTCCAGCGATTCGCTTCGTTGCTGACGGCTGGGCAGACAGTCTTTCAGGTTGTTCCCGATATCCAGGTGCAGCGGTGGGAAAAGGTGGTTTGGAATGCTGCATGGAACTCGTTGACTACCCTAACTCTACTTGACACACACGCCTGGCTCAACTCATCCGACAACGCAACCCCACTGACGAGAAAGCTGATGGGCGAGGTCATTGCCGTCGCCGAAGCTTTGGGCGTCGCGCTTGACGACGAGCTGATCGACCGGCTAATCACTAAGATCAAAGCGATGCCGCCAATAGGGAGCAGCATGCGGACAGACTATGAAAACGGCAAGCCTATGGAGGTTGACATAATCCTTGGATATCCTGTGAGAAAGGGGAGGGAGCTCGAGATTAACGTGTCGACCATTGAGACCATTTATGTAATCTTGACGGCGATCAACAAGAGACTCATGGCTGCATCAACATAGAGCATAGTTGACCCGCAATAGAATTGTTCATTTAAACAATTTCGGCACATCCCTCCATAATGGTGAGTGCATAAATTTTGCTTTAAGATGTTTGCTTTCGGGTAACAACAGCACATCCATGCATGGGTGATTTGGCTTTTCCGTCCCCTCATCCGATGGCGGCCGACCCCGCTACAGTTTGGCACTTCCGCATCACTTGCCGAAGCAATGCAACCTGAAAAGTATTACCCAATATGCTGATCCTGCCAAGTGATGGCAGCTACCGCTAGCTATGTACTAGAAAGCTTGTCCATGCCTTCGATACTGCGCTTTGCCCATCGACCCGAGGGATCACAAGCTGTTGCAGGACCGGTGCAGGTCGCAGATGCTCGTTCAGAAAGACTTGCCCGATACGAAACTTCAATTCTGTTTCAGGTTTATCGAAGAATTGACCTCTAGCAAGCCATATCATACAGAATAAGCAAGCAGAGAGAGAAAGCCATGCCTCCACGCAGCACCATCAAGGATGTCATCATCACCCCAGTCGCGTTCCACGACATGCCCCTGCTCAACAGCGTAGGCGTGCACGAACCATGGGCCCTGCGCAGCGTCATCGAGATAGTGACCGACAAGACATACGGCCTTGGGGAGTCATACGGAGACTCGATCCACCTCGACCGCCTTCAAAAAGTGGCGGACAAGCTCAAGGGCCGCTCGGTCTACGACACAAACGCCGTCTACCAGCTCTGTCTCGACTCGCTGGAAGGCGACACGAGCACGGGAGGCGATGGCATGGCCGGCATGGTCACCACGGCATTTGTAGCAGATAAGGTCTTCTCCCCGTTCGAGGTCGCGTGCCTCGACATCCAGGGCAAGCTGGCCGGCGTGCCAGTGAGCGACCTGCTCGGCGGTCGCGTTAGGGACAACGTTCAGTATTCAGCCTACCTCTTCTACAAGTGGGCTGGCCACCCCGGCCAGCCCGATGACGAGTACGGCGCCGCGCTAGACCCGGCAGGCTTGGTAGCACAGGCGCGCAAGATGATCGACGAGTACGGCTTCCAGGCCATCAAGCTCAAGGGCGGCGTCTTCCCTCCTGCGGAAGAAGTCGCCGCGATCAAAGCCCTGCACACCGCGTTCCCCGACCTACCACTCAGAATCGACCCCAACGCCGCGTGGACCGTTGACACGTCGATATGGGTGGCCAAGGAGCTCGAAGGCATCTTACAATACCTCGAGGACCCGGCCGGCGAGATCGAGGGGATGGCCGCCGTGGCGACGCAAGCGCCGATGCCGCTAGCGACCAACATGGCGGTCGTGGCCTTCTCGCACCTCCCGCCGGCGATCCTGCAGAAGGCTGTGCAGGTCGTCCTCTCGGACCACCACTTCTGGGGCGGGCTGCGCAAGTCGCAGACCCTGGCGGCCATCTGCGCGACGTGGGGGATGCGCCTGTCAATGCACTCCAACAGTCACCTAGGCATCTCGCTAGCGGCCATGACGCACCTCGCGGCGGCGACGACAAACGTTGACTACGCCTGCGACACGCACTGGCCGTGGAAGCAGCGCGACGAGGATGTCGTTGTGGACGGGGCGCTGAAGTGGGACAAGGGCGGTGTTGTGGTCCCGACGGCGCCGGGGCTAGGTGTCGAGCTGGACAGGGAGAGGCTGGCTCGGCTGCACCAGCAGTATCTTGACTGCGGGCTGCGGAAGAGGGATGACACCACGTACATGAGGAAGTTTCAGCCAGACTTTTCGGACAAGATACCGAAATGGTAGACGGCCCAGGGACGAATGGGGAGGTCATTGGACATGTAATGGAATTCTCAACAAGTAACTTGTTAGCCTGAGGGAATGGGGTTGTATGAACTCTGCTCTTTCAAGGTTTCTCGTATTACAGTATAGCAGTTATACAGCAATGACTGCCAGTTTCATCCACTGCCTTTACCCAACTTACCAGCTACACAGCACCAATAATTCGCTTCAACTTATTTTCCACATCACACAGGGCCGGTGCCGTTGCGCGTTTGAAAATCACTAGACGTACAATGTTCTCGGCGGTGCAGCCTTCCCGCCCTCGAAGAAGACCACCGAAACCGATGTAGAGGAGACGAGGGAACTCTGTCTGCTCATGTGGTTCGATCTTCTGAACTAGTCGAATCCTGTAGACCGTGAGTCTCCAGAATCAGGCTCCACAACGAACGGATGAGCCACGGAAAAGACATCGGATCTACTAGGTTACCCCGCAAGACGACAGCCGAATGGTTTGTCGAGCCCCTGAAGTCAGCATTTTCCCCATGGGGACCCAGCTCGAGACTTGGGTATGGCAAGGAAGCCCTCATCCCCAATCATTCGGCATTCAATCTGACTCGCAGATATACCGACAAATTCGGCTGGAAACTCCCTGTTCAACGCACGGGGATTAGTCATGCCCCCTTGGTGTTCCCCAGCTACCCAGATTTGAGAGATTTCTAGCCTGAATGCCATGTTATAAATACTCAATCTTACAACCACCCACAACTCCTCGAAGGGCTAAGCCATTTCCTTCGGAACCTTCCATACTCTTCTCTCTCCAACGGGCGACTTTCAGAAAAGTCGTCAAGTCTCGCATCATGGACAAGAAACATACTGGCCATCGTGGCAACTCAGCCAGGTCAATCCTCATCGGTCTTGCAATCAGTCTTGCCGGGTGAGTCCTCTCCATGCATGCCAAGGTGGCACAGCCTTTCCTCCTCACAGCCTCTTCAGACCCAAGCCTTGACTGATGTTTGGACCTCCTTCAGTTTCATCTACGGCATCGACACCGGCATTATCGCTTCCACCATTGCACAGTCCACCTTCAAGACATACATGTATGGCGGCCTCAAGGCCAACGCTTCAATCACAGGCGGCATCGTCTCGGGCTACTACGCCGGCTCTGCCTTTGGCAGCGGTGGTGCAGCGTACTGCATGGACAAGCTATCTCGTCGCTGGACACTACTCTTCGGGTGTTGTGTGAGCATCATCGGCGCCATTCTCCAGACTGCCGCCCAGGGCCCAGCCATGATGATCGTTGGTCGGGCCTTCTCAGGCTTCTCAACGGGCATGGTCTACCCTACCGCTCCCGTCTACTTGGCGGAGTTGTCACCTCCCGAGAACCGTGGCTTTCTTGTCGGCTTGAAGGGACTGATGAACACACTTGGCTTCTTCGCCTCCGGATGGATCGGGTATGCCGGCTCGTTTGCCGTCGGCGAGGCACAGTGGCGTATCCCTCTCGCGACTCAGGCGCCACCTGCACTGCTTCTGGCTGTCCTTACAGTTTTCTTGCCATACTCTCCCCGTTGGCGTAAGTGTCCACCGCTATCTCCACTTCACACCGCATCCTGGAGCATCGACTAACTTACTTCACCTCATTCCAGTTGCCAAACGTGAGCGTTACGACGAGGCTAAGAAGGTCATGTACGACCTGCACGGCCACCGCGGGTCCGAGTTCATCGAGGCTGAGTTCGCCGAAATGTGCAGCCAGATCCAGCTCGAGGGCAGCTCTAGCAAAAGCGCCAACTTCAGGAAGCTCTTCAAGAGGCAGTACATCCGCCGCACACTGCTGGCCTGCATGACCGTTAATATGATGAAGCTGTCGGGCTCCAACGTCATCCAGAGCTACCAGTCGGTTATGTACAACGCGCTGGGCTACAAGGGCCAGACGGTCCTGCTCATCGGCGCGCTCAACGGCTTCATGGCCGTCATTGGGCAGATCATCAACGTCTTCTTCGTAGCCGACCACTGGACCCGCCGCATCACCGTCATCACCGGCAGCTACTCGCTTGCCGTCATCCTCGCCATCCTCACCGCGCTCTCCAAGTTCAGCGAGGGCGGCGGCGCTGATATGTCGCGCGCGGGTGTCGCCTTCGTCTTCCTCTTTGCCTTTGCCTACTCGTTCTTCTTCAACAGCGTCAACTGGGTCCTCGTCGCCGAGATCTTCCCCTTGGACCTGCGCGGCGTCGGCGTCGGCTTCGCCGTCTTCACGCAGGCGTGCACGGCCATCTGGCTGTCGTACTCGGCGTCGGTGGCGTTTGACCGCATCTCATGGAAGTTCTACTTTGTGTTTATCGGGTGCAACATCTTTGCCGGGACCATCTACTTCTTCTTCCTGCCCGAGACGCGGTTCCTGACTCTCGAGGAGGTCGCGGCCAAGTTTGGCGACGAGGTCATCATCCCGCCGTCGACGAAGGAGCTGGAGGCGGAGGGGAGCGGAGAGATAACGGCGCCGGCTGATAAGAATGAGGTTTCCTCAAACCATGTTGAGGCGTCCCGGAACTAGATACCTGTACAGCTATCAAGCAGTTTTCCAGCCAGTTCTTGGCATACTCATAGGCTGCAAGTTACACATCAAAGCTATTTAGTGAAGAAAATCACAATATTCTTGAACTCTGTTCTCTGACGTGGCATTTAAATCTGCACTCACTTTTTGCCAGGTGCTGTGATACCTTTCTTCAGCTCTAGGGTAAGTTTATGTAGGCAAAAGCAAGAGTTACTGTCAGAAGGGGCTGGTCTACTAAGGACAACCCCAGGGTAAATTTAGTATGTGGAGCTGTCTCTGCCTAACCATACCGCCCTTTAGGGCCACCCTAAAGGGCCGGTAGCCCTCTGGCGGCCTTCCCCTTTTCTCCCTTAGGATTAGACACCTTAATAAATAGAATTTAATTGATCTGATCCTTAGTTGATAGTTATAAGTCTGGTTAATATCTGATTGAGTAGATTAAAGTAGGCCTATCTATCTAGAGTAAATATTATAAGATTTAGACTATAAAGTTATAGATTCCTATAGCTAAATTTAATAAGGAGTAGCTAGAGCCCTTTAGAATATAATAATAATCTAATTGATCTTCTGTCTAAGCTAGAGTATTATTTAATCAATCTTCTTAATTATTTAATTATAATATTATAGCTAAGAAGGATCTAGATAATAATTAGGTAGTAATTCTTACTAATAAAGTAGATTAGAATATATAGTATTTATATATCTATCTTAAAGCTATAGATAATAAAATCTAGAAGTATATTAATCTAGATAGAGATTAGATTTTAAAGCCTCTTAGAGATTGTCTAAGACCTTCTTTTATTCTCTTAATAATACTCTAAGAGGAATAATTAGTAATAATATATTTAGAGTTTAAGATAAGAAAGGACTTCTTTAATATAGAGTTAGATAAATAGAAGGTTTTAAATATAGTATATAAGAAGAAGAATAAAAAGCTAATTAAGATAAATAAGCTTATCTATTAAATAGCTAAGTAATATATAGCCTTATTTAATAAGTTATTAGAAGAATTATAGTAAGTAATTATATAGATCTCTAATAGGATAAAAGTAATTAGGTAACTACTAAAAGTTAGATCAGTATAGGTAAGACTAATAGTATTAAAGAAATATCTTAAGCTATTAGGCTTTAAAGTAAGAGTATAAGCTTAAGCTTAATATTAATAAGCTAGATAACTATCTAGATCTATTAGTCTATTAGTATAGATTAAATAGTAGGAATAGGCCTTATAATATACTAAGGATATTAATATTAATAATATTTAAGACAACTAATCTATAAAGGACTTTCTTATTATTATTAGTAATATTAATAAAGTTAGTAGTATCTTTATCTAGATCTATATAAATACTCTTAACTAAGAAGGATTAATTCTAGATAGCTATATACTTACTTACTAACTTTAATAATAGCTTATAATAATAATAATAGTTAAGAGATTAACTAAGGGATTATTTAATATAGTAATAGAGCCTATCTAAAGGTTAATAGAGTAACTAACACTTTAAAGTAAGGCTTCTAATAATAAGAGACCTACTTACTCTTATAGGATAAAGTATAATAAGAATTAGTATTAGATCCTCTATCTAAAGAAGAAGCCAGTCTATATACTATCCTTTATTTAGAGAAAGCTAGAAAGGGTGTTATAGAAGATTATAGAGATAGATTAGCTGTAGAAGTAATACTAGAACTTAATTAAAGTGATTAAGGAGTTACTAGTAAAGCTATTACTAGCTGATTAGAGGTCTAGTAAGATTAGATAAATTAGAAGTACCTATATCTAGACTATTTTAGTTAAGAAGACCTCTTAAAGAGTCTTCTTAAATATTATAATAAGCTTCTTTATTATTATAGCATATCTATTAAAGGATAACTTTATCTATAATACTGATACTACTTATTATATTATTAACTTAAAGGAGAAGCTTATTAAGAGTATATATTAATTAGCAACTAGTATTATTAATATAGATAATATTATAATACTATACTATAGTATAGAAGAGATAATAATAAAGATTAATACCTCTACTAACCTAGCCCTCTTTAAGCTAAAGAATGTTATTATTACTAAAGGCTTCTATATTAATCTAGTCTTTTATAGAGTAATAAGAGAGGTAGGATACTGATAGAATAATAATAATTATAGTATTACTAAGGGTTCTATATTAGAATTAATAGTCTTTTTAACTAAATAAATTAAGAGCCATACTATAATTAACTTCTATTAAAGTTAAGAATAGGCTAATAAATAGTAATTAGATAAAGCTACTAATATAGCCTTATTATAAAAGCCTAGCCTAGAAAGTAAGATGAGATATAATACTTAGTATAGAAGAATAGGGCATCTTAATAATAAAGCTTTAGGCTACTTATCTACTAATACTAAAGAAGTTATAATTACTAGTAAGTCTAATCAGCCTTACTAAGTATGTATTAAAGCTAAGATAAAGTAATAAGTCTTAAGAAGGCTAAGTAGTTAACTAATAGAATACCTATTTAGTTAAATCTATCTAGACCTCTTTATAATACTAGACTGCCTTAATAGTTTAATAGTAGCTCTAATTATTAAAGATAAATTCTTAGGCTTAAAAGTTATATATCCTCTACTAGATAAGAAGAAGTATACTCTTCTTAAAACTCTTTATAACTATTACAGCCTAATAGACTAGTAATAAGATCTCTAGATCTAATAAGATCATAATAACAATAAACTAGCTCTTAATACTAATACTATTAAGAAGTAGAAATAATATAAAGGAATTATATAGAAACTATTACTAATATATATATATTAATCTAATAGCTATACTAAGTAATCTAGGGGGATGATATAGATAAAGGCTAATATAATACTGTTTAATATCAGTCTACTAACTAACCTAGCTAGTAAGGCCTATAAAGCAGCGACCTATCTTTATAATAGATCTTCTTATTAAGCTAATGGCTAGAAGTCATTAGAAGAGACTATTAGATAGTAGTATTAGAAGAATAGGCACTAGATCCTAGGCAGCTTAAACTAGCTAGACCTTAGTTATATTAAAGAGTATAGTTTAAAGGTATATTGCCTTAAAGATAAATACTATAATATTATAATATCAACTAAGGCTAAATATCAATCCTATATTAAGATTAAATATCTTATTAGCTATAAAGATATAAATATTTAGTGGATCTAGATCTTTAAGAAGAGGAAGGTTGTCTTATTAAGGGATATAACCTTTAAAGAAGAATCATTCTTTAAAAAGGAGAATTATAATAAATCTAGAGAGAGATTAGCTATATTCATACTATTAATAGAGGTCTATAAGCTACTAAAATTAATAGAGAGAGAGCTAGAGCCTAAAGAGACTGATAATAAGATCACTAGCCTCTCTAATCTAATAAATAGACTGTTTAAAGCTATTAGGGAGAGAGATTAGTTCTAATAGGCTAAAGCAATTAAAAAGGCCAGCCTAGTATAAGAGAGGCTTAAAGAGATTATTATTATCTACCTAACTTCTTATTAAAGTAAAGAGCCAGTCTAAGAACTAGCTATAATAGGACTAATAGAGGGCTTGACCTCTAGTCTGATAACTTTAGAAACTTTATTAGAGGGAGAGAATAATATTCTAAAGGTACTAGAAAATTTTTAGGAAGATTTCTTAAGTTCTATACTAATTAGGCAATTAGCTTAAAATTATAAGCTAATAGACTATAGATAGTAGTTAAAAGAGTAAGAGAAGCTCTTTAGAAAATAATAGTAAGTAGTTAATAGGATAATCCTAAGGGATTACTACAGTATTAATATAGTCTATACCAGCTTTTAAGCTAAAGTAGTCCCTATTAAATAAGAGCCTTAATAGCTACTTTAACTATACTAAAATAACTTACTACTAGAGCTAAGAAATATTAAGAAGGCTATTAATAGCCTCTATAGCTAATACTAACTTAAGGCTATATAGAAGAAGGTTAAGAATATCTAAGATAATAAGATATTAGAGATAGTAAACTATTATAAAGCTAAGAGCTAGATAGTTATATTATTAAAGTAGGTATTTACCTATAAGTTTAATAGTAAAGGATATATTAAGAGATTTAAGACTAGGATTTATATTTAAGAAGATTAATAGCTATTAAATAATTAGAACATCTATACTGCTATATTAGTAAGAAGGTCTTTCTAAATCCTTATAGCTATTACTATAAGATTTAAGCTTAAGATAAAGTAGTTAGATATAATTAATATCTTTACTAATATCTATCTTAATAAGAAGATATTTATAGAACTCCTACTGCACTTTAAATAGACTAGTAAGATTGCTTATTTAATTAGAGTATTATATAGCCTATAGATATTACTACTACTATAATAGAAGTTTCTCTTAATAGTCCTTATTAAAATAGGATTTATCTAATTAACTAAAGAGCCATACCTCTTCTATAATAACTTTATCCTAATATTCTTCTATATTAATAATATTATCTATCTTTATTATAAGAAGGATAAAGCTAAAGAAGAGGCCTTTAAAGAGGCCTTAACCTACTAATTTAAAATAAGAGATCTAAAGGATATTAAGTAGTTCTTAAAAATAAGAGTTATTTAAAGTACTAATTAGAGCTAGATTTAGATCTTATAAGAAGATAAGATTATTAATCTTACTATTAGATATAAGCTTAATAATATAGCTAGAGGGCTAGCTATCTCTATATTAATTAAGAAGATTATAAAGCTAGATAAGCAAGTAATCTTATTAGAGATTTATATCTATTAATAAAAGATAAGATCTTTAATCTATCTTAATATTACTATAAGACTAGATATTATTAAAGTAATTATTAATCTTACCTACTTTCTTATAAACCCTCTACCTAAAGTAATAAAGAAGGTAGATAGAGTCATCTACTATCTCTTAAGGATAAAGAAGCTAGATATTTTATTTAATAGAAATAACCTAGATCTCTTACTTAAAGTCTATACTAATACTTTATTTAAAGATAACCTAAAGAACTAGAAGTTCTTCTAAGGATATCTTATAATACTATTTAGAAGTATTATTAATTAGAAAGTAGTTAAGTAAAATACTATTATTATCTTATCTACTAAAGTAGAGTTGCTTACTCTTATAAGCTCTCTTTAAGAGATTATTACTATTATATAGTTCTTTAAGAAGATAATACTTTAATTACTAGGCTAGTTTATTATCTACTATAATAACTATTAAATTATTTACTTAGTTAAAAGCAAGAACCTATAGCTTAAGATAGCTCTAAGATATATTAATATCTATTATTATTAGGTCTAGTAAGAGGTCTAAAAGAAGATAATAGAGATAGAATATCTAGCTATTAATTAGATATTAGCTAATAGGCTAACTAAGATCCTTCTAATTAATAAGTACTAGAAGTTTATTAAGTAATTAGATCTTTACTTCTATCTTATTATTATCTTAAAGAGTAATTAAAACTAGTAAAAAGATAAAAATAATAAACTTCTTAGACCTAAAGATACTAAGAACTTTATTAAAGAATCTAACTAGAAGTTAAATCTAGGCCTTCTATTAAAGAAGATAGATATTCTACTACTAGACCACTAAAACTACTTATAGAAAGCACTATATTATTATTTCCTATATATCTCTTTCTATTATTATTTAAGAGAAGGACAAAAAGATTAATATCCTCTATAAGGATTAAACCTATAGAATCTTCTAGTCTAGCCAACCTAAATAAGAAGCTAATAAATCTAAGAAACATCCTAATTAAGACTTAATCTAAGTTTATAAAGATATAATAAGCTAATATCTTTACTAACTAGGTAGATCTAACTAGGGTTTAAATCTAAGTCTTCTACCTTAGAAGATAGATATTATAACTATTAAACTATTAGATTAGTTATTAGAAAGAGTAGAAGTTGTTTAGAGCTATATAGAATATACTAAGATATATAAGAAAGATATAAAAGTTAATAATAAAAAGAAATAATCTCTATAGAACCTTCTATCTAGTATATATCTATACTGATATCTAATATATAGTTAAAAAGACTAGAAGTAACTAATTAGTCTTTAATATTAAGTTAAATTATTAATTTCCTATTTAGGATATAGAAATAGCTTTAGATCTCCTAGAATCCTAGATTCTAGAGATCTAGAGGGGTGTGTCAGAAGGGGCTGGTCCACTAAGGACAACCCCAGGGCAAATTTAGTATGTGGAGCTGTCTCTGCTCAACCATACCGCCCTTTAGGGCCATCCTAAAGGGCCGGTGGCCCCCTGGCGGCCTTCCCCTTTTCTCCCTTAGGATTAGACACCTCAATGAATAGAATTCGATTGATCCGACCCTTAGTTGACAGTTACAGCCAAGTGGGAAGTGCAGAAAAATGCCCAGTAAGGCTTCCCACTCATGCTGACTAACACAGCGCTTGGCATTGCCCTGTCTTGTCTCGGCTGAACTCCAGGCAGCAGAATGACCTCCAAACCTCTGCTGGGTGTGATCGCAACTCCTCAGGTCCCGTCCGCCGGGGAGATGAACAATGTGGTTACTCAACACCGACACGGTACGACTGGAAGAATTCTTCGAGTCCCAAGTACCTCGCTATGCGATCCTTTCACACACCTGGGAGGCAGGACAGGAAGTCTCCTTCCAAGACATGAAAGCGCCTCAACCACCGACGCACTTGTCCGGGTATCACAAAATCAAACACACCTGCGTTCTGGCAGCAACGGAAGGGATTAGACATGCATGGGTCGACACTTGCTGCATCGACAAGTCGAGTAGCGCGGAGCTGACCGAGAGCATCAACTCCATGTACAGGTGGTACCAAGAGTCGGCTGTTTGCTACGTCTACCTTTCCGATCTAGTTTCAGAGGAACATGCAATGGATGAAGACCATGGGTTTTCAAGTTGTCGGTGGTTCACCAGGGGTTGGACGCTCCAAGAGCTCATTGCGCCGCGCAACGTAATCTTCTTTGACGCGTCGTGGGCATGCCTCGGAAACCTTGCTCAGTTCATGAACGTTGTCTGCCGGATAACCAAGATCGAGCAGGACGTTTTATCGCATCGCTTACGACTGGAACAGATCTCTGTCGCCGAGCGCATGTCCTGGGCGTCAGGGCGACAGACGACGCGGCTGGAAGACATGGCGTACTGCCTACTCGGGATCTTTGAAGTCAACATGCCGCTCATATACGGCGAGGGAATCAAGGCGTTCCGCCGCCTGCAAGAGGAGATTATCAAACACCGCAATGACCTGACGATCTTTGCGTGGGAAGCCACGCCGCCACCGCCACCGGCAGAGGCAGAGGCATCGGTAGAAGCAAGGGTCAGCCTCGCATCGGGTGATTTCCGCCTGGCGAACAAAGAAACTGCCCGGTTCAGGAGCGACATTTCGTGGCTGGGTGCACTACCGGTAGAGCCCGTCGAGGTACAACACTGCGACCTGTTCGCGCCAGAGCCCGCTTCCTTTGCCCGCTCCGGCGACATCGACCGCTACGGTCGGAGCGCCTTGAACCCAGACTTCTCCATCACGAACAAGGGCCTGCGCATAGAGATTCAGCTATACATGACCGCTGATGGTAATCATCGGCCGCGGTACTTCCTGCCCCTAGGGCAGAGGACAGGAGCTGCGCAGAGATGCGAACTCGGCATCATAGTGGACCTCGTTGGACCAAACCTGCTAGTCCGGAATGGATACTCACTCAAGGCGCGCTTGTCGCTAGGTGGAGGGAAGAGGATGCTCACCCAGGTGTATTACATTCTCCTCTACCCCAACGACGTCGGTTGGAGGAGCTGGGTGCGCGGCGTGTATTTGCCGCACGCGCCTACGGCGGCCGTGAGCGCCATACCGCAGGCTCACTTTGACGTTGCACGGCGTATGTTATTGATACCGCTCGATCCTGGGCTGGTTTCCATCGCGACAGTTCCCATACAGCTGAAAGGGCTGGAAGTCAGACTTGGCGTCGTGCTGACCATGGGTGGCGGCAACGAGCTCGCGGTGCGAATCTTCGACGAGAACAATCAGTCCCTTCCCGACTGGGTCTTCAGAAGACCTCACAGGTTGGAGGGTGTGCGGCTCTCGGACCTCAAAAACGGCGACAAACTCCTATTGCCTCCCGGCAATATCCTCAAGATGGCTACCGACGATAATGAATATGTCGCTGTTGCCTCGGTCAAACCAATACAGACAAGTCACATGCACGAATCGCCGAAGTGGAAAGGTGCAAAGTATATGCTCGATATAGACGTCCAGGAGATCAGTCCTTAAAGACTATTATCCATTCAGCAGCTTGGCGCATAATATCCATGATTCTATGGTGTTTAAAATCAATATTGAACATCACTCATACGCTCATGGAACCTGGGAGCACGTATCCGTGCACGTGCCTATATTCATTTTCGATTGTTGCCTGACAGCATTATCGACTCGCCAATCATTCAGAACTTCCTGCTGCGCCGCCAAGATACGACCACCACCTCGCCGGAATGAGTCAGAAACCTTGCCTATCGGTCGACAGTATATCATGAAATCACAACGTCCTCCAAAACGCTTGCAGTGAACTAACTTCATAGATACACGCTGAGTTAAAATGTCTTCAAACCGTGAAGTATCAAACGAGAATGCGGGGGCCTCGACAGCAAGTACAGCCCTTGGCCGATCACCAGGTCACGAGGTGGAACGACAGAGACCGCGAGATGTACAGCGTCCGATGCCCCAAGAAGCACATGCACCGCATTCGCCACCATTCGCCTTTCCGCCCGAGGTTTGGGGATTGATTTTTTCCTTTCTCGCGCGCGACACGCCTGCGTCATGGGTCTACGAGGAGAGCCGAAGGGTAGATGCCAGCGATCCTAGCCAGATGCACAAGCGGTACGCCGAACTCGACGATGTCCGGAAGTCGCAGCACGCACTCCTTAATCTCTACCGCTGTTCAAGGGTGATGCATGATCTGGTCGAGTCGTGGCTGTACGAGAGGGTCTTTATCGCCAGAGGCCGGGACCTCAGCAGCCTGATCACGCTGCTCAAGAGGAAGCCAGGCTTGAACAAGCACGTGCGGGCTCTGTATATCCTGGTGCAGGTCGATCACAGCGACTTTATGGAAGAATGCTACTATCACCTAAAAGAGCAGGAGCTTGGGAAAGGAGTGGTCGGAGCGATCAGGCGGAGCGACTTGGCCGGTCCGCCCTGTGCTCCGGCACTGATGGTCAACACGAGCTCTAAATCTTTGTCGACGGCAGCTCAGCCAGCCACGACAGACACTCAGAAAAAGAAGCGACAGAAGAAGAAGGGCAAGCATCGTGCGCAGGTACCTTCCAGGCCGGTAGCCACTCAATCGTGGGAAGGCCGCCGAAGCCGTGACAGCACTTACGGTATCCACCTGTTGGCCGAGCTTCTCGCCAGACTGGAAATCACCACACTCTTTTGCTCTTGGCCTTGCATTCAGAAGTTCGTATTCGATGTGCCAGATACATTTCCATCCACTCGAATCCCCCGCGCGCTGCAGCCCTACGTATACAATGACGATGGGTACCCAATACCACCCACCCAGTACGACCTCAGCAGAGAGCCTATGCCAGTCATGCTGGCGGCGAGAAGGACGCTGCGAAGAGTGAGACACGTCCGCCTCAGGGGCGAACTCTCCTGTTATGCGGCACGCCCGGTCCCCTTGATGGCCGCGATCGACTTCTTCACAGATATAGTGTCGTTCGAGACGAGCAACTCCTCGCCGCTGGAGCCCTGGTCGCCAGTCTATGGCAGATTTGGGCCCTCCGGCAACTTGAAACACCTGCGCCTGCACCTGACGCGAATCAAGGGCATGAACCTGGCCAGGCTCATCCAGGGCTGCCCCATCCTGGAGAGCCTATATGTTGGACTGAAATCTATACATGCGCCGTTCGGGCGTGGCTATGGATCAAGCACCGGCAGGGGCGGTTCGGCACTTGACGATGCCCTGCGAGAGCGAGCTCGAACGTTACAGGATTTAGTGATCTTTGATGAATGGATTGATGAGTGGACAGAGGCCACAGATCCCTCCTTGGGCTGGGGTCGACTGACCTGCCTACCTGAGCTAACACATGTCGAACACCTTATGGTACGATCGTCAGTAATCTTTGGGAGGCATCACGAGGGGTACGACGCCCATCTTCTGGAGGATGCGCTCGACAACCTGCCACCAAGACTTGAGACACTAACTATTCTAAGCCAATGGCTCTCGGGCGGATGGCAATATCAAACGCAAGAGGAGATGAGGGCACGACTGACGAGAAGCGAGCTTCAGCCAGGGAATAAGGCAGCTGATATTGTCCTGCTGATCAACGCCTTGCAGAGGCATCATAGCTTAGGCTTGCTGCCGAGGAATATCAAACACCTGACCGTTGTGCTCCCTGCCAAGCAGAATATGAACGAGTATTATGGGTTGACCGAGGCCAGGCTGGAGGCGGGCTCGTACTTCTCTGGGGTTGGGGTAGTGTTTACTTTATTCAAGGGATACCCGGGAGGGAGTGCAACCCGACATTCCCTACTTCATTATTGAGGTATTGCCCATCTCGCGGCTTGATTGGGGGCAGGCTGATGCATTCTATAACCTTGGGACACTGTATCATATAGTTTCTTCGTTCCTCTGACACAGTAGATCTGAAGCTAATAGGCAGAACTTTGCCCGTATACTGGAGTCTGTCGTTTAAGGCACGAAAGTTCTAGTCAGTATGAGTCTTGCTGTGCGTCACGTTGGGACCAGCTGTTCACCGACAGATGTATGAACAAGAAGTGTCATTACTATTTAAGCGTAGAAAGCCTTATGAACACTAAAAAAGGGCATTCAACGAAGTAAAGTCGTCGATTCTTCCTTGATTTCGAAGAAGATGAGGGACCAATGCCTGCCGAGGGACGATCGAAAAGCAGACGCATTGTCACGAAAAACAGCTCTTGTGGAGACGGGAACGGAAGCCCACATACAGCTCGGAAGCGCCTCGCACAGGCCAGGGCTTTAAAATAGCGTATCTGCGGAGTTGATGGGCTTTCAGAGAATCGATGCTCCGGAAGTCGGGAAATACGACGGGCGTTGTCATGACGCAACTTGGCCGTGCAGCCAGGGTGGAGGTCGAGCCTTGGCTCGGTTGCCTCCCCCGGATTTTGTCACCCGAATCCATGACCCACACTAGCCGGGTGGCAGCTTCAGCTTCCACCCCGCAATCCCGAGGGTCCGGGATGGAGAGTTGCTTCAAATGAGGGGAGCCGAGATATTTAAAAGGGTTTGCTGGGTATCTGGATAGGCACATGCATCTCCAGCGACGGAAACAAGGTACTTACTCACTAACCTAGGTCTGAATATACAGCCAAACTCACCTAGTTGTTATCATGGACGCCAATAACCTCCCGCAATGGAAAGACATGCCGGCCGTTGAGGGCATGCCGTGAGTACTCCGAGCACTCTTCTACCACAGATATAGACGCCGATGCTGACCGCATTCATAAGCCATGGCTGTGCCTGGGGGCTCTTCGACAAGGACGGCAAGAAGGACGAGCTGGGCACTCTGAACCTTCTCACTCCCGAGGTCGTGATGCGTGCGCGTGAGGAGATCAAGACCGGCAAGAGTGTAGCTCTGAACTGGGGCCTGGACAGGCTGAGTGATGTCCAGATGGGCCGTTCCGTCCTCAAGCACAGTCACGTCGACTGGAGGGATAAGGGGTACGATTTCTGGTGCTATGACGACGAGATTAGTATCAATACGCAAACCGGTGAGGCTTCGTGCTGTGGGGGTGCGTTTATGCAATGTAACTCTGCTAACAGTCTTTCGTAGGAAGCCAATGGGATGGACTGCGTAAGGTCCATTGGAGAATTGCCGTTGCCAATGACTCCGCAGTATGCTGACCACGACCAGGCCACTGGGGACACTCCAAGACCGGATATTACTATAACGGTATCAAGCACGATGACCTCTTGAAGAGTGGCCGGCTCGGCGTCGAAAGTATGTGTAGTCCCCAGCCGTCCCGACGTCGAAAGGCGTAGTTCTTCGAGACTTTCCTTGACCGTTCCGTGTAGACTGGACCAAGCGAGGTGGCATCGTCGGCCGTGGCGTCCTCCTCGACTACGTCGCCTATGCCAAACGGAAGGGTATCGAGTACAGCCCCATGTCGTCCCACCCGATCCCCGTGGTGCAGCTCGAGGAGATGGCGCGCGAGAGCAACGTCGAGTTCCGGCCCGGCGACATCCCCATCATCCGCACCGGCTGGACGAAGTGGTACGACGAGGCCGGCTTCGCGGACCGCAAGAAGTATGTGATCGACGGGTACGACTGGGTCGGCATCGAGGGCTGCGAGGAGATGATGGAGTGGCTGTGGAACCACCACTTCGCCGCCATCGCGACAGACGCCAACGGCGTCGAGCGTGTCCCGTTCAACCCCGAGTGGAGTGAGTGTTTATTCCCGGGTTGGCCCCGTTTTTCAAGCAATTCCCGGCTGGAGAAGTGTCGACTGACAGGTGTATCATGACGTCTCCAGCGCTCCACGATTATGCGTTGGCGTTCTGGGGTATGCCGCTGGGCGAGATGTGGGATCTGGAGGCGTTGGCAGCTGAGTGCGAGACCCAGCAGAGGTGGACGTTCTTTCTGACAAGCTCGCCCCTGAATCTTCCAGGTGGCGCCGCAAGTCCGCCGAATGCCATTGCCATTTTCTAAAGTCGATATCGTAGATTCGGATGGCCTGATTGCGGGGGTTTGGAGTCGATTGAGTTGCAAAGTTTTATCGATGATCTTCGTCGAAGACGTACATGCCGTGGCTCAATGTCGGAGTAAGGAGTGGAGGGAGGCGTTCGTCGATACAGTTGGAGATGGAGCTATTAGAGTTGAACCATGGACGTGATCAAGGTCTAGATTGGATCGATAGCATTGTCCGAAATCGAAGACGACAGTTGTAGCAGTTGTGTTTGTCTTCGCCAACAAAGGAAAGTAATTAAGTGTCGCTGATTAGAAACCAACCTGCTCGAAGGATCATCAGCTTGGCAGAACCATCAATCCGCGCCTCCCCCAACGGTTGGACCGTGTATGACACCCCTTTTAGGCTTTTTAGGAGAAATCCGTTATAGTCTCAAAATAAGAATCGTCTTGGTTTTCACGGATCGCTACAAGCAGGATCGTAGTGGCAAGCGATCTAACATCTATTCACATCACCTACTGAGACCATTTCCCGGTACATTCACCATACCCTACACCACTGGAGGACTACCACTACACTACAGTACGACTACAACTACAGTGACCGTGCCGTGGCCACGCAAGGTGAGTCACCGCTCGCCATACAGTAACCACCACAACGCTGGCCAGCACAACGTGGCCTGGCCCTGATCTCTAGGCTCGTCGCATTTCGTCGTTGCCTGCTGGTCTGTTTGGCAGGGACGACGATCCAGACGACGATCTGGTACCAATTGCTGCCCAATATTCCTGAAATGGCAGGTGTTCCCACCACCTTTCAACGCGACACAGCCTCCACATCGTGTAGGAACTGTCATTCTCGGGCATGCCAAAACCTTAGTGAATTGCGGCACGGGGCCACACACACAAGACACAAGACACACAACACAAGCAAAACACGAGCAATCGAAATGAGGGCGCCCAGCCATGCCAACCCGCCGACCAGTCCAATTGCTGCACAGGCGGCCGGCTAGCTGAACTAAAGTCGACCGACTGCATGGATGTGACAAGCTGCAGCAGTAGCCAGACCGGTCGACGCGGATAAGTCTTTCTCCAGTCTCACAGTCTCAGACCATATGTGCCGCTAGGAGCGTTGGACATGAGCTGAAGTCTCGCAGAGACCTTGTTGGGCCATTAATGTCGACACCATCAAACAGAAAGAGCGGGGTCTCCGGCTCGTGTTTGTGACGGTGTGAAGTAGGGGTCCCAGGACGGACATGTTGGACAACGCCAAGCGGCTACGATCGACAGAGGCTGTTAGGGTGCAGTCTTGAACAAAAGGAATCCGGCCCAGGGGGCGGCAGGCTACCAGAATTTGGCGCGGCTCCTGACCACTGGCGGATGGGGGCTGTGACTTCGAAAGGGGGACCGAGCGATATCATGTCAAGCGACTAGTATCAGGGGCTAAAAGAGAGACTATGTTCCCTTGTGCCTACCTGCCACCTTGATCTCAATAGACTCTACGCTATCCCGCCTCTTGTAACTGCCGACTTGCTCATCCTCCAATGGGCTCCAAGCCGTCGACCCAGCACAAGGTTTCAGCTTCTCGTAGTCTACTTGTACAAGTACGTTCGAGAATTGTGTCGATCAGTTCATTCTCCTCAATGGGGGCTCAACTGTCAGCTTGTGGAGTAGAGTCAAGGGACAGGGGCTAACAATCGTGGACTGATTCAGACTTCACACGTGCCGAAACAGAACGGTGTAATGAAGCTATTGGCTGGCCTGCAAATGAGGGCCAACGAAACCTTATCGTCCATTACCACCACATCTGAAGCTCATAGGTGGAATTATCCGAGAGAACCTCAGCTCCTAGCGGAAGCTAAGGGTCCCGAAATTCAATGCACAAAGCTAGGGCAGAACTGTTTCTTCTCGAGGGCTAGGGACAAGCTGTTCACGAGCATGGCCCATGGCGAGCTACGAGCTCTCTCTGGCTCTCGTAATGAGAAAGTGTAATTAACATTGACTTTCGAACTCACCCTCCTTCAGCAACTTGCATGCCAACTTTTACAAGTACCTACGATGCGTCGGAGATGACGTTGGAGCCGTGGACCCAGCTTTACCGCGCTGGCCCTACAAAGTACGGTTGGTTTTACGGTACACGCTCGGTAGATGTGGGGAGGCGTGATCTCCGTGGACTCCGTGGACTCGGTGAGCTGCACCCCTGAGGAAGCTAAAGGCTAGAACACAGGTAATTGTGGAGGAGGCAAGGACAAAGATTGATAGCAATTCGCCGACCAGATAATACCGCATGGCGTCGTCAAGTCGATCCATGTTGTTCTATCACAGGAAATCTGTCGACATCAGAACCTGTTTTTTCCAGGACCAAGTTATCGGCCCGGCAAGTCGACCAGGCACGCTCGAACGATCTCATGCACTCCACACACCAGGCATGCGAACTGGGCGGTGCCGCCGAGAAACGGGGACTAAGGCCAGGCATTCCTTTTTTTCGTTTTCCCCCTCGAAGGTCTGGACCCCTCGTGAGAGGCTCCTTCGTACAGTTATGGCATGCATGCCAGTGCATTGGTTCAGCCGAATGCTGATCGCTGACCCTCAGACACGGTTGGCACATTCCGCTAACTTAGCGAGAATAAATGCACCGTCACTAAAAATGCACAGGGACATGCACGCTAGTCGCTCGCATTGTGTAGGGTGCGAGACAAAACGAACGCGGCGCAGGCGGGACCTGCAGTGCACGAACAAGCCAAGAGACTGCATCGGCGTGGCATCCCGGCTCCGATCAACGGTATGGGTGTCAGTGCCGCCAGGGTCCCAGGGTCCTGCTTCGGTCTTCCTTACCACCCTCCCAAAGGGGGTTTGCCGGGCGACGGCAGAAGCCAGGATCAGGTACCAAAGTACAAGTAGTCAAGCTGCTTCCCGCCAATCTCGTTTGGAGAAGAGCAACCTTGGGAAGTGTGAGTCGGATAATTCGTCGGCTCTTTACCGCGCAAAGCCCCCTCCCCATGCCGCAGGGACGACAGCGCTGTGTGCCCTTTTTGAGCGTTGGGCATCGACTGAACCTTCGGGGATGGCGTAGCCGGAAGACGCACCTTTACGGAGGACACAATTTCGAGCAGTCTGGACCCCGGCAACGTAATGGGTTGCCGAACGGATCGAGCAAAGATGGGAGCGCCGTTGGCCAAAAACCTGGACGGACTCAACGCACGAAGGCAGGCCAAGTGGGTACAAGCGCCTCGGTCTGCCCTTTCGAGTATGGCCATCTGTGAGGGTGTGAGGAGACCCTTTAGTGCCCACTATTAGGGCACCATTGGTGGAGGCATATGCCCCTAGAATCAGCAATTCATTCTTCTTCGCCTTCTAGTGCCCAGCGCTTGCTCGAGCCAGCGTTACTCTCGGGGGCCGTCCCGGGACAGCGCCCAAGCAAGGCGAGTGGGAGGTGCGAGTGGATATGGCGCAGGGCATGGCTGGCCACACCAGTCCAACCTACGGGGTGACCTGCCGAAGGGATGGATTGTGGGAAGGGCAGAGGTGAGGTAAGGGCAGGCCGGCATGTCATGCCCAGGGCCGTGACATGGCGTAGTGTTATGCAGGGACCACTGTGGCTGGCTGACTAGTCTGGTATTTCTCCACGGAGACTTGTGACAGATCAGAATTAGAGAGATTCGACGATGAGGTTAGTGACAGCATCCTGTGCCTCCCGTGCCTGCAACCCACACCCCCTTCCTTCTCCTTGTCTTCCTCCGCCTCTTCTTGACTGTTGACTGGTCTACTCGTAGCTAGGTAGAAGGTTCTGGGACTTGAAAGTCAAGAGAGGAGCGTGTCTCTATGTGCGTCTGTTGCAACGCAGCGACCACCAGCCTCGTAGCTTTAAGGAAGTACCATGCTTTCTACAGGTATAGGGAATCCCTCGCCTGGCGCTTTGCTTTGTGTCCCCCCGACCAGGGTCCTCTGCCACATGGCTTTGACCGTACGCCATTGCGGGTCTCAGGGCTGGTCTTGGACGGAAAGTGTACCCCTTTCCAGAAGGACAGAAGCTTGCATGCCGGGCGCGACGCAGGGCTAGCACGATGAAATGCCGAGACAGACATCTGGGGAATGCCACGAGCAAACGTAGCAAGGACCATCCCACGACCCTCAAATGCCTCGTCGAATCATTTGCCGAGATCGGCTGCGACTAGACAGTATGGCACCAGGCCACTGCACGGCCTTGCACCTATCGAGGCAGGATGTCCGCTGCGCGGTGGAGGCGCGCCTGAAGATCTGGTCCAGGGCCAGCAATCAGGATCAGCAAACGAAACGGCGGCCAGGGCTGAGCATGGCTGAACAGTGGTCTAAATTGCCTCACCTCCAGTCCATCCACCATCCACCTTCGGGTTCGATTGAGACGCCAGCGCAGACCAAAAGCAGCAGGAGGAGTATCAGCTGCAGGCCAGCGCAGGGCGAAGCACGCGATACCACGCACACACCGACAGCGGACAGATGCTCTGAAGAGCAAGGCGCCGGCCGGCTACAGTGCCTACTCTGGGCGGCAGAGCCGGCTGCCAGACGCGCGAGTCAAGAAAAAGACGCCGCCGCGAGGTGTTCTACAGCGAAAGAATGAGCCAGGGGCCGGCGCTGGAACGGCGCACTCTGGCTAGCTTTCGGCCTACCCTGCTAGCACTTGAGGTATGTACAAGGTAGGTTGGGCTCCCTGATTAGCATTGCTCGAAAACGCTCGGCGCCATGCAGGGTCAACCAGAGTTTTTGCGAGCAAAACGTCACCCGAACAGAATCGTCATCCGGTTAACGGGAACGGCAGTGCAAAACCAAAACCAAACGCAGTCCACGTACCTCTATGCGGTACGTGCCATTTCCCATATTGCCATCGTCTGCTTCGATGAAACCTACATGCTTTCAGCACACTCTGCACACCTTTTCACACGCTGCAAACGCCACTCACAAGGGGCGCCCTCGCTCATAGTGACAGAGCTTGGTTTTGGACCTGTAAGGCATCTCGGAAACCAAACCAGAAGCAGGGAGGGCGTTGGCAGGAGGAGCTCATTGGCGGGCGGATAATCTCCCGTCTGGTCAAAATCGCCACCCAATGGCACATCATCTTCCCTTTTGGGAATCACTTACAGCTTCACCTGATAAAGCCATCCCCAATCCGTGCAACGCAAAGCACAACACAGCCACTATATCCAACGGCAGGCTCTTGCATTGCAGGGCGGGCATTGCTCTCACAGGCCGGAAGACAGGAAGCAGCAGCCACAGCAGCCAGCCAACCGTCTTAATGAAGAGTCAAAAAAACGCTCGAAGACTGACTGTCAAATGGGGTGTTTAGAGTTTACGCTAGCGCACATCGCTTCCCACTCTCTCAATATTCTGCAGTGCAGTTGCGGACCTGTCCCCGTCTCGAGACACATCCCCCCTGGACACACCCTCTTGGCCCCCCCGCTGGTCCATTCGCTGCTTGACGGCCCTGTTCTCTTCACCCTTGGTCCCTGTAGCTCCTTGGTAACGGCGAACGGTTGTTTGAGCCAGGCCCAAGGCGCGATGGTACTGTTGCAGGAGGCCGATCCCTGGATGCCGGCACAACCTGCCCCCCTCCCCAGCAGGAGACTACCGCTCTTCCGCCCTGTGCTGCAGCACGTCCGTCTGCTTCGTGACCATACACCTGCCTGTGTGCAACGAAAATCACTCGCCCCTCCTCCCGCACTGGCGGGAACGGGAGCCCTAACAGGGAATCCTACGCCATGGACGTGAGATTTCTTGGCACGATGGAAATCTCGTCGCCTGGCCTGTGTGGGTTCAAGACCCGTTTCCCGGATCCGTTCTTTGGGCGGCAGAAGCCTGTCAACACGGGGAAATGCCCCAAAATATCTCTGTCGATCATGCTTCTCTTTTTCGTGCCGGTAGCGTTGTTGAGTAAAAAGACATTAGCTTCCCTCTGTCTCTCGCCGTCCCCGTCCGATTACCTACCCATGATCCTGTAACTCTCCATCCCTCTCACCATTCCGGGCACCACCCATCTTTCCGCCCAGTTCCGGGACAAGGGCCCGGGGACCTAAAAGAGACACCGGTGGCAGAGGGAAGAAAACTCGAAACCCTGTACCTGTGTACAAGTAGAAGAGGGTACACCTGGCACGGACTACGCCGGGGAGAGACGGGCTACTTCTCCATCCATCCCACGCACTCAATCACGCAAGCTCGCACACACCTTCTGATGATCTCTCCGGACCCTCATAAGCTACCAGTTCACGCGTCAATTCTCTTCGTGCTAAACGAAATGACAAGCTGATTGCCGAAAGAGCTTAAAGGCCAAGCGTCTGGCACAGCACCCCCCTCCACCATCCCCCGGCACGCGCCATCTGTACCAAGGGTTTTGCTCTCCCGTCTTGCAGAACCGATCTGAACCCTTTCTTCCTTTCCTTGCACAATCAAAGACCCTGAAAAGCTGCTGTCCATTCCGCAACCAGCAAGCTACTCATCCGCTGCACCAGCCCAGGAGAGGCCCAGCGAGCCGCGGCGTCCACTTCCCGGAGTTGCGCCCCTCTCTCCCACCACCCCCCAAGACCCCAAGGCCCAAGGACCCTCCATCCTCTCCATCCATACGCCAGTCCCCAACCCTGGCCGAGGGCGGGACGGTGCTTGCTTGGACCACGTCACGAACACAAAACCACCATACTAACCTTTTTACCTACGCCGCATTACCCGTGACGGATTCACTACGGTCCACACCCTAATCAACATGCGTTGACTGGACTGTCAAGCAAGCCGCGCTTCGGTGACATTCGAGTGAGACGATCAATCATCAGCAATGGAGGCTGACCAAACGCCCCCGAAGCCGGCCAAGAAGCGAGTGCGGAAGCCCCGTGGCCGTGGGCTACGAACCAAGACTGGCTGGTAAGTGGTGCTGCTGCTGCTGCTGCTGTTGTTGTTGTTGTTTTGTTGTTGGGCCTCTCTCTGTTCATGATATCACACCTGACATCACGGCGGGCGCAACGCAGCGCAGCGCTTCGCTTGCCGCTTGCTAACCCCGAGGAGATCTTCCTCCTCGTGGTATTGCAAATCAGTCCTCTTGCCATCTTGGCAGGCAACTGATTTGCGCCGCCTTCATCTTGTCCTTCGCTTTGGTTGTTGCGTCGTTCCGTAAGCGAAGCTAGGATGTTTTTGCTGACGCAAGGATCCCCAGCCTCACTTGCCGCAAGAGGCATAAGAAATGTGATGAACGCAGTCAGTACACCTCACCCAACATTCCAAGATCTCCCATGTCTTTTGAAAGTAGCACATCCCATTGACATAGACGTCCGTCTCTTTACACTTCTTGCAGTGCCCATCTGTGGACCGTGTATCGTTTCAAATCGCGAGTGCACGTATCCCGAAGATGTCGAGGCGTTGCGCGCTCAGCCCTCAACAGCGAGCGCGAGCCCTTCACATCCAGAGGCTGAGGCCTCAAATAGCAACCAACCTAATCACCATCCTCAACATCATCCTCAAGCCCAACTGGCGCATCATCCGCAGCAACACCACCTGCTCAACCAGGTTCTCCATCATGGCGGCATCCCGACCCTGGAAGATGGCGCGGGGCCTCGCCTTCCCGCTGCCTCCATGGCACCGGGGATGAGCTATACGCCCAATGCGCCCTCCAACCCACAGGCACGCGACATCGTCGACCCGGCCCTCGTGGGCATGTACCCGGACGCCAGGTTCAAAACAGCCGCGCCTCCGCAGGCGCAGTACCACCTGCAAGGATCCTATGCCGCAGGTCCTGCTGATCATTCCCAGTACGCGCCTTCTCCCGATACGGCCGCGTCGAGCGACCTCGTTGACCTTGCGAGTTTCAGATGGTTCGACCTGCTTGCCACAGATGCGGCGCAGCAGGGCCCTGACGGCCGCTTTAGCCTCTCCCAGGGCGCCCCGAGCGACGGCGATACCAGCAGCCTGCACCTCCCGGACGGGCTGGGCTCGGCATCGAGGCCGTACGAAGATCACCCTTCTGCCCGGCTCGCGGCGAATCTCGTCGACCTGTCGATACCCGACCGAAACAGCTATCCACCCGCTGCCGAGATCAAGCTGAGTGCGCACGAAGCAGCGCTCTTGAGGAACTTCGCCGAGAAGACTGCATCCATGGTGAGCAAACCCCAATCTCCGTTCTTACCATACTGGATCTAGCAGTGGCTCAAGATGGGGGTTTCCCTTCTTGAACTCCTCCGGCGACAGTCCTCATGCTGACCTACCGTGGAGCTCGACGTCTTTGACCCCCAGAAGCACTTCTCCACATACGTGACGCGCCTCGCCATGCGCAACCAGGGCCTCATGCAGGCCATCCTCGCCTTCTCGGCGCGCTACTCGCAGATCGCGGCCACGACGAGGGCCGGGTCCAACCCAGCGCTTGGCCTCGAGCCGCTGGCCGACCCCAGCGAGGCGATCCAGCACTACAACGAAGGGCTGAACCACCTGCACACGGCGCTGCGGCTCGGCTCGACCAAGAGCGAGGAGCTGCTGTCGATGGCGCTCGTCATCAGCACCTACGAGATGCTCGAGACGGGCATCAACCACAACCCCAACTCGAACTGGCAGCGGCACCTCGAGGGCGTCTTCTCGCTGCAGCACGCGCGCAACGTCAACGGCGAGTCGGGCGGCCTGCGCGGCGCCGCCTGGTGGGCCTGGCTGCGGCAGGACCTCTGGGCCGCGTTCCGCGAGCGGCGCAAGTGCTTCAGCACCTGGCGGCCCACGGTCGACTACCCGGACCTGCGGCAGAGCGACATGCCGGACCGCGCCATCTACCTGCTCAGCCTGGCCGTCGACTACTGCGCGGAGCCGAGCCCGAACCCGCAGGTCGAGCCCGACAAGGCAGCCAAGTCGGCGCGCCGCGCTGCCGAGCTCATGGACATGCTCGAGCGGTGGAAGAGCTTCCTCGGTGACGCGTACAAGGCGCTGCCCACGGCCAACCGCGCCGCCATCCACGGCTGGACCCCGACCTGGGTGCACCCGCCGGAATACGGCGTTGCGCTGCAGGTGTACAGCTTCGCTAAGATCCTGATCTGCATGCGCCGGCCGGTCGTCAACGAGTTTAATGACTACGTGAGTGCATGTTGTGATTTTCGTGCCCGCTTTCTGGGAACTCTGGCGAAAGTTGGGATTTTACACAAGATGTACTTCTGGCTCCGGCGTCGGGGGCTACTTGACAATATCTTGCATGATTATCCGTTCGGTTCAGGCTAACTCTTACGTGTTGCGGACTTTTAGATAATCGCCGAAGCTGTCGCCACGATTTGCGGCATTGCTATGGAGCTCACCGACCTGAGCTGCCAGGTCATATCCTCGCAATGCCTGTTCGCGGCCGGACTGTGTGTCCAGGACCCCCGACAACAACACACGATCATGGGCCTCATCGACGCGTGCGAGGCGCGGACCGGCTGGCCGATGGACAACTTGCGGACCTGCCTGTTCAAGCAGTGGAAGGGCCCCAAAGAATAGAGAATGGCAGAGACGACAAACAGCAGGGTGACGACGAGATTGTTCCTACAGTTTCCTAAGGATTTATGTTTTGCGATTCGCAGGGAACTACGACCAGGCTTTTTTTTCACACGAAATTTTAGAGAATGTCCCTAGAACGACGAGTTCTCGACAAGGCGCAGCGGCGCGGGAAACACCTCGAGGATCTGGAGGAATGGGCTTATTATGGGCACGGCGGAACCAATCTTGTTATATGTACAAAACGGGGTACTAGCCCCAGCCACGACTGACAGTTGTATTCTTGTGTCGTGAGAAAGAGCTTTTTTTTTTTAAAAGGGCATGGCGAAGGAGCCAGGCTGGATTATACGAACGAACGAACGGACGGACGGACGGACGGACGGACGACGGGTTTGAAATTTAGCAGGCGAATTTGAAAGCATCTCTGCGATCGATCGAAGACCCAGCTCGCAAACGTATCGTGTCGAGGCAAACCAGCGAGGCCAGTGTATGTATGCCCACCCAAAGACATGCCGTTCGAGTCGTGGGATCGGCGAGACCGTGTCGGAGAGGACGTCGAGTGCAGGCGGTATTACGCTCGGAATTGGCGCGATCGAGGGAGGTTCGGAGACGACGGAGAAGGCATGAGTCTTGTTTCAAGTCCCGGGTGAGCTATCACGCTCAAGGGAAAGGATCATGTCGCGATTCGGCCATCGGTAGGAGGTGTTTCGAGTCAAGGGCTTGTCCACGACTGCGTTTCGTCCAGGTGAAACACGATGAGCTGGGGGAATGTCAAAGCAGACGATGCAAGTCGCCGCACACACTGACATAGAAACTTGACAATAGAAAGCAATTTCTAACTATGGTTCAACGGAAACCCCGTAATGGTTGGTGGTGGTGGTGGTGCCGAAGCATCATGGTGTGCCAGGACAAAAGACGACAAAGCTCGTGCTGGCCGAACGCGCGACCGATCCCTCCGCTAATCCTCTGATCGACCGGCCGACCCTTCCCTAGCTAGTAACTACTTTAATTATCTGACCGATCTAGTTATGCAGCTTCTTGCCCTCTCGGGGATGGTATCCGTGCTAGATCACAATTCCTGACATCCGCCAAGAGGCGCGTCTCGAGGGCCCTTCAGCTCCAGCTCTGCGCCCTTTTCGCCTCTGGAGAACGCCCTGTAGCAAATCGTTGTCCTGTACAAACAACACGAACACGAACATGCAGCTGGATAGCGTCTGCCGTAAAAGGAATCTGTTGGGGAATGCCCGCCTAGCCCCCAATCTGCACATGCAGCCACAATTCTACTCTGTGTCTGTTTGTGTGCCTCAATGCGCATTCGGCCGAGACCGACATCGATGCCCTCCTTACCCCAGATTCCCAGCTCTGGTTTACCCGACCGGTTATTACCACGAGCTGAGGCTTGGCGATCTCAAGACCGACACGCAAAACTCTGCCATGACGAGTTACCCGATCATTTAGGCGGTCGAGAGTTGTAAGAGCTATACTGCCAAGGCTACGATTCCACGTGAAACGTTATGTGGCCAGAATGACGTGAACCGTTGACTGGACTTCATGGGACGGACTTCCTGCGAGCGGCCCTGGGATGAGCCTTCGATGCTGTTGCTATGCAGTCACGATGTTCTAGCTTCTGGTTGGGTCACCGACAAAGCCCTAATGAGATAACTAGCCCAGCGCCGACTCCACGCGATGACGCCGACACCAGCCCTCCTTCGCCACGCCCTCCTGCTCGGGGCGCTCCTCTCCACTCCGCGACCGACACTCCAAGACAGCTCTGGGCCTAGCATCAACGACGACGCAGTCTGCAAATGGAATCTCCGCAGCGGAGGCGCCTTCCCGCGCCTCCTTCCGATCCGCGACTCCTGCCCTAAGCCCATCGACACGCGCCGCAGTGGTAGCCATGACGCATCTCGGTCTCGGTTCTACCCATGGTCATACAAGCCGTATTGTCTCCGGCCGGCCGACGTGCCCAAGGGCAGCTCGCCGAAGCTATGCGTCTACACCTCGACACACTTCCGCGGCGGCCACGGCCTGTCCCTGCTCACGACGCCCGACCTCGCGGCCAGCCTGGCTGACTCGCTCGACGACTCCCTGGTCGACGCCAAGCTGCGTGACCACCCGGGCAGCTCGATGGCGGCACCCGCTGTCCGGACGCACAGGTCTTACATCGTGCGGGAGCTCCCTGGCCGAGGCAAGGGTGTGGTGGCGACACGCGACATCGCAAAACTCGAGGTCATCCACATCGGGTACCCGGCCATCGTGGCGCAGATGGACTACACGCACCTTCTGAGCAAGGAGCAGGCGGCGGTGATGCTGGAGAAAGCCGTGGGGCAGCTGCCTGCCGAACGGCAAGAAGAGATCTGGGCGCTGGCGAGGAGCACGGGTGCGGCGGACCCGATGACGGATATACTCAAGACGAATATCTTTGGGCTCGAGGTGGACGGTGTGTCACACATGGGACTATACCCGGAGGGCTCGGTAGGTGTACCCGGGCGATGAGGCTCAGTGGCCACAGGTGTACAAAATGGTGTGCTGTCTCGGGTATGCTAACCGGTGCCAATTGCGTATCCTGCAGAGGGTGAACCACAACTGCAGACCAAAGTAAGGCATACGGCTGAACCAGCCCAGGAGGCTGTGGCACACGTACTAAATGGAACGGGCAGCACGTTTTGGCGCTCGTCGCCACGCACCCTCACCATGGAGGTTGTCGCTATGCGGGACATCAAGGCCGGGGAAGAGATCGTCCATTCGTGTAGGTTCTCACCGGTCCGAACAAGCTTTTGTGCCCCATTGAACCCACTCCACCTTTACCCTCTTTTTCCAGCTTTCTTCCTATCCTTCAGGGCTAACTTGATTCATCACACCGAAAACAGACGCCCCTCTTGGCAGCCCTTACGAAGAGCGCAAGATGGTCCTGCACCAGTGGGGCTTCACCTGCTCCTGCGCCCTCTGCTCGCTGCCGCCGTCGGAGCGCGCCCGCTCGGACGACCGCCGCAACCGCATCTGGGAGGTGTACGCGGACCTGACCAACTCGGCCGCGGCCTTGGGTAGGAAGGTCGTCGACGAGCGTGTCGATGAGCTCATGTACCTGGTGGACCGGGAGGGGCTCTGGCCGCAGCTCGTCGAATACTACCAGGTCGCGGCGCGGGCCTACACCGCCCTGCGGGAGTATGATGTCGCGAGGGAGTATGCGGAGAAGGCCGAGGCCACGTGGATCGAGTATGGGGGTGTGGACCATGACGGTGCGGAGGACATCCGGCAGCTATGGGAAGATCTACGGAGGGCCGAGAGAGGGGAAGCGTCCCAGGACGATGTTTCCGATGTCGATCTCGATGATTTGGTGGATTGAGGCTCAGTCATTGAAGAATATGGTGGATTAGGTACGTCGAATCACGCCCACGGGTGAGTCGTCACCTTTTCTTTGACCGACGCGGGGCAACTTCACATCACTACTCGGCTGTGTATTCAACAGATTACATCGATTGTAAAATCCAAACTTTCTCACCAAAAGCCCAAGTCATTCCTCCCTCTAAGAAAACAGGTGCACTGCCCAAGACCGTCGAGGCAGTGACAACACTGCGCACTTCCGTATCCTGAGTCTGATAACTCGGCATTTGCAAGACGATCCAAACTTGTGTCAGGACCATCAAATGCGGCGTAATCTCCGTCTAGAGCTGGCGGTACATTGGTGATCCTATCTAAGAACGCGCTTGAAGACTGCTGAAAGCCCTCTTGATCAACGTCTACAAACGTCTGGCCTCCTGTCATCATAATCCCTCGACCTCGATCTGGTTCGCTCATATTGGCGTGGTTGGCCAACACCAGGTCTGGTAGAGCGTTGAGGAGTTCCTCGTCAATCGCCGGGTCACCTAGATGCTGAGAGTCGGTGTGTCGGGACTTTCTGAACTGCAGACAGGCCTGCTCGATGCAGTCTTTGGTCACCTGGTGAAGCATGCTAAGTAATTGGGCCTGGATCAATTGTCTGTCCCGCCTAGCTGCCTCAGTCAAAGTACTTTGCACGAGGCTCGGGACTTGCTGGCGAAGATAACCTTCAAGTTCCTCCAGCTCATGCGAGTCTGGAGATTGGCGACGACCATCATCAATAGGCTCAAAGTCTAGGATTTCAAGTTAACAAAGACGATACTTGATATCATCGATCGCGCGTTTTGGGAGTCTTACATGGTGAAGGGGCTGCCTCATTGGGAAATATTATGTTGTAGATTCCGCACCACTTGGAAACCTCGGACTGGTTTCGCGTGGATTTCTTTCGAGATCTCAAGTCTTGTTCCTGCTCAGGGCTCAAGCCTTCAGGTGGTGGACCTGGCTTCGCATCGCAGATATTTTCGCGAGCCACAGAGACATGTGCGTCCAGTCCAGGTTTCGACTTGAAAATCTGCTTGCATCGTTGGCAATAGATAGGTCTGTGGCAACGATACAGATGCTCCCTGAATGTGTGTCAGTTGGCTGCTATGGGGCAAGTGGTGGAACAGAACATACTTTAGTCGTGCGGTGGTCTGCCAACCTGACGCTGCGCAGATTTTGTGTGTAGCCAAGCAATACCTGGTAGGATCGTGCTTACGGAATGGACAAGCGAACTTTTTGCCAGCAGCACCCAGCGTTCTTGAGGCCCGATCTGGTGGAGGCGGGCTTCCTTCGCCATCACCGTCGTCGTTGGCATCATCTTCGCTCCGACGCCTCTTGCTGTTCTCATGTGCCCTAGCGAGAGCCGAAGAGTTGTTTGGCTGGGTCTTGCCGAGATCCTGTTCCTGTATTTGTCCAGCTGGTGAAGAGCGCCCGCCAGCAATCTCTCGCGTCAAACCTTGCCAGTTCTGGCTCCACATAAGCCAGAACTCCTCCATGACTTGCGAAATCATATCTTCGATAGAACTGTCGGTGACTTGGCTCACGATAGACTCGTAGATGTGGTTCGAGAGGGTCTCCGAAGACGGCTGCAAAGCATCAACCTTGCTTCCCAGTACTTTTTTGAGTGAAGATCTTGTCCTGGCCAGGGCAGAAGACGGACCTGGAATCGGTTCCTCTTGATTCGATTTAAGATGTTGCGCAGGTTTTGATGCAGTGGTGTTGCACTGTCCATCAGGCGTTCCGTTCCAGAGGGGCTCAGTCCGTTCCAAAGGCGCCTTCCCCATAGTTGCATCCAGTTTTACTAGCTTCCCCTCAACCGTATGGCAATCTGACTCGACTTCCAACTGGCAGAGGTGACCGTAGACCTCGTGAAGCGGGACAAGAACTTGGTCAAGGTATTGGAAGTTTGTATGGAAAGTGTCGGACTCGGCAAGGGCTACATGAGCGATGCGCTTTGCATCTTCACGAGACCCATCGAAGAGCTCAAGGGCGTCTTGAAGGTGCTCAACGTTGCCATACAGGATGGCGAACCTGGGTATTCTCCCAGTCCTGCATCTTCGCCACTTGATCTGCTCTATCGGAGTATTGGCCAGAACAGGGTGTGCCGCTTTGCATTCGTCCCATGCATCGCATATGACGGGCTGGCGCAACAAGCCTTGGATGACTCGAGAATGTGACCAGTCCTCTGGGTCACTTCGGTTCCAGTAGTGGTATGCAAGATGATACAAATGAGCGTCCACGTCATCGTGCAAACACGAACAGAACCCACAGGCGAGATGCTGCCGCCTGACTCGGCCAATGCGTGCCTGTGCAGATTTGACCAATGAAGAGCTGATGGTAAGTATCGGACCCCTGTCGAAACAGCTCAAGGATTGGGTCAAAAGCTCCTCAGTCTCTTCAAATAAGAGAAATGCCTTCTCATGGGCCTCCCATTTTTCGGGATCTACGAATGACTGTGCACAGGTAGTACAACAGTATTGAGTGTGTCCGTGTTCCAAATCAATCGCGTTGGTCTGACCCTCGCTATCCGGTTGCTTCAGGATAGTAGGAGATGGGTTTGTGTCAACATTGTTGGGAGCCACCGGACGAAGTCTATCGTGTGGTAACTCCGAAGTAGATTCGTGGATGTGTGCATCACTGTGCAAGCTGCTTCTTTGACTGGGCGAAGAAAAGAAGGACGAGACCCTAGATTTGGCGAGGCTGGAGCGAGAGAATAAACTGTTGGCCAGGGAGCTAGAGGTGGTCCGTGAACTTCTCGAGGCAAAAGAAAGCAAGCTGCTGCCATAGGATGAGGCATAGGATGAACGGGGAGATTTATTGTTCGTGGCATCCGGGCCTTGCGAGCCGTAAGCGTGGGCAGCTGTAGCCCCTCGTGGCAAGAGTTCTTTCGCCCCACTTTGGTCGTGACTCTGAGGGCCCCCTGAGAGTTGATGATCAAGTTCGGATGGCTATTGTCTGTTAATACGCTATGCATGCAGTGCAAGTCCGCCGGACTGACCTCCTCGCCCTTTGAAGATCCCACGAGTCGGGCTGTCCGTGTATGCCTGGTCAACCTTGGTGTACCTTTGGTGCTAAGTTGATCGCGGCTCATCTGCAACCATGGATCTGCTTCGACTGAGGTTTGGAGGTAGGATTCTACTCTCCGAGCCATTGTTGGGCCAAGAGAAGGTTCTGCCTTTGGCGCTGGTCGATAAGGTATGCTTCGCTGTTGCTGCTCCATGTTTGCTTATCTTTACCTCTTAAGAAATACCATGCGCTTGGCATATAACTTCACCAGCTAGGAAACGGCATCGTCGTGGAGGTTCCTGGTGTGGTGCGTATCGTGTTTTTCTATCAATACTGCACAGGCCGCCGCAGGCCGGGGTTTTCAACACAAGGGCATGCCTGTGCGCAGCTGCGCGTAAACCATGCTCAACTCAGCCTCGCAAATTCGGCATGGGTGGTGGTTACCAATTGTGATTGGACCAAAATGAAACAAAATTCGAAACAACCCTGGTGACATAATCTCGGTGACTCCTGTGCATGAAAAGCTCATGCGGGCACTGCCCATCATCCAGTGAATTGTAACCTTGAATGCTCAGAGGCCGCCGCCATCGCCAAACAGCAGCTATTAGCAACCCCGGTAGGCTCCTTCCCTATCGCAGATCAAGACAACTTTATAGAATGAGTGTAGGGCTGAGGTAGCACCAAGAGCTTCTGGATTCTCAAGTTCTGGAACACCATTTGGAGGACTTCTCTTCATTCAAAATCAGAACCTGATGAAGCAAAGCATCTTAACTAGCGAACTCCCAACACAACATTTTCAGAGTTTCAACTACATTATTGCCAGGAAACAGAGGATATTCACTGGAATATAGGAGTAGTTTTAGCCACCGATAGCACAGAGCTTGCAACAGCGATCAGCCAATACCTCTGAGGTATGAATTTCCACTGCATTTAGGAGATAATACAACGTGACTATGATTCTCTACAAACCTGTTCAAGTATACTCGTCTTTTTCCTTAGGTGGATAGCCCGTCACCCCAGTCGTCCTCGATGTCAAGACTCAACCTTTGTAATCCATATCTCAGTGAAACAGAGTCCAGTAAAGCAGAATTTGATTTATTAGAAACTGTGACATCTATATTCTATGAGAAGTAGTTTATCTTGGTGTGATTGGTGAGGGATGATTCTTCGTGCCTGGACATGCAGCATGCAATAGTGACAGTTCGTGAGAGAGAAATCATCCCAGTTCGAATGCTCCCGTGGTTAGTGTCATGCTTTGGCAGACGAAGTCTCTGAGGCTCAATAGCACAGAAGAACTTGGAGTTACTGCTGCATCACTTGAGGGTGAGCAGCCCAGGCTGCAGTGCAATAACTCACATCCGAACGCACGTGAACGTGCATTGTCACAATTGACAGTCTCAGGCGCGCGCATCTCTCGGCCTGGGCAGTCTTGGCCTCCGCATTCGTTACGGACAAGATTGACCTGCTGCATGAAGACAACGGTAGAACAGCACAGGGTATTACGTACGGCGGTGGAGCCGCGTGGGTCGCTCAACCAGAAGATTTCACCGGCCCGTGTCTTGTCCTGGGGCCGAACTTCCGGGTGTGCTCATTAGGCCCGGGGCGACGCGCAAAGCCAGAATGCGGTTCGAAGGCTTTCCGGACACCTGGTCTCTCGGGCCTTGAACTACTCCCTCTGCGTAGATTAAGTATGACACATGCGCGCCCTGTGAGGCTCTTGGCCTGCAATCTCAGGTGAGCGCGGATGAGGCGACTGGGAATAGCGTCAAGCCGGTTAATTGGGTCTTGGAGGCTCTTGGCCCCAGCACCAAGAGGCGGCTCATAATCACCTTGAAACTGTGCAAGGCAAACCATCGCTGCGGATCCACAATCCTGTCAGATCCAGATCTGTGATCCTTTTGATATTTGGTCTGCTCGTGGTAGCGTTGTTGTGGCTTCTCCTTGTCATGGCTCGTTTCTTGGACTCTGTTGCTTCTGTACGATATTCAAGTGACACCGATAGAAACAAACGAGATGACTTTCTTAGCAGCTTCAAGATGGATTGCCCTCGCGGCATTGTTCTGTTACATCGATGCACACCGCGCCTCTGATATATCTGGACTAGCCGCACAATGTGGCTTAGGCCAGGCACTCTCAGTCCAAGACCAGGGACATTCTTGTCCGATGTCCCTCAGCTCTACGGCATCCTCCAACTCCACGAGATGGGATCCATGGACCCATCCTCCATTCTGTGCAGAGACTGAATACTGTGTCTTCACCAACTCAGCTTTCCAAAACAACCGTGGCGTCAGTATGATCACTACTCGCCAGGCAGCCGAGAGCGCACTTCCGGTCTTCCGAAGTGCCTTTGCAGCTCCTCCACTATTCACATCCGATAGGCTCGGAGACAGGCCAGTATGGGAGGTCAGGGATATTGAAGGCAAGGGAAAGGGCGTAGTGGCGATACGCAAGATCGCCCGGGGTGAGGTCTTCATGGTCGACTACGCAAGCGTGCTCGCCGATGTCAAGTTTCCGATGAAGATCAACCGCAAGATCGGCCGGAAGCTACTCGACTCGGCCGTCGACAGACTGCCCGATCCGCAGAAGATCCTGGCGCTGGGCAAGAGCTCAAACAGCAAGGCACCGGCCTCAGAGGATGTTTTGCGGACCAACACATTTAGCACGACAGTGGATGGAATCGAGTATATGGTGTTGTTTCCTACAGTTTCGGTAAGCAATATTTCCCGACTTCTGTCCTGATTGTCTACAGCATTAACAGATTGGCAGAGGATAAACCATGCGTGTAACCCCAGGTAAGAATTCATCTCCATGTGCCGGAAGGTTGAGTCGCTTACCACGTCCAAATAGTGCTTTCACCCGGATCATTGGTAAGACGTTGAGCACAAGGGTCGTCGCATTCCGCGATATTGAACCAGGCGAGGAAATCACTATCAGCTGTACGAAATATCTACTTGACTCCTGATATCATAATATGCTGACACCGTGATGTACCGATGTAGACACCGAGTTCGGTCTCCTCTACAAGGAGCGCCAGAAGACACTCCTCCGCCGCTGGGGCTTCAAGTGCAGCTGCGACCTCTGCAGCGCCTCCCGGGACGAGATAGCCGCTTCCGACTCCCGCCGGACGCGGATCACCGAGATACGCGAGGAAGTCTTCCAGGCCATCGGCAAAAAAGACTTCATCGAAGCGATCGACCTGTACAAGGAGCTCATGGACCTGGTCAAAAAGGAGCAGCTGGTATCGCACTGGGGCGAGCACTACGAAGTTCTCGCGCGTCTGCACGCGGCTGTGGGAGACAAGGCCGGTGCGATCAACTATGCCAAGCTAGCCGTCGAGACGTTGACCAAGTATGGTGGAATGGAGATTTACGAGTCGATTACGGAGCTGGAGGAGCTCTTGGCTGGGTATGAGAGTGCATAATGAGGGAGCTTGTAGAGCCTTTCCTTATAGCATCATTGTCCCTAGAACAAACATGCTCTTCCACTTCATCTTACCGACGGGGAAACTTAGTCTGTGCTCAGAGTGGCCATCCATCCATCTATTGGCTCAAGCGCCTCTGACAATGTCAGCAGTAGCGGCAACAGCATCAATCTCGTACTTCTTGAACTGACGCGCCGAGACCTTCCGGTCGAACAGCAGGTCCAGCTCCTCGTACGTCCGCCCCATCGTCTCCGGGACCCTAAAGTACGCCCAAACAAAGCACAGCGCCGCCAGCCCGCCGAAGAAGAAACCCAGCTTTCCTTGCATGTTGGCCTGGTCCGGGTTGATCATGTACGGGATCGCCACCGTCATGATGATGCCGAGGATGCCTTGCGCGGCGGTGCACACGGCGATGCTCTTGGAGCGCACGCGCGTGGCAGAGCACTCGGAGATAAGCACGAAGCAGACCGGTCCGATGGAGAGATCGTAGCAAAAGTTCCAGACCAGCATAAGCGAGGACTCTGCCCAGGTGACTCCGGCTGGGCGCCCGGGAATGCAGTCTAGGATGCCGATGAGGAGCTGGAGGAAGACCAGGCTGGCGAGGCCGGTGACGTAGATGGTGCGACGGCCGAAGCGGACGAGGAGGAACCAGGAGATAATGGTGCCGACGAAGCCCACAGCTGCACAGACAGTTAGTTGTCTATTATTCCGATTCAAGAAGGACGATATCGTGGAAAGAACTTACCCAGAAACCCAACACCCATGTCGAAAGCCTTATCACTGGGGAGACCAGCAAGCTGGAAGAAGTAGGTGCCGTAGTTGATGAGGTAAATCCCGCTCAGGACCTGCGTGCAGTACACCCCGACCGAGATCTCCGTCCGCCGCAGGTTGACGCCCCTGAAGCAGTCCATGTACGTGCTGCCGGCCTCGAGCTCCTGCTCCAGGCGGTCCGTCTCGACGATGACGGCGAGCGTGGCCCCGACGTTGACCTCCTTGGACGCCAGGCGGCGCAGCATACTCTCGGCGTCCTGCAGCCGGTCCTGCCGCACGAGCCACCAGGGGCTCTCGGGGACGAAGAACATGCCCGGGATGATGACGAGGACCCAGAACCACTGCAGCGCAAAGGGGATGGAGTAGGCCCAGTGGTCGCCGAGCTGGCTGGTGCCGGCCGTGACGCCGTTGGCCAGGAGCTGGCCCATGACGAAGCACAGGTTGACGTAGCTGGTGAGGTGCCCTCGTAGGGCCAGGGGGCAGACCTCGGAGGCGTAAGCCGGGGCGATGACGACGTAGCAGCCGAGGACGAGGCCGCCGAGGAGCTCGCCGACGAGCAGCACGGAGAGGGAGCGGGCGAAGAACTGGATGAAGACAAGGCAGGCGGTCAGGGTGACGCAGACGCCAAAGGTCAGCTTACGGCCGAACATGTCCATCGGGTAGCCGGCGACGAGGGCGCCGATGACCTGACCGACGGGGTTGCCCATCGAGAGGCCCGTCTGCCACGGGGCGCCTGGAGGGAAGCTAGTTAGTGATGCTGTTCTACTACACTGCGCGACCAGACATTCTTGACGAGCCGAGATTGGGTCTTTGCATACTGATGATGTACTGCGAATCACTACCTCGTCAGCCATTTCCATCATCGAATAGAACGAGTGAATAACATGCAACCTACGGAGCCTTTGTACAGATACCCGAAATCACGCTGGAATTGGTCCGTCGCATAGAGGTTCCCCAAAAGCTGGGGGTCGAAAGCGAGCATGATCACGCCGATCGAGACAAATGCCGACCAGCCAATTGCCGAGGGGTACAGCCGGACGGCCTCACGAAAGGTGAGATTGTGCTCATGCTGGATGGCTTCGGCCAGCGCAGCATCAGTGTCGTTGACAAGACCGGGTTTGGTATCGTGCTCGGAAGCCATCGTGTGTCGTCGAATTCCACTCTTGTCCAGCGACGTCAACATAGGTGACAGTCAGGAAGCTGAGCGTCCCGCAACAGAACAGTCGAGAGAGAAAACGATCAAAGCCCATTTTAATTTAACCTATCTGCAGGGTCGCACGAGGAGGTGTGAGGGAAGGATCGCCGCCATATTGAAGGGCACCCATGTCCATGCCTGATGGGCTCCACGGCATTTCTTATCTGGCCAATGATGGTGGATGTAACCATAAGCCATACTTGATTCCCAGGCAAAGGGTTCCTGCGGGGATGGAGAAGCGGTTGTTCGGCGACAAACATGATTTGCCCCCTCGGACACTGCTGGCACTACCTTCCCGTCTTTTCCAGTTATCAGCGCAAGCTTGTCAAGAGCTATTTCCCGAGAGAAATGGGACTGCTCGACGGCCTTGGCCTATCTGAGATGAGCGATCATCACCCACGCGACCAGTTTGGAGGAAGAGTGGATCTTGCTAACAAGATATTGCTGCCCCAGGTCTTGTCCTGAAGAGGAAGCTCCTGTAGGACCGAAGCTTGGCTATCCGCGGGGAATTCATCCAGACCTTACCTAAACATACGTTACATAAGGGAATGCGGCGAGCTAAGACTTGCTCGGCAGTCACTGTGGGAAGAACTGGTGGGCGCAGAAAATGTAGAGACTTGCCTTTCAACACCGGGAACTACAATGTTACTGAACGAACAGAGGAACACCAGTCTGGCGGGTTGGTTGCCTCAATGCCTTCATTATCGGCTGCTCACAGGCATAGTAATCTAGTACTATTACTGCCACGATGCATTTAAATCATGCGCGAGAACAAGAGTAGGCCGTCTCTGCCTCTGTCCCCGCTCTTGAACAGCATCCACTTTGTCCAAGTTCTGGAGCTCCAAGCTCCAAGTTCCTGAATGCCTCCCCGGAGCTCCCCGAAGCAGCCCCAGGCCACCTCGGGTCACACAGCCCGGACCGGAGCCGCCCAAATCTTGCCCAAACCACTTTGCAGCATGAAAGCACTGACCCACGGACCGTTTGACACGTTTTGCGGATCCTCTGCAAAGAGCATCGGGTCTGGCGCAGCGTAGAAGGTAAGCAGGGGGGATGGGGTGGGTGTGGAGAACCGGGCGCAGCCCCCTAGGCCTCCCAACTCCAGATCTGGACACGAACTCGAACTGGGTGGACACAAACTGGGCCATGGTGAGTTTAAAACGTCGATAGTAACGTCAGACGGGCAAGGCATAGTTGCGGGATTATTATTCGCGAGATATGATAGTAGATGAGATGCTCCGCTGGTTGGCATCGATACGAGCTTGCAGACAAGCGCTCACCGCGGCTGTGTAACATGAGATATTGAGTAGGCACTTTTAATCGATATTATGAACCTTGTGAGCCCCTTGTTTGGGTTTGAAATCCCAGTAACTTGGGTAGAGAACCCCTCTGAAGACCTTATGTAACCTAGGCGTCTTCTCCAGGTCAACCGGTCAAGTCGACGCACGCTAACAAGCCCTCGCAAAACACGGCAGATGTGAACAAGAGTGCTGCCTGCTAGAATATTCGATGAAGCTTCACGAGAGGGGCGGGGTTCGAATTCTTGAATAGTTGGGAAATTCAGCCTAGTGAAAAAGTGTCGGCAACAACGGCTTCGAGATAGCTGCCGAGATCATTGATGTCAGCTCGGGCACATAGGGTTGTCTGCCATTGGTTTACCTTCCAACGATCCCCTTTTGGAAAAAGAAGTTGAGTGATTCAGTTCAATGTTGAGTTCTGTTGTAAATTGAAAATACCTATGTCAGAGACATTTTCGGTCTCTATATCTTCACACTTGAAGCTCGATGAAGAACGGATTGGGAGAAGTTGAATCAGGTCTGTACCACATTCTCCAGAGTGCAATGCTATGAGTAACTATCTGAGACTTTACTACCTGTTGTACCCGTCTCGTCTGCAAGGCACATCGGTCAGGCGTCGTGTCAGGCGTCGTGGAAAAAGGGGCAGTAGCAGCAGGCGAGAATGTGTCGAATGACACCCCTAGCGGAATGACCGACCATCCGTCGTCAGATGATAACAAATGCGGAGATTAAGTGACATAGCCACATGATCATCATGACTTCGTTGAAAAGAGGGTGTGAGATGTGCTTGTCCAAGGGCGACACAACCAAGGCGAACCAGACTTGAATCCAGTATCTTCAATGCCACCTCCTTGCTCGGATGGAGTGCGGGATAAACGTTAGGATCAAACTAAATACCAAGCAGGTATTGTTTTTACCGAAAAGAAGGGTCTTGGAAAAGACCAGCGGTCAGAAAAGACCCTTCGGACATGCCCAAACCTACCAAACTCGATCACCCGTGCCCCTATTTTAGCAGAGCGGTCCTAGCGGATAAGTCGCCCATCAGTGAACCCAGGCCCTATGAAGATTGGGATAGTCGAAGTTCTAGGGTACCCAGGTAGGTACTGTAGTCTGGTTCAGTCCTTCCTGAGTCAAGGCCAGGCCTACAGGAGCTGGCACTCGCGCACATGCATGGCCTTGTTTGGCCATCTAGGTTGGGAGAGCAGCCACAACACAGTAAGAAGCGGTGTAAGACGCAGGGTCGCCAGATCAAGAGGTCTTGGTGATGCCCGGTGTGGAATTGGGCATTCTTCCAGGCGTACATCAGTCTAGTGAAGCACAGGATGATTTCTGCGTGAGGGGGAAGGGCGGCATGGGCAAGGGATGGGGTATCACCAGGATACGATGCACATGCAACCTACTGCTCGATAAAGAAGGAGACAGCACTTGCAGACACGAGCAAAGCTTGTCGATCACGAACCGGCGGTGTCTCAAGATGCGAAGATGGTTCCGAGCAGCTGCTGAGTAGCATCGGGTCTCGACGCTATCGTCGCTGGCGGTGACAGCACATCGAAGCTATGCAAGGAGGTCCAAGCCCACCGGAGTATTACCCTTCTCGTATTAGCAGGGCATGATGGTCGCTTGCAAAGCTGTCAGTCGAAAGGCGATGGTTACACAAGCCAAGTCCACCTCGCTGGGACTTTGAACAGTCGCACATGCAACTGGGGATGCCGACAGCCCGGTGGACAAGAAGCCTGCAGGGTTGTCGTGTCAGTGACACTACTTCCAGGCAGTTACACAGCCGAGACGGAATAGTTCGTTCCGTCTACGACGATGAGAAGTCCGAGGCGGGCACTCGACGGTGGATCACTGTGGTGGAGGTAGGTGTGAGGACGATGGATGCCATGTTTCCCTGCACCAAGGAGCTCTACAGCCACAGAATCTAGTTCCAGTAGCTTGCTAGTTTGTGGACAAGCTTGCTACCTGGATGTCAAGTGGGTGTGGCCCATGTAGAGTGTTCGGTCCAAGACCTTAGAAAGGGCCAAGGCCAGAGGCGCAAGCGGTCGCCCGGGGGCAGAAAGGTGAGGCAGCAACTAGCTATGGTGTTAGTGGTACAATTATCTTTGCCGGGAAGTCTTGGAAAAGCTGGCTGATCCCTAGGGCTGAATTTGAACCTCTGTTCTACCTCCTTGGGTGCACCGGCCGCGGTTGTGGCACAGCAAGAATGGGGACTCTGCTCCACTCCCTTATTAGGCAGAGGCAGAAGGGTGGCAATGGGCATTGCTTCGTTCCCATTTCGAGAACTAGCAACCATATTTTCTGGGTCTTGAGCGAGTTTCCGTGAGTTTTGTAGGGAAGCCAGCTCGGGTTTTCTGGTGTTCATCTCGTCGGTTGGTGTTGGGGAGCAGGGGCAGGGTGCCTGTTTGTTGGCCAATCCCTGCATGGCGGTGCTGGCCACGTTTTGGGCCCGCGGTTAAGAGATGAGACAACTTTTGTCCAAAAGGCCGCACATATACAACAAAGAGAAGACGAATTGTTCAACCACTTTGTGGGTAATGTGGCTGTCAAGTCAGTCTTGGTACCCCGGCCAAAGCATAAGACCCTAGCATGAGCACCACTAATGCATCCATCCCGGTGACAAGGGCCAGGGTAGCAAGATTGTCTTCTTTGTCGAGAAGACGCAGGAACTGAGGGAACGGGAATCATGACAGGGAGCGGTGAATGACTTGCTCTCTTCTTTGTCCTGTGCGGCACAAGCACAATGATAGGGGCTGAGTTTGCTGGACAGCAAAGGATATGAGAACATTGAATGACCCCACCGGCTGAGCTTGGTACACCTGTCTGCTGATTGAGTCAGTTCCGGGTAGTTCTGCGCATGTATAAATATCACCCGACGCTTGTCTCATATTTCAAGTTCGCGGTCGCTGACCTGCGATCACGCTTTCCCACCACCACCACTGTCGCCGCTTGGACCAACATCTGTCTGCTTTTGAATTTAGTTATTATCAGCGCATCCACTTAGACTCCCTCACATCATACTCCAACTTCATCTAGAGGTAGCCGCGAGCGCTCCACTGCAATCTCCAACATCATCGCAAGTCAGCGCTTCCGCTTACGGGAAATCCAGACCAGTCCTGAGGCTGACTCAAGGGCAGACCTGTTGTTCCTGTCGAGAAGGAGCATCGGAAGTGGGGGTTGCCAAGTGCGCACCTGATTGGACAGCGCCAACAACACAGCCCTGGGAGGAACTCGTTAGGGTGGTGCTGTGGATGCTGTAGGAGGTGAGTAGGTACCTAGCGTGTTGCCCCGCCCACTAGGCACGTGCCTCCAGCCTGAGCGACACGGAATCGGTCCCTCACTCAATATTTTGGGAGCTGACACCCTCTTCAGGCTGCCTCGAGAGACTCGCGACTCATCAATCCTTCAAAAGGCGCATCATTCCCCAGCGTCGCGCCACGTCGGTTTCATCGCCATCTCATTCGCCGCGAGCGCCATCACGGCTTGCTTCGGGTCGCCGCCGCCATCGTCACCCATGAACATCCAGCTGTTTCAGAGCGTGTGGAACATATTGATGCGGATCCGTCGCGGGTGGAGGGACCAGGCCCCGAACCAGAACCAGAACCAGAACCACCAGCAGCAGAACGGCGTGGCCCGCGCCGGCAGCGATATGATGGGCTCGGGATCGTCCCAGCCCGACGTGGTCGTGGTCACCAATGATTTGACCGACTCGGACAACTGGACCGCGGCCAGGTTACTGCAGCAGCTGCGGCGCGAGGGCAAGCTCAACTGCAAGATAGTGTGGATCGTCGAGCCGCGACAGGTGCTCTTGGGTGTTGCCATCTCGGAGGCGGATCAGTTAACATGTCGAGGCCTTATCGAAAAGTATTTCCTGCAAAACATGGAGAAGAGCTCTAGACCAAAGGAATCTCTCAAAAGACTCCTTCGGGGATCACTCACGAGAGACGAGATCGACAACACTGTTGATGATCTAGACGATCGAAAAATGGTAAGTTTCTTGTGTCAAATTCTAGCGACCGTATTACGGCATGAGGTTAACGTGTGTGTACAGCTCTACAACGCCATCAGGCCGGATCCCGGAACCAAGGAAGATGCTCTGCTTCATGCGAGACTAATGGCGTATGACTTCTTGGAGTTTTTACGCTCTAGCCCCGGTGGTTTTAAGGATGATGGGGTCGATGTCTTCGTATATGAGGACACGCTGGATACGACCGAGCCGGCAGTGAATCTGAAGATGCATAATCTGCACACGTTGGATAAGATTCAGATGCCAGTAAATCTGAAAGTGCACCATCCCGAAGAGTTGATCAGCCGCAGCCGGGAGGAGTTGGAAGAGCACAAGGCAATTATGCAGGAGGAATCCCTCGACACACGGACTACCCTGCTCCGCAAATGGTACCGGCAATGTATCGACACGCAGCGCGAGGTGTGCGATCGAAAAGAAATCAGGACTCTCAGGCTAGTCCTGCTACGCCAGACCATTAGACAAGCAGATCGACCGCTCTATCTTGGGGGTTCTTCCATGCGGCTCCTCCAGCAACTTCTGGAGAAGCGGAATGTAACCAACAAGCTGACATGCTGTTTTCAAGCGGTAAGGACTTTGATCATAACTGAAGTTCGACATCTTCTTAGAAATCGCTAATCATCTCCATCTAGGGTACATTCAATCTTGCCAACAACCTATTCTCAAATCAGTTCAACATTGCGATGAACCCGAACGCCGCAAAGCAGGTCTTCGAGAGAGTAGATCAATTTCGGAAGTTCTATGTTGTCCCCACAGACACCACCCTCGACGTCAAGTACTCGCTTAAAGGGCTTGGCGAGAGAGACAGAGCGCTGGAGAGGAGATGTCTGGGTTTCAACTACCACGTTGACCCCGAATCACTGGCGCAAGACGATATTCGCCTAGCCAAGTGCCAGCCGAAGGATGTTGTCATGGCTGATCTGACAGCCTTCCTCTGTGCGATTCAGTCATTCTTATCACTACCTCACGGGATTCCTCGAGAGAAGGCAATCCATAAACCAGCAGCTTTCACGCCCAAGCAGGTTCTCCAGTTTGAGCCTGACGGCAAGATCGAGGCTTACCAGATCGAAGGTGCGAAGCCTCTGGTCCTGGATCTCGTCAAATTACTTTTCGGAGAGAATGAGAGTGGGAAGGGATGAGCTGTATGGCCTGCGAGCGCTTCCGGACAACAACTTAGGCTGCGGAATTCCAAGACCGAAGCTTTCCCGCACCGGACGGCTAGAGGGGTTCAAGACCCACTGCTGAAGCAGATATCTGCTCTGGCAGACGGAACACCAGAGAGCCGGCGGGAAAGAAAAGCCAGATTTCAATGGTCAGGTATCCGAGCCTACAACATAGCCCATACCGGAGTCACGAGCGGGCGTAAGAACAGCGTCACGAAGGAATCAACATGACAGTTGACCGAGTGTTGATGGACCCAGAGTTCCATACCGGAATCACCGGGCCCAATTTCTGGGGGTTAGTTGGAAGGGTCTGGGGATGTGTATCAAAGCGATGACTTTAGCGAACATCGTTTGCTATGATGTTGCTTCGATGGGTGGGTGGCTGAGCCGATTCTTTGTTTGGTTGTCTTTTTTTCTTGGAAGCGTAGGTTGGAGGGATATGAGCAGGGGAACCGGCGTAAAGAGGCGTACAGAGAGACGAAGCCTATTCCTAGCACGGGGACAACGTTGTCCTGTTGTGCAGTAGGCGTACATCACGAAAAGTAGTAGACATGCGGAAATGAAGAGCGGTACGGGGTGTTAGCCCGCGATAGCGAGAACAGCGTCACTTGTGCTGATGGGAACTGTCTAGTGTCCAGGGCTGTCTCTGGGATTGATGACGGGAGGCTCTTTGCCCAACCCACAATGCTGTTTCATGGTTCTCTGCAGGATGCAGAATCGGATCTCTTGAGGTGTTTGAGCTGGCACAAGAGCTTCATGACGGACGATAGCCTCTGCGGATGATTGTTTTGACTCCGACTCTCCTGTGCGGAGCGGTCGCCAGTTGCAACACGTTTGCTACCTGCCCGTGACGAACCATCACCACGTTTCAGGATTGTTTTGTCAACGTTAAGTAGGAGTAAATAAATTACTCTAGGACCAGGACGCAGCACTCAATTTCACCTTTAACACACTACAGAGCTGCTCAGTGAACAACCCGTCACCTGTACAGACTATATTCAGAGTTTTGACTGGGTCCATGAGCAGCTCGTCTTTCTTTCACCTGGTAGGAATACTCTTAGGGATACTGGGATCCCGTTCCGCAAAGGAGCTCGAATCCGTGGCGATTTCTAGGTTGCGTGCGCTGCCGTGGCTGGGTAAAAGATGCTGCCGTGTATGTGAGTAAGCACTACTGATGAATGGTGTGATTCACCGCTGCTGCGTCGCCGTTGGAAGGATCCGGGCTAATCCCTGTCGGGAGAGAGCTCGGGCAGCATACCTCATGCGAAGGAGCTGCCTTTCCAAGTTGCTTACCAACCTTGGCCAGCGGAGCCATGCAGCTGCCTGTCCTTCATTGACGCTCTTGTCGAGATGAACATCATACATACTTGTGCCCCACCATCACCTCCAACAACTTACAATTGACAGACAACATTGGTTCTACGACTTTTCTCGATTCATAGGAGACATCAAGTCTAAACTACGGCTCGGGACACATTTGCTACTCACGATGACGTCAAAGACATCTCCCAAGATCACATTCTACTCCAACGTGATATGCCCTGGTACGTCTTACCTTGCTTCATCTTCCGTCTTCCATCATTGCTCTGGCATCTCCAGAATGAACACGTCCGACTAATCAAGCATAACTGCGCGACTCAGCCTCGCACAAGATCAAGATCGCCCTGCGTGAGCTGGGCCTGGAGTGGGAGGAGATAGAGGTCGACGTCAGCAAGCCCCGCTCGCCCGAGTTCCTGGCCATCAACCCGCGCGGCCTCGTGCCGACGCTCGTCTACGAGGGGCACGCGCTGCGCGAGTCGGTCACCATCGCGACCTTCCTTGCCGAGGCGCACGGCAACGGCAGGTTCGCCCCGGTCCCGGGCGCGGACGTCGTGGAGGGCGCTCTGTGGCGGCAGCGCGTGGCCTTCTTCCAGGACACGTGGGCCAAGTACGTGCACAACCTGTACACCCGGAGCTGGACGCGCGACACGGACGAGGAGGGGCTGCCGCTGGCGGAGAAGGCGTGCGCCAACGTCGTCGCGCAGCTGGACCCGCTGCTGGCGGACGCGGCGCCGTATTTTGGCGGCGCCGACGGGCTCACTCTGGCCGAGGCGCTGGTGGGGCCGACGCTGCTCGTCTTCTACGCGCACGCGCGGCACGGCGTGTTCCCGGCGCGCCTGGTGGCGGACTACGAGCGCACGGCGCCCAACTTCCACCGGTGGGCCACGGCGGTCATGGCGAACCCGGCGGTGGCGAGGGACTTCCGCGAGGACGAGTACATGGCCGGGCTGAGGGCAGCGCAGGCGTTCCGGCGGAGCGGGGCGAGCTTCGAGGGGACTGTGCTGGAGCGGGTGGAGGATGGGACGGCTTGAGAAGGGGATGCATTGAGGTGATGATGGTAATGATGGCTATTAAATAGCACCGTGGTGTTGGTGTCTTTGAGAGCTTCTGCACATTGTTGTTGAGTGTTTGCCAATTTGGGGGCCGAAAATGAGAGTGGTGATATTCCACGGGATCCGATCTGCTTACATAAGGCAGATCTGTCCCTCAGTCTAGATTCCAAACCCCAGCCCACCCATTTTCCAGGAACGTCATTTCAGCGGCCAGCCTTTAAGTTACATGTTAATGCCCAGCAGCCAATTTATTAGGCCGAGGCACGAGTCGACACGCGCCCAGCAGCCGAGCTAATTAGAACGGACGCCGGGACGACTCCATAGGGCTGTCACTGACCTGACGGACGGCTCCCTGGCAGACAGACCAAGTCCTGTTCCTCTCCATCGACATTTGACGTTGGGTGATTCATCTCGACATTCGCATACGCTGTCCAACTGGGTGGCTTACCCTTATCGCATGGTCGATGAAGTGAAGAGGGACTCTCTGCAATCACTCACTCAATCAATCAATCAATCCACCGATCAAACATACACCAGGAGAAGACGGACTCTCCCCGCGACGACCATGGGGCCGTCCGCCCTGCTCTCCCTGCCGCCGCAGTGGGTGCGCAAATACGACACGTTCATCACCAAGAATGTCCATCAGGTATCACAGATTGAATCGGCGCTGCGGTCGCTGACCTATATCATACCTGGTAAGAAAAGGAACCCCTCTGGCCATCTTCCACTCTGCCATGTAGCTAAACACCATCACTCGTCTCCCAACAGGCCGCTTCCGCGACGCCGAAATCGCCTCCGAAACCATCCACTCGGGCGTCCAGCTCCTCTCCCTCTACCACGACCTCCTCCTCCTCCGCGCCCTCTCCTCGCCGCCGTCACCGCCATCCTCATCACAAGCCACCGACAATGGCAGCAGCAAACAGTCACCACCCCCTCCTCCTCTGCACTCTCCTTCCCTACACAGCAGGTACACCCGCTTCTGGATGCAAAAGAGCCCGCTCTACCGCCGCCTCGCCGTCATGCTCCAGGTCGTCGAGTACACGCAGCTGCTGTGTGAGATGGTCGCCAAGCGCCGGGGCGCCCGCCGCGACGGCGACGAGCGCCTGCGCTGGCGCGTCGTCGTGGTGATCGAGGCGGTCAAGGCCCTCTGCCGCCTGCTCCTGCTGCGCATCACGCGGTCGCGCGTGCTCGTCTCGCCGCCCCTGCCGGAGCGCCAGCCCGTGCCGGACGCCGCCGCCGCCGACGCAGAGGAGGAGGACGACGGGGCCGCGCTGGCGGAGCTGATGGGCGAGGAGGACGGACAGCCCAACGGGCACGCCGCAGCCAACGGCCATGCCAACGGCTCTGCTGCCGGTGCTGGTGCGAAAGCAGCGGTGTCCAAGGACGGCAGCTGGACCATGCCCCGCACGGGCATGACGCTGCCGGGCCTGCCGCACGAGGGCGACATCAGCAACTACCTACTCTCGCGCGTCCTGACGGCCGACGACATCAAGCCCGCGCCCAAGCTCGCTAACCGCCTGCGCGGCGCCGCCCTCGCCGCCGAGGTCCTGCACATCCTCGCCCCGCTCGCCTTCGCCGCCGCCCTGGCGCGCAGCTACGGCAGCCGCGGCGGCGCAACGGCGACCCCGACGCCACGGTACAACGGGTACAGCAGCAGCCCCATACCGAGCAGCAGCAGCGCGAGGAGCAGCCGGGGCTCGGCACTGGCGGCCTGGGCGCCCTGGCTCGTGGGCGTGGGCTTCGAGATGGCGGCGCGGCAGCTGCGCGACAGGGGCCTGCGCACGACGGCGCTCGAGAGGGAGGAGTGGTCCAAGAGGGCGTGGGGCATGGGCTGGTGGGCCATGAGGGGCGCCGCGTACGAGGGGGTCACCAGGGGCGTCGTCGAGGGCGTGCGGGCCCGGCTGCCGAGCTTCGTGGGCGGGATACTCGAGGACTACGAGTACCTTTGGGAGAATTACTATTTCAGCACGAGTCCCTGAGCATGAATTGAGGCGGGGGTGGGGGAGAGCCCGGGTTGTATCAATATCGGCTTTTTTCCTTCTTCAAATAATACCATTGCCATTGCGGACGAGATCTACCGACGACGAGAGTGATCTGCTTATTCCTCTGTTGTTTGGATTCGAGTGACAAGCATGCATTCGGAGGGAACTCAGTTCTTTCTTGTGTCCCAACTAGCCACTTTCAGCATCCTATTCTCATCAACCATAGACTTGTAGGTATGGTAAGGTAGTCTATAGTTCATTATGATTAGCATCAAACTAGGACAAAATGAACCCCGCAATACGGCGTGCACGCATTTGTGGACACAGAGGCGGCTCCCAACTATTTAGTTTCTCGCGTGCATCCTCGTCAACTTACCTGTCCAGATGCTATCGAGGAGGCAGCCTCTTGCCGAATTAGCATGGCGCCTGTACTTCCAGACGAACTATGGCTTCTCATCTTTGCGTACCTGGTCAGTGTCCATCCCTGTCTGGTATCAATCTCGTTCCTACAACACTCGATATCGATAGTGGACGGACTCAAGGCTGATGTGTGTGTGTGTGTGTGTGTGTGTGTGTCCGGCTTCTACTAGACCAAAACGCCTGACTTGCTGAACGCTTCTCTCGTCTGCAAGTCCTTCAACGAACTGACCACCAGACGGCTTTGGCGGGTTGTGCGCCAGGCCCTACACTACCGACGAGATGACCCCAAGGCGATGCCTTCAGTCCCCTTGCCAAAGTCGAAGCTCCGGCACACGAAAGACCTCCAATTCTTGATTGGGTTTCCTGGCGCTGCTACGTGCCGTCACAACCTGTAAGGAGAGCTTCTCTTGATTTGCTTTCCAGTCATGACGAAATTTCGTTGACAGCTTTCAAAGGACCGACGAGTCCCAAGAGCAATTGGACGTTCGCCTAAGCGAGACTGTCAATACTATACTGGACGCCTTTGAAGACGGCCAAATAGAGGAATTTAGGTAACACCTCTTTAACAGATGATATTCATTCTTCCTAGCAGCACTAACGAGTCGCCGTAGCTGGCACGTCGAAGATTGCATCCCCCAATGCGCCATCGGATCACAGGGTATTCTGTCAACAAGGCACCCCGGTCTGCAGCTCCTGGCCATGTCATCGGACACATCCTGTCAGGGTCCGGATCCTGCCGACTTGGCAAAAGGCCTGGATGCCTTCCGGCAGCTGCGGACCATCTCCTGGATGCTGCCCAGCGCCGCCAACGTCCGCCACTTGGCCCTGCTCTTTAAGAACAACGCGGAGCACCTGCGGGACGTCGAGCTGATCACGTCCCCAGGCGACATCGTCTACGGGATGTCGACCGGCCTGCGCGCCGAGGACGACGAGCTTTCTTCCGAGGAGGGCCTTCGGGAGTTCATGATCGGGCAGGTCCTGTGCGCAGGCGTGCCGGCCCCGCTGGAGGCGCCCGTCTTCCCGGCCATACGCAAGCTCTGCCTGGACGAGGTAGGCGTCGACGAGAGGCTGGGGCTGGCCCTCAACTTTGAGACGCTCGAAGTGCTGGTGCTGCACGGCTGCCCCGGCTGGGGCCTGGCCGTGGAGAGCGCCGCCCGCCACGGCGGCAAGATCCGGCTGCGCGAGTTCGAGCTCTACGCGATGTATTCCGTCGCAGTGACCGATTTTGAGCGGCTGTGCGGCTTCATAACGGCCTTCTCGGGCCTGCGGTCCTTTTGTGCTAGCATGGACGGTTCTCTACGATCCGCACCCATGTGGGAATGTCTCGCGGGGCACCACGCGGCCACCCTGAAGAGATTCGTCCACTGCCAGCAGCGCATCCCCGAGACGGACGACTGGCCTAATCTTATGGAATGTCTATGGCCTGCTGCAGCCTCGTCTAACGAGGCGCGTATTGACTCCGACATGGCTCCACTCCAGCTTGGACCGCAAGGCAGCATGCTGAAAGAGTGCGATCTAGAGTTTCTGGGCTTCGAGGCCACTCAAAGCCACATGGTGAATATGATCTTGGGACGAAATTCAAGGACACGGAGTCCTTCTAGCTAACGTTTGTTTATCTCTACCAGCATGCCTTACGAGACGTTCTCCCCTCGAAAACGTCTCTACGAGCCTTACACCTCCGCGGCCCGAGCCTCGAGCACACGGATTCTGGGGATGTTGTCCCCCCGGACGGCCTTTTGCAGTTTGCGCGGTGGATGTTCGGGTCCGGAGGGGTACAGTCGCTCCAGTACCTGCGCTTCGGAGACGTGGCGTTCCGGAACACGGAAGGGACTCGTCAGGTGTGCTACTGCCGGTGTATGAATACTACGGATGGGTTCCGGATGCTTGATCAGGATGAGGATGCCTGGGAGAGGATGTCTGAGGAGTTTGGCGGCTCATTCGCTGCTTGTACGATGCCGTATTGGGGATAGAACTTTCTTTTCTTGGAGTGCTGGGCTTCAATTAGAATGGTAGTTGTCGCATCGCACTTTGACATCTTCATGCAGTGTGCGAACGTGAAACTGGGATAGGAATGGATGGCTTAACATCTTGATTGCCCGATCGGTATCAAACCCCAGGGACGAGAATGCCGGAATGCTACATCTAGTACGTAGAATGCATTTAAAAAGCGTGCAGGACTCTGTGGATGATAGATTTCTTCTCCCTCCCACCCTCTGCCTCTAGCACTTCCTGTTCCTCCCGCATCGAAGTGAATTCGCTCTGGAGATCCATGTCCGAGAGCGGAATGACCTTGGATCTCAGGAAGAACTTGAAAAAGATGTAAAGCGCTGTCGATGTGTTAGCCATTTCTAGTTTAATACTCGCGTAGTCAAACAGGCTTGCTTACCAGCGAAGATGGCAACGTTGAGGTAGCAGGTTAGAAACCCTTCTGCGGTAAAATGTCCCTTGACGAAGACATCGAAGCCTGAACAGAAAGTCAGTGAGTGTCGTAATGGGCTCTCAAAAAGACAGACTCACCAGAGAATATGATAATCAGCAAGATCAAAATCAGTGTTGCCCACGCGGTATAAGGCTGGAGGGGGCTCCTGTATGGAAGGTCTTCGCGAGTGTTAGTATGGTGTCTACTATAACATGCGGAACACAGAGAAGGCTTACCACGCCGACTGTATCCCTGCTTCTTCAGTGCAGCGAAGAATCTAAGGTAGGTGAACTCGATGACAGCCCAGCCAATGAGCCCTGCCACCGTGGTGATGTTGACGAACCAGCCGAAGACGACCGACGTATTGTTGGCGACGTTCAAGTAGACAAGCGGCAGCAGGATGCAAGTAACCCCGACAGCATAATGAGGGGTCCCAAACCGGTTGCATCGCATCAACAGTTTTGGGGCATGACCGTCGGCGCTGAGACCGTACATAGTTCTCGAGGCGATGAATATGCACGCCGAAGCGCTGCTGATGGCCGATGTGCAAACCACGGCGTTAATGATTGATGGTACAACTGCGACACCGGAGCGCTGGAAGGCGATCACGAAGGGCGACTGTTGGGCAGTGCCGGTGGACAGGGAGAGAGACGGGTCGTTGTAGGGTCTAAGCAGAGTTAGTCAGTCAAAAGCGCTTTGCCGTTCGTGAGATAGCCAGTGTCTGCTTACACAAGCATGCCGACGATCAATATGCTAAGAACGTAGAAGAACAGCACGCGGTAGAATGTCTTCTTGGTCGCTCCCGGCACAGTTCTCCTTGGGTCACGAGTCTCGGATCCGGAGATGGCAACAACTTGGATGTTGCCGTAGCTGAAGGCTGCAGACAGCATGACTTTCCAAAAGGCTAGAAAGTTACCAGTCGCGCCGGTCTTGATGTACGAATTGAAGGCGCCGGGGTCCTGCCAGTACCGAAACCCGATACGTTCGTGATTGGGCCCTCCGCCGAGGTTGATGACCAGCCCTCCAATGATGAGGCCGATGATGAGCATGATCTTGAGTGACGCGAAGACGACTTCGGACTATTCGCTGGGGGTAAGATACCGCATGGCAGGGGCAGGATTGAATGTACATACCTCTCCGTACAAGCGAACGCCACAAAGGTTGATGGCAACAATGACAACCAAGAAAATCGTGATCCAGACCCCGGGATTGACAGACGTATTCCAGAACTGAATGACCGTGGCCGCGGCACTGATCTCGGCAGGAACAGAGATAGACATGGTGTACCCTTCTTACGTATCAGCTTCACGGCTAAATCGTACGCACTGGAAAAGATGGCCTCGCCGACTCACAGAAGTTCCATCCAGTCGCCGCTCCAAGAGCCGGCTCAACAAATTTGGTCGCATGCCTAACGAACCCTCCGGTATGGGGCATGAAGGCGGTGATCTCGCCCGTCGTGTACGCCACGCCGGCAGTCACGAGGCCCATGAGCGTGTAGGCCAGGAGAGCGCCGGCGGGGCCCGCAATGGCGATGACCTTGCCGGAGCCGAGGAAGAGACCGGTTCCCTGTTGCCGACATCAGCTTTGGTATCGCAGCAGGTCCTCATTCGCGTGCCGAGAAGCGAACTTACAATCATACCTGCCAAGGCGATCATGTTGATGTGGCGCGCCTGCATGTCCCGCTTCAGCCCGCCCGTGGGCACAATCTCGCCGGCTCGGGCATCTGGGGCCTTGAGGTCCTGGGGCCTGCTGCCCGAGGCATCGGTTTGCTTCTCAGCGTCCTCCATCATGTGCATTGAGTATCACCAGTGGTCCTGGTCAGCTTTTGGGTTACAGGAGCTTGAGAGAAGATGCATTCCGGTCGCCACTCGGCTCACAGCATGGGGAGCGAGCTTGTACTTATCTTTCTTCTTCCCTATCATCGAGGAGTGAGTGACACATCTGCACTTATCAGCTTGCAGAGTTCCTCGTCGGCAATGGTAGTCATATCTGTGGGATTCGATGGTGGGTGGTGCCATCCGGTGGAGCTCTTTTTTGAAATGCCGGTGCGGAGATAGATACCGGCCCGGCGATCAAAGTCGAGGATGGACACCGGTATGCGCGGGGCAACAAAGCACCTTGTTCCTTTGGGCATTCACTCGGGTATATCTGCCTCAGCCTCGAGTGCTTTGAGAGCAATCCGTACCTTTTCATTGGCACTCTTTCCGCTTATCCCAACTCTTTGCAGCACATGATGTCTTCTGCAAATGACGATTCATTTACGCTCTACGACCTGCGAGTCGAGGTAGTCTGTCCGCCAGGCAAGAGAATCCTCTGCGGAGCCAAGGAAGGAGACTACTTTGAGCTCAAGGGCGAGATGCTGTATCTGCCTCCCGGCCAAGGGATGAGCATATATAGCATAGGTATGCAGACCTTATATACATATACAGAATTTGGATTCATACTGAGCCCCATAGCTTCTGTCCTGCCACTCCTCGCGGCCAGGCAACGACAGACGCACCCCAATGACTGGATTACAACCGACGCCAACGTGGCTTGCCCTGACCCGAACTGCCCATCTCTGCTAAGGATCACCAGGCAGGGGACAAGGACGTTTTCACATGCCGAGACAACAGTAGTCCCGCTGGGATGAGGAGGTTGTACGAGTATTACCGCGGTGTAGATTCCGATCAAGCTAGGAATACACCATCTTGCGTGCTGAAACCGGCGCTTGCGAAGAGGTGCTCCCAGGTCTCGTCGCTGACGAACTGGAAGTCCAAGGTACCCTGCTGTGATGCGGGATCTACGCTGTCTAGAATGGCCCAGTCGCGACTCTGGGCTGGAGTTCTCGTTGAAGACGGCCTGTTCCCCTGAATCGGTGTCTGAGCGGCGACCGCAACGACTTGGTTGGCGGCGGCGGACCGGCTCTCGGTCCGCCACCTTGTGGCTAGATTGGAAGTAACCTTGTTGAGGAACCCGGCCTGAAGTGCACAGCTTGAACCAGGCTGGGCGGCCTGTTGCGAGAATGCTATTGCTGCATTGCGGATTATTTCCAGCGTGCTGGGTTCGATTTCCTTAGTCATTGATTCCGGAGCCAATACAAGCAGCTGTGTAATTTCGTTAGACAAGTTTCAGGACCCGTGAGAGATACAGGACTAACCTTGATCAGAAATGCCGCGCTGTAAGCGATCATGATATGTACGGAGTCTTGCGCAAAGAAGAGTCGGGAAGAGTTCTGGGGTATCATCCGGAGCATGTCCGTGGCACTGGAATAGGCTACCCATAGCATCTCCAGGCTAGGTGATGACTCTGGATCGCAGGCTCTCAGCAGCTCTTGGAGAGGCAGCGAAAAGACTTGTAGGCGGAGATGAGTTCCGTAGAACCGAATCAAGAAGGGATGGCAACTCTCCTCATCAGGGGGGCCTTGCTGTTCTGCCAGTTGAACCCAGCGGTTCTGCCACTCCATGATACGTCGGTTGATGAGTGTAAGTAGAGATTCGATATTATTCAGTGACAATCCGTCTCGGCCAAATCGCTTGGGACCAATGAGGTTGAAAATCACCGAAGTCTCCAGACGTAATCTTACAAGAGCACCGAGGAAGAAGTCGTTCGCGATGGATATCGAGTTGTTGCACCAGGTATCAACCGACTCGATGAAGTCGTTCCGCTCGATCATGTAGGGCTTGCCTGTCTGAAGGCTTATGCTGTTTGAGGTCAGAATTAGCACGTCACTGAAAGACACGAGTCGATAATTACCTTCGATCATAAACGAATAGAACCAACCACGTCCTCTCCACGTTTCGTACTTCTCTTCTCTCTAGCTCACTTTTATCATCATAGCTGCCGCCTAACGAGGCTGCAAGCTTGTGCCAGTCTAGGTCAATGCACATGCGGATGACCCAGCCTACGAGAGTCCAAGCGCGAGTATCTTGAGGCTCTTTCCAGTAGGTCAAGATAAGGGCACCCTGAGCAATCTCGGCTGACTTTGATCCCTCGCGGAAACATCTACTGAGTAGCTCTTCTGCGTGCTCATGGAGTTGCTTGTGTATACTTGTATTAAAGAGCTTGGCTGCCATGGCAAGCATGGCGGTAAAGAGGAAAGATGACCGTTGTCGAACGTAGGGATAGGTGTGTAGAACTGGGTCCATCTGGCAGATGTATGGGTTGAGGACGGTCATGAAGCTGCAAGTTCGTACATCAGCTCAATACAGATAAATAAACTGACTAATATCATCACAAACTTCTCAAAAAGACTCTTTGCTATCGTAGAGTTGACAAGACCCAGGTCGACAGGGTCGTCTCGGGGCAGAGATACAGTCATTCCTGATGGCTCGCCAGCGTCGCCATCTCCCGTACTGAGGATGGCCCTGAGCGAGAATTTGCCGGTCATAGCCTCGCGGCTCAGAAGTCCCGAAGGTTGCAAGCTGCTTGGCTCGGCATTTGAGTCCCGGCGCATTTGAGAGGCCGCCGGTGTGTGCGCGTCAGCCATGGGCCGACGCTCCTCAGAACCCCCATTCCCCGCGTGTGGTGGGGGGACCGAAGATATCGGCGTGGCTCGTACCCTCGATATTCTAGCAGCAGTGTGATTAGGCTTCAATCTCTCCAAGGTAGGGCTATCCAATCTCACCGAGTCCCGGGTTTTCTTCCCCGTCGGTGCTCCTGAAAGATGCAGTCGAGGGACTTCCGGCTGCATCGTTCACACTTCGCCCCCGCTGTCCCAGAGCCGGGCGGCCGGCACTTCATTTTGACCTTCCGACATGGCAGGCAGGCGTTCATGGTACATCCGATGAGACAGGGCTCGGTGTTGAAAGATCAGGGAGATTCTGGAGATGGACGTTCACCTGCATCCATCTGTAGGTGCCGTGTCCAGGTGAATTGCTCAGACAGCGCGTCGCGGGGCTGTATTCACTCACTAACGCTGTCCCCAAACAGCGCTAGTAGCCTCACCTGGGCAAGCTCTCAGCGGGCTAGCGCAGATTGCGGGGTGTTTCTACAGGGGGAGGGATTGATGGCGGAAAGTTCACTAGGCTCCTAACGTGCTACCTACCTAAGGTAGGTATGTAGACGGACAGAGATTTGTAACAGACTCACTTGCTCCCGAAAGTCGGAAGTACTCAAAGTTGAATCCTACCCAGGTAACGATGGTGCAGCTTCCGAAGGGCGGCTGGCAAATCCCTTCTGAAACCCCAAGATAACTAACGACACTGTTATCTCGGCCATCACTGTTGGCCTATTGGTGGGTGACGATGAACACCGGCGATGTGGAGGCCGGCGATCTAGCCCCCTTCAGTTGCTGAATCACCGGCATGCGGGACTTGCGCTGAGATGCCGGGTGTGATCGGGTAAGCCTCTCCTCAACTCTACCCCCTCTGACTATATTAGATCAACGTTTAGTTATCTAAGTATCGTCTCGGTTGCGAGCTGGGACCCGACAGATAGCTTGCATGTCCCCTCTCTCCACGATGGCCGTCACGCAGCGCGGCCGAGCCAACGTGGCCCACGTCAACATGATGACGGACACCATCATCGCCAACCTGCCCACAGACGGCTTGCGTGCCGTCCTGCGCTCGCTTCTGGCATCGCACCCGGAGATCACCAGCTCCTTGGAGGAAGAGGCCAGGAGATACGCTCTGCAGAGCGCGTCGACAAAGCTCAGCGCAGAGCAACCGGCCACCGACATCCCGGCCCTCAAAGAGACCGAGAACCTGGTCCGCTGCATGGCCGGGTCCGGGCTGTGCTTCGAGAGCCTTCCGCTCTTGGGCCAACTAGTCACGCAAGCGACGCATGCCACGGCCGACGACGAGCATTTTCTTGCCTCTGTCGATGGAGACATTGTCCAGGTCATGACGGCAGTGCAGAAGAGTCTCTTCGTCCCGACGGGAACGCGTGGCATGACTGTCGACGAGCAGACCCATCTGCAGCGGTTTAACAAGACTCTCCGTGAGTGTGAGGAGGCTAACCAGAGGGCGAGAGGAACGCACTGCTTCTCCAGAGGCGCTGCTGCTACTGCGAGTGCTCTGGGTGTTCCAGATGCAACTGCCAAGGAGATGAACGAGTCATCCAAGCAGTCCCTGCAAAACGCGCGGCCGCCGCCCGAGGCCAAAGAGACATTCGAATTGGGAAACAAGACATTGCCACGGATCTTCTCCGGACTCTGGCAGATGTCCAGTCCCGCATGGGGCGCAGCACCGACGGCAAAGATCCTTGACCAGTTCTACAAGCACGTGCAAGGCGGCTTCAATGCCTTTGACATGGCGGATCACTACGGCGATGCCGAGATCATCTTTGTGAGCTCTCACTCCACGGGAGAAGCCCTCGCAAAGTCTAACAAGATTACAGGGACGCTTCTGGTCATCCTACCCATACCGAGACTCGGTATTCACCGCCACAAAGTACTGCGTGTTTCACCAGATGACCGACGTGACTCGTGAAGGTGTCCGAGCGAGCGTAACTGAGAGATGCAAAAGGTTGCAGCAGGACAAAGTAGACTTGCTTCAGTTCCACTGGCAATTCGTACGTCGTTGTGTCGATCTGGTGAATCTCGATATAGACTTACCAAAGTGCAGTATGAGAACCCCCGATACCTCGACGTCCTCAGGTTCCTAGCAGAAGACGATCGTGTTGGCATGATTGGGCTGTGCAATTTCGATACCGAGCACATGGAAAGGGTCCTGGATGCGGGTATTGTCTTTCACGCCAACCAAGTACAGGTTTGTCACCCGCGACAGACTTTGCAGAAGAGTGTTGCTAACACAGCTAAGTTCTCACTGATCGATTCCCGCCCAGTCTTCAAGATGGGCGAGTTCTGCGAAACGCACAAAATCAAGCTGTTGACATACGGTACATTGGTGAGTCTGATCGCGGTCTACCTCACTCGTCCATCGTCTCATTGATGTGAATACAGTGCGGCGGGTTTCTATCGGACAAATGGCTTGGTAAGCCTGAGCCGGATCTCTATGATCAAGCCATCACACCGAGTCAGCGAAAGGTAAAACCCATCCTCTTCAGCCATGGCACTAGAGACTCTCTAATTGATCGTGCTAGTATCATACCATGATCCGTGGCTGGGGCGACTGGACCCTGTTCCAAGACCTGCTCCAGACTCTACACCGCATCGCCACTAAGCACGGCGTCAGCGTCTCCAACGTCGCCACACGTTGGGTGCTGGACTTTCCCTACGTAGGCGCCGTCATCGTCGGGGCCCGGATGGGAATCAGCGAGCACACCGACTCGAACCTGGCCAGTTTCGGGTGGTCACTCGACAAGCAGGACCAGGAAGCGATCGAAGAGGTGTTGTCTAGGAGCAGGCGCAGTGAGTTGTTCGAGAGCGTGGGAGACTGTGGGCAGGAATACAGGGTGTGAATACGTCCACTTCGACATGTATCTACAAACTTCGATGGCACGATAAGCCTTCGCATTGCCCGCTCTTCCAGTGAATGGCTACTGCATTCAGGGTCCCTGCTAGTCATAGCAATTCCACATGTTACATCACGTAGCTGGCTCTCAAGTTCGCTCCAGGAGAGAGATCAAGCTTGCGGAGCTCTTTGCGCGTTCACATCGAGGTTAAATCATGAATGGGGAGCATTCGCCTGGATGGCAACTACACACTGCAGAGGGGTAATTAACTTCGGAGTTCACTACGTTCTCATTCAAGGCTGCCCTTCCTCGCCGTCAGACCCATCCTCCGGCCCCGCGATCACGGCACGGGAAGAACCTTGTAGTACAAGTTCATCATCTTGACGTCCTTCATCCACCACTCGTCCCCGATCCTGACCCAGGTCTCGTGGTAGTGGCCCCCGCCCGCGACGTGCACGCCGCCCGTGGAGCCCTTGGGCCCGGCAAAGAACATGACGCCAAAGATGGCCTTGACCTCGTCGGCGCCGACCTGCTCGAGCTCGCCGGGCCCCGTCATGTGCATCGTCTGCTGCTCGGCGAAGTGCGCCTTGAAGTAGGCGACCCACTCGGCGCGCGACTTCCACTTGTAGGCGACGTCGAAGAGCACGACGTCCTTGCCCGCCTCGTCGACCGTGTCAAAGGTGAACTCGGGGACCATGAGGCCGTCAAACTTGTCCCAGTCGTTTGTGTCGGCCCAGCGGCAGTACTGCGACTTGCGGTAGCGGATGCGCTCGGCGGCTTGGGGGTCGACGGGCGCCATTGTGTGTGTAGTGGCAAGGGGTGACTTGTTTGAGGAGAGCAGAGGAGGCGAGGCAAGATAGAAGAGTAGGTACTAAGTGCCAAGCCACTATTTCTCTGTTGAAGCCTTTGACTGGCAGGATATGTGAGATACATGTATTTCTACTCGGGTCCAGAATGCGTATATATGTAGTTCTGCGACTTTCCCAACTTTCTTGTCCCCGCTCGTTCTAGACCACGCCCCATAGCGAGTGACATGTCGTCCCTACCGAGTCTCATTGCAGGCAGGAGAGGGGAAGAAGAAGGTGTGATTGCGTGCGGCGGCCGCATCGCACCCCTGAGGGTGTCCTCGTCTAGCTTGCCTGGTTGTGGAATCGTGCCCTCCCTGTACGCTGCCTGCTGCAGATGCTGTAAATTGGCAGGGTTCAAGAGGTCCGCACCCTGTGCAGGCTGTGGAGCAGACACTCCAGAGATCATGAATGTGGGATGAGCCAAGAAACTCCGACCGCCTTTCACCGCTTGATATGGCGCATGTCGGTAATTTCGCACAGCACATTGTTTCCGGCGGTCTGCAACTTGGCGACATGGACGCATGTAGCTACCTGGGTAATTTGTCCGAGAGAATGAATCTGCGTTATGGGCTAAAGTCCGGAGACGACGCCCTCCCCTTCCGGCTATTAGGCCTTTCCGATCGGTACAGCGGAGTGGGCGGCGTCGGAGATCCGGATCGTGGCGGAGCTCACTGCGGTGGTGTCCTTCGTCTTCGTCTCCGCCCAATTGCAAGTTGGACTAGGCACGAATGTGCTCTGTCTGCATTGCTACCTCATTCGTCGATGGTCTATGTAGAATGGCCGAGCAGGTTATTGGCTGCCTGAGTGTGATGATACGGCATGATTACCAGCCTCTCTTGCAAGTCCTCTCCAACTCTGGTGCTGTTCGATGCCAGCGCCGTAATGATGATCCAGGGCCAGTCCCACCTTACATCAAGAGACCCGCGCGCTGTTTGATACCGGCAATGATCGCGTCATAGTCGACATACTTGATTTCCAACTTCAAGCCCTTGGTGCGCTGTAGGTGGCTCTCCATCTCTAGTCCGATCTCGTAAGCATTTTCCATTGCCTGGTACCAGTACTCGGCCTGGGGGTCGCTTTGGAGGTTATCGTCGTCATGCTCAAACACGTATCCATTCGCAGCGATGCGTGGGCTGATCACCACCTCAGTGCTGTCCGGGCTGGTGGTGTGGTTTTGGCTCTCCGGGATGTCGATGCTGTCGATGCTCTCCATGACTCCCATAATCTCCATGATCTCGATACTCTCGGTGTGCTTGTGGCTCTCCATGCCGTTTGCAGGGTCGTCTTTGATCTTGTTGTTCTCGTCGACATCGTCCTTGCCGACGCTCTCATAGTTACCGGTAATCTCAATGCTGCCAGGATTGGGGTTGGGGACGCTCTCAATGCTCTCGCCACTATTAGTGTTGTCGGTGTTGGCAATGCTCACGGTGCTGACAGTACAGTAAGCGCCTGAGCTTGACCTCGAGCCTGGCTCCTTGTCCTGGGCGATCGCAAAGTCCTCAAAGCCGTGAATGATCTGACTACCATCAAGGTCTTTGGTGGTCTCATTGTCCATGCCCTGAATCTGAATATCCTCCATGATGTAAGTGGTCTCGCCATTCGTGGCCTCCTCACCATCGTCAACGTCACCAGTCTTCTCAACGTCCTGGGAGTCGTCGATACTGTGAGGATTCTCAAAGCTTTGGGTGTCAGGTAAGCCTGCAGGCTCAGTCTGCATCGCCATCTTTGCCTTGCGGGACTCGTATGAATCTAGTCGCCGCTTCATCTCTTGCTCCCAGTCCGCGACCACCTCTTCCTGCAGGGCGCACTGAGCAAAGTCGATGAAGTAGGGCGCCTGCGTCTCCGCCATTACGACCACGTTAGCTGGACGGCCGTCGATTAGGAGGACGCCGAGTTCTGCGATCTGGTGCGCGAGGTCAACGGCAGATTGCAAGATGCCGTGCATGAGCTCGGTTTGCTTGGGCGGGCGGGGCGAGGACGCCAGGTCCATCAGGCTGTAGCCGTCGATGTATTGCATGAGAATGCCCTTGACCTCCTTGTAGGGTGCGAGCTCGGCCTTGACGGTGTCCTCAAGTTGGACGCGCACGTGAGCGTACATCTGCGGGATTGACTTGCCCTGGAGATCATGCAGATGTGAATACATGCGGGTCTCTGTGTCGAAGAGTTGCAGTGGATCCACAAAGCGGCCTCGAACTTTCCGACCTCATGTTCGAAATCGAAGGCCGACAGCGGCCAGTGGATGATGCCATCCTCGCCCACGACCTCCTCCGTCACTTCACGGTTGAGAGCGACCATCTGATCCGAGCGGAGCACGAACGACTCAAAAGCCTCTTCGGATTCGAGGGTGTGATGTTGATCCTTTCGGAATCCTGTGCCGAACCGCCGATCGTAGAGCTTGAGCACTGCGTGAAACTCCTTTCCATTCTCATCCTTGACAGTGACTTGCAGTGCGAAAGACATGGTGAAGTCGAGAATCTTGTCGATGACGAACGAGACAAGTCGTGGTAAGGGCGGGGAGCGAAAGTTCTCAAGAACGTCCAGCTGCAAGACCATTCCCGGCTCGTAGGGGTGCTGAGTGGCTGTCTTGGCCCTGTAGAACTTCGTAAGCGGGTGGAGCACTACCGGAGATACCTGAAGCTTTACTCACATCGTTACCTACTTTCAGAGACCCAGGGACGTGCGCGATTGCAGTTGTGGGCAATGAATAGACCTGCTCCCGGAAGTGTGAAAGTGGTCAAAGTGATGAATGCGAAATGCTGGGGGGCCTGATAGGTTTGTGATGAGAGCCGAGGAGAGGGGGAGAGGAGGCAATAGCCCTGAAGGGCAGCTGGTTAATGCCCTGGCGCTATTTTACCTTCTATTCACTATTGAATAGCTGGAGAACTGTCCAGGCGCGTCCATGGACTTCACTTGAAAGCGACACCTGTGTGACAGCTGGGGAAGAGTAGGTATTGTTTGGTACTGCACAATGCCTCACTCATTCCACTATGCTGATGTACTCCATCATAAAAGAAGCCCAACTGCTATTCTGGGAGGTTCTCCAAGGAGAACCAAACTTCCAATGAAATCCTCCAATAATAAGGGCAACACAATACCAAAGAAAAAGGATAGAATGCATTGTCATAGCTATTGTTGCTTATATAATTGGAGGACGGGAATACTTCTAAGAGGCTATAAAAGATATAGAACTTTACTTCTCCCTATCAGGGAATATCTCGACGTTTTGGACTTGAAATCTCAATCTTCAACTGGGATATTCTGTTTATTCCAGGACGCAGCGCACCTCATGTCTGTCGATTCAACGACCAAATTTATCTACATGACCAAAAAGCTGAAGACGGAACTCCAAGCCTACTTGACGAATACCAATCCGAACAATGCCACCAATTCGGGCTAGTCGACCAACTGGTCGGCCATTCACGGAGAAGGGCGAGCGACTGCGAGCAAGTTCGTTTGCCATATTGGAGTTCGCCTGGTGAACGATAGGTATGAGTTGTGCGTCCTCGTTGCACAGAGAGAGGGAAAGAAGAAGAAGAAGGGTACGCCGCTGAAGGATACCACCTACAACTGGGGCAACAAGCCGCCCATCCTCCTTTAACACTACCAGAGACAATTCAACATCGACCCCAAGCATCTCTTGAAGGAGCCAACTGAGCCCACCGTTGAGGATCCGGTCCCTCACGGCCCCCCGGCTGGCTGGACCAAGGAGGTCCAGCAATGCCCCGAGGGTGGGCATTACTACATCGATCACCACGAAGACACCGTATACTGTGACGAGCAGGGCATCGCCTGGGGTTGAATCTTTTATCAGATGGGATGGTTACGGTCCGGTCCCAAGGAGACCTAGTGTAGTTCTTGAATGGTTTGGGAAGCTGGAGTTACCGTTGCCGTCTTTTGTTTTCGGAAATTCAATTCTTTGATCGGATCGCTGAGCCGAGTTGACTGAAATGGGTTGTCCCTTTATCTTCAATGTTGAAATAGTGCAAAGTTTCTTGTTATATTAGGTCTTGGACTCTCTCAAGATAGGTGAGATAACGCCTCATCTAAAGACATCGCTGGGAAGAGCTCGAAATACCAGTCCTTGTGTACCTGCGGTACCGATTCTGGCATAAAACGTACGCGCAGAGTCTCTAGCAATGCTTGGAAACATTGTGAAACATTCTGAACTCCATAACAGGCAACTTGGCTTCTTACAATTTCCAAGTAGTCTCATCGAAAAGCCAGTCTATCGGCTCGGCCGAACCAAAATTGAATTCCGCATCCGCCATCTATAATAGCCATTCTCGTTAGCCACTTTCTCCCCATGCACTAGATCGCAAGGTGGAACGTACCATAAAATCCCAGTCTTCACCCATAGTCGTCGAGGGGTCTACAACGGCCGGAATGACTGCATCCGATGGCGCCATAGACTCAACGAGAGCGGAATCCGTCCTCGGCAACGGCTGGACGTTGGCAGCAGCCTTCTCCAGCACAGCCAGGCACTTCTCCAAGGCTTCCTCCGCAGTGTACACCAAGTATTGGGTGACTTTGTCCTTGTCGAGGCTCTGCATGTACGCTTCGATAGGCCCCGCAACGATCCGCATCAGGAGGTAGCCCTTGACATTGGTGTTCCATATCTCGATGCAACGGAAGAACCAGACTTTCGCCTGCTCCACGATGGTAACCCAGTCGGACCTGAGCGGCACAGGGCCGAGGCTATCCTCTTCTTCGCGCAGTTGGGCGCCGAGCTCAGTGCAGATGGCGAGGGGCACCTGGCGAAGGAGGGTGTGGAAGAAGGACCACGGCGATGTGGTCAGGCGCGTTATGTCGTCGTATCCCTGATCCGTCGCAGCCGCGGCAGTGGTGACGGGTAGCTGGAATAGACTGCGCCATATCTTGATTGAGACATCGCTCACGACCTTGCGCGAGAAGGCGTACCCAGCATTGGTGAGGGACGGGATGTGAAATGGCAGATGGAGAGCCAGCAGGTAGCGATTGACGAGGACTTCGACAAAGGTGCTGGCGAAATGGGAGGCTGACTCGCCAGTGGCCGCAAGTGAGCCATCTGGAAGGAATCTCTTGCGCGCGTCTTTATAAGCAGCTCGCAACTGCGAGTCAAGGCGGAGTGTCTCCTCATAAGAGTCGCCGGCGTTGACACTATTCAAAACCTTTGCGATGGCCAGCCGCTCCGAGAAGGTGCGCGCGAGAAGCCTTGCCATGCTCGATTGTGTGAAGTGCTTGTCTACCTTCGGTGAAGGGTTTTCTTCCATAAGCTGTTCGTCATCAAAGTTTCCGGGCCCTTCTGTATCGAATTCCTCGGGGTAAATGAAAGGTGGTCCGCCAGAGAGGATGCTCGACTGCAGAGCCAGTTCAAGAATGGTGTTGAAAAGCCTCTTGCGCATCTCCGAGGCGAAGACAGAGCCCTTGGCCAGCTTGGCGGGGTCGCGATGGAGGCCCATCTGCACGGCCTTGCGCATGATCAGACTGATAGACACCCAAGTTGCGCTGCTGTCGACGCCAACCATCTCCCGGGCGAGGATGAGAAGGATCTCTGTTTGAAGTGTCTGGAGATTCAGCTGCGCTTTGAACCGCGGCCTCAGCAGCCAGGTTTGAACTTCGAAAATCCATCGTACCGCCTCGTTTCGGAGACTAAAGCTATCGTCGAACATCGTCGCACCGATGGCCAAGACCATTTTGAACTGCGCTACGACGTTCAGGTCCGGAGGGCCCGACGATGTCCAGAGGCTTTCGTAGCTTCTTTTGAAGCTCGGTATGTGTACGATTCGGTAGACCGTCTCCACAGTCCGCAAGTAACAGCCCACGAGCTTGTCTGAGATGTGCCTGTCAGGTACCGAGGCGTTCAAGAGAGTGGGCCACGGCGGCTCGCGGCAAGTCTTGATCGTTCGGGCCAGAGACTTGCATCGTTGGAGTTTTGCCGCCACGGCTGACTGCCCATCTCGCATATAAGGTTCCAGAACTTCCAGGAGATTCCATACCTATGGCAATGCGTGAGTATTGAGGATAGATGAGGAAGAACAGAAGAGATTATTTACCAGGGCCACTCCGTTCATCCAATGGCTTTGCCCAAAGAGCCGCGTCTTGTGCATAAGCCCGTGGCCAATCTCCTGAACCTGGCCGTGGAAACGGCACTCGTGCCGGATCTGAATGCCACCACCCAGGAATGACGACGTGAACTCGCTGTTTGATCGTGGAGTCGGCACCGAGGGCCCGCTCAAACGCGAAGTCACAGTCGCAAGCTCGTCTTCCAATTGCTTGATTCGGCTCTTCATAGACAGAATGTCTTCTCTAGGTGAGCTCTGATTGGTCGCCGACGCCGACGGTGCGTTAACCTGTGTATATAGAAGTGTCGCGGAAACATCGGCAAGGCCGCTGGTCTCTTGTTGGCTAGGTGGCCGAGACAGTCGTCGGCAGAGTGGAGGGTAGCCATCATAGACACAAGGCTCTTTCTGGAAAGCCACGCAGTTGCTGCATGGCATCTCCCTGTTGCATTTGACCTTACGCCTCCTGCAGTTGGTACATGACCTATTGGCAGGCACAGTGCTGTGTCAGCCAGCCAGAACGGAGAGAGAGGCCGGGGAAAGGGTAGGGACATGGAAAATAGGGGGGGGGATAGAGTGGCACTGACACGGCAGGGCGCCGGCGCCGGCGAGCTGGTTCGCTCACCGGAGGGACTGGTGAGTGCTGCCCATCTCGACCAGCAGGGGTAGAGTCTTCGAGCCGCATCTTTTCGCGTCCTAAGTCCGTGGATTCCGACACCATGTCGTCTGCTGATTGATACAATTCGGATGAAATCAAGCAAGTCCGGTGGTGAGGGAAGGTATCACATTTAGAGACGAACTACTCCACGGGAATTACGCATTTGGTCTAACCAGCCCGCCGTTGTCCGCGGTAAACTCAACTTTGAGCGCTAACATTTTTGTTGCGACCAAGTGGGATCCTCACACCAATAAGCAGCGGTTTCTGTTAGCAGGCCAAGTAATGTGTTATCTGATTGTCTAAACTCCGGAGATCTGGTCGCTTACACTCCCGGGCCTGACCAAGCATTTGGTACTGACCACTTTTCAGCACGGTTATAAAGGAGAGACTGTTACTTGTCCTCAAGGCCGAGATCATGACCTAATTCTTCCCACTCTAGTTGTTTTTTATTCATACAAAAACCCTAGTTTTCTTTGTTTTGGGTAGTCCTCACACGTCCCCGTAATCATGTCAACTTCGAGAGAGCGCGGCAGCACGGCCAACGACAGCAGCAGCACCGACGTCGAGGTCAACCAGGCGCAACTCCCGCAAATCAGCGAGAAGCAGATACAGAGTCCTCCAGATGGCGGCCTGACGTCTTGGCTTGCTGTGCTTGGGGGTGCTTGTATCTATTTCAGCACTCTAGGCTACGCCAACTCCTTTGGGGTGTTTCAGCAATACTATGAGACTCATCAACTCGCGGGTGATACTCCAGATAATATTGCTTGGATTGGATCGCTGGCGAACTTTTTGCAGTTTGGATTTGGAGCCTTCACTGGTGCCTTGTTCGATCGCCTGGGACCATGGGTGAGTAATAGCTTGCATTTTCTCTTTGTCTCGCCCCAAGGTCAGTAAATGGATTCAGTGCCGACTAATTGAATTTCCATTCGCCAGATAATCTACCCCGCCGCAGTGGTCCACGTCTTCACCTTCATGATGATTAGTCTCTGCAAGACATACTGGCAGTTCATGCTGGCCCAAGGTGTCCTGCTCGGCATCACGCAGGGAGCAATGGTGGTGCCTGCCACCGCTGCCGTGTCACAACACTTTGCCAAGAAGCGAGGTCTGGCGATGGGCCTCACCGTGGCCGGCTCCTCGGTCGGGGGCATCGTCTTACCGATCAGTCTGTCAAAGATGCTCAACGGCTCGACGCTGGGCTTTGGCTGGTCCGTCCGAGTCATCGGTTTCATCCTCGTCGTGCCTATGGGCATCGCATGCCTGACCGTTCGGTCCCACCAAGTATCCCAGAAGCTCCCTTTTCATCCCCGAGAAGTCATCAAAAACAAGAGCTATCTCATACTCACGGGCTCGTTGTTTATCGTCCTCCTGGGCATGTACACGCCTCTCTACTACCTGCCGTCCTACGCCGTCGCGCACGGCATGGATCCCACTCTGTCTTCCTACCTTCTGGCCGTCTTCAACGCCGCGTCCACCATTGGCCGTATAATCCCGGGCATCGCGGCAGATAAGATAGGCCACTTCAACGTCTACGCCTCTGCAGGCGTGGCCACGGGCATCGTCACGCTCTGTTGGAGCAAGGCTACCAGCAGTGCCGGCATCATTGTCTGTACTGCTTTTATCGGCTTCACGTCCGGGACTATCTTGTCTGCTGTCGCCTCCACCTTTCCGCTTTGCCTCAAGGACCCGCGGCAGACCGGCATCTACATGGGTATTGGCTTGGCTTTCGCCTCGCTGGCGTCGCTGATTGGCCCTCCCATCAGTGGTGTGCTGCTTCGCGAGTATGGTGGATTCGGTCCGCTGACGTACTTCAGTGGTGTGGCGTGTCTGGTTGGAGGTGTCGTGGGTGCGTTGTGCAAGTTGACTTTTCCTCAGGGCCTGCTCGGGAAACTATGAGATGGTTCCGAACTCCCTGGCACGTCTTTGTACGTTTTCTTACGCATCAATGCGTGTGTCCCAGAGCGAGCCCTGTTCCACTTCACTTGTCTCCTCTCCTCCACCGACTTATGTTCTTTCCACATTCCCTGATTATTTTTGGTTTCCACCTTTGATCTTATAGAACTGTTTTCCTGGAATAATTTAGAAAGAAATAGAGCAACTTTAGATTTTTGGCAACCCAGAGAGAATCTCACAATGCCCAAACTTCATTACAGGGAATGGGAGTTGAGTCAGCTAGAGCTTCCCGTATCAAAATGCTGGTAAAAAGGAAGACGCGCCCCAATCCCGGGCCTCGGAGATAGTTGTGAATGAGATAGCCGACACGGACTCGAAACTCACGTTTCTTGTCATACCATAAGCTAAACTGCGATATGCTCGAGCTTTGACGATGCCGGAGGAAATCCTATGGCGCATTGAGAAGCTATTATTGTAGGGCCCCTTCGTCAGTCTTTTTCTCTTTGGAGCACATCCTTGAAAGTTAACAGCACCAGCCCACTGTTAGGCGGTAGTATAAGTCTTGTAGCATCATAGGCTTCTCGGCTACCACTGAATTGTTAATATCATAACCTAAGTACGCACAGTCGAGACGATGAAGGTATTCCACATTTATATGATTACCGCCAACGAAAGCATGCAACCATCATGACTTAGACTAGGCGTACTTCAAAGGCACAACCTCCCCTGGCAAACCAAGTGGGTGGCTTTCGACGTCGAATAATGCCTGTGCGACCATCTTCGCGCCTTTGACTACAAGGTCCTCTTCAATGTTGAGAGGCGGGCAGAGCCTGATTCGCCCCCCTTTGATGGCGTTCGCGAGGAGCCCCCGCTGTGTCAACAGAGCCACTACCCGCCGGCTGGTCACCATGGGCGGCTTCTCTTCAATCACAACTGCCCATAAGAGACCGCAACCCATATACTCTTTGACGTGTGGAGGGTTTAGAGACTTGATTGTGTCAATCAAGACCTGGCCCATCCCAGTCGCTCTTGCCGCGAGGTTTTCCTCCTCGAGGACATCGAGTGCTGCCAGTGCCGCAGCACACCCTGGCGGGTTCGCCGCCATTGTTGATCCGACCCTATGTACGCGTCTTGCTTAGCATCTCCCATGGATACATGAAGCTCTCCCACTTACTCGTATGGATCAAGAAGCTCCATCACAGAATTGTTTCCCAAGACTCCGGAGATTGGGTGAAGTCCTGAACTCCCCAGTCAGTGTCCGTATTCCAAGTTCTTCGAGTTCATCGGACCTACCTCCTCCTAAGCCTTTACCAAGGATGACGAGATCTGGCTTTATGTTGAACTTCATGTGGTAGAGAGGGAATCCACAACGGCCGAGTCCGGTTTGAATCTCATCTGTGATAAGCAAGATGTTGTGTTCTCGGCACAATCCGGCAAGGCCTGGAAGGTAATCTTCTGGTGGAACGAAAACACTATCCCGAGTACACGTCAGCCTCGTGCATCTCGTACTGTTGAGTGAAGCAAAGCCCACCCGGAAGCGCCTTGAATCGGCTCCAGAATGAATGCCGCGATGCGGTCGCCATCGGCCTCGAAGGCCCGTCTAACATCGTCGAGGTTTCCGAACCGTATTATCTGGCCCGAAGGCGACACTGTCCCTGCGTTGGATAGCAGTGAACCAAAGACTTCGAGGCGTCAGAATCTTCAAGTCTGCATCTTGCTTGAGGACGAAGACTTACGCGGACTCTTCTTGCTGGCAAGAGAAAGTGGAGAGAGACCCACGCCATGGTAGCACGCAGTGGTACTCATAATGAAACATTGGTCTGGTGCGATACCCTTGGTGAGGCATCCCCACTTCCGGGCGATTTTGAGCGCAGCGTCAACAGCCTCGCCTCCGCTTGTCAGGGCCACGAAGCGGTCATACTTGAACATCTAAAATTGTGCTTCAGATTAGTTCTGGATAATTGACTGAACTCATGCTGGCCAAGGACAACCGGACCTTGGTTATGCGCTTAGCGAGATCGGCGTAGTATGGGCTCTGGAATGCCAGATTCACGGTGCCTCCAGCATTGAGAGCTTTGATCGTTGCTTCAAGAATCTTTGGGTGACCATGGCCCATGTTATTCACAGCGATCATGCTCAAAAAGTCGAGGTATTCCCTCCGTCCACATCATAGGCTATGGAGCCCTTGGCTCTCTCGAGTGCGATCTTTTGCCCGTTAATTTCAGTCAAGCTGCACCAGTAGAGAATACGGTCAATGGAAGCTTACAGGCAAGGGGGCAAACCCACCCGCAATGTAGGTATCATAGTCATGATTGACCTCTGCGGTCTTGGTGGGAAATGGCAAGGAACCCATGTTGACGACGTAGAAGGGCATGGGCTTCAAATTGCATATTGACCTTAGCACACCTCACTTCTCTTCATTATCTATTCAATGACTGCACCCTCCTTACTGTCTGGGAAGGACTTCCCGTCACTGCGCGAAAGAGCCAATGTCAAGTGATCAGACCGCAATCGCCGTAACGTCGTATACGCGGCCGATGGTGAACAGGCCCGTTCGGGGCGGGGGAAGCGCCGGTGGCACCCGACCACTGGCCGTTGATGTAGAGTGGGTGCATCGGACGAACCCGACGGATTTCGTGAATTCAATGCGAGATGCCTACAGAGCAAACCTCGGCCCCACCCAAGTAGAATATCACAGGAGGCACATACATTTCAGATCCATCCAATATGAGCATTCCATCCTGTTTATTGGGAGCAAGTTAAGATAACATTCTACATGGTTGTCTACACAGAGGAATCGCAATCTGCATCAATATCCTTGTTTCGGAACCATGCAGCTCCCAGCCGATAGCGTTCCCCTGTGGGAAGGTGTCCCCGAGGTCGTGGCCAAAGGTTCAGCTTGGGACATTGGCTTTCAGCATGGAAGCTCAATACCGAACCGCATAGCTGTCTGCATCGAGAATTACAAGAAGCTGTTCCTGGAGACCGCCGAGGCAGATTGGACCGAGTCAAAGGCCAGAGCCGAGTCTTACCTGCCGGCCCTGGAGCAAAACGAACCCGACCTGGTGGAGGAGATGAGAGGCATCGCCGCGGGGTCAAAGCGCGACTTCTTGGATATCCTGGCCCTCAACCTCCGAAGCGAGATCTCCCTCACGAATTATTCCGACGGATGCACGTCCATCGTGTCCACGGGGGCCACGGACGGCGAGGTGTACATTGCCCAAAACTGGGACTGGGTCGGAGAAGCGGGCAAGTCCACTTGCTTCTTTGACATCCACAAGACGGGCAAGCCGCGCATCCGCATCATGGGCGAGGCCGGCATTGTCTGCAAGTTTGGCTTCAACGACGCCGGTGTCGGTATCTGCATGAATGCCATCCGGTCCGGAACCGTGAGCAAGACGCAGCTCCCCGTGCACTTGGCCATGAGGCGCGTTCTCGAATGCAGGTCGTTTGACGAGGCGTTCGAGATGCTCACCAAGAAGGGCCTCGCCTCGTGTGTCAACCTCATGATCGCCGACAAGAGCGGCAAGCTTGCCACGATAGAGTGCACGCCGAAAGGCCTTGCGCCGATATACCCTGCGCCGGGATGCACGGCCACATACCACACGAACCACCTGTGGTCTCCCAATGTCCCCATAGGCATCAAGGACCACCCATCGCAGAACTCTTTCTCGAGGCTCGAGAGGATCAAGGAGCTGAGCGACGGACAAGCTGTCAGTGTCGACAGCATCCGCACATGGCTGTCCGACGAGAAGGGAACTCCCGTGTCGATATGCAGATCGACGCCGCCGGGGACGAAGGGCATCGAAAGGATGGAGACACTGTCTACGGTGATCATGGATTTGAAGAATCTCCGTGCAGAGGTGTCGTTTGGGAAGCCGTCCTTGTCACCTCCAGTGCGTGTGATAGCGATGGAGTAACGGGTAGCGAATAGCAAGTAGTGATAATGGCAGAGTGCCCTAAGCTCCAATCTGGACAAAGCGGACTATGAGCTAAGGCTTGCTGTTACATTTGTCAAGACCGAGTGACGTCCAGTATCTGCACTATCGTTCTCCAGACGTAGAGGTAATTGTGACCTCCTTGCCAATGGGGCGCGAAGAGGGTCAAGATCTCAGTGCAAGCGGCCAAGGTCTTGAGATGTGCGTTGGAAGGAATCCATCGCTTGAAAAGAGCCACAGCTAGGGAGCAGCCGGCGACAAAGGCGCGAGTACTCGCTATCAGGGGCGGGATAAAGATATCACCTGCCACCACTCGATGCGTTGCAGCAATCAGCTCTGTGGCAGCATTGATGACCCTTGCTCTGAGAGCGATCATGCCTCGGCCATCTACGTCGTCCGCTTCCTGGAAGCAATGGACACATTGCTTGTGCCTGACGCAAATAGGAAGCATGATAAGCCACGTCTCTTTGACAATCATGTCATCAAAGTTGCTGTCTTGGACGCTTTGCAGAAGGCGATCAACATCGCCGACGAATGGACAACCGCGGGTATCGTAGAGACGGCCGGTATCGTATACCTCGCGAAACAAGCTGACATAGTTTTGCAGATAGATGCAGTGTTCGCCTGCAGTTGGGAGACGTTCGCGGCTAAACGAACTAGGTGGATTGTATATCGTTTGCAAGGACCTAGAGCTGTTCAGCAGCAACTCGTTTCAAATAGAATACTTGCACATACCCTTCTATGTCACGGAGAGCCGACAACAAGCGAGCTTCGCCAGAACCGGAGATACTAAATTGTCTTGAGTCAACAGACCCTACCGATCCGATAGTATTGATGGACATGGTGGGGGCCCTGTGCCACCCAAGCTGTATGCATAATCGTACAGCTAGGTCAAGCAGCTCCCAGGTCATGCCTCGGCTTGGCTCGGCCAGCTCGTGAATAAGCAAGAGGAGAACAGCAGTAAGTGAGCTTTCGTCCCCAGCCGAGAGTATGGGGGCGATGAGCTCGCTTGCCCAATTGCGACAAACATGTGAGAAGACTTTCCAGTTGGGGTTTCTGTAGCTCTCGAAGGCGGCAGCTATTCCGCATGCCATCAGTGTTTGGAACTTCTGGTTGCCTTCGATTTTCTTCAAGTTGTCTCCGCCATAAATCGAAAGGTCCGAGGCAAGTATGTCATAGCGTGGCTTAATGATCAAGTTATATCTGTTCAATAGATATCTTACAGCGCTTGGTGACAGTATGGCCCTGTCGACTTGCGGGATATTGGACAGGTCAGGGTTAAAATCACTGTTGGTCGGCGGATCGGGAGCCGTATGACTCGGTGGAAGCACTTCGAATGTAAACTTCGTGATGCGGGAAGGGAGGCATGGATCTAGGAACGTATCTTGGCGAGTGCCGTATATCAGGACATATGATGGTTGAGGTGGTTCGGCGAGACTGGGATCGAAACTTTCCGTCTGCGTGGGACTTCCCAATGAGTTAGTTCCCTTGTATGGAGAGGCCGCTGTGCCAGTGATCTTCGACCTTTCGGAGTGATGTGGCATCAGCACCGACTGAGATGTCAGTTGTGTGATATGGTCATTGAGCGTCTTTATGTAGCTGGGTTGGGCACCACTGGTCAGCGGAAGGGATCTAGAAGGATGGAATTGGGCCGATGTCTACACAGTACCTGCGCGGGATGCTTTCCTCCAGAGCATCATCGTGAAAGGTGCACTCGCTATCCGACTTCGCACAGTTGGCGCATGCTGGCAAGAGTGAATCACACTGCTCACATGCGGTCAGTCAACTTTTTGACGCTCGATGTTGCGCAGATTTGTAGTATTTACCTTGATTCGCCTGTCGCGACATCTGGTGCAAGTCGGAAGCATCATCTCGCACCACAAGATGGGGGTTTTAGTAAAATGTCCATGTAGGCAGGCAGATTCTGCCAGCCACAAACCGATGCACCCCTTGTCTGCCGAGATTGGTATTCACTAGAGGTGATCGAGTTCTAGGCTGAAGCAAAAACGTTGATTCGACATGCACCGATGATCGCTCAAGTGAATCAAGAGAATGCTGGTCTGGTGTTGATGACCCATCGGCCTACCTCTCCACAGAAACTCCCCGCAGATAAGCTCGGGCGATTTCGTCCTGTTAGTAGAGTTGGAGTAGAACCATGAGAACTGCTAGTAGATTATGCTGTGTCGTTAACAACCCCGCTCGGAGTTCCCCGACGACTCCACTTGATGATGACGCAAATCGCCGATCTAGGCCCTTCTTTGAAAGGACTACTGCATGGAACGGCCGTTCTATTGCTTCGACCCAAGGAAGGAAAGGAAAAGAATAGGATCGATAGAGAGATCTACGGTAGTACGGCAGTAAGGCTGCCACCAGCAACCACCATAGGCCTCATTTCCGAGAAGACATATCGGGATGCAACGATCACATCGCCGCTCGACCAAGGTCTGCACCCGCTGCCGGAAGCGAAAGACAAAGGTACAAGAATAGAGCCGGCTCTTTTCTGAATCCGTGCTTCAATCAGTCAAATTTACTCAGAAACAGTGGTGCTGATGTATGAGCCAGTGTGACTTCAAGTTCCCGTCATGCACGCCGTGTAAACTGGCGAAAACGGAATGTTTGGGCTTTGACCCAACTACCCGAGAAGCTGTGCCGAGAAGGTTGCGTCCTTTATGCTCTCCCTTTCGGTAACTGATGTTCTAACACTGTTTACTTCCGCAGTTTAGTCAAGTCTCTGGAACGACGCGCCGCGGAGCTCGAAGCCCAAGTCCTCGCCTTCCGAGCCGCTCCCCAAAATGTCCCGAATTCGATGGCATCCATCATTGGACAAGCGACAATATCATACGGCGTTCCTTCTACTCCACTCTACCTTCGGTCTCTTATATCTTCGAGCCTGATATTCCGACCTTCATGCCCCCCGTTAGCCATTCTCCGCGAACTGCCGCGAAGCCGACGAGACGAAAGAGAGGCGCAAAACGAGACTGCTGTTTCCCCGCAAGCAAGGAAACCGAAGACACCTTCCTCTATGATACCACATAGCCGCGCCAACTCGAACACGATCATAGATCTCAGCAGCGTGCCGTCTTCAGCCATCCGTCGCATGGTCCAGAACTACGCAGAGAACCACCTGCCACAGTATCCCTGCATCCCAGAAACAAAGCTGGCGGACATTGTCGATAAGACCCTGAGCAAGGACTTCCAGATGGAGGGATCTTCGCTGGCGTACGGCAGTGCTGAAACTGCTGGGCTAGGCCATTTCGAGTACTTTGTTCTCTTCATCGTTCTCGCCATTTCTACCATGACCTTGACGTGGACGGCCGATAACCAGGCTCGCAGTGCGTCAGAGTCGTTCTACAACTCTGCCCTGGTACATCTGCAGTCGCTCGAGGTCGATAGCGAGATGATGTCGCTCCAGGTCTCGCTGCTGTTGGCGCACTATGCCCAAATGCGTCCGGAAAGGGTAGACAACTGGCCTTGTATAGCGAATGCTGTGCGGACGGCCCTTGCACTAGGCCTCTTCAAGGAACCTCCTCCCCAAATGGACACAGAACAGGCTCTGCAACGCGCTAAGCTGTTTTGGGTGACATATGGTATGGAGCGGTCGTTGTGTACGATCCTTCGTCTTCCTTTGTCATTTCCGGAGGAGATAATCACAGTAAGAGTGAGTAACCTCATCTGTAGTTCCAGAGACTGGGTTCTAACATTTACCCAGGCTAAAGTACTAGCCAACGAGCAAGACGCCTTTGCCATGTCCACAAATGATGTCGACAAGAGATCATCAGCCAATCAGATACGCAAGTATCGAGCCCTGGAAACAGAGGTTCATCGCGTCATGCATCTCGGAGAGGACGTCGCCAAGTTCGGAAGTCCGACGCTGGAGGGATGGGTACACGATCTGGACGGCAGACTACATGAATGGTACATGGAAGCGAAGAAATTCACCAAGCATGGCATGCTCGAATTTAAGCATATCCAGTTCTATCACCTGCGTATCCGTCTTTACCGCCCGACTCCTCGCATGAAGACGAGAACGGCGGAGGACCGCAGGATAGTTCTGGAGTCTGCGAGGTGCGTGATCGAAGATTACCTGGGACAAGAAGGTCGGCGCCGGCTATTCTACCCATGGCACGCGCTGCATATTCTGTTTGAGACAGTTGTCGTCGGGCTAGAGGCGTGCTGGACGTCTTTGGACTGGCAGCCGTTGAACAACCAGATCTTGTTCATGGTGCAGGTGCTAGTACCCCAGTGCCTACAAATCATTCGAAATATTGGCCAAGGATGGTCTGGAGCCGCGGCGTGTGTTGAACGATTAAAGCCGCTGGCTGACAAGATCGCAACGGCTGTCGTGGCTTGGAACAACAACCAATTCCTGGATGGCGACATGTCCATCACAGAGGAGATCAACGGGCTATTATTCTCTGAGGGTGCCCTGACCGGCAATGTTGTTGACGACAGCTTATTCGGATTTGATGATATTTCGACGCTACTTGGAGGGAGCATGGCTGAGGATCTGGAGTTCTTCCAGTGGGATCCGAGCTGGGGAGTATTGCCAGCTGACCCGACTTATGAGAATGAGTTTCAGGGGGGTGATAATACCTTCATGACACCCGATCAACTTGGCGCCTCCATATTGGCAGACCTTGCGTCAATGACAGAGCAGCTCAAGTAAAGATAAAGTTGATTGATGGTTTGAAAAGGAAATCACCATTCGAGATTCTGTCTCTTGAATATCTAATTGGTAATCGGACGGCCCATGAAGGCCCCCTTCCAACTTGTTAGATATGACCCGTTTACATAGAGTATACGAAGCGAGCCTGTTGCTTATCCGTGAGATCGAAGAACTCTTCATTCTCTACGGGCACGTTGATGTCATCGGACAGAGCCAGCTTCTTGGCTTTGCGCTTGTTCTCCCAGATCATGAACAGGTAGTACAGGCCTGGTGCGAAGGCGGCAATGGCAAACATGACGATCATGGTCTTGAAGCCCGTTGCATATCCAGGGGCCTCGCTCTGGAGGAAGAACTGCGGGCCAATGATGAACGCGATGGAGTAGCCAACGAAGAGAATCGCGCTGGCGACGGCTCGCTTCGTGTGGCCGGCGATGTTGGTGGTCGTGAGAGCAAACATCATCGGCAGGGACCCGTTGGTGAAGTTGGTGCAGTAGAATGCAATAAGCCGGCCGACCTTGTTCTGAGCCGGAAGGGCGTACACAAGAACCGACCCTATGATGGCGGGGACATTGCAGAGGAACTGCACCAAACAGCGCGTGTTGGGGTAGTAGTATGTGAGAAGCCCTGAGGCGATGAGGCCGATGTTCTCGGTCAGACCAAGCGGTGTGTTAAGCAGCGATGTTTCAAAGCTGCCGTAGCCAAACCCTAGATATCACATAAAGATTAGGCTGTTGGCTCCAGGACGTTGCCACGTCATGGATGACTTACCCTTGATGATGAGACCTCCAAAGTTGGCTACTGCCGTTGCGGGGACGACACAGGCAATGCTGTAGAAGAAACCATACCAAACCTTGATGTCCAGCAGAGCTTCCCAAAGTTGATCCTTCTTGAACTCTTGATTGCTGATGCCAGTGCGGTTTTCCCGGAGTCTCTCAATGGCAATAGCCTTCTCACGCTCGTTCAAGAACGACGCAGTCAAAGGGGTATCGGGCATGAAGAACCAGAGAACAGCAGCCCAGACAAGGCCTACTAGTCCGAAGATGATAAAGAACCATCTCCAGACCGGAACCCCATTCACGTGGATGTGTCCTACACCGTACGCGATAAACGACTGCAGTATAATGGCAAAGCCATTGCCGCAATACCACAGCGTGATGCGCAGTGGGATCTCATCCTTCTTGTACCAAGTACCCGTGATCAGCACATAGGCTGGGGAGATACCAGCTTCGGACATGCCCAAGAAGAAGCGCAGAGCCATGAGGCCTTGGAAGTTGCTCGCTCCAGCGGTGCAAAACAGGATGATCGCCCAGACCAGTGAGGTGTACGCAACGAATCGTCCCAGCGGCAGATAAGACAGAAGCCGTGCGGCAAATGGTTGAAACGCCAGGTACCCGAAGTAGAAGATAGATCTATATTGCAACTCGCACGTTTAGTGATACTGGCGGGATGATTCAAGACAGAGGAATGACGTACGAGCACCATGAGTATTGCTGACCAACCAATTTCAGATCAGTGAGCAAGTCGTAGACAGCGGCTTGAGCCATGACACTCTTGTCCATGAATTGAATGGTGTAGGAGATGATCATCTATTCCATACAAGTCAGTCGCTACGTGCCCCTGTTTGCTCGCGCTGTGATGATGAGTCTTACCAGGGGCATCAACACCTTGTCAATCTTTCGGATGACTCCTTTCTCCTCCTCGGCTGTGTATGCCACAGCTTCGTGGTGTTCAAGAAAGTCGAGAGCTGCATCGCCATGATCATGCAAAACAGCCGTCTTGGGATTCGTGGAGGGGATCGGGGAGACTGGCGCCATCTCCACCGCTCTGTCTTCGCCAGTGGTAGCCATTGCAAATGTTTGTTGAACGTCCAGACTCCAGAGGCAAATCTCGGAGACTCGACACAGATGAGGTGAAGAGAACGACGTAGTACCAGATGTGGAGATAAGGTAGGAGGGGCGATCTTTTCTATAATCTGATCAGAACTAGCGATGCATCAAGTGTGAGACTTGTGCGCTGGCCATGTCGAGATAAAAGGTCACGAGTGCAACTCTCGACTGACTGCTCTGATCCGAGGATGTGGGACTTTATCCCGGACTGATCCGATATATCCCTTTCATTGCCCCGGTATTGATAGAAAGATGCACCCCGGGAAATGCGGGGAGACTTTTGCGGGGGATAATGACTTGAACAGCCACGATGAGAAATCCTGACGAGGTGGTTGTGAACGGCGGTGATCATCCGAAATTGATAGCATACAAAACACTAACTGCTCCTCCTAGGCCGATGAAAGACTAGTGGATCCGGGCCAGCATTTCCAACTCGTGTGAGCATCGGCGGATAGCGTCATATCCAAGTGGAACTCGCGCGTTCCGGCGAGCGGTCGTCTAGAGCCAAGAGTTCGCCAAGCACCGTAATGAAGCCTAAGCTGAGATATCAATCAACTAGACATACAATTGAAGAGAGGCCTCAATCTTCGGGGCTAGCCCTTGCTGTTCAATGGATTGTCTTGCGTAATCTCTTGCCAAGCAGTCTCGATTCGACAACAGTCATGGCTCAATTCACCGTGCACACTTCGTGGTTGTTCGATCCAAAGCTCAAGCGGGCTCGAACAAACGCATCGATCACTGTTGATGCTGCTAGCGGCCTCATCGTTGAAGTCTTCGACCGAGAAGACGCGGCCAAGCCCTTCGACACTGTCTTCCGGGATGGAGACATTGACTTGCGCGGCAAGTATGTGATGCCCGGCTTTGTAGACGCACACACGCATGTGTTTCTGCATTCCTACGAGTAAGTTCAAAACATATAGAAACTATTCTAGTCATTCAGCTAACACTAGTCACTTAGTGAAGCCGCTGCTATCAAGCAAAAGCGAGACGAGAGCATGACGGAAAGAGTGGTGCGAGGTGTCAACCACTGCCGAACTGCTCTGCTGGCTGGATACACAACATATAGGTAAATAACGACGACGAGTGGAAGCCAAGCTTAGAGAACACTAACACTGATGCTCAAAAGGGATCTCGGTTCGGAAGGCATGCAAGAGTCCGACGCGAATCTGCGAGACGCAATCGCCCGAGGCCTGACGCCTGGCCCACGACTGTTCGTAGCGACAAAGGTGCTCGCGAGCACGGGGTCTTTTGAATGCCGGACGGAGAACAGCGCCGGCGGTCACTGCCTGCCTGCAGGTGCTGACGCCGTAGACGGGGTTGAGCAGTGTCGACAAGCAGTGCGACGTCGCATAGCGGCCGGTGCCGATATCATCAAGTTCTTCGCCGACTACCGCCGCAGGATCATGAGATCACCTCCGGCACAGCAACATCCCTATATCCCCAGCGTGCTGCACCCGCCCGCGGACCCGAACCCCGACTACATGGTTTTCTCCCAGGCCGAGATGGACGTTATCGTGTCGGAGGCAGCCCTGGCACGCTGTCCCGTCTCTGCGCACTGCTGTACTCTCGAGGGGGCTCTGGCAGCTATCAGAGCTGGTGTCAATTCGATCGAGCACGCGTACTTCTCCACCGACGAGATGTTCCACGAGATGGTTCGGAAGAAGGTCATCTTCGTCCCGACGTTGGCTATCGCAGAGAAGCTACACGCCAAGCGTTTCAAGGAAATCCTGGCGCAGGTCAAGCGTGCCTACGACCTGGGCGTGAGGATCGCGTGCGGCGGAGACACGGGAACTTATCCTCACGGAGACAACGTCAGGGAACTCGAGCTTATGGTTGAGGCCGGCATACCCGTTGCGGATGTCCTCGAATCGTGTACTGTTGGTGGCTGGGAGTCGTGTGGTGGGGATCTCTCCGGACGACGGTTCGGTTGGTTTGACACCGGCCTCCAAGCTGATATCATTGCACTGGACGAAAATCCGGAAGAATCGCCAAGCGCTATGAGAAAGGTTGACTTTGTCATGAAGGATGCACAGGTGTGGAAGAGGGGCGGTCGTCCGGTAGGGATGTGCTGAACAGTATACACGTATGCATAAGTGGGCAGAGCAACAGTTAGAGATAATTAGTTCCCACAGGAACAGTTGAAATCTCCAAAGCCATACCTAATATGAACTAGAACACACTCGAGTAGGCAAACCAGAGGCTTGGCTTGTTTGTTATACATGTTCTATCTAGTAACGCTGGGTACTCTATTTCTTGACTGGCCCTCCATCACCTCAAGAGTGCCTCAGCAGCCCCACCTGTCGCCAGAGCCGCGACGTTCTGCTCGGATTGAGCCAGGCACTTCTCGAGAGTGTCCTTATTCCGCGGGTTCAGCTTGACCTTGAAGTCGGATGGGATAGCATTTGACTCGGACGGATCTCTCTTATATCCGATATAGTCCGTGTTTGCTGGCATCGATTTGCTTTCCGTGAGCTTGAACGAGACAATGAGACGGAGAAAGATAGCGTAGAGCACCCGGTTACCAAAGTTTACGGCAGTGCACATGCGCGACCCAGCGCCGTACGCATAATGGTACGGAGGGGGGATCTCCCTCGAGGTGTCGAGCCATCGCTCGGGTCGGAACTTGTCGGCATCTTCACCAAAGATCTCCGGATCTGTGTTGTTATGAATATTAGTTGTGACATTCGAGTATGAGTCTCCCAGTGACGACCGTGATCTTACCTCGATTGGCAGCCTGTGCATTAATGTAGACAAGCACACCTTTCGGAATGGTAGCGCCGTTGTACTCAAACTCTTTGTAGGTTTGCCGAGCCGGGAGCAGCTTTAGCGGAGGGAAGAATCTCAGGGACTCCTTCACCAAGGCCATGATGTAAGGTGATCTCTCTTCTGTGAGACAGCGCTCAAACGCATCCTCGGGCGTGTCATAGACGCTCATTATATCGTCGTATGCCTGCTGTTGAATAGCCTGTCCTGCTGGCGATGCTAAAACACCTATGGCAATGATGGCAGTGGAGAAGATTGTCTCGAAGCCGCCAGACATGAGCCCACCCAAGATAGTCTTGACATCAACTGTATGGCTAGTTAGCGGACATGCTCGAGAATCGGAATTTTTCAACATCTTGTCTCAGAACTTACGAATAGTCAACCCCTCCTGGGCCCCTTCAGTCAGCAGCATCTCCGCTACACTCTTCCGAGTCGCTCCCTCTACAGGCCCTCTCGACCGGGCTTCTTCGAGCATTCGCTTCAGCCATTCGTCACGGCGGGCGCGAACAGTGACAGCCTCATCGTTCCGAGAATTACTTGAGAGGTATCGCAAATGCGGGATGAAGTCTTGAGGGTTAGCAACAGTGGACCGGAAACTGTGACACGATGTCAGTATACGATACCCATGAGTGCTGAAAGGTGCTTAGTTACCTCGCAATAGTTGTAGCATCTTCAAGAATCTGAAGCAACATTGGGTCGTCGACAGAAGTGAACCTCGTGCTGTAGCAGAACATGGTCATGACGTTCAGTGAGACGCGCTTCTCATACACATGCGGCATGATTTCCTTCTCTCCTTTCTCGCTATCGTAATAAAGGCCAGAGATCATGGCCGCAGTTTCAAGGTCTAGTAATGATCGCATCTTCTGGATCGAGGGCCCAGTGGTGAAGGAGCCAACGACTCGTCTCTGCTTCTTTGTGCGCTCATTCCATGGACTCGTACCAATAGTAGCAGCTGAAAGGGGGTTAACAGGTTTCAACCACCTGCAAAATCTGCTATTTTACATACCTGAGGTAGCGGAAACAACCCCGTGAAAGGTATGAAACCACGGCCGGTCCACCGTTGCCGTCTGGTTCTTGACCATCCATTCGCGAGAGCTATTGAAAGAGTTGAGAATTACGGCACGCCGCCTTCCCATTCGTATCTGGAAGACGGGCCAATTGTTCTCCTTCGACCACCTCTCCGCCGTCACGGCATGGTCGGCTCCCAATTGGTAGAAATGACCAGCAAGCAGGTCCCCGCCATGAGCTTCGGGAATGCCTTTGATCTTGGGATAGTCGACATAGAAGAAGTACAAGTATACCAATGCTGCGATAGCCAAGGCGGCACTGGCCACGCCTACCAGAGCAAACAAAGATGGCATGGCGAACACAAGCTGGACCTGACAATACGTGTCGGCTAGCTGAAAATGTCCAAAAAGGAGAGGCGGCTTTGGCGAGGCAAGTCCTTGGCAGCAAGTGGACGATTGGATTTGCCAATGCAGTGATAGGCAATCCTCTTAGCCTTTTCTTTATGTGTAGAGGGCAAGTTATTTCCATGCTTAGTGCCAGCATAAGCTTAATCGCTGACGAGTGCGAGTGGGATGATGGCTGGCCGAAGCATTGAGACCCCCACTCTGCGGAGGGCGAACCGGCGGGCGTCGAGGCTCGGAGATTCCCGTCGGTTCTGGCCATCTTGTCGGCCTCCAGCCAGTGGGCCGGACCTCCCCCGCAATCCCGCCGCTCTATCGTATCTGTATTCTAGGCGGAAGAGACCTTTGAAATGGGGGGTAGGTATGGGGATTGGTCGATTTCATTGAAGTACGCAAATGCAGTCAGGCGATTGCCAAGCCGTATCAGCATATTCAGTCGAGCGAGACTCGAGCCCTTGATCCCAACTTTCAGAGCAGCGCCTCTTAATCGACCAAGCAAGATGGCCGAGCAATTACTCACGAGTGCACTCTTCGACGTCTCAGGACGTTCGATTGCCATTACAGGCGCAGGTAAGTACACGCTGTCTTTACTCTTTAAGCTGGTCAATTGATCAATTGGGTTGCTGATCTGGGCAACCAGCAAGCGGCATTGGCCGTATGCTAGCGCGCGGGTTCTTTGTCAACAAAGCGTCTGTCATCTTGATCGATGTCAACGAAAAGTCTTTGAAAGAAACACAAGAAGAGTTGAAACAACTTGCAGAAACGACCGGAAGCACCGCCAGTATCGAATTGTACGTGCTTTTCATTGCTATTCAACATCCGTCAGCTGACACCATCATTGATCCAGATTTGCTGGAGATCTCTCAACCGAGGAGGGGGTACAGAAGGTGATAGCTGCAGTCAAGGCAGGTCGGCAATCACTAGACGCGTTAGTCCACTGTGCCGGCATACGATACATGAACGAAATCACCTACAGACCAGGAGACAGTCTCGAGCAACTTGAAAAGGCGACGCTCTCTGCGCCGTATGCGGGATGGGAACAGGTGTTCCGAGTAAACGTACTCGCTCCATACTACCTCACAGCGGGCCTGGTGACGCTTTTGGGTGCGGCTGCAGCCAAGGGCGAAGGACGAGGTTCAGTGATCATGTTCAGCAGCCCCGCCAGCGTGCACAACCACCAGTTCGTCCCTTGCTATCAAACATCCAAGGCTGCTGTGGACCACCTTGTCAGAATCATGGCAATGGAATTTGCCGACTACTACAGTGAGTATTGGCGGTCTACCCGACTTTGTAGTGATCAGTGACTAATAAGCCCCAGTACGAGTCAATGCCATTTCGCCTGGCATTGTTCCGTCGGGCATGACCACCAACGACGCCAACTCGAACCTTCACTTGGCTGGTGAGACTCCAGCTAAGCGGGCGGGGACGGAGGAGGACATGGTCGGAACTGCGTTATGGCTCTCAAGCAAGGCAGGGTCTTTCATGGATGGTAAAGTGGTCCGAGTCGAAGGCGGCCGTCTCTTAATTCTCAAGGGCGTCACGTCAAATTCCGATTAAATCAATAAATAGAGATATGTAATGTAATGCATCTACTCAAATGTGGCCAATACTTTATCCGAACATCAAAGGAATACAGTCATGGGAATGTCTGCTTCACAGCTGTGTTGATTAAAACGGTTAGTTCCAAGTTTCAGCGTGAAGCTTGCGAATCAGGCCGTAGTGCTGGAAGTCTCTCGCGTGAATGTATCATGGATTCATGGGCATTGAACGTGGAAGGGAGGGTACTTACCGACGGTTTAAGCCCTTTTCGTTCGGGCTTCCGCGACGGACCTACAATCTCTTGTTTATAGCAATGCGGAGAACACCGATGAATGTCCGACTGGGTGGCTTTCCCCACTCTGACGCCTCGGCATTCTCGGCAGCTGTATAGCTACCATCGACATTTCCTTTAGTAGACCAACAATAAGATGTGTAAAGACAAGTCGTGATAAAGTTACCTTTTTATCAATCTATTTGGAGAAAAAGCTACCTGCTACATTTTCTTTGGTAAATTACCTTGTGAAACTCACAAAGGCTCACAGTCGTTACCCTTTAGGCGAATAGAACATGGCGACCAAAGCGTTTCCCGCGGGCGTCTACGCTGCGTCACTGACTTGGTTCAGTGACGATCCTCAGCAAGAAATTGACTACGATCTCCAGTCAAAACATTTGTCCTACCTCATCAAGGGCGGCCTCACGGGTGGTAAGTGAGTGCGTTGGTAGGAATGATGCGACGAACTAACAACGTGGAAATCAGTTGTCATTGCAGGATCAAATGGAGAGGCGGTCGCCCTACGAGCGGTGGAGCGGATGAAGCTCATCTCGCTGACTCGGGAGATCGCTATTCAATGTGGTCGCAAAGACCTACCCATCATCATCGGCACGGTCGGTCAGACTACGCGAGAGATAATCGAGCAGTTGAGGGCCGCGAAAGAAGTTGGAGCAGACTACGGGCTGGTACTGACACCAAGTTACTTCCACTTTGCCATGGACCCTGCTGCGATCACGAAATTCTTCCAAGAGGTATTTCACAGACCAAATTGAGTCATCCTGGAACACCTTCTGACAGCGCCCTAGGTCGCTGATGCAAGCCCTATTCCCATCTTGATCTACAGCTGGCCGCTAGTGACTTCGGGCATTGAGGTATCCTCGGACATCATGTCAGTCCTCGGACGGCATCCCAACATCGTCGGTACCAAGCTCACTTGCGGCGGCGTTGGAAAAGCGGTGCGCGTCACGGCCGACTTCGATGCTAAGGAGTTCTGTGTCCTATCCGGTTTTGCCGACTGGATGATACCGGCGCTCAGTGTCGGCGGCGCCGGGTGTATTGCTGGCTTTGCTAATTTGTGCCCGAGGGTGCGTATGGTCTCAAATTCATGTTCAACAGCCCTTGGATTCTTACTGACATTTTTCATCTAGGCATGCGTAAAGGTTTATCAAGATTATCAAGCAGGCAAAGTAAAAGAGGCCCTCGCACTCCAACACAAGCTGGCCAAAGCAGAGTGGGAGCTTACAAAGGCGGGCATTAATGGGACCAAGTGGGCGGTAGCTAAATTGCTTGGCTATGACATGTCCAAGTGCTACACTCGCAAGCCTTACCCTAAATACGAGGACACTGCTGCGCAAACGGCGGTGTTGTCTATCTTGGAGTCTTTCATGGAGGTCGAGAACGGCCTCGGAAAATAAATAGGTTTTGAGTGGTTAAGAGACGAACGTATGCAAATCGAGACCCGCAATGATAAACCGATGATTGTGTTAATCAGGTTGCATTTTATGTATTATCCTTGTGCTCATGTCTTACTCTGGCAAGGCAATGACAATTCTACCAGGAATGTCCCATTTGCGTAACCTGTCTATTGCTAGACCTACTTGAGCCAGCTTCAAGACTTCCACCGATGGTTTGACGATCCCATCCACAGCGTACTGGAGAACCTCTCGCATCTGTTCTTCAGAGCCAACAAGCACGCCTTTGATAGTGAGCCCTACATATTTCATGTTAGCTTAACGAAAATGGGGCCGACAATGTACAGTCTCTACCTACCCTTGCGTATAGACATCATCACTGAGATAGGTAAGTCCAAACTCTCGGGCGGTAGTCCGACGAGAAGGATAGTCCCTAACGGCCTGGCAATATGCGCTGACAGCCTGAATCCTTGCTCTGAGTCTGACACAACAATCACAGCTGCCGCGCCTTCACCGGTGAGGTTCTTGACTTCGGCTGCAACATCCTGGGTGGCGTAGTCGACAAACGCCGTGGCCCCAGAGTCGAGCGAGATAGATCTCTTGGACGCGCCAGTGTCCACTGCAATGACTTTGAATCCCTTTGCCTTGGCAGCGATTTGAACCCCGATGTGTCCCAGACCGCCTCCAGACCCGATAATGACCAACCAGTCGCCCGCGACCACGTCCTCGGGTAGCTGGCCGATGGCACCCATCATAGTGAGACCGGCGCATAGCAGCGGCGCCGCAATTTCTCCTGTCAAAGTGTCTGGTATCTCGGTCAGATGCCTGCTGTCAGCAACCACGAACTGCTGCAGGGTGCCGGGACAAGAACGACCCGTGTTCATCTGTTGGGGGCAAATGTGGACGAATCCGCGCTGGCAGGTAGCACATTCGCCACAACTTCGATAGAGCCATTTCACCCCGACGCGTTTTCCGAGCATGCCGGTCGGGACACCATCGCCCAGTTTGACAATGCTCCCAACGCCTTCATGGCCGATAATTTCATCGTACTTGCCCCAGCCGTGCAGTGCCCGGAGCTCCGAACCGCTGAGTTGGTGAGTTGTGCGTCAGTTCTTGGATGTTTCCCACGCGGCTCTGTGGGAAAGAAGTCTTACCATATCCCGCTGTGGGTCAATTTGACGAGGACTTCTCCGGGTCCTGGGTATGCGACGGGATGGTCCTGGACTGTGAGCTGAGCTGATGGCCCTGGGTTCTGGAGAAGTGCTGCTTGTTGCAGCTGGGTGGCTGGAGAAGATTCTTGCATTGCGACTCAAGGCAGCGAGAGATTGTGTTTTAGGATGTAGTGCGCCGCATTACAGACCGGGCTTCACTGCAATTTCATTCCGCAGCAAGGAAAGCATGCTTGCATGTCAAATCCATGTTGATCAACGAATCCTCTTACATTAGCCGGATGGTAACCGGTTGCCCCACTCACAGCTCCAAGCATCTCTATTCGGCAGAGCATATCGGGATTGGGAACGTGCCGCCCCAGTAAAGCTCATTGCTGTGGGTCCGCTCAATACTGTCTCTTGAGTCTTGACCAACTATTGCTCCCAGGCACGCAACTCAACACAGAGCCTTATCTTACCCTGTGTCTTCCTCCATCAACAGGACGGAACTGATGGGTGCCTAGCATCTTGGGTATCTACCCACTGCCTTCTGTATTGACTGATTTACACTGGCATTGAACAATGACATCTATTCAAGAAGCTCGCTGCTCAGTCAGCCTGCCAGCGACAAGCCGGGTTACACTGCCAATTAGACACGGTTGAACAAATCAATGGACATAATACCTATGTTTCAATTATTCTATGACAGTTCGCAATCAAAAGGCTACAAATGGTATCTTGGATTGATCTAAGAATCCCCCCATCGCAAGACCTTCCACCTTGTTGACGGCTGCCACCTCGTCCCTGATGTAGATCCGAAGACCGCGATCAGTCCCGGACTTTTTAAACTCTAGAACATGGCTCGAGAGGCTTCTATCACGTGGTCGGTGAACCACTGGCCCGATGCACAAGATAGCGAGGCCGTCTGCGCGAGGTATTCATAAAATAGTATACAACCATAGGAAGTTGCTTGAACAGCGAGGTAGGAAATAACAGTTTTCTCTTTGAGTAGGACTTGCTTTGCATCTGGAGCTTATTCAAAATTGCCTAGGCCGACGATTGATATGACCGCTATATTACCAGGGTCGGGAATCGAAAGCCTCAATGAGTTGCCAGCATCGTAGAATCAAACTCGCTTGGCTAGGTTGGGAGTGAGCGGGTATGGAATAGCCAGTACCATGGTAGCATGGAAGGGGTCACACGTATAACAAATATCGACACTGCAGGTGCATAAAGACCTGTGTTGTTTCCTCTTGCCCTGGGATCTTTCCTCTCATCTACAAGATTTATTCGACAAGATTCACCCGACAATTGAGATTCACTCCAGCCATTTCCATCATCCGAGCACCACTGCGCAGACCAGAACATAGACCACATTATGGCGATACCTACTCCAGACAATATCTATGTCTAAGCACCGGCTGTTCCATCGTACGGCGGCGGTGGCGGCTGCGGTGGCGGCCTCAGTGCGTTTGCTCCCTGCGTTTGCAAGCGATGCCGCCACTGCCCAAGTATGCCCGACGGGGTCAATGGCTGCTGTAGCTACTGTGCGCAAGGCCTTTGCGGCGGAAGTCCACTCTGTGCATGCGAAAACTGCCCAAGTGAGACTCGCTGCAAGGCCCCCGAAACCAAGTGTCGACTCTGCAAAATAGGCCAGTGCATGAACAAGCGCCAGAGGCCGAGATTCCCCAACGAGGCCAAGCAAAAGTGCGTGTGCAACAAGTGCGACTGCCAGACGCCGACCACGGGCTCGCACAGGAAGATCTGCTCCAACTGCCAACAAGGCGGGCACTACAGTGGGAGATCTCGGCAGACCTACCCTCGATGGGAGGGCGAGTTCCCGGAGAGATCCTTCGGCGGAGGCAGCTTGCACAGCCATACCCATCGCTACGGGGATTTCCGGTGCGCGTGCTCCCTCTGCGAATGCAGGGGTATGATGCCTGGACCATTTGGATTCTGCCATATTTGTCTGCAAGGCCAACTCGAGCCGCGGTGAAGGAGGTACCTGGTTTGGATACTTTTCTCGTCAGCACCCTAATTGCATCTCTAAGAGGCTTGGTTGCCTCGAGCAGGACTTGAGATTTAGGGCGGGAACAACACTCTTGGAATGTTATGAACACTGCCGTTGAAATAACTGGTCATTTGGGAGATCAAGGAGCTAGAGCTGAGGTAGTGATGCTATTTGAAATGCATCTGTGCATCAGACAGCAGGGCCTGGTGACTGTTCCATGAAGCAATCAATGGTCCTCTTGGAGATATGGCCTAGACCAGAGCAATGAATCAAAGTCAGTGAAACATGACCAGTTCTGCTACAGCTTGCCTTGGTCAACCCCGAGTAACTTGACAGTGCTAAGGCGTGAATTGATTCCCATTGTCGTTTGCTGCAAGCTTCTTTGTCATGAATGTTTTCCAGGGCTACTGATTCACGCTGGGGGGCTTCCAATGATTGATTCCATTGTTACCTCTATGAAACACAGCAGAATCCTTCTAGACAAGAGGTATGATACCATACCTAAGCCTTGCTCTTTGTTTCATACCCTAAAGTTACAGCGTTTTTGCGCTTCTCCTAAACAATAATATATAGTGATCCTTGGAATGAACTTTGGAAAACAACCTTGGTGAATAGAAACGTGTTGAACATTTTCTGCCCTGAATCCCTATATAAACCCAGTTCAGATCGCCTTTAATTTTTCTTGGAGATCTCGACAACATCCTCACATCCAGAGTCAGCAAGAACTGTTAAGCCCTTGCTTGACATTCTCAAGCACATCGAACCAAGCAAAGCACGATCACTACTTCGACCTACACACACAACGACAGCCCACCATGTCTTACCCCATGTATCCCATGGGCCCGTCAATGGGACCACCTATGCCTGGTTACCCTTCATCTTTTGGAGGTGGCTCAGGTGGTGGTGGTGGTGGTGGATACAAGCCGGGCAGTGTCTGCAAGTGCGCGCGTTGCAACTGCACCAAGCCAGCTACCACCAGCGATGGCTTCTGCGATGCTTGCTCACAGGGCCTCTGCAGGCGCCCGAACCCCCTTCGGCCCTGCTCATGCGAGCGCTGTCATTGCCGGCAACGCGTCGCCAAACAAGACTCCACATTGTGTTCTGAGTGCAAGCGGGGAGGCTGCGCCGGCAAACTCAAGGCAGGCCACAATCGGACAGATCGCACTCAAGCCAACTGCCGCTGCCAGAATTGCTACTGCACTGCCACGGCGAGGCTCCAGCCTGGCAATATCTGTCCAGACTGCCGACAGGGCCGGTGCATGCCCGCCGCGCCTCAGCTGTTGGATAGCGCATACGGTCCGCCGTTTGACATGACGCCTCGGCGGAACGTTATGGCACCCCCTCCATACCCGGGAGGGAGCTATACGAGCAGCATCCCCGGAGCCGGACCGCCTAGCATGTGCCGGTGCCGCCATTGCCCTTGCAGGAACGTGGTCAATTATCCTGTGTGGGTATGCGGACTCTGCCAAGGTGGCATTCATGCCAGCTACTAGGATATAAGATCAGCATCAGATCGAGACCCCAGCTGCTGGAGTACGAGTCTCCCAGAGTAGAATGGGTCACTTCGACGGAGGGTAGTGCCTAACATGCCACTTGATTGGCGCATGATGGGCCACAACGGAGGGACAAGCATTGGTATTGCCAACTCACGGCAAGGTATTGGAAGGGAACGAGAACTGTCTCGACGCTTTGGGAGTATGGAGTCTGGAATGAGAGAGCACTCGTCAAGCAACAAGGAGAATTAGATAGATAAATAGATAGATAGATAAACAAAAAGCCTTTGTAAAATGGGCGATGACTCGGTGACTAACAATATGTCCAATCTTCAAGAATACATAGGATAAATTGCAGAGTGATGGAATGACCAAAGCATTCGCGCCTGTCACATGCGATTCGGCTCCGGTCGCTGCAAAAGCGGGCCGCTTCGTCGATGTCAATGCTTGACCCCTCAGCCAAGGTGAGGAGACAGCAGCAGCAAGATGATAGGCCATGGCCCTCAACTCCATGGCTTGGCATGAAGTGATTGGTGGCGATCACAAAGGGGAGAAGGTTAAATACTACCACAAGTGCTATCAGCGATGTCCAACGCAATCAAACCCTTCCCCCCTCTTCTACGTTTGGTGACAAATAACACAGAGATTATGGAAGAGAAGCAGAACGAGCAGTCTCCAATGGCAGACACCAAGCGCGAAGACGCCGAGCCAACGTTTGAGCATGCAGAGGCGGTGACATCCAATGAGCTTCCGCTGTGGCAGGCGCTCAGGAAATGGCGTCGCGTGACCATATACTGCATTGGGCTGACCTCGGCCATCCTCATGTATGGCTATGACTATGTCATTGTCGGCACCACTTCTTCGATGCCCAGCTTCCAGTATGGGGTTCGCTTCCCTTCCAGAGCGAGCACTGAAGTTAGCTAACACGGTGCAAAAGGGAGGACTTTGGTGAGAAGTACAACGGGAAATGGATCCTGCCGTCTCTCTGGCTAGGCCTCTGGAACTTTGCGAGTCCCGGAGCGTCGATGATCGGTGCAGTCATCGGCGGCTCCTTTCAGGACTGGGTGGGCCGCCGTTCGTCACTCGCTGTCGGGTCCTTTCTATCGGCCATTGGCGTCGCCATTCTGTTCGTGTCAAACAAGTCCGACGACATCCACGTCAGGCGCGTCATATTCTTGGTTGGCAAAGCATTCCAAGGCGGCGCGATCGGCATAGTTATGGCAACTACGCAAACCTACATGTCTGAGGTCCTCCCTCCCGTGCTCCGAGGTTCCATCCTTGCCTTCTTCTCGGTCTTCACTCTCTTGGGTCAGCTCATCGGTGCGGGCGTAATCTATGCCTGCCTTGGTATCAGCGACGGCTACACTATCTGTTTTGCTACGCAGTGGCCCCTGTCCGTGGTTCCCTTTGTTGTCGCGCTCATCATACCTGAGAGTCCGACATATCTCATCCGCAAAGGGCGACTTGTCGAAGCTCTCAAGGCCCAGCGCCGGCTAGATTCTCCGGGCATGGACAGCGAGAAGAATGTCGAGTTGATTCGGCGGAATATCGAAAGCGAACGGGAACGCACACGGGCGACTTATCGGGACTGCTTCCAGGGAACAAACCTCCGAAGGACCCTGATCGTGATCTTTGCGAATCTCTTACCCAACATATTTGGCCTGACACTGCTGGCGAAGGCGAGCTACTTTGCACAAGTGGTAGGCATGCGAGCAAATCTGAGTCTAATGATCCTTGTGATCGGGATCTTCTGTGGATTCTTGGCCAACCTGGCCAGCATATGGATCCTGTCCAGAGTCGGCCGTCGCCCTCTGATTATAGTTACGCTGTCCATCCTGTCTCTATTATGGCTCTCTATGGGCATCTCGGGTTTCTGGTCTGGACAGCCTACTGTGTGGTAAGCACGCTCCCTGGCCTCACCAAAAGTGGTTTCTTTTGCCTCTGTCTGCTATTCTCTACTCTCTGGAGATGTTCAATATCTACTTGGAATACTGACACCATGCCATCGTAGGTACACTGCCATAGTCTTGATTTTCATCATCATGGTGGCCGGTCTGGGCGTTTGGCCGTGCTCCTACGCGATTAGCGGCGAAACATCCTCGTTGGAACTCCGTGCCAAGACGCAAGGCATTGGGTGGCTCGTTGCAGGCGCCGCTACCTCTCTCTTTGGATTCGTGCTACCGTACATCTTCAACACGGACCAGGGCAACCTCGGCGCCAAGACCGGTTTCGTTTACACGGGTCTGTGCACAATCGGGCTTGTTGTCTCGTTCTTCTACATACCGGAAATGAAGGGCAGAGCAATATCGGAGATTGATCAGATGTTCGAGGAACGGATTGACGCAAGGCAGTTCAAGTCTTGGAGGTCGCCTACTACTTGAAATGAGGAGAGCAAGGATCTAGGGTCAACTATCATAGTAGGGATATCTGTGATAGTGTTGAATAACTTTTGAACAGTGCCTCTATTTGATTTCTCAATCCGGCGGCTATTCATCGAGCGGATCAGACTTGAGCAAGTGCCTCGTCAAATTGGGAAGTTTTCTTCGAACAAAAGCATAAAGTGGAGATTAACACGAGATGTGATAAACATAGTGCGTGAGTTGGTATTCACTCCGTATTACTTGTACGTTGGCGTGGTCTACGGCTGGACTTGCCTGAAGTGGTTATGGGGCTCCTAAAGCTTATCAGAGGCCATAACCGGACGCGGGACCGGGCCGATATAGCTTGCGTCTTACGCGCTTAAAGTGCTTATATAGGGTCCGTCGGCATCAAGTCTGAACGTCAACCTACCAAGTTCTCCCGATCATTTGAATGCGGTCTCATCAACAATGGCTGAGCTCGATGCTATCCTGGAAGCTTGCACGAGTCCTGACACTGGATTTCTCCACGGTGCTACTTTTGTAGCAGTGGGCAGGCAAGGTAACTGTTTGACTTATCACTCGCGGATCCCCATAGAATCCTTTAGCTGACACACCTCTGCGTCGGTTAGGCAATGACATCTATCGAAAGTCATTTGGCCGCCGCAAGGTCGATGCCAAGGCCTTGTCGCCTTTGACTTCAGACACTGTGACATGGATAGCTAGTCAGACAAAGCTAGTCACCTCCGTCGCCGCAATGCAGATTGTTGAGCGAGGTCTCATCGGTCTGGACGACGATGTCCGTGAAACCCTTCCGCAACTCAAAGAGTTGAAGGTCATTACGGGCTTTGAAGATCCATCTACCGAAAACTTCTCGGGGCGACCAATTCTCGAGGATGTCAAAGGTCCACTTACCCTGAGGTCAGTATACCCTGTACAGCTGCGACCAAGCCCCGAATCCATGGCGATGGCCTTCTGACTCTGAACATGGCCCCAGACACCTCCTAACACACACCTCGGGATTCGCATACGATCAACGCCATCCTCTCTTGGTGAAGTACTCGACCTGGGCAAACAGGCGAGACCATATGTTCTCAGGCACCATCGAGGGCTCATTCCATCCCCTGATCTTCCAGCCAGGAGCATCATGGCGCTATGGCCCGGGGCTTGATTGGGCTGGCCACGTTATTGCAAAGCTCACCGGCATGAACTTTGACCAGTACGAGCAGCAGAACATCTGGGAGCCGCTCGGAGCAAAGAACACAACGTTCTTCCCCGCCAAGCGAGGTCTTACTCCGGACGATATCCACGAATCGGCGCACCGTGATCCTAATAAGGGGGACAACCCGCAAAACCTTGAGCCGGGCCAGTCTCCTTGGAAATTTGATCCCCGGGATGCCCTTGGTGGTGCGGGCCTCTTCTCCACCGCAAACGATTACAGCAAACTCTTGGCAGCCTTGTTGTCGGGCGGCGGCCCGCTTCTGAGCACCAAGTCTGTCGATGAGCTGTTCCGCCCCCAAATAGGTGCTGAGTCGATGGCTGCCTTGCGGGAGATCCTCGTCGTCGGTACGGGCCCGGACGAGTCCCAGTCGTTCCTCTGGAGACAGTCACCTCAGCAGTGGAAGGATGTCATGGAAGTCGGGCATTGCCTCTGCGGCGTTGTCAACAGCGAGGACGTCGAGGGGCGAAGGAGACAGAACACTGTCAGTTGGGACGGCCTGCCAAACTTGTTCTGGTTTATAGACTGCGAGAGTGGAGTGGCGGCTACCTTCTTCACGCAGGTGCTTCCCTCGGATGACCTGTCAATCAGACGGCTCTTGGTGGATCTGGAGAAGGCACTTTACAAGGTTGTAAACGATAAATGAGTCATCTTGCATATTCTTATCCCACATTCTTTGCTGTTGAGGTTCCTGCTCACAGTATGCCCACACATCATGAGCTACTGTCCTCCTAGCTGTCCCTGTTCCATCCCGCATATGACAAGGATAATAGAGCCCCTCCGCTCAGTCTGACACCTCTATAATCCCCATAGAATTTTCAAGATGATTGGCCAATAATAGAGGCATGGCCCTGAGGCCTTGCTGTACCCCGCCCGATATGCGCCTTGCCCCTCTCCTTGGCTTCAAAAAGGTTCTCTCCATGCTCCCCGAAAGTGACGATGGTATACTCAACAACCGAGGAGGATTACAATGAAGAACATATTCAGAAAATGGCGCAAGTCAAGCCCAGATGCCCCAGATACTGCTTCGGAAGAAGATGAAAGGCCTCGCCGCGAAGGCTCGGCGCTCGGGCGTAGCCAACAGCCCAGCCAACCCCGGGCGAGACATACAAAACAGACATTTCGAGTACAAGGCATACCAACTCACTGGAAGCTCGTGCCTACCATGCTCAAGAGGGCACTACAAGGTCACTTTGGAATCAGAGACATTCTCGCGGTACACGTGAACTCGATAGCTGCAGAGAGCCATCACCGTTCATGTACCGCCACTATCACATTTGATAACGTTCCCAGCCAGCTGGAGGCACTCAAAAATGGAAGCGCTTGGGTAGCTCCTCCGGGAGCCATCCCATCTTATAGTAGGCGACCCACACTCACTATTGATAAAGACTTTTGGGGTATCACAACCCTCGCAGCCCCTACTGACTCCTTGGTCGAGTAAGTCCCTTTCCTGTCGCACTCAGGCAAGCGTTGACTATGAATAGTATCATCGCAATCTCTGGACTCGGAGGGCACGCATTCGGCTCGTTCAAGGAGAGAGGAGGAGAGCATATGTGGCTCAGAGATGCACTTCCTCGCGACCTCAACGGCCGCCGTTCAATGGGAGTTGCGAGTGTGATGGTCTACGGCTACGACTCAAGCCTCCCATTAAGCAACAGCTTCCAGGGACTGGATGATCTTGCCAGGTCGTTTTACAACAGCCTACAGAACAACCAGGGTGACGGCTCGGCCACCAGACCTATAATATTTGTCGCCCACAGTCTGGGAGGACTGATCGTCAAAGAAGTAGGACCGGTGATGGAAACACGCTGTGATAGAGGCTAATGACTTGCTAGCTTCTGATATTGCTGTCAAAGTCGGGTCCCGGCTTTGGGCAGAATCTCTTTCGCGCGATAGACAGTATCGTTTTCTTCGGCGTGCCGAATCATGGCATGGACATCACTTCACTTATGCCCATAGTTCAGGACGGCCCCAATCGCGCATTAGTTGAGTCTCTGGCAAACGACTCGCAAGCTCTGAGAGAACAGGACGAGGTCTTCTCGGATATCGTGGGGGACGATGTTGAGATCGTCTGTTTCTATGAGACATTGCAGTCGCCGACAGCCATCCAGGTACGCTCCATTCAGCCGGCCCAGCCGCTTTAACTGAAAATGCTGAAAACGGGAAGACTCAGAGCGGGCAGTGGAAGATGGAGGGTCCTCCAGCCGTCCTCGTGTCGAAAGAGTCGGCTCTTCATTGCAAGCCATGGCAACTTGGGGTGGATCAGATCGTTCCTCTGAACCGGACTCACTCCGACCTGGTCAAATTCAGGGCTAATGATCATGAGTACGAGAAGGTTCTCGGAAGACTGAAAACACTTGTCCAACGAGCAATATCAAGGGGTGATCGAATGGGTGCGTACAGAATTCTGCTCGACGGTACAAAGAAATTGAATTGATAAAGTATGTTAACATTTTAATAAGGTACCATGTCGGATTTTAGTCGCTTCCGAAGATGACTCAATGCTGGTGGGCGGTGGACAGATGTGGCTCATTGGATTGCGCATCAGAGACCATACATTGGATATCCTATTTCGATTCTAATTAATTAACAATAATTGCATACACTTGGTTGGAAGTAACACGAAAGCTGATCAATCAACAGTTCAAGACCTATTGCGTTGTCTACAAAAGCGAGCACCACAAGCAACGTAGCGCTTGTATTTGGCTCTTGTGAGAGCAGACTACAAGCCTGGAATTATCTCGCATGTCACATTCCAAAATCCTCAATACAGATACGCGAGCAGTTGAAGAACTAGCAAGAGGATACGAGCAGAGAAATGGCGGGTAAATAAGAATAACTAAGGCCTATGGGCTCATAAACCTAACCAACATCCCTCAGTTGATTAATACGACTCTTCTATTTCACAGTCAGTTGAGTCGAAATTCGAGCATGGTCATTTATGGTTGGTTGACTGATTACCAACCAACTGATTATCAACCAACTGCAACAACTCGCGACACACAAATATGCAACTCAACTGAACCAAAAACCAAGTGCTGGAACTAATGAGGGGCCAAAAGACGGACTCGAAAAGGACCCGAAGAACCGAGGGGGCATAAAGAGTGACCAAGCGCTAGTCCTCTTGAAAAGAGAGACAGATGATAGAAGACGTGATGCGACTCAGCCAGCCCGGATCGGATCGTGGCGGCGGGGCGTGTTTTGATAGGGTGGCGTGGCGGGCTCCCAAGGGTTCCCATCTTTTGCGACCCCCCTGGCTAACCGCTTTAGCGGGATCCGTGGGTGCCACTGCCACTGGGTGGTGGTGGTGGTGGTGGTGGTGTGCTGACCCCGCGGCGCTGTTTTGGCTTACACAATTAACTAGGTACCTAACCCGGTGTCGGCCATGCTGCGCCAGAGGAGCCGAGGAAGTGGTATGGTACCCGACCCTTAGTAGTAAGATGGCGTCATGCGATGCGAGTGTGGTTACTGGGTAAGGTACTGCAGCCCTCGTTGCACATGAAAAGCCCCGACGTCCGACATCTGGCCCTCTTACATGCAGGGAGGCGCATTGTCACGATCAGTCAGCCTCTCACCTCTCACACACTCGAGTAGAGCGAGTTCTGAGCCAGTTGTTTTCTTTTCTTGGTCCGCTCCGGCACCCCAAAACATTACTGAGGCTCTCACACCACGAGACTGTTTTCTTTGTCTCCTCACAAGCTGTCTTCTTCCTTAAAAACCAACACCTCTTCAACAAAAATTACCCGTCACAGCCCGTCTCAACACATCTCACCGCCCATCTCCATACAGTGCTCACTCATCACGATATCCCACGATGGCAACAACTCCCAGGCCCGACCCGCCGCTCCCCTCCCCGCCCTTCATCCACATCGAGGGCCTCCCCAACTTCCGCGACATCGGCGGCTACCCCATCACCACCACCACCTCCGGAGGCCCTGGCCCGGCCAAGAAGATGGTCCGCCGCGGCCTCGTCTACCGCTCCTCGGAGCCCTCGCGCCTGACGGACCAGGGCGTCGCCAAGCTGCAGCAGCTCGGCGTCGCCAAGGTCTACGACCTGCGCTCCGAGGTCGAGGTCTCCAAGGCCGCCGCCGCCGCCGAGGCCGCCGAAGCCGAGCAGCAACAGCAACAGCAACAGCAGCAAGCAGCAGACCGCGCCGGGACCGAGCAGAAGCAGTTCCACCACGCGGGCACCTACAAGGTGAAAGAGTGGGAGGGCGCCGAGCGCGTCTTCGTCCCCGTCTTCCTCGACGAGGACTACAGCCCCGAGGCCATGGCCGTGCGCTTCAAGAACTTTGCCCACGAGGGCGCCGAGGGCTTCGTCCGCGCCTACACCCGCATCCTCGACCTCGGCGCCCAGGAGTCCCACCCGCACCAGCCCTTCCGCACCATCCTGTCCCACCTCGCCCAGCCACCTTCACCACCACCACCACCACCACCCACAACATCCTCATCCTCCCCTTCTGCTGCCACCGCCGCCCCGCCCCCGATCCTGATCCACTGCACAGCAGGCAAGGACCGCACAGGCGTGATAATAGCCCTGCTGCTCTCCCTCGCCGGCGTGCCCGACGAGGCCGTGGCGCACGAGTACTCCCTCACCGACGCCGGGCTCGCCGACCGCAAGGAAGAATTCGTCGCGGGCCTGCTGCGCTCGGCGGCGCTGCAGGGCGACCGCGAGGGCGCCAGCCGCATGGTCAGCTCCCGCCGCGAGAACATGCTCGCGACGCTGGCGCTCATCCGCGAAAAGTACGGCAGCGTCGAGCAGTACGTCGAGAGGGAGTGCGGGCTCAGCGCAGACCAGGTCGCCCAGCTGCGGCGCAACCTGACCGTCGACGCCGACGAGCACGTCCTCGACTGGGAGGGCCACGCCGAGGCGCATCAAAAGTTTGTCGCGGCGGACAAGTTGTAGTCTTTCAGTAGATGGGAGCTGACATGGTGGTGTTTTTTTTTGGATGAAATGATGCTTTGCTACATTCCACGTCCGAGCAAGTATCTCTCACGAACTATGCATGATGGTAGTAGTACATTGATTCACTGTCAGATGATGACAGTCTACGGCAGGGAAGGCTAGATGTCGGAAAACGTAATGTACAGCATCGTACAGGAAGAACGCGGGGGTTTGATATGGTACAGATTCCGGAAACCACCGTCTCCCGAGTTATACAACATTTAGACAAAAGACGAAGAATAAAACTCTCCTTCTCCATCTTTTTCTTTCTTTCTTTCCTCCTTTCTCCTCTTCACTCCACGCTGAGCGGGATCTTGACCTGCCCCTTCTTCCGATCGTTCAGCGGAACGCCGTACCGCCACCCGACGCCCCGGTGCGACTTGCCGTCCTTGCCCACGAGCTCCGAGTTGACGTCCCGGAACCGGAACTCGAACCGGCCCCGGTCGACCTTGCGCGTCGCTGCCTCCTCAGCGGCGCTCCTTCGCGCCTCCCGCTCCGCCACTTTGCGTTCCGACCTCTCGGCCGCAGCCTTGAAGTCGGCAAACGCCTGCGCGGGGGTCGTCTTCTTGCCGCCCTCGGCCCCGCCTACGATGGCGCGCTCCATCTCGATGAGTTCCGGGTGCGGCACGCGCTTGTCCGGCGAGAGCATGCCGCTGTGGAAGGCCTTGGCGGCGTCGTGCCGCGTGAAGTACCGCGTCTCGGGCACGGGCAGGAAGAGCTGCTGCATCGTGAGGCCGTGGACGTGGATCTCGTTGATGGGCTCGTGCGGACGCATCTCGTCGCTGCCCTCGCGGAACGACGTCTTGGGCAGCATGGCCAGGACGGCCTTGGCGTAGGGTTTGGCGAGCGGTTTGCCCTGTTGTGAAGAATGGGAGGTTCCCTCTTGTCAGTCTCCGCCCTTGCTTTCTGCTAAGAATCTAGGGTTTCTCGCAAGCAAGAAGAGAGGGAGAGGGAGGAAAGGGAAAAGTTCTGAATCAGAGAGGCTCGCAAAGCTATTTTGTAACCATGTGTTGCTGTCTTCAAGACTAATCGAATTTTTGAATTGTGTTCATCACGTAGAGAACTTTCCCCCATTCCTCCAACACATAAGAAGCAACAGAAATAAGGAGAGCTTGCTTACCTGTGCGATCCACCCCTTCTCAACCTCCTTGAGCCTCACCACGGCCGCCACGCGCCGCATGTCGATGCCCAGCTCGGCCGAGACGGCCTTGATCGACTCGCCCCTCTCGACGATCTTGCTCCAGACCAGCTCGCGGGCCTCCTCGTCCAGGACGGGCTCGCTGCGGAACGTCGGGTTCAGCGGGAAGACGGCGCCGTTGCCGCGGCCCAGGTACGTCGGCCCGGAGCTCGGGTCGTGGTTCCTGAACCTGGACCCGGGGCCCTGGAGCCAGAGGCGCATGAGCCGCCGCTCCCTCTTGCCCTGCGCCGCGGGCGTGCAGGAGAACGCGCGTTGTGACGAGCGGGCGGAGGACAGGAGGGAGGCTGATACGGCGGAAGAGGTTGAGGAAGAGGAGGATGAGCAGGAGGTCGGTCGGAGGGGAGCCCCCAGGCATTGGGGTGATATCCTGGGCGGCATGGCTGGCTGTGTGATGGGTATATGTGGGGAGAAATTAAATGAGAAAGAGAGGGAAAAAATACACTAGGAAGAAAGGAACGTGGTCATGACAGCCGATCGAGAAGGGGAGAGAGGGCTGCTGGTCGTCGTGTCTTGGGTCAGTTGGTATCACGCGAGAGCTTTGAAAATTGTATGGGAAAACAAGGTGAAGAAATTTGGAGCTGACCTGCCTGCATGTGGCTGGATCAGGGTCGGATAGCTGGAATGGAAAAACGTGTGTGCCGGCAATTGAACTCAGCACCAGACAGACGGGATCCACCAGACTCATCTCGACTAATAATTACATGTACATCCACCGCACGTGATCACCGAGTCGAACATCATCCTCGCGTCCTCGCGCTCTCGACTTTGAGCATCACAAACAAAAGCTGCCGCTGCATCGGTCCGATTTACAACAACTCACAGCTCTGATTCTCATGCTCAAGGGGGTATTAAATTGTACATTACTACCAATCTACCCGACCATGCCCACTCGGCATCCATCACTCCCTCAACCTGTCCTCCTCCCCTGGTCATGTATCTTCCTCTCCTTGCCCCCTCTCCCAGTTCTGTACAGGAATTACTCTCAGAAAGATAACAATAATAAACATCAAAAGGGAATTCCGCCCCTCCGTTCTCACTGCGCCGTTGCTATGCATGTATGTGCCCCTCATGCTCTCACGGTTCATGATCTCAAAATCCCGCCCAACAACACCACACCACACCCCCCATCTCCCCGCCAAAACACTGGTCTTTAACCTTTCTGTCTGTCTGTCTGATGTCTGCATGTATACGTATGTGTGTGTGTGTGCGTGAGTGCGTGTATTCGTGTGATGTATTTGTTGCTTTCCCTCCCCCGGGTTAAAAACGCCCAGATGCATATTCGCTTCGTTCGGACTAAAGAGATAAAGAGAAGAAGTGTGAAGAAGGGAAGGATGGCGACAATAGCGCAGAGGAAAAAGAAGAAGAAGAAGAAGAATGCGTAACCCGGACGCGGCCGTGGAATCCATCCTGGGAGGTAGGAGTAACAATGATAACAGTAAGGCGAACAAGGGACCGGCTCGGGGTCATTCCTCAGAATCGAAGGCGATACCGGATCGTGGTTCATCGCAGCAAGTCGTGTTGCATGGCAGCAAGGCCATGCTAGTCCGAGTCCGACTCATGCCATCCAAATCGAGGATACGCCCGGCAGAACCGCAGGTATTCCGTCGACAGTCTCCAAAACCCACCCCCCTCACCATCTATCCATCTCACTACTACGCATCGCCCCCAGCGGTAATAGCCTGCTGCTGCGGCTGCGCGTTGAGCGACTGCCTCTTCTTCGCCTTGGCCTTGGCCTTGGCGTCCGCCGCCGCCGTGGCCGCCGACGAAGACGACGACGTACCACCGCCGGCGCCCGACCCTCCGCCGGCCGTCCCAGACGCTGCCGCCGACCCGGAGGCGTCGCCGGCCTTCTGGAAGTCCTTCCACTTGCGCCACCCGTCAAAGTCGATGAGCGCCTGCATGCACCCCCACTCCATGACCTTGCGCTCAAGCCAGACGAAGTTAACGGGCTGTTTCATTTCAATTCTCGTTAGCACACATCTTCTCCCCTAGCAAAACAGACATACACACACAGAGAGAAAAAGAAGAAAAAAGACGTACCTTTGTCAAAAAGTCGTTGCACCCCGCCGCGAGCGCCTCGTGCCTGTCGCTCTGAAGCGAGCTCGCCGTCAGCGCGACGATGATGACAGGGCTCTTGAACATGTCAGTGTTGGGCAGCCTGTCGTCTCTGCCATCCCCCCCTGCTCCTCCTCCTCCTCCAGCCTTCTTCCCCGCAGCAGCAGCAGCACCATCCTTCCCCTTCCCATGCTCATCCTTCCCGTCGGGCGTCGAGCTCGCCGAGCTGGGCAGGCTGCTAAACACCCCGATCCCGTTGACTCGCTCCAGCCGGCGGATCTCCCTCGTCGCGTCGAGCCCGGACATGACGGGCAGCTGGATGTCCATCAGCACGAGATGGAACCCGCCCGTGCGCCACTTGGTCACGGCGTCGCGCCCGTTCATGGCCGTCTGCCACCTAACTTTGAGCCTCTTGACGAACGCCTCGAGCAGCTTGAGGTTGATGATGTTGTCCTCGACGATGAGCACGTTGATCGGCGGCACCGACCCGCCCAGCGTCATCACCCCGCCGGCCCCCCCTCCTCCTCCTCCTCCCAAGCTCGAGGATTGCTGCTGCGCCTCGAGGCTCTTCTTGCTCTTCTTGGTGCGCTGGGGCGTCGGCCGCGGCGACCCCACGCGCTGCGGGTTGCTCGGCGTCGGGTTCACGGCCTGCGCGGCCTGCTGCTGCGAGGGGGGCGGCGTGGCGGTCCGCTGTATCGACGTGGCCTCGGGCGCCGGCGGTGTAGGTAGCGGGGGAGCTGCGGGAGCTGCGTTCGATTGCTGGTCTGTAGAAAACGGAAATCCCCGAAAGGCGTTTGTGTAAGCGATGTGATCATCTCTCTCTCTCTCAATTTTTCATCAATCAATGCCCCTCACGGGGGGCCATCCATGCGTCATCCTGCTCCTCTCTCTGTCTCAACGGAATTCACCATCGTAATAGTGATGACGCTGAGAAGGAGCAGGAGAGGGAGGCGGGTAACAAGCAACATAGGAAGGAGAAGAAGCATGCATACCCTGGTGGCCGTGGCCGCCGGCCGCGGCGGCGGACGCGGGCACGACGCCCACGACGCCGTGGTGCGGCCCGTTGACAACGTTGATGATGGTCGGCGACGAGGTATGCTGCCTGCCCAGGCGCGGCCTCTCGGGCCTCTCGCGGTACGTGCGCGCCCTCGCGCTGCCCGGGGAGGGTATCTGCGGTATCTGGCCCGTGCTGAGCACGCTGATGGTGTGCGGGTGGCCGGAGCCGCCGCCGCTGCCGCCCGTCGAGGGCGCCGTGACCGTGACGGGCAGGTGGTGCGCCGAGACGGCGGCGGCGACGGCGGAGGGGCCAAAATAGTCCGTGCCCGCCTCGGAGGGGCGCAGGTCCTCGCCGACGTAGTATGCCGCCGCAGCCGAGCCGAGATGCGGCGCGTGCGGCGGTCCCGCCCTGGGCGACGCCCGCGGCGTGATGCGCGTCCGCACGAGCGGCACGTCGATGATGAGCGCCTCGTCGACCGACTGGCCGCCGGGGAAGTAGGCGTCGAGCGTGCGGCCGACGGGCTCCTCGGGCCCCAGGGTCCTCTCGGCGCGCTGCTCCCGCGGCACGATGCGCAGCGAGAGGTCGGGCGAGTCGAACTGGCGGCCGAGCGAGTTGCCGTACTTGCGCAGGATGAGGTCGCGCACGTCGTCGATGACGTCGTCCTCGCCGACGGTGACCAGGGTGGCCGAGGCGCCGGGCCTGCGGACCCAGACCTTGCGGGTCATCATGGCCGCGGCGAGGTGCTGCTGGTAGACTGCTCCTCCGAGTCCTCCGACGCTGCTGGCGCCGCCCGGGGTGATGGGCGAGTGCTCGAGGGCGGAGCCGTCGACGTCGGCCTGGGCCTGGCTGAGCAGGGTCCGGATGAGGGTCGTCTGGCGGGCCGGGATGAGGCTCTGCCGGCGGGGCACGGCGTCGGGACGAACGGGGGCGGTGCCAGCGGCGGCGGTGGTGGTGCTGACGGGCGAGGAGGGCAGCAGGCCGTGCTGGTAGTGTTGCTGGTGGTGGTGGCGGGAGGCGGCGGCCGCGGCAGCGGGCGTCTGGGGCGTGGAAAACCTGCTGCTGGCGGTGTTGGTGTCGTGGTAGTGGTGGAGCGAGGGCGAGGAAAAGCCGTACGGCGGTGCACCAGGAGTGGAACCAGCGACAGAAGACGAGGCGACGGCGGGTCGGGGCGTGGGCGTGCCGAGGTCGTGGCTCAGCAAGAGGTCATCGTCGTCGGTGGTGGAGTCGATCGCGCCGGTGTCGGTCGAGTCGTCGATGACGGGAGATGCGTCTCTGTTCTGGGGATTGTTTTCGCTGATGATTGAGGTCGAGGACGGGAGTTCGTTGATGGAGGTGAGTTTGCTGGCGGCTGTTGTGGATTCTGCGCTTGTTGTGGAGGCAGCACCAGCTCCAGCTCCAGCACCAACAGCTGGAGTCGTCTGGCTCTGGCTCTGGCGCTGATCGTTGCCAGTCATGGGGTCACCGCTCCCGCCAGTAGCCCGAGCGACAGCGCTAGCTGAGCCTGTTGCAACCGCCGCCTCGTCATCGGGATGCGCATTCTGCTTGGCCATCGCTTGTCTTCTCTCGTCGTCTTTAATTTCGTCGCCGTCGCGTTCTCGTTCGCGCGCTCGTGCCGTCGCAGGACTGGGAGATTGCTCGCCGTCGCTGTGCGGACCTCCCGCCGCCTTCATATCGTCTCCGTCCTCCTCCTCCTCCACTTCCTCCTCCCGCTGTGCCCCGTTATCGCCCGCCTTCCCCTTTCCGCTGCTGAGATCCTTTTCTGTTTGATCGGCATGGTCCGGCGACGGTCCAGGCGACGGCTGTTGCGACAATCGCCTCTGCTGCAGCAGTTTGCTGTCGCGCAGGCTGCTAGCGTTGGAGCACGGTCGGCGCTGCTGGCCGTCTCCTGGCGTCAGGGTAGCGCTGGTGCCGGCCGTCTTTGTCGACGAGGCGACCGAGGGAGTCGTCGAGTTCCTCCGCGTAAACTTGGCCTTGATGCGCGCCTTTAGGTCGCCCATCTCGCTGGTTGCAGCCGCATGGGCGGAGGAAAGAAAGGGCCCAGACGGTTTCCCCTCTCTTTCGAGGCTACAGTGAAGATTCGATTCGTAGTTTTTTTTCCCCCTCGCTCGTTGGGTGGTGGTGCTTCTTCTGATCCAATCCCTCTCTGCTCGCGGAGCTTAGGTGCTTCTGGCAGCTCCTCCCCCCCCAGTGAGTGCCTTTGCGGAGTGTTTGATCCGGGTGCTGTAGCCCGCTGGAGAGCTTTTTTAATGGAGCCTCCAGGTGCTTAAATGGGGGCTGCCAAATAGGAGGAACAGCGCTGGAGCTCCTTTGTCGTATCTCCTCAAAGCTCTCCGGATTTCTTTGCCAACCTAACACAAAAGGATGGCAGGAATCAGACGTTGGAGATTGTCTGTCTGGTGTTTGCAATGCTAATCGGGGGATTTCTTTCCAGCACGCCCGCAACGAAATTGCCTTTGTTTTTTTCCCCTTCTTCCGCCCAATGCGAGCAGGCCTCAACACACACATGCCACACACACACACACACGCACACAAACACAAACATGCACCCACGAGCAAATTACGGACCGCCGGCAGGGTAAGGCGAGATGCCAAAAAAACGGCCCTACTTGGACAAGCGTGACAGGGTCTCCCCCTGCTTGTCGTCGAAAACGAGCGATTGATATGACTTTTCTCGATCGATCGGGACGGAAGAGGCCACGCACGAGAATACACGTAGGACTCTTCAGGAGGTGGGTTTTCCAGGGGGGGGACACAGCATTAGCTTTTTTGGGAGGAGATCCATGGATTGATTCTGCCATTGGAGGTTGGCTCTTCTTCCTAATGTACCTAACTCGACCTCTAGTACGATGCACGTCGACAGCACTCATTGTCGGACCGCGTTGACCAAGCCTGGTTGTGGTGAAACACACCTAGTAAAGTGACAGCAGTGCAGTAGCAACATCAACAAATCAGCCATGAAGAGCGTTACCATTGGTTTCCAATCAAGGTTCTTGCATCCCTGCATTTCTGACGGCACTTCTGGTCTGGCCCGTCCCGGTCCTACTCTTGGTTTTTTTTTGAGTTCCATTCCATTCCAATGCCAGCCCAACAAATGCCGGTACAAGGATGCTTGCTCGATGAGGATGAGGACATAGGTAGCATCATGGTTCCGTGTGCGCCAGGGACACTCGAAACCTTACAAGTACAAACACCAGCAAGTATCATGTACCAAAAACAAGAAAGAAATCGTCACACCATGATCCTCGCCATACAATGCACGCACCGCATCACAGATTCACCACCATCACAAAAGACTCATGTCATGTCTATGTAATTTGTTTTGTATTTGTCGTTACTCAGTGGGTATCGTAGCATGAGTTAACCAAAAGCGAAAGAATTTTTTGTAAGACCCAAAATGCAAAATGAAGAATGAAAACAACAAAAAGACCCGCCACCCTGTTTGAAAAACGCTTGCCCATATTGCTGTTGTCGTGTGTATCTGATCCGATACGATCTGCTGTTGTAGACGAAGAGAAGTTGTTGCTGATGCTGTCGCTGTAGCTTGTCGTGAGACGTCTAGAGAAATCTTTGGTCGTTGTTTTCTTCGTTCACACTTCACCCGATGCAAAGCGCTGTGCAAGTCAGCCCGTCACACCCAATGTCGCGTCGCAGCAGTAGCAGCAGTATCACGGCAGGCAGGCAAAGCAGAAGAAACGTCCTCTTCTTCAGTCACTTCAGTGCGCAAAAACGATGACCCTGGTGTCAGCTTTTCCCGCAACGAGCTCCTGTTCCCCCTGCCCTTCTTCGGTAATAGCATCCTCCTATATCAAGACACACATGAAACAATGAGAAAAAATGTTTCTGGCTTGTCCGGGCTTGTCGCTTGGCAAAAGTTGGGTTCGTTATCGTCGACGTGTTGGATCTGTAGTTTGTCGTGTCCGGCAGGCAGAAGTAGATAGGCAATGCAGTAATCCGGGCCTCAATCCAGTCCAAGTCGTGGGCTTTCGAAACGTCGCGCAAACATTCCTCATGTCACGACTCTCCCGAATCAGCCCTCTTTACGCCAAGGCGCGACGAGTGCTTACCTCGCGCCACCGCTGTGCATCGAAAATGCATCTAGCTGAAGACCCAGTTAAAAGCCTTGATGAACTTGTTCCTAAGAGGAGGGTGCGACACCGCGTAAGCAAAACTAAAAACTTCATCTCACAAGGGGGGGAGGGGATTACGCACTTGGGCTCCTCAGGAACATAATGCTTCTCGTACTCGAGGATCTCGGCAATCTCGCCGTCCAGGTTGACCTCGTGCGGCTTGTGCAGCTTGGTCCGGTGGATGAGCTTCCAGACCAGGTACAGCACGGGGAAGATCATGACGGCCAGGTATGAGAACAAGAAGTTGGTCACCTTCCACTGGCCGGGAAGGAACACCTCGTACCCGGACATGAAGGTCATCCAGAAGGTGCCGATGGCGCCGTAGATGGCCGTCCAGGGCTGCCACCAGCCGATGAAGGGCAGGCGGCCGCGGTCCGTCTTGGGGTCGCGCGTGCGGCCCTGCGCCTTCCACGCGCGGTAGAAGCCGATGTAGGTGACGCACATGACCAGGAAGTTGATGAGCTGTGAGGCCGTGACCAGCGAGACGAACCAGTTGAGCACGACGGCGGCGTTGTTGTTGGTCTGCAGGAAGGACAGCAGCGTGATGGACAGGCAGAAGAGCACCGAGTAGACGGGCACGCCGCCCTTGGTCACCTTGGTGAAGATCTTGGGCGCCTTGCCCTCGAGGGCCATGCCGTAGAGCGAGCGGGACGAGCAGTAGACATACGAGTTACCTGTTGGAGAGAGAGAAAAGCAGCCCGCATTAGTCACATGTGTCATTTCAATGGAGGACAGACAAAATTGCACCGAGGGGAGAGAAAAACTCACCAGCAGAGAAAGCCGACGACAGCATCAGCGCGTTGACAATGTGTGGCAGGACCGGGATACCAAGGCGGTTCATAGCAACCACAAAGGGAGAGGCGGCAGCGCCGGCCTTGCCCTCGCCCAGGGCGGCCTTGAGCTCGGGGTCGTTGTACGGGACCAGGATGCCGACGGCCAGGGAGCCGAAGACGAAGAAGACGGCCAGACGGTAGAAGACGGTGCTGTAGGCGCGGGGCATGCTGACGCGGGGGTTCTCGGCCTCACCGGCCGCCATGGAGACGTAGTCGGGGCCGGCAATGGTGAAGGCAGCCACGATGAGAGCGCCCAGGAAGCCCTGGAAGCGGCCCAGGTCACCCGTGGTGAACTTCTCGTTGAAGGCGCCAGGGTTCTGCCAGTAGCGGAAGCCGAAGCGGTCGTGCTGCGGGTTGCCGCCCAGCATGACGATGAAGGTGAAGATGATCAGGCCCGTGATGAGCATCATCTTGCCGAGCGCGGCCCAGAACTCGGTCTCGCCGTAGTACTCGACAGCCAGCAGGTTGATCAGGGCATACAGGATAATGACAATGGCGATCATGGCCCCGGCAGGGACGACATCGCTCCAGAAGTGGATGATGACGTTGCAAGCCGTGACCTCAAAAGTAGCCAGGGCGACCTCCTGTTTGTATTCTGTTAGCAAAAGCGCACTATCACTTGAGCATCTGTCAACATACGTAGATCCAGAAATTCCACCCGGCGGCAAACCCCAGAGCCTCATCGACGTAACGGCCGGCGAAACGGATGAAGGGCGAGGAGATGGGCAGGTGGGAGACCATCTCGGCCATGGAGACGGTCGTCGCGAGAATGAAAGTACACCAGATGACGAAGGCAAGGAACAAACTGGCCGGTCCACCGGCCATCAGACCGTTACCGATCTGGATGAAGAGAGCAGTCGCAATGGTACCACCGATACCGATGAGCTGGATGTGGCGGGGCTTCAGGTTGCGGTGAGTCCAGTCGGACTTGCCAATGGTCGTCATGGAGCCCTCGCGGTCTCCGATGAGGGAGCCGGCCGGGGTCACCTTCTCCTCGTCGTTACGAGGGGAGGGGGAGACGGAGCTCTTGGACGAGCTCCGCTCGATATCGTTGCCGCTAGACAGCGCCATGGTGAGAAGACTGATGTTTGGTGTTTTGGGTCGCTCGAGTAGCAGACAGGATCTCGAGTCCTGCGGCTTTATATGTTCAGGTTGAGAGACCTCTTATCTTACCCGCACAATCGAATGCGTGGGGTGGGGGACAATCAATGGATGTTGGGCGAATGTCCAGATTCGTCGCGTGCTACGATGCACCACACGGGAGTCGAGCTCCGTGTTTATCAAAACATGCAAGGAGGGAAAGGAAAGGCAGATAAGACTACCAAAGTACCATCGATAATCTGGCAAGAGTCGTCAAGATTCTTTCCAGATAAGAGGGGGTAGAGAAACGAGGTAAAATTCTGAAAAGTGTGACCAAATAACGGGGATGCCGTCAATTATAAACAGAAAATGCAACATTGGCATCGAGGCCGGGGATCGCCTGAGAGACAGAGAGAGAGTGTGTGTGTACTCGGTATTGGTACTAACTTTTTGGTCAGTGACCTATGCAGAAACAACATGCTCTTGAGTCGTGCTCCGCCACCGGGTGGAGAGACAGGTACATACGGTTGGCTCACGGCACGGCGGGGAGAGGACCACAAATGCAGGACATCATCAGTACCTTCGATAGGTTCGAACATGCAATGGTGCGCTTTTACGGGGGCTTGGCGTGGGCAAAGAAAAACAAGAGTTTGCCAGTAGAGCTGAAGAGTCTGAGATGAAAATGGGCCATGTCCGACCGCCTATTGCCTAGTCGGGTAGGTCACTGTGGGCTGCAGAGGCGTGGAGAGGTACCTGCAACGCCGAGGCCGTAGTGCCGGGCAGCCGTGCGAATGGTGCGGGCCTGGCGTCCCCGACTGGCAGGGGGTTTGGGTGTGTGGTGTGGAGCCGAGCCCTCCAAGGGTGAGCGCGCTGTGCAGCAAGTCGACAGGCATCGGGTAGATCGAAGATGCCGGGCACATGAGCGGCCACCCAAGGACAATACTCCGGCACCACGCTCGAGGGCTGCCACACCGTCGATAGTGCGCCTCCAAGGTGAGGATGGCCGGCTAGGCGATAATCTGTCTGGTCCTAGCAACAAAACCACTGCGGCACTAGGTCCGCTCACATGACATCGAGCAGCGGTACTTCAGGCTCAACGTAGGCGCGCTGCTAGGTTTGATTTCCCACTTTGCCGCTCGGACTCTCTCCTCAAGGCTGAAGAGGCACAAAACGGCTGCCCCTCCCCGAGAGCGTTCCGTGTCGGCGTGCCGTGGCTACGGCGCCGTGAGCCAAGGTCTGGGGAAGCATCGTAACGCGTCCCAATGCATTCAACTAGGCGCCTCTTATCGGTTCTGTTGTCCAGAGTCAGTCTGAGGCAAGAGCGAGATTTCAAAAACCTAGATCACCATTTGCCAGGGAGAACACAGGTGGAGCACATCGGCGTAGCAGCGTCTTTCGTCCGGCCGCTGCAACCGCATATCCAGGAACCCGTATGCGTAGCTGTGGCCACATCGACAGCGGTGGACAGGCGGGAGACAAGTGGTTTGAGTGAGTGTACGGAGTACCTAACGTATGTGTTGCCCCTTGTTCATTGTTTGCGGTGGCTCTTCTGGTGGAGTGATATCCACATGGACTTGGATTTCCAGGGGATCCTCATCTGACGTAGTTGTTGGTGGTTACAGCACACGACGATGCAGGGTGCGAGGTGGGGTGGTCCAGGGCTCAATGTGTGTTCCCCTGTCATATCTCCGGCCTCTGAGTGGTAAAGATCGGAATAGGCCCGTAAGTCTGAGATACAGTGGTCCGCGAGCGTCGAAAGAAGAACCCTGCACCGAGTCCACGGATCTTGGCGGGTTCGATTGAAGAAGAGCCAGAGCACAGAGTACGTAAAGTAGGTAGCATGAGGTTGGGAGAAGTGGTGTGCTCTGTAGCTAATCTAGATTCGTTCGCTGGCACAGATTGAGGCACAGCTGGCCGACGGGCTGATCGTTCATCATACTCTGCGATCGCCAGATTAGAATGTAGGTACCAACTGCCGTCCGTGTACCCGCCTCATATTGGTCGGTCCAGCCCCGTCGAGGCTGGCCGAAGCCGAAGAACAGACGGCGTGAGGCTACGAAGCGGGCATGGTCCGATTTGGTTGGCTGGCTTGAGGCTGGCTGGCTGATGGATGCGAAGAGATGTCGGCTTAAATTTCGATCCCCTCTGTAGGCAGTACCTATTTCTCCCAAAGAGAAGTGATCCCACCAAGGTAAGGGAAAATCGGAGGCCCTCGGAAGCGGAGGCAAAGAAATTGGACTAGGCAGACTGGACGAATGGACTGACGAGCTTCGTTCCGCAAAACACACTGGGCAGACTGGGCATGTAACGATCATGACGACTGGAGCGACTGGCAAAATCCAGAGTTTGCATCCACCGCGCGAGAAATGGTGAGGGAAACGAGGGAAACCGATCAGAATTTTCGCCCATTTTCTCAGTGGCTGCCTTCGCTGAGGGCCCCAACGCGGCCTAGCGCGGTGAAAGTGCAGTGGAAAGAGCGACGCGGGTAAGGAGATATGACGTCGGCCCAGGCGCTAGGCGAGTCCGTCTTTTTCGAGGGAAGGCGCCACTGCTATGGCGCACAGGTGCTTGATAGGCGAGAAGTGGGCCCATTCTGCGGATTTTTTGGCTTCTTCGGGGGAAGATTGGCTATCTTCAGGGCTTCCTGGCTGGGGTTCTGCTGGGGCGCGCAGGGGGGCCCGTAGGGGGGGGTCGCAGGGGGGGCCATGGGGGTTGCATCGCTGGGGCGGCCCCTCCAGGGCTTCTGCGCAGTGTGTCAGCCTCGGTAAGCAGTCCAAGTTACAGCGGCTGAAGCTGCGGGAGGTACATCCCATGGATGGACTGATCCTGCAGTGCTGGGCGCGCGAGCCTGCGCCGGGGATTTGCGCTATGCCATCTGATTTGCGCGCTATCAGGGCCTTGTCAGTGTCGTATGCCCATTTCCCGTGTTTTTACTTTTCTTTATCTACAAAGGGGGTCGTCTCGCGGGCATGCATAAAGTACGTGCCACGATGATGATCTGGGGAACGATAAAACAAGGGTGCCTAGATTGTTTCTACTTGTACCGTTGCTCTTTGCCGAGACTGGGGTTATCAACTCTTTTCGATTTGCAGAAGTACAAGTTAGGTAGGTCAGTTGATGGTATGTCTTTTGCTGGCGCATCTGACGAGACCCCCTTGACCCCGAAGCACCCTTGCTACTGAAATTGAGAATCAGTTAACTAATACGAGGCAGAGAAAATTCAGACATTTCATGACAAGCATTTTTGCCCAGAAGCGACGCTGATTGGCAGGCTGAGCCTCACACAGTCCGCTTCTTAGCGGCCCGGCTTTGAGTGGTTTGTTTCGACGGGTCCTTGGCTTAAGCCGCGCCATTTGTGAGTACCTAAATTTGCAGGACATAAGAATCGATCTCTACTTGACTCGGCCGACCGGCCAAGGCCAGGGCGGCGGGCACACATGCCTCTCTGCCCTGTAAGGTACAGACAGTGCATCCCGCAGAAGGGCTTGGGGGTCACATGCCATGCAGTGTGCTGTACGTAATGGGCATACAACGCCGGCGTGGCAGGCTCTGGCAGGCTAGATCCCGGGCATGCGCCGCTCCATGGACTGTGCTGGTCTGATTTCACGGCGCTCCTGTTCCGATCGCTATCGCTTGCGTTTTGCGTGACTTGACCGTGGCAATTTGGATCCATGGCATCTTGCTCCCTGCCTGTCACGCGGCAGTCCGCGGCGGCCGTACGATCGATCCAGTTGATTCCAGAAGGTCTATGTCGGTGCCAAGTCCACAGAGATTGCGTGAGCAAGCCACCAAGGACACTGGCATCTAGATCAGCTCGAAGACGCTTAGCCTGGCATTCCTGCTGACCTGGCCTGGCTTTCGTAAGCGCGCATTCAGATGATGCCTTTCTATCCTCTGTCCTTGTAGAAAGTATCCAAGATGCACTAGTTTCCTTCCATGATTCATCCCGTCCCCGGCACGGCTGTCGCTCTGCCGCCGCCATGTGGTCGGTCTCTGGAGGATCGGTCGATCCTACTGCGGCGCATGCCGTGATCACCCGTCCCGACTGGCACTTCTGCAACGGCGATCCCAGACTACAGGCTGGAAATAGAATCTGTATCTGTTTCTGGAAACAAAGATGCCAAGTTTAGATAGGGTTGCAGGCTCTGACCCGGATAGGGCAATGATTTTCCTCCCGAGTTGAACCCGTAGAAACAGTACCTTCGCACTCATTAATACCTGCAATTATGTACGACATGACTCCTTGAAATAGGTAGGTATCACATCAGACCTATCCCAGACCTAGTAAGCAATCCTCGCCCTCCAGACCCGTCTACCCCTCCCCCGCCGCCGCCGCCGCCGCCGCCCTTCTCCCCAACCCAGACGTCCCGTTCAGCCCGCACCCGGCCGCCTCGCAGGGTGCTGGCCCTGTGCAGGTATCTGATCCTCCCCCGCTCCCCGCGGAAGAAGTGGCTGTCCGGCATCTGGTCTCGGCCCCGTGACCTGTCCAGGCTGGGGAAACCCGACAAACCACGTCCACGGCGTCCATCTCCTCGTCCACCAAGTACCGTCGGTAGGGCACGTAGGTCGTGCTCGGACCGCACCATTACGCAATCTTCTCCATCGAGGGTGCACCGCGGCGCCGACGGCACCGAACCGGTCAAAGTACGCGTCGCTGAGGGTCTGGACCGCGACGATGATCCCGATGAAAGATGGCGCACTGGTCGTGGATGTTGCGGGAAGGGTCAACCTCGATTGGCGATTGCGTCACGGTGCTGCTGGCCGAGGAGATTGCAGGGGTCGTTCAAGGACGCCACGCCGGCTTCTCGGGACTTATTCTTGGCAATACCGGTCTATTCCGCATGGGCGGCAGTTGTGCGAGCCGCAAAGTATAATACGACCTCTTGCCCGAGAGCAGCTGGGCTCCCATCGTTCATCGAGTGGAGGGACTTGTTTAGCCGATGTGGGAAAGTCTGGCTCGCATCGGCTAGCAGTTTGTCCATGTTCGGTTCTCGAAATGAGACATAATGGTCTACATGTTAGAGACTGGTCCTCCGAACATGAGCGACTTGTCGAACAATTTGATCCAGATCTGGGCTGTTGAGTTGACATAGAAAGGAGAAGAAAAGAAAGACGGACTACAACGATGTTGGTTGACAAAGTCTCTTAGCCGCTGTCTTAAGAGACATAATGGGTGTCCATGAGAATTGATTTCACACCGACCGTGATGTCCGGGTCGTATCGTCATTTGTAGGTCGCTACATACGGCAGTACTCTACAGTTCAGGATACATACATGCCGTGATTTTGGAAGAAGCAATGCGCCAGCCTTGACATGTTACCTTTTTCTTTTAGCACAGACTGACCGATCTGCTACAAGAAAAAAAGAGAGAGTCTGCCAAGTTCTCAAGCCAGTATCGTGACCTGGCATCCGTCGCGAACCAGCTCTTGAGCGGCGCGATAAGCATTTTTTGAACGAGCTGCCTGGCTAAGGAGAGATGAAATACGCGAAGAGATCGCGAAGAGCGAAGACGGGAATACAATACTGTCGATTCTGCCCATCATTTTCGCATATCACTAGATGTGATCACGAAGAAAGTCTGCTGTATCGTGACGGATACCAAGAACTATATTCAAGTCTCGATGATGCATTCTCAAGTTCAAACGGTGGTGGTGTTTTTTTTTTTTGGTCTCTCCCCTTTTACCCCTGAGTATGTCCATAAAAAAAATGTACTCTGAGGTATCATAACCACAAGAGGAAAGTGTTTTTTTGTTTAAAAAAAAGCAAAAAGAATAAAAACGGGTTCATTGTTTGATTTCTCCTAGGGAAATCGTCGTCATTCCCGTCGTCCGCTATGCAGCGCCACGATCCGGTATCTGGCCTTGAAGCTGAGGAACCGCCGCCCGGACTCCTCGGGATCTTCATCCTTGCTGGGCTTCTGGACCAGGAGCTCCCTCCCTCGGTCGAGGTACGCCATCTCCAAGGTGGCGGCGCTCAGCGCTGGGAGTCAAAAGATGGATTGATCGGGGTGGTTCTCCTTAACCCAGTATGCGCGCTGCTGGGCTACTTGAGTTATGCCGACGCCGCCCAAGCCAACAAGCGCTCTTTCGTCCGACGAAGTTTCGGTTCCTTCGGAATGGTATGTGATATCACGAACCTGCGATGAGATGAGGAGCAAGATCATGAATTATATAGCAAGTTTAGTTGTCTCTGTCGTGTCTGGCACCCCTAGGACAACTGCAGCTTTGCTCCACGAGCCAGTAGTGCTGAGTACAGGGTGTGTGAAGTTTGCGCATCGCCACCGTGGATTGAGTCATTCAAATTGTCCACAAATTCCAGTGTTGAGTAGGTATTGTTGTTTCGATAGTTCTGGGTGTGTGCCGAGACGGTGCTCGTACTGTTCCTGCCGGTTAGTATGACACCTTGCAGACCCTGGTCGACATTGAATGTGAAATACTGACGGCTCTGACCAAATCCGCTCTCAAGCCTCACCACAGACAGCCTTCTAGGACGACCTAGCCAGCTTGGTAAGCGCAGTGATGATAGTCCTCCGCGTCTGGCCAAGCTAGACGGGTGTCACCGCGCCCAGTGCCAATGCTCAGGACCCTCTTGCCTCGACGCTCGGGAAACTGTCACCGGGCTTCCCCAAATTGGGATACCGTCACGGCCGACCCGGATTGGCTTGAGGGAACATCGTCGCCGCCGGGTTTGCTCGGGCGGGCCTCCCAGATCGTACAACCATGGAACACGGTGGACTTGTCATACGTCGTGAAGAGCGCCGGTCGCGCATGAGCACTGTCTTCTTTTACCTAGCTAGAATTGCACTTTTGAAAAGTGGTCCGCAGGCGATTTTCCGGCTCCGTCGCGGATCTCCTCCATGATGCGCTCTTAAATGAGGTGTCCGCCTATCAGTAGTCTGTCTAAATGGTTACCAGAAGGACGACATTCAGGATTTGACGAGACTACGGCTAAGAAAGCGAAGGTGCTGGAGGGCGGTCTGTTTCACGTTTGCCCGCTGCATCCTGACCTGCCTCAAGCTGAGAGTCGATCCCAGCGAATCGCACCGCAAAGCGCGTCGTGCCACCGACGAGGGGGGACCGAGACGGCTCTCCCGGGGGTCGATTCTCGACCAGGATGATTTGCATTTGACTGCCATATGTAACACATCAATATGCGCTGGCTGGGGGCTGGACCCGAAGGGTTTGTGGCTGTCGCTCGCGGCCTGGATGTTCGTTGGTCTATTGTGAAGCTGAGCAGATGAAGTGCGGGAAGTGGAGACAAATGCGGCTCATGACACGGCCTGAACGGGGAGTAAAGGTTACGTGAACTAGCTCTCTCTAGTCTGGCACCAGACGTTGTTCTGGGAACGGCCCGGCAATCTAATCAATCGGCCGAAGCCCGATCAGTGGGGCCGGGCCACGCGCCCCGACTCACTCACACAGAAAGAGTACGTCTACTGCACAGCGGCATGTGAAAACGCACATCGTACCTAGGTAGACTGGGAGGTAAGATACGGAGACCCCCTTTCTGTCCTTGGTCTGGCTACCCTCGGGGCAAGCTACAGGCCAAGCATCGAAGGGAAAGCAGACCGACTGGGCGGGCGAAGCATACATGGGCCCAAGCAATATGTGGCGAGGCTAGCGGCGGCATCATTATCGGGTGCGATATCGCTGGCCATCCACACTCTCCTCCGCCGCACTCTCGCTCGATACCAGGCATTCTCTGCGTAAGAAGCCATTCGTAGCCGAGCAGGGTTGTCAGCGGAGCGGTTGCCTTGGGCCTGCGCCGCGGAGATGGCGGTGTAGTTGGCCACAATGGAGGGTTGCGACTCGGGGTCTCGGTATATTGTAGCAGGGAGAAATAGGAAGGGAGGCGTGGAGGGTAGGCTCGCGCTGGGGAGCAAGGGCCTTGTCGACAAGTAGGAGGAGCTGGTTTCATGTGCCCTGGGGCAGAGAGCGTGGCTTCAACGCCGTCAAATGGCTACCTCCAGCAGTGTGGTAATGGGCTCTGCGTCGGTACAGACACCAGTATTGCGTGGTCTGAATAGCAGCGACTGTCAAGGGGCCAGAACCACTCCGACACTGTGTTTTTCTGGATATTCTTGAAGCCATTCAGTCTCTGGGAGCACCGCAAGCGTTGGCCACCCATAGCATCTTGTCTTGTTGGAGCCTCGTCACAACGTCATCCTGTAGAGGGCCTTATTCCAACAGGAGCAGCGGTCGGGTGTATGGCTCTGGGAGCTACGGCAGCAGTCGTGGACAGGTCGGTGGGGATTTGTTTCGTTTATCTAGTCTATCGCGTCTTGGGGTCGCGGCTTCGTGGCGAACCTGCGCCTTGGGTTCTCTTGTCTTGACCCTTCTCGTCCTTGGGTCTGTGAGGGACAATGCATGTGTTGTCAGCTCTGAGTCTTGGGCACGAAAACATGAGAAGTGGTCGATTTCTACCAAGAAACCCCAAGCCTTTGTCAACACCCAGGTGGCGGCTGTCACTCTGCACTGGCGATGCGGTGGCAAGAGGCTTGATGACGGAGTGTGCAAACGCCGCCGCGAGCGGTCAGCTCATGTACGCCCCCGATGAGCTGGGCCGGCCAGCGCATCTGGGAGAAGTCACCGACCAGGACGGTGGTCACTGATGAGGAGGAGGATGGATCACAGCAGATGGAGGATGGGTCTCCCAGTCTGGTTCGCTTTGAGGAGGATGGAAGACGGATGAGGCAGGGGTGGGTGGATTGGATGGAGGTGTGAGGCTGACTGAAGTTTGTGCCAGGACAGTTGGACCATGCATTGACTCAGGCTTTGAGCCACCTGGAGGTCTTGTGTCACAGCCAATTTGCATCCCCTCCGGACTTTTTGGAGAGTCTCCCCGGTGCAGGCAGGCCAGCCGATGAGCGAAAGCAGCCATGGCTCTGGAGCCGTGGCAATCCATCATCTCATCACACAAATTCCTCGTCGTTTTTCAGCTTACAGCCTGGCCACCTTGGAACATCCGACTCTTCTAGTTAGATGGCCATTCACAACATTCGCGTGACAAGCATGTGTTCATGTTTCGCCCGACCCTCTGTGGCATTGATCGGCATTCGGCCTAAGAACGGCTGCGTGATCCTACAATGCACCTAGGTAGAATCTATCAAGAGACGAGAAAAGACCATACTCATTGAGGAGCAATAGGACCGCCAACGTATATACATGCAGATATATAGCCAGTCAGGAAGCAGAGAACCTCCTACAATGTATCCAAATGGCCGATCTGTTCCATTTCTATGTGCACAGGGCTAGATATGCACCAGACTTCAGGGGCAGGGAGTTGAGCACCTCCCTGCCTGGGGTAGGTCGCACCCTCAGGTATCCACGACTCCAACTTCTGAGTTATCCCGACCTTCTCCCGACCTTCTCCCGACGCCCTCGGCAACCTTTTTCCTGTCGCGTGGTGCCTTGCACCCGAAGTTCTCCCGAATCTTAGCCGCGCGCGCGCGGGCTCGAGCGCCAAGCGTGCCTCTATAAAAGCCTCCCTCCTACACTCGCCCCCCCTCTTTCCTCCCAGGTTCAGCGTGCAGACAAGACAATTGCCTCGCAGCGACAGTCGTAGCAAGCCACCTCATACATTTCTCTCATATAAGGCACTTGATCTGGCCTGGTCATTCTTGTCTCTTCGTCCTTGTCCCACCCCACGGGCAGATACTGCATCACAAAACTCACAACTTCCAACCCGTCTGCGCATCTCACGTCCTCACGTCCTCACGTCCTCACGTCCTCACGTCCTCACGTCCTCACGTCCTCACGTCCTCACGTCCTCACGTCCTCACGTCCTCGTGTGCGCACTGGCCTCTCATTTCCGACGCCCCAACATATCGCACGCCCTAGCATCGCTAGCATGCCTCCTTCCAACACAATGGTTGGCCTCGATGAGGACCCGAGCCCATCCCTTGGCCAGGTAAGCCGAGAGAGTCGAGCCAGAACAAAGTGAGAATAATCTGAACAAGATTTTGTTTTGACTAACGCCTCAAAAACCCCTCGCCTCAAGGTCACTCTCCTCGACTGGCCTCCCGAGTTGCGCTCGACCATCGAGTCCTTGTCGATCCCGCCCGAGCTGCCCCAAGGTAACGTACCCATCCTCCCCTCCGCAAAAAAAACAGAACGCGAACACCGCTGACGGCGACGCGTGCCCCCGCTCCGCAGGTTCTGAGAGCGAGTACAAAGACCTGTTCATGCTGCGAGCTCCCAGCAGCGACGTCGCCCAGACCATCCTCGACATCGTGAAAAACTTCAAGCCCGCCAACTTCTACGGCCGGCTCGCGTTTTACAACGTCACGCTTGCCAAGTACAAAAAGTTCGACAAGCTCACCGAGAGAGATCACCTCCGCAAGACGTACACGGTCTCGGAGCTGGGCGGACTGCTCTCCTTCAAGATGCCGGCAGACAAGCACAACGCGGCCGTTGAGCCCTTGGTCATGGAGCTGCGACGCCAGGCCGGAAAGATGCTCCGTGACGGTCACCATGACGGTCACCGTGACGGTCTCCTCCTTAGCGACTTTATGTGGCTTGGCGACGCAACAGTCAAGGCAACAGATGGTGCCTCCGCCAAGGAAGCCGACGAGTGTCTGTGCCCCTGCTTAACATTCGTTCCGAGTCTCACCATTGAGTGTGGCAACTCTGAATCTATGCCGGCCCTGATTCGGGATAAGGACTAGTGGTTCAAGAATACCGAGTCAGTTCAGATCGTCATCACGATCAAAGAACGCCGCAACAAACACCGCACCGTCCAGGTCGACTTCTGGCGCCGAGGACACGACGAAGCGACCCACACTGTCACCGTCCAGTTGACCCAGCCCCTCACCGAGACGAGTGTGCTGGAGGATCGTGCCGCATGGCACGTCGAGGGTGCGCCAGTGCAGCTTAGATTCGAGGACGTGTTTCGACGCCCCAGGGAGGTGGCCTTCGGCTTCGACACCGATTTCACTCTCCAGGAGAGCCTATTCGTCACCATGGGCGCCGCTGTCGTTCTTTCTTGCGACCGCACGCCCGAGTCGGTCAAGCAGCGGTTTTTCGAACAGCAAGAGAAGGTTTGCCGAGAGTGGCGGGAGCAGGAAGCTCGAGAGCGCGAGGAGAAGCGTCAGGAGTTAGAGCGCCTGCGTGAAGAGGTACGTCAGAAGGAGGAGCATATCCGCCAGCACGAGGAGAAGTTGCGTCAGAAGGAGGAGCATATCCGCCAGCACGAGGAGAAGCTGCGTCAGAATGAGGAGCATATCCGTCAGGAAGATGAAGAGGTGCGTCAGAAGGAAGAGCATATCCGCCAGCATGAGGAGAAGCTGCGTCAGAAGGAGGAGCACTTGCTTTAGAAGGACGAGCAGGCATGCGAGAAGCAGGAGTGTCAGAAGAACGAGGCTAACCAGGACCAGAACGAGCAGTTGCGTCAGGAGGTACGTCAGATGAAAGAGCTCGGCTAGAAGAATAAGCTCCGCCAGAAGAAACAGTTCTTCCAGAAGAAAAAAGGTCTTCCAGAAGAACAAGCGCCGTCAGGAGGATGTGGCTGACTAGGAGCAGATGCGCTGGGGCTTTCCCTCTTGTATTCTTTTCCTTTTCATTTTCCTTTTCCTTTTTTGGGCAGGCAGGCAGGGATGGAGGGAGCGGACTGAGGTCTGAGTGAGGCCTTGACACGGAGCGGTCCTGTATTCTATCTATCTTTTTTGTCATTCTTCAGGCATGTCCAAGGGCGCCGAGCTTGATGGCTTGGACGGCCCCCAGCAGCATGCGATCGTATCCTCCACTTACCGGAGCAGTACGAACTAGTCAGAACACCAGCATAATAATGTCTAATGTTTAATGTTTAATTCTGTAATCCGGCATCCCTTGCCAGTGACAGCGGGCGAAACCCACAGCGGGGAGATGTCGGGGAGTTGACGACGAATCGTCGGTGTAACTACATCCAGCAGAGGAGGCTGCGCGATCTCGTCTCGAGTCTTTGGACAGTGGTGCTGTGTGTGATCCTCGGGGTCATCCTTTGCCGACTGAAGGCCGGGCGGGTTCAATGTTACAGGGTTGGCTGCCCGAGTAGATTCGGGTGAAGAGACATGGCCGTCCGTACGGTCACCGCTGTCATGTATATACCTACCTGCCTAGGTAGGTAGGCATATACAAGTAATACGCTGCGGCTTGCCCTGACAAATGAAAATGGAGTGCCTCTCGGCCACTGAAGAAGGGTGGACTCCGTACGATGAATTCCCGGCGCGAGCCCCCGTCACCCGCGTCGTCGCCAGGCCACACCCGAGGAGCCTTGTGATTCTGGGAGGCCCTGATGCCCCCGGATGCGTCAGATGAGCAGAATGCTAGCCGCAAGCCCGTCCAGCTCTCTCTCTCTCTCTCTCTTCGTTGTCCAATGCGGCCATCAAGACTCATAACCTCGTCCGGGGGGCATGGCATCGCAGGCTTTTGGGACAAGTCTCTCTCTCTCTCTGGTATTTCCATTTTCACCAGCTACTCTTTCGCTGTCTCGGTGTCTTCTCTCCATTTCGGCCCTTTTCTATGGTTTCGTTTTGGGGGCGTGAGATCGCAAGTGAAATCGAATTCGAGACTCTTTCGGCTGCCAGTGTGGGGCACCAGCCGCCCGCCGCCCGCCGCCAGCCGCCCGCCCCCTCCAGGCGATCGGCCCCAGAGCGGGCTGTCAAATCGTCGTCGGGCTGCGACTCTCAAGTCCGGATGAACCATAGCTGCGCTTCAATAAGTCTCGATTTTCTCTTGGCCTCTTCTTAGCTATCGACGGCGCGCGATCCCAAGCAGCAACTGGCAGGGCGCAGATTTGGGCCTCGAACTGCTGCCACCGATCGATCCACCACTCCCCCCAGCTTTGGGCACCGGTCAGTTCCAAGACCTGACAGCACAGCACGCATCGGGATCGGATGGATGCCCAACCCAGACGCAATCGAATCCGAGGCATGCCCGCCCAAAGGAATCCCCCAAATTCCAGGTTAAAAAAAAAACGCACAATCGATTTACTCGATCGCTCAAGGCACATGCCTTGAGCTCTCTGCGCGACATCGCAGGGATCCCTGTCTGGCAGAGGTATTCGCCGTCGCCGAGTCGCACGAGATTGATGTGCTCCGTCTGAACATGCACAAAGGCGAAGAGAGAACGAACGACCCCCAAGCACCCAGCACTGCCGCCCTGGGAGGGAGTCCTGCCCCAATGATTGGACAATCCCATGTTTGAGCCGCACTCGGGGGGTGTAGCCTTTGGTAGACGCCAATCCCCACGTTGCATTGCTCACCGTCCTTCTTTCTACCGCCAGCTCTGCTCTGCATCAATAGACTGCTGCAGCTCGTTTGGAAAAGTAGCCATGCATGGGGGGTAGACTCTCGTCGCCTCTTTTTTTCTCCCTCGCAGAGCTAGCGTCTCAGGCAACCAGGCTGACGGTTGCCTTTCGGTCTATTGCATGCATTGCGCCTGGTTTGTCTCGGCTGCTTGCTTCTGCTCCAGAGTGCCCTTCCATCTCTGCTCTGCCTCTCGCTCTACCCCCCAACAAGTTTGCCCACCGCGTGCCTCACTATCTGGAACAACAACCTGTCTGGCAACCCGACGGTATGCCTCTTAAGAAGCCCACACACGTCCCCTAGCCTCTCCCGCCTCTCACTCCTCCCCGGACTTCCATTTTCTGATCTAGAAGCCACCCCAGCAAGGCTTGTCAGTGTCAACGGCGACGCCATGGTGTCACTGAGGTTGTCTTCGAGGCTTCCTCTCTCTCTCGCCCATTCTGCTGTCTGCACCTTTCTTCCCACCCCTGCTCCACTGCCACCTTTCCCGTCCTCTCTCTCTCTCTTACTCCTCTCCACCACCCAGTGGCTAGCCTACAAAGAAGCCTTGTAGACCGCCATCTCGTCCTGCCAGACCTGCCCGTGCCCGGATACGAGACCCTTCGATCCACCCTCACCAGTCTGGCTAGCGCTTCTCTCTCTCTGTTCCGTCTCGTCTCGTCCACCCGTCAGGAACGGGCACAGCCATGGGCTGAGTGCTCTTCTTTTGCCTTGCCTTCCGAGGGCCTCGCCTTGCCTCGCCTCGCCTGGTCTTTCTCTGCCCTTCTTGCCCCGAGGCCAGCTCCGCTCGGGTGCCGCTCTGCTCCTGGCTCCCCAAGTTGATGCCTCACTCGTCTATAAAGGAGCCTCAGGAGCGGCCTCCTCCCCCCTCTCTTCCTTTCTCCTCTCTCAGGCCACATGCGACCTACCTCTCTCAACAAAAGTTCACCCATCCCCCTCCCCTCCAATCACCGCCTCCCGAGTCCGCCTCTGCTCCTCTTTTTCCTCTTCACGTCTGCCGCAGGCAGGGTGGCTGCGCTGCTCGCCTGCTCGCCTGCTCGACCAGGCCATGGTCACGCTCCAGTCACGGGCGCGCCCAGGTATGTATGTACGTATGTATGTGGAAGCCAAGAACCCCTCGGTACCTTTCCCTATTCTTCAATACTCCTCCTGTCTCTCCATCTCCTGTCGTCCAATCCCCGTTCCCCTTTCCCATTCCCCTCCTCCCCCCTCCCTCCCAATCCTAACTGCCGAGCCCTTAGCTCATATTGCCCCCCTACCTGTTGCTGTGCGCGCGCCAGCCACGTGCGGAATCTGCCCTTCCTCAAAGCATGATTGACGCCGGTCGTGTATCCCCTTTGCGCGTAGTGGTCGTGAGTGAGACATCTGATCTCTATCAGCCCAGTGAACGGCGGGGCCTGGGCTATGCAAGTAGATAGGATAACTCCCCGGGAGGCGGCTTTGGTGTAGCCCCAGCTGCGGACCCCCCCTTACCCTCCCTTGAACGCCTCAAGCTATCCCCGACCCGTGGCTGTGAGACATGCGTCGATGTGTGCATTGCCGCTGCCCTCACGTGCGAGCCTGGAAGGCTTGTCAGTTTTCTGGATTCCCCTCCGCGCATTCGACGAGACCGGTCCTGTCGATATCGCCAGTAAAGCGGACTCAGCCACTTGTGGCCAGATCACTCTTGCAAGGTAAAAGATGCTCACGATCAAAATAGCATGTGCACCGAGAGTCATAAACAAAGCAAAAGGTACAAATGTGCAAGAAAAGCGCCGTTATCTATTCCTGAGAACATGAAACTGAAACTAGGGGGATGTCCCGCGGGGATGCATCGTGAGATGGAGACTCCTGATCTAAGACCGACAAAGGAAAAGAAACCACGGGGGGACAAAAGCCAGGTGCCACAACGGAGAAACGGGGGGAGGAAGGAAAGAGAGAAAGATGTGCATATGTACAGAGGTGCGAAGAGAGAAAAAAACGTGACCCAATTTTAGCAACACCCTTCGGTCCAGACCGATTCCACCGTCGCGCCGATGACAAGAAAAGCCTCATAAACGTCAAAATGTGCGTAGAAGTTGAACGCCAGAAAGGACACCAAAGCCTCCATCATGAAAGTTGAGTGTCAGGCCGTGGTGTCGACCAGCATCCCCTCAAAGAGTAGATTTTCGGGATCATGCGCATCAATACCCGTTGGTGAGGTATTGGTCCTGTGACTTAGAATGTATCAGAGAACGGGGCTTGCTCGCAAAGGACTCGAGCCTTCTTTGCAGTCTGTGCAATGGAAAGTAAGCTCTACTCACACCAGAGAGATCAAGTTTTTCCTTTCTCTGCTCGCACTGTCCGCAAGGGCGATGAAGGCAGTCCACATTGCTACACTTGACATCATAAGTGGCATAGTTGAAGTTGCCGCACTGGCAGCACGTCCAAGTAGCCATGCGCTGCTGTTTGCGGCTCGGGGTCGACGGTGGTGCTGTATGTCCGTGAGAAGAGCCGTTTCCGTGGCCGCTTCCGCTTCCACCGCCGGAGCTGCGCTTGCTCTTCTTTTTGTGCGAAGACGACGAAGACTGGTGCGGAGCCATGGCGTTGAGATGACAGACTACACTGCTTCAAACAGGGTAGCAAACTTCAAGGTAGTGACGATCGAGGTATGCTTGAGAAAGAGCGTGGGTTAAGCTGCAGTCAGACACTCTCCTTTGATCCCACACGTTGGGAGATGGGGGGGAATGATAATTAAGATATACTCGTCCTGCCAACCCAGCTGTTCGTTTTCAGACCAGTTTCACGCATCGGACCCGCCTGCGTCTTCCAAGCTTCCAAGACAGACTCGCAGAACGCCTGATGTTGCGTCTTCGTTGCAGCAAACACTGGCAAGAGCCAGCTTCGCCCTCTGACTGGACGTCGGCAGCTTCTAAAGAACCATTTGACCGAATGCGCCACCCCCCGTGGGACCTCGAAGCCATCAAACTTTGCACGGACACCACTCAGAGCAACGCGTCCGTGGCTTAAGGAACCACTTCCAGGCGGACTTGAAGTTGTTCTCTCGGTAGGCGACATCAACAGGGCATAGAACGGCCCACAGCACCTAGCACAAAGCTTGGATATTGACATCGGCTGATCAATCGCACATGCCTCAAGGGCAGCGCGTGGAACACCTTGACGGGGCTTGGAGGGCTTCGCCGGTGGTCTATTGAATGCGCCACGGGCATTCGTGAGCATCCGCAATCTCGCCATATCAATCAGACCAACGAGGCCGTAGCTGGTGCGGGTAGCCGCACGCCATCTCGGGAGTGGGACTGGTAATTCGTCAAGTAGAACAGGGCAAACTGGCCTGGCTGTGCTGTCAACTGTCATTGGCAAGTCCGCGGGTCAAGACTTCTGATGAATCCCGCTGTGGCCTGGAGCCAAAGTACCAGACCGAAAAGTCCCACCGAAAAATAACACTCTTTGTGGCACGAAATCCGAGTTGAATTATTTGCAAGTAAACGCAAGGAAATTCGTGCGAAAACAAGTAGTCGAAATTCGAAAACCGGACCAATAAGGCTGAACACGGCGCACCACTGCCGGGACTGTGCAGCACTTGAGTAGCACGCTCAAAGAACCACATTGTAACGTCGCTTGGGCGTGCTCGATCTGACCAATGGTTCTCTTGGTAATAAATCGCTCCTTTAGTGCGTAAATCGACCTCGACGATTCTCCTTTTGGCGTGTGTGCCACTTGTCAATCCCCCCCTGGCTCGAGAGTGCCCTGCTGAAGGGCGTCCTCAGTCATCGATGTACGATGTCGTTTGCTCCTGGGCAGTTGAAACAGTGATATTTGTCGCCATGGTAGACGCACTGCGCCCGATCCCAGCCCGGGCCATGCTTCGCCCATGTTCAGGGTGCCGAGGTTCGTGCACGAACTCCCCAGACCAGCCAAGCAGTCTCGATGGAACCGTCTCTAATACAAGCACAGACACTCGTCTAGCGGCGCCAATCAAGAAAGGGAAAAGAGAGAGAAAAGGGAAATCTCGCACGCAGAGCGAATGACAGGCCTCCCGGTATAGGGCAACAGCATCTCGAGGAAGGGCACAGTAGATGGGCTCGATGGCAACATCCAGGGTGAGGCGGCCCTAGCGAACCATTGTCAACGAGTCAATGACCCTAGTGCATCTGTTCTAGGGTGTGCATCTCCCGGAATCAGGAAGGAGTGGCCTCCTTATACCCTCGCTTCGCGGCTCTGCCGGACTTGTTGGGCATCGATTGAGCAAAGAGCCTCTTGCAGCCAAGGCTCTCGAGTGTCCCAGACACGGCGTCAAGATAAGTCACGACCCAATGACGACATCCTCAAGAAGGTACAAAGGTGGTGAAGTAGGGGAGGACAACTCTGACCTGCGTTCCAGGTGCTTCCATCGTTGCCCGATAATATGTGGCTCGAAATGAAAATGCGGCTCAAAATGATGCCAAGCCAGCCCTTGTGCAGGGCTGGACAAGACATTTGCGCCCGTACGCCACTACGCCAGGTGCCTGCCCTAGGACGAGAAACCCCATGGCGACAGAATGAGCGGCCTCCTGCTGTTTGATTCCGGGCAAAAGGAACGATAGATACGTTGAAGCCATGGTTGAGCAGTCAATGCAACATCGACGATGTTTCCCAAGACCCAGGTGAGGGGTAAAACCCCTCAGCCGCCGGCCGGTTCACCGACGGTCTAGATCCAAGGTTGGGCCTCACCTGATGGCGAGCACTGCAGTCGGGCGTGTAAGATTGCGGGCAATTTGTGCACATCTGCGCGTGTACACGGCAGAATGCGAGATTGAAGTCGAGGACGCGAGCGAAAGAGACATAGCGCGGGAAGCCATCGTGTGTCTCGGGCGCTAGCTCGAGACCAACGCCATGTTGGCAGGAACGTCGTTATCGAGCATCGCGTCTCCAATCGGAAAGCCCGAACGGCGTGCTAACGTCTGTTGTGTTGGACGGCATATCAAAGGCGTCAGGCATAAAAGCTCAGTCGACAGCGAGAAGATCACAGAGACCAAGCGTGAGATGCAGGGGATTCAGCCGAATGTATATTCTCAGTTTGGAAAAGGAGAAAGAAGAAAGAAAGAAAGAATTAATGACACACGGAGAAAGGAGAGAAAGGAGAGGCTGACAGCACTCCGCGACGAACCTGCTTTGGGATGTCGTCATCAGAACACGTGTTGAGTACCTAGGTAGGCTGCACACAGCAAAGGCTTGGTCATTGGGATTCGTCAATTGAACAGACGAACCCGTGCGCCAGTGAAGCCAGATAAGGAGCGAGCTCTGACATTGGCGACGAACCGATTGCCGCATTGTTGTTGTTGGATGATGCTGACGTGTGAAGGGAGCTCCCGCGATCGCTGCTGGTTTGGGGGCTGTTTTGGCTGCCCCGGTGGTTTGATTTGCCCTAAGCTTCGAGCTTGGGCCAATGGCACCACCCCTAGCGCTATCTCGCTCAGGGTGTGCTTTGGCCACCTGCTGACCTGTTCAGAAGCTCCAAGCCCGAGCCGTTGACCCAACTGGCCCCTGCCAATCCAGCTGGCTGGAGGAGCTAACTGGAGTTCGACATGAACCGTCCTGCCAAGGAAGCAGCAGCGCCAGCCAGCCAGCCAGTGAGGTCATCGGTCATCTGGCACTTCTTGCGTCGACTGCCCGCAATGGCGATGGTTTCATCTGCAATCCTGGAAATGGCCAATAGAACCGGCCAGGGTAGCCTGTCTATATTTTAATAAAGCCATGTCTACTCCAGCTATTTTCTCTCCCCAAGTCTGCGACTGAGACTACGACTTTCTGGCATCTTGTGGCACGCACGTTGACGCCCGAGTCAATCCAAGCAAGCAAGTCTTGCGACGGTCAAGCAGCGCCCGAGACGCGTCCCGTCGAGCTGAAACCTCAATAGGGATCACCAAATCATTCCACCCCATGCCAAAAGGCTAATTTAGCCATCCGGCACATAAAGAGTGGACTGCCCAGAGACGTCATTTAGACTTTTTTTTTTCTTCCCTGTTCCTGGATCCCTGTGCTGTTGCTTCTTCTTTGTGAGTTTGCCACTTTTCGCATCACGACGGCCATCCTTCCTTTGCAAACCTGTCTGATAAATTAACAGCCCACCGCAGAGTACCTAATCGAAAGCCAGCAAAAGTCGAGAACCTGCTGTAGCGATCGCGAAACAAAACCCTCGTCGCACCGTCCGTCCTACACGGGCCCACGTCCCCAACTACCACAAACCGTTCGAGCAGCTGTTCACCGGTGTCGCACAACCGCCCCCCCACCCCAAAGTCAAGATGGGCGTCTTCGGCATGGCGGCCTCGTACCTCGCCTTCGCGACGCTGCACTTCTTCCAGTTCGTGCTGGCCATCACCGTCTGCGGCCTCTACGGCGTCGACCTCTCGCGCGCCTCCAAGGCCGGCGTGCGCTCCGACTCGCGCTGGGTCTACGCCGAGGTCGTCGGCGCCCTCTCGGCGCTGACGGCCCTGCTGCTCATGGTGCCCTTCTTCCTGCGCTTCGCCGCCGTCTGGGTCTGGAACGTCGTGCTCTTCATCCTGTGGATCGCGCTCTTCGGCGTCTTCGCCAGCCTCTTCATCCACGAGGACCCCGAGGGCAACGGCGACATCCAGCGCATGAAGAACGCCGTCTGGGTCGACCTCGTCAACGCGCTGCTGTGGCTGTTCACCGCCCTCGGCCACTTTGTGTACTGGTTCCGCCACAGGGAGCGCGTGTCGCGGTTCACGGGCCGCGCTCGGGTCTAGGAGCTCGGGGTCCTGTGAAGCGGGGGCCGTGTGCGACGGCGAGAGCGGTGCGGGGGACAGCGAGAGAGGGGAATGGAGTTGCCTTGGGCTAGGAGAGGCGATCGTGACAGGCTAGCGAATAAGTGTTGGAGGCACGAGTGAACTACGAGGTTCCAGGCGTCAAGGGTGTTGTAGGAAGCGGCTTGGGCTTGGTTGTTGCGCATCTTCGTGCTATATGGTTATACCCACGTCCTTTGCTTTTAGTCATCGGACTGCATTAATTACTTGGATTTGTTTGTTCTTCTTGAAATTTGATCGCGGCGAGATCATCTGGAGAGTGTTTCTGTGCTCGCGAGTGACGCCATGGGACATCGTCAGACACCCCGACGAGCACGACACAATAGAATGCCATGCGAGACTTCCGAACGACTGGTTCATCATTTGCAACCCAAGTCTGACAGTGGGTGTGAAGCACTCCAAGGTTCTGACAGGCCCAAGCCTTCTGCGACAGAATCGACTGTGCGAGGTACACAGGTTCACATGCGAGATTACAGAGCTCAAAATGCACCCTGTCGCTACAAGGTTCGATCTTCTGGATCATTCGCCGAAGCCAAACCCTGAGCGGTTTGGTTGCCACGGGTGCTCCCTTCCCCTTCCCACTCCAAAGGATGCTGTTTGTCAGCGTTGGAGATGCCAATCTGTCTCTTGTAGGCAGGAGACAGCCCTGCAGCCCACTTGAAACTGAAACTGTGTTTCCCAATACCGTGGGGCAGACAGCACGTACGTACGTACAAGTGCGTGCCGGCAGTTGGGCCAGTGGTGAATCATTGCCCTTTTGCTCGCATTGAATGCCAGGCTGGCAGCAAAATGTCGGCGCGGGTGTCAATCTCATGCGGGACGGACTGGATCCGCAGTTTTTGCAACAGCAATTTGAATGACGTCAGGCTCCTCTTCTGGCTTGACAAGAGCCACAACGTTACTACAGTGGGGAACAACAACATGATTGCTTGGATGGTTTGGGCAATTCAAAGAAATGCAAAGCCCACCAAACCCAGTTTCAAATGCGGGCCGTCGCTACGATGTTAGTGGCAGGACCGGATCCGTGATCCTGGCTCGAGGACAGCCAATCAGCGATCTGGCCACGGAGGTTTCCTCCGGGTGGCCCATCTGCCAAATCCGCGATGCGCACAAATGCTCGCTGCTGTGCAACCGCTGCTCTCTCCGCCACAGCCTCTGTCCTCCCTTCGCCAGGTTCTTTCACATCTGAGAGCAAAGTCTTATCATCGACGGAAAGCCACGTGTAATACGATCTCCGAGTGGTAGATAGGTTCGACAACAAATCGATCGCAAGCGTCGATCCAGGGTGTCCACAGGGGTCTGCTTTCCTCGATCGCGGAGGGACCCTTGGAAAAGGCAAAAAAGAAGGGTTCAAGGGTTTCGTCATCCCATGCTGACGTACTAGCACCCGTTCTCTGGCATTTGCTTTGCTCCGTCCTTGCAGACCTGTCCCCCGTCCCGTCGCGCCGGAACCGCAGAAGGAAGAATGAATTTGCAGTGCACAAGCTGTGTTGTTGATCCATGAACCAAGAAAAAAAGCGGGAGCGTGGACAAGGGGCCCCGATCTTGCCAGCTGCACGAGCCCGGCGCAACTTGCTCTCTGCGGTCAGAGATCATCGCGATCGGCGTCGGGCCCTCTCCTCCTTTCTCTCAATGTGCTCTTTTAGCGACCATGAGCTTGAAGTAGTCCGGTTCGGTGTTGTCGGTGCATTCCTGCCGGCCAATGCCAAAGAACGGTATCTTGCTTGACTGGAGAAGAGCATCCCACTCCTTGCATCAAGCCGGCGGAGAGCGAGCAGCCCTCCGGGGAGCAGTACCTGCCTCTGCAGTCTGGTGTTTCTCCTCGTCAGTGGTCAGTGGTCATACGAAGACCAGCGCTTCGCGTGGCTTGGCGGCGCCCTAGTAATGGACGTTTGCGTGACATGTTGTCTCAGCCGCAAGGCCTGGGAGGAATGATCATATCTCAATACGAAGTTCGATAAGGTCAGGCCCGGCCAGTCGCGGTCTATTCCTCGCCCGCCCATCCAACATAGCAGAAAACGGAAAGGATAAGCGGGATTGATCCGCTGCACCATATCTCTCTCTCTCTCTCTCTCTTCTTGTTTGCCTGGCGGAATGCGACTAGCTGATTGCCCTACTCAGCTTTCTGCCTATCGCTCTTGGAAGAGGAACTATTATTTACTTCTGTCCACATTTGGGTCGTGACAAGGAGGGGAAGTAAATGAGACGCCAAGCTGCATGCGATCATGGCCCATCTAGGGATGGCGACTTTGCGGGGTCGCGGACATGGGGTGCTGTTTTCCAAGTTCTTCCCTTAACAAGCTTGACAAGGAAGGTCGACACACATATGGCGGTGGGCGTCAAGAACACGCGGTGTGATTGAGTTTCACAATTCGTGGCTTGAACGGGCTGCTGGGATGCGTGGTTGATGGAGCACAGGACCCAATGACGGGGCAATGACGGTTGGAGCAAAGGCAATCCGCGGCTTCGGCTTGCCACAGCAGACCGTCTCTTCCTGGATTGCGACCTGCGGTTCAGGGTCCCATGGGAATGAAGTAGCTACCGTTCTTAGACGGGTGCATGGTTAAGAGGGGGTGCGGCTAGTCTGAAAGTCTTGAATGTTCTCTTGGTGTGGTTGTGTGTGTGTGTGTGTGTGTGTGCACGGCGTGCCGAATTATCCAGGTGAATCAGTACAAGTAGGAGGACAGCGCTTAATAAGCTCCGGGGGGATCTGCTACCTCTCAGATCACGGTACCTGCCTGCGTGTAAGGATTGTGGCCTGGACGTCCGTATCTGCCGATGCGAGGCGCTGCGCTGCAGTGCGTCTCGGAACCCGGCAGTGATGACTTTTGTTGAGGACTTGCATATCTATGTGAACCGACTTTATGCAACGTACGGCCAGAGAGTTTTCGCCAACCGCTTCTTTTTTTCACTTCTTTTCTTCTGTCTCACAAGGTAAAAACACCACGGGGCGTGTGCTACATTGGCAACCGATCGTAAATAGCAAATCACAAGAGAAAACAAGTCCCTGAAGATTGCAGCGGCCGATCAGCGTGTCTCCGACTGGCTTGCGCGGGCTTAGAGAGAGAGATCTGCCATCCCGTGGGCCAGAAAAGATTGCCGAGCAGGAAGTTGGTACTTGGTGCCTCTTAGTGTCGTAGCACCAGATGTGCCGGGCCGCTTTCTCGATGTCGATCCTCCTTGGAAGACCACTCACAGAGTGACAGGATGATGCCTTTGGGCGGTGGTGATGAATGGATCATTCTTTTGATGGTCGTTGATTTTTGCCCTGCCAGGGTGTCTGCAACATGTGCTCCTAATCGCAAAAGTCCCCGCTTGGCCGCTTGGGGGGCCTTTCTGTAGCAGCCGCAAATGGTCGACCGCATGGCGCCAGACGCCCGCAGATCGCCCCAACGAACGCCACACGCATGTCCGTTCCCGTTCTGAGGGGCAGAAATGAGCAAATGCGGGCGGCGCCACGATGCCGCTACCGACTGGATGATGGATGGTGGTCGGAGCCTATCATCTGGGAGATCTGGAGGGAAGATCACACGCCACATGCTATCCTCACTTCTTCCACGGCAGGAAATGCAACACGGGAGCCTTGCCGTGTGGCTTCGGGCCCCAAAGGGATGGCTCCAAACTCTGTTGGTTGTTGCATTCAGCAGCAGACACCAGACAGACGGTAGGCAGTAGTGATCGCTTCATCAGACCAGGTCCGTAGCCATGTGGCTGGTGAGAGAACCAAACTTGATCACGGCCAGTACCTTGGCCATCCGTCGTAATGGCGCAGCGGGAATAAGACCACTGCGGAGGGTTGAGATGCAAGTCGGCGGGACCCCTGCCCTCGAGCGACCCAAGACCCTGCTCCTCCTCTCCCTCAACCCACTGATAGCCATGTGAGATGCATGATGGCTGCAGCGATTAGCTTGAAAAGCTCCGCCTGGTCTGTTACCGGAAGTTAGTGGCCGGGGGCACTGGGGTAACGGACGGACAAGAAGAGGTGAGGCAAATTGAGTGCAGCACTTTTGGCTCTGTTATTCTGCTCACGTCTCCAGGGCTCCCTTATTTGGCCATTTCTGGGGAGAGATGGAGGACAGCGATCCACCTCCGCAGACTCGACCCTCGGCGACTCGCCATTTCAACCACTGGGCCATTCCCTCTGCTCAGGGCGACTTGGCACTCTTTGGCGATCATCACCTTATACGCACACCCCATCCAAAACCACCCATTCATGTGTCTCGCTCCTCTTCCCCCCCCCCCCCCCCCCCCCCCCCCCCCCCCCCCCCCCCCTC